GAGATTAGTACCAATCGTGGGTCGAAAGTGTCAGGGCCTGGAAGGTTGGAGAAGAAGAATGAGCTGGGAGGTTAGGCGTAAGTTTGCATGCTGTTTCTCCCTCAGGCCCTAATGCACGATCTAACTCAATGCGTTTTGACTGATTTACCTGCTCCTTACTCATTTGCCGCTATAATCCTTGCCTGTATTTCATGCACCTTGTGTTTCCGATCTTTCAAAATGCAAGGTTACAAATTCGCATCGAACCAATCGTTTCTATCCGCAACATTATTGCTTATAATCTACAGCGCTTGCACTGGCCAAGAGAGCCTGTCGTCTGCGCCAATTTTGTGCGCGAATCATTTATCAACCGTCAAGCCAAAAGTGAGTCGCGGAAGCACGTCCGGCATAATTGGGCTTTGCAATGCACCAGTCACATGCTTCCACGTTTCCACAGTGGACTAGCCCACGGAAGTGCAACAGTTAACTTTCCCTGTAGTACATGGAGTCATCAGACGTCTTGGTGATTGGTAACTGTATCAAAGCCGTAACACTTCGTTTAGCTCTGCATATTCCGAGAGATATTCTCGAAGTTCCATTCCATATCACTAGGACAACCTATTTCAGAACTCTAGGAAGCATGAAATTCTTTGTGGATGAAAGATTGCGTGCTCATACCATCAGAAACGGGCATTTTTCTTTTGGTATGATTTGTCTGCTCTTGCATCAATATTTCAAAGTAGGTATCTGATCCGATTATTGAGTACAGCTATTCATTCTGAACTTCCAATGTGAATCTCTAAATCAGGCGTTATTTGTGTTGAAGCGGCTCTTTTCTATGGTGAGATGTTCCTGAATGTCGTGTTACGGAAAGGAAACTTGCTGTATTCTTTGATCAGGCATCCTTCTCACCACATACTACTATATCTTACATCTCTCCAAACGATCAAATTCCTGTTCATGCTATGCGATTTCCTAACATGGTTGTGGAAGCCTTATGTGTCACCTTACCAATTATCTTACGATGCAATCTTCGTTGTGCAGCAAGGATAGGGAACGAGATAGCCATAGACCATCAGATACAGATCTGTTTTGTGACTGTACTTGATTAGAGAAATCAAGAATTGACGTGGCGATGCATGAGCTCGCTATGGTCTTCTTTGCTATGGTAGGTGCAAAAAGCCTTGGGAACACGTGACCGCGTAGCCGAGTTCCCCGCCTCCTGTGCGCTTATTTATTAAGTTCCCGCCATATCCGGCTCTTGATCAGCCTGACATGCACTTGGACAGACAACCCAACTCACTCGTCAACCACGACAAATGTTCGCTACTGCGACCGATCTTCCCAGAAGACAAGCCAGATATGGGAGATCAGGTCGATGATCGTCGCACGCAAGATGGCTCCGGCTCGCCACCCAGTGGCAAACTCTGTGAGGCAACAGGCAGCACATCTACCTTCTCCAAAGGAGGATCACCAAGCCTCGTCAGAATCATTATGGATCAACTTGCAATCTGGAAACCGAAGAATCCAAGGGAACCCCTCAACACCAAGCTTTGCACGTGGTGCAAAGTCATAGAAATCAACGATTCCGATAACGGATGGGAGTCTCATCAAACCGAGTCCGGGATACATGTTCGATTTTCACAACCGGTATTACAACTAAGTTACGACAGGACTGACCTACTTCCAACTCTCCCTTCAATATCAGAAACGGCAGGGAATGGTTGCCCGTTCTGTGGGCACTTGAAAACCTCAATCCTGTCATTTTTCGACAGTTCCCCAGACGGAGTGGACAAGTCGAGAGAGATAAGAATAAAGGGGGTCCAATATGAATGGCAAGGAGGACTGCAAAGACTTGTGGTAGACATGCGCACTCGGGGCGTGCAACGTTCTTCATTATTCAGCATTCGAGAGTCGCAGCGAGTGCAGAGCAACCATATACTGAGAACTATTTTACCTCATGGAAGTATTACGGAAATGCACCATCAGCTGGTGTTTCCAATCAGAGCATACAAAGGTGAGTTTGCGAGGCCTATCTTTTGAGGATTTACAAAGCTGACCGACCAGGCCCATCTGCCGATTGGCTGATGATCGAAGAAAGCCCATCTTTTTCTCACCTCCTCCCGGATGGCGGAAATGAGCTCTTGCCGGAAGTGTCGGAAAAGTTGCGGTTTTGGCACGAACAGTGCACCACCAAGTGCGACAACGACATCGAACCTCTAGTACCACCGACAAGACTTCTAGACGTGGGAAGCCTCAAATGCAACAAAATCCGGCTAGTAGAGACTTCTAATCCGATTCCGGATATGAATGCCGATTCGAATTGGATCTACGCGGCTCTGAGCCACTGTTGGGGGAATCCTGAAAAGTTTGAACCACCGATGATGACTACCAAAGAGAACCTGTCACAGCGATGTGAGAACATCTCTTTCCAAGATCTACCCAGGAACTACCGAGATGCCATAATCGTATGTCGGAGTCTTGACATCCAATATCTTTGGGTTGATTCGTTGTGTATCGTCCAAGGCGACAACGCCGACTGGGAAAGAGAGTCGTTGAGGATGGCAGGATACTACGAGCATGCCTATATCACAATGATCCCGTCTGTTGCAAACTCATGTCACGATGGATTTTTGGAACGCAGTAAAGGCATTGTACCCCCAGGAATGGAAATGGCTTTCCAGTCTTCGCAAAATTCCAAGGTCCATGGTTCCTATTTCATTGGTAGTCATGATACGGGGGAGGACCTCGAGTCTTCCCTATTTTATGAAGACACGGCTGAAAGTAGGTGGGGGACTCGCGGCTGGACATTCTGCGAATGGTTATTCTCCAAAAGACGAGTCTATTTTGGCGAGAACGCTATCCACTGGAGCTGCAGAAGGTTTTACTCATCTGAACTTAAAAATATCATGGAAGATGCGGAGGAACATAATCTGGAATCCTTGATTGAAGAACACGACGAAAACTTCCATCCGGATCTCGCCGTGTGGTCCATATGGTACGCTCAGTTCCTCGAGTATTCGTGCCGGAACTTCACCAATGCTCGGGACAGGCTGCCCGCTATATCGCCGCTGGCGAAAGTGGTAGCCGATATGACCGGAGACCAGTATCTGGCCGGCTTATGGAAAAGCAATTTGCATGTTGGACTGCTATGGTACTCAAACCGTTTCGAAGGACGTACGTTTTGCCTCCCCGGACATGAGGATTACATCGCCCCCTCATGGAGTTGGCTTGCTCGGGCTAGGAATGCGGAAATTAGCCAATACGTTGTGACACACTCAATCACCTCTTATCTTAACGTTGTTGACGCGGATACAACACCGGACGGCCTCAATCCTTTTGGCAGAGTCTTGGAAGGTTACATCAAACTCGAAGGGCGCGTCTGCGCCATTTCATCTGAAAGCTTTCGTGAAGCTGCTACAGGAAGAGATACTACGCACAAAGAGATCATGTTGGAAGACAAATTTGTCGCAGAATGTTCATTTGATCAGGATGAATCTGCCGATGATGATCAAAGCGATCATGAAATCTCAATTCTCGAGGAGATGCCAGAGACGTTATACTTGCTAGTGGTCAGAGACGGCTTGTGCCTGAAAGCAGCCATGTCGCGAGCTGGCAGAGATATTTCTGAACAAAACGCCCGCTCCGCAATGTCTGGGCTCATTCTTACTCCAAGCTCCCGAACAGAGGGCGAGTTTTTGCGTATAGGAATCTTCGAATCACCACCAATTGAGAATGGGGGAGCAAATTTCTTCGAGAACTGTAAAACACGCATCATCACTATCATATAATTACTTTCATTGCTAGGAAGCATTCCTTTCGGTGTCTCCAGGCTTGCCTTACTAAATGGTAGACTTTGGTGCCGAGGAGTTCCCTCGCTCACCTACCTTGAGCATGAAGGGAAGTGGACGGCGAGGTGCACCCTGGAACCTCCCGAACAGCGCACCTTTCAGGTACAGTGAGTACATCACACCTGGGTTTTGAAAGACGAGGGACCAACAAAACGCAGTACTACAAAGCGCGAAAATTCGGATCAGTCATCCTCCAGCAACCTATTACTATCATTAATATCCATATCCATCGCAAAGAGGACTGCTTTTTGCCAACAAAACATCCCATCTTCATTCCCGTCGGTCATCTCAGCAGGATCAACACGAAGGCACGGTCACCTTTCTGATCAAGCAGCCGTTTGAGCATCTCTGAAACTTTCAGATACCACATTGTATTCTTTATCCCATTGTATCAAAATTTCTGCTGCTTTTTTGCTTTGTGCGAGCTATAAACAGTGACATTTGCGACTGGAGAGTGTTTTATTACAGATGCACAGCTGGAAGTATTTGATTTCGAAAACACAGTCTGTGTCGATCAAACATCTTTAGCTTCCCTGGAAAGAAGCTTCTGCAGGCCTTTCAAGCAATTCTTTGTCTACGCTAGTGAACATTCATTACGCTCTGGTCTAATACGGTAGTGAACTGGCGCTCATTTAATTAAGTCTCTCATCGTCAACAAACTTTTATACATCTCTTTTTTTTTTTTTCATTCAGATAACTGCGCTTCCATAGATTTTGAACGCCAAGATGGACAGAAGGGCTTCAAAGCATTCACAATCAGTTTAGGCCTTATTTCCTTTTGTATACTTCTCGTCGAGTCATTGATATTAGTTAATAGGCAATTATTGTAGAAGTATACGCCAAATTTTGGTTTACCAAGATTTTCTTATACGACAACTTTCTTGGATCCTTTTTGTTCTGTCCTGTGTCATCCAGGTGCGAACGCCGTAGTACGAGTTGTCAGACTACAGGATTGGCGCAAGGCAGAAACCCGCCTTTCAGGAAATGATCAGCAATGCTTCTACGTCATCAGCACCTCTGTTGCCTACAAACATGAAGTGAACATTGTATCTCGCAGGTATAATAACAACGAGATCCTGCTGATGAGATTCCAGTTTTTATTTCTCCAGCTCAAGTTTCTATTCGTCTTAAGTATTCCAGCCATTAATCTACACCACAAACCCCACCACTATGTCGTCAACAGAGACACCAACCACACCCACACCATCCAACCCCGAGCCGGACACTCAAGTCATAGACGATTTCGTACCACTCCCTCCCCCAGACCAACCAGAAGCCTCTCCATATCTAAAGACCGAGGGCGTCTTCGGGCTCTACGCCTTTTTCCCCGCCTCCGACGCCGAGCTCTTAGCCATCGCACGGGCGTGCCACGCGGGCCTCGTAGCGGATGGCGCCTGGGGCGGTCCCAACGGGCCTACACAGAACGTACTCCGGCCAGCCCCCAAGCCGCTGTGGCTGGGGGAGGAAGAGGCCACGGTCGAGCGGGTCGTCGCGTACCACCGCGACGTGATACTGCGGTCGCCGGGCTGGGGCGGCGCGTTCTTTGATAGAGGGCACATGGTGATAGCGAAGACGCCGGATTGGCGGACCGAGGGCGTGACGATGGTGATGGTGGAGGCCATGTGGCTGCAGGATATCGAGGATGCGGGAGAGGCGTATAAGCGTGGATGGGATGAGTGGACTTTCAGGCCAGGGGCGGTGGGGGAGGTGATCGCGAATCTGCAGATTGGTAATATGTGCTGGAGGGAGTTTACTCAGATGGAGAGCATGCAACCTGAAGGGAAGAAGCCGGACCAGAGAAATAGGAAAAGAATGATTGAAATGTTGGACGAAGGCGAAGAGGACGAGAAGAGGTGGGCAGAGGAGTTGGCCAAGGAATATGAGGAGAGGGATAAGTTGGTCAACCAGTATTGAGAGCGGCTTGAGAGGCCTGATGATTCATAGTTTCTGATTCCTATGCTTACCTGACCCTCCGCGTCATTTCCATAAAAGTTTCAGAAATGATAGTTTTCGCCAAAATGTACATGTTAAAGTTATAGCCTCAGAGTCAAACAAATCTGTGATCTATAGGTAGATATTCAGGCGATTATAATCGGGTGACGCAGTTGTATTGTACTGTTTCTTGCGGCTGAGTTCATTAATTTGTGTGGAGAAAGCTGTACGCGCATGGACCAATCAAAGGGCAACACATCTCGAGTCCACGTGCTCTTCTGGAGCCCGCCACACCGCTAGATAGCTAATCCGTAGAAGCTTTAAGTAGTCCAATCATAACAACGCTCCACGAGATCGGATATTTTTCTTGAGCTTCTCAAGCCTTGCGCGAACCCGCGACCACCACAGATATGCTTGATCCACTTTCAGCTGTCAGCCTTGCTGGCAACATTCTTCAGTTTATCGAGTTTGCTGTAAAGCTTACCCGAGGTGGAATAGAGATCTACAAATCTCCAGACGGTACCCCTCCAGAAATTATCAGCCTTGATGAAATTACTAAGGACCTTCTTCAACTCTCTTCACAACTCGTGGTTCAAGACAACCACTACAGCACCTCAACAGAAGCCCAACCGAAAGATGCAATCAAAGATGATATCAGACTAGCTCGGCTGGCGAAAATATGCCAAGATGTTGCGACGGAGTTGAGTCAGACGCTGGACAGCCTGAAAAGACGTGAAGATTCTCACCACCTCAAATGGGATGCATTTCAGCGTTCGTTGAGACATTTGATGAAGAAGAATCAGATCAAGGAGCTTCAGACCCGTCTTGAGGCTGTGCGCGACGAACTCAACACACGGTTTCTTTTCAAACAGAGGTAAAGATTGGCACCTGCACTCTTGATTAAAGTTTCTGGCTGATGAAAGCCCTAGCGAGGATACCTCAAGACTCTTGAAAGAGCTGGATCGGATTTCAAATGAGAGTGAACGGCTTGGAACGCACATACAAAGCCTTGAGTCCTTGAAGGAAGACATCATCGAGGAGATCAAAGGGATGAGAGAAGTTCGCGATAACCGCGGAAGTAGCCCATCATTCGGTGCCAGAGTTGCTCAGCTGGGAGATGTTGGTACTCTCATTTCGAAGGAGCAGATAATCCTTGGAAGCTTGCATTATCGCACGATCAAGATTCGGTTCGAAAATCTGAGAGAAGCCCATACCCGAACATTCCAGTGGGCATTCAACAGCAACGACGTTCACCTCAGAGAGTGGCTCGAGCAAGAGAGCGGTATTTTTTGGATATCGGGCAAAGCTGGGTCCGGGAAGTCGACTCTCATGAAGCTCCTATGCCAGCATTCTGGAACAGATGCGGCTCTTACTCGATGGGCCAAAACAATGAAACTCATCAAAGCTCACCATTTCTTCTGGTACAGCGGACCCGCGGAACAAAAGACGAGCGAAGGTCTCTTGCGGTCTCTACTCTTCCAGGTACTCAGGGAAGTTCCGAAATTGATTCCGATCGTGTTCCCGCGCCAATGGAAGGAAGTTGGTATTTACTTTCGAGACAAGGTACCTTTCACTCGGGCGCAGCTGGCAGATTCCTTCAAGACTCTTGTGTATCAGGATTCCATCCCTATCAAGATCTGCATCTTTGTGGATGGCTTGGATGAATTTGAGGAATCCGAGGAGAACGGCAGCTTCAAAGATCTCCTCGAACTCTTCAAGTCTTTCTCAACTGCCCCCAATCTCAAAATGTGTCTTGCAACCCGACCCTGGCCATTCGTTCTGGACACTCTGAAAGAGAGCCAAAGAAAGATTTTCATGCAAGATCTCACCAAATCGGACATGAATATTTACGCTCAAGCACAGCTGAGCCAGTATCGGGGGTTTTCCGGTATCATCAACCAGGAGAAATTCACCTCTCAAATTGTTGAAAAGGCCCAGGGGATTTTCTTGTGGGTCTATCTCGTTGTGAGGAGTCTCATGAAAGGTCTGGAAAACGGAGATAGCCCGACGGATCTTGAAAGACGCCTAGAATCTGTTCCAGAGGGACTCGAAAGATTATTCGAAAGGATGCTTCAAAGCGTTGATCCGTTTTACCGATCATCCTCCGCCCGAATGCTTCAAGTTGCCATCCAAAGTAACGAGACCCTGCCACTCCTCGCATACCAGTTTGTGGAAATGGAAAAGGAGGATCCAGACTATGCGGTCACAAAACACATCCAAGAAGTCAACAGACAGAATGTTTTGGTCATTCGCGATGAAATGAGGAAGCGACTGCATGCCCGTACCTCTGATCTTTTCGAAGTCATTAGTGAGGGAACGTACAAAGTATGGCGCACCCCGGCTTTTCTGAACTTCAGAGTGGCTTTCGTCCACCGAACTGTGCGGGAGTTTCTGATCGACTCTGGAGATGTCCAAAAAATGCTTTCGCAGTACGCCCCTGAATTTGACCCTCGGCTGTCTCTTTGCAGACTGCATCTTGCCCTGGTCAAAGCAATTCCCGCGGACGTATTTGCGGATACTTTTTGGTGCGTCCAGCCGATGATCCAGGACTTCTTCGACACCGTTAAGCAAAGAGAAACCGCACAAAATGAGTCCGACGTGGTTCTCTTGGACGAGCTCGATCGCCTTGTCACTGCGCGAAGACATAAGCAGGGTGAGCACGATGAGCAGGGTGGGCAGGGTGGGCACTGGGCTGCAAAGTGGAAAGGTAACGGGAAAGTGAGCAACTTCTTTGACCTTGCTCGAAACCAAGAGCTCAAGTTTTATATCGATTCAAAGGTAAAGGAAAAGCCTGTGTGGAAACGATGGCTTTTTCGACACAGCCAAGGGAAACGACGTCACTTCACTCGGTCAATCTTCAAGCAGAATTGGAGGGGATGATCGCAGCATAGAAAAAGAAGCTATCATTCTATTCACTGTGTCAACATGGGCCATTATTTCCGGGTGGGGAGGGTTCCTAGACCCTTGGTGGAATAAATTTAGTGATAGAACTTTCGGGTCAATTTACATTCTATTGCATGGAATAAGTGCCGCGCAGTTGCGTGGTATTACGTATAAATCTCCAAAAATCCCATTCCCATAATGATGCTGACAGTGGCATATTATTAACGGAAAAATCATTCAACAGTACTTACATACGTGCTGCGGTGGTGCGGAGACTGTCGAGCCTTGGTTCCAGGCAAAACTTGTGCTTTATGTACTCCACTTTGAGAGCAATTGGTTCCTTTTCTCTGTTGAAAATCGGGCCTTCAACAATCTCCATGTCAACATTCAAAGTTTTCTGAACCTGTCTTGGGTCTGTTTGGAGGCTTTACAACTTTTTATGGAGTCTGGTGGCTAAAAACGATATTTCAGGCCTCGACCCGTGTTATCCGCGATGCGAGGTTCCATGGGGGCCAAAATTACCCAGAAAGGAAGCACCCCTGCTCCGAAAGGAAGCCGCCCAGCAGTGCCAAGAAGTCTGTCGAACCACCTTAACCACGTGGCTTGCTAGCGATATCATTTATTTTCTATTAAAAGAACGGAAGCGCTGTCGTGGGCGTTTTTGCAGTATCGTTTGTTTCCACCATGCCTACGCCAAACGCTGAACCTGACACTGAGCGCCTACCAGACTATCATGAATTGACCAGCACCCGACAAGCCGAGCATGCTAGGAACGAACAGTACCGGAAAGATACATTTCAATTACGCACACCAAGAAGCAAACCCTACCTGGCTCTGATCATATTTTGCTACGCAGCCGTTGCACTCTCATCCTGGGTTATCACGTGCAACATCGGTCGTGGGTCTGTATGGAAGGCATGGAAGTACAACAGCCGGTATACTCTTAAGCCATGGCGTGACCCAGCCAAAGGCTCACAACAATTGAGAGCTGCGAAAATCCTGGCCGCAATCGCTGGCGTGCTAACATTGCCCACGGTTGCCTCCGTTTATTCTTATGCTGCCGTTTCTTTTGCTCAGTACCGTACAAAAGGGCAGAAGCTCTCCATCCGGCAAACATTGGCACTTGCGAATCAAGATTGGATGAGTCCACTTATGCTCCTCTTTCTTCTGATACCAACGCAGAACCGCCGACTTGGAAGCCGCTTTTTCTGGCTTGGGTGCTTCCTCACTATCTTAGGTAAAGTTGTTTTTGGATATTGTCGAATTGGAAATACTGACAGAGCTTGAAAAGGTCTCGCCATCTGGCCCGTTCAACAAGCATTTCTTGAGCCACAGTCAACCACCAAAGCTAGATCTCCGCGCCGTGAGCGAGATGGAACCGGGGCCTACGATATCCCTCAATTGTTTTCATACCGAGGCTACAACAATCTGGGTGTCGTTCGCCTTCGTAAGGCAATGGATTCGTTCTCAAGGACAGACTGCAACCCTCACCTTTGGCATGGGGCGTGGAATGATAATTGGTGTGCTGGAAGCCAAACAGACGCCAAATTCTACGATCAGCCAAGTTTTAGCGACTTCTTCCGGGACGACGAATGGAATGATGAATGGAACAACGGTACTGTTTTCATGGCACAGATGCCGTCTGGATTCAACACGGGGTTTGCGCGAGCATGGATTCCTCGCTTCAACACCAGTGTTGACTATGAGCAAATTGGTCAAAGTAGTGTACCGTCTGGGTGCTTTACGAACGATAGTGATGTTGATTTAATCAAACATCGGTACGATTGGGAAGAATCAGAAGTACCCCAGTATCGGAGCCCCCACTATTGGAGCGTGCGGACGTGCATTAGCAGCGAAGCCTTGCATAGTCCACTGAAGAATGAAACCAGGGATCGACAGGATTTCGAAGAGGTGTTCTATCTCAACATCTCTGGGGTAACGGATGCGCTATCCTTTACTCCGGGCACTTGGAAAATCTCTGCCCGGACAAGCGTAGGCTACTTCGAACTTCCCAATTACCACAATGATGGAACTCCGGGCCCGCTCCTTGAGAAATTCACCTTGCCAGAAGACACCTATATATATGAGTTCGTTCCCCATCCCACTTGAGAACGTCTTCACATGCTAACTTGCCACCAGTTATGTGTATCCCGATACAGATGGAAGTGACTGGAACAAGAGCAACTCGTACATACTCGGTCTCGAGGACGTGCCAAACAAAGGGCCGCTCACAACCATCTACACCGCCCTATTCAGCAACAACTCTTTCCTTGACGCCTGGTCGGATCCCTCCTACAGAAACTACGTCTCCAACGCCGTCCAATCCAGATACACGGGCCTGTGCGAGGACGTCCTGCCGATGGGGCCGGTCATCGAGGCCTTCCGCGCGACTTACAACTCCCGGACAACCAACATCTGCCTGAGCATGGACGCATCCAACGTCGAGATGTTCGTAGCCATCTGGCTTGCCAACTTCGCCGACGCCGACGTCATGCGCGCCGCCTTCCGCATGGCCGCCTTCATGGCCAACGAGATCAACTTCCTCGAACCCGCCCCTTATGCCTTGAGCCCCGGCTACACCATCGACATCGACTTGGGTGTCGATGTGACGGCGCCCGTGATGCCGTTGGTGGGCATCATCGTCGGGTCTATCTTGCTGGGGCTGTTCCTCTTGCTGCTGATTGCGTTGGCGCTCTTTGCCGCGTCGACGCCGCATTGGACGGACCGGTTGGATGCGTATGCGGCGCTTAAGATGGGGGCCGCCATGGCGCTGTCCACCGAGGGGCTGGCTAAGGTGGGGATTAGCGGGGAAAATGCCTTGGATAGGGCGCCTGGGTTTGTTGGAGACGCCATGCCGGAGAGTGAGGTTGGTAGGTTGGCTGTTGGTGCTAAGGGTCCGTTGAGAAGGCGGAGATACGAGGCTTCTGTGTGCGGTGTCATTCCGGAATGATTTTCCATGTCTTATGAGGTCTTGTAGCGCTATGTGTCATGTACCGGTTCTGATTGCGCTGTATTTTCATTCGCATTGTAACTTTGATTTACTGATAGAACTTCAAGATATGACTATGATATGTAACACATCAATTGGAGAATAAGATATTTCCTGCTTAATTCCTGTACACAGATCCAAGAAGAAGACGCAAGTTGATGTAGGAGGCCCAGCGCGGCTTTGCATGTTATACCTACCCGACGAAATGCCTCCCTATTTTGGGTTGAACGCAACAATCAACCCTGCAGCCCATCTCAAACGGTCTCAATATGCTCCACGGCACCTTTATCCCTTGGCTCCTTTCTATCTTGCTCCCTGCCGCTTTGACTCATCCTCCGCTTCGGCAAGAATTTCCGCCGCACGGAATCTTGCTCGAAAAGCTCATCCATGAGTTCTAAAGACAGCCCTGCAGGTGTGGCATTAGCGTTGCTCCCACATGAATTTGGAACGGTGTTGTAACTCACCCTTTGTCTCAGGTACGAAGAAGAATGCATAAACCACCATGACAAAGCAGCATCCGCCATAAAAGAAGTACGTGCCGAAGCCGCCCTTACCAAGTGTAGCAAACATGCTGGGGGTCGCCTTCGCTACGACAAAGTTAAACAACCATTGACTTGCTGTTGCCATGCCCATGTTGAGGGCGCGTAGGCGGGCAGCCGGAATTTCCTGTACAATATCAGCCTCATTTGCCTTCATCCATCGAAGAGATCACACTAACCGAACAGTAAGTCCAGACAACAGATCCCCAGCCAAATTGGTACACAGCAGCAAAGATGTATATAGCAACAATAGCGACGTATCCGGGTGCACTGACAGGAGATCCAGCCACCGGCGGATCGAAGCGGATGTAAAAGCCAACATAAAAGAGAGCGAGGCCCTGCGATAAGACAAATAAGAGTCAGCATACACCCATCCTCCAGAGCAACAACAAAACCATACATACCTGCACAACCCCCGTCCAAATCAAACTCCTCCTCCTCCCCAACGTATCCGTCACAAACACGATAAACACCGCACACGCCACCACCTTCACAATCCCATACACCCCCGTCGCTAACAACCCCACACTCGCCCCCCGCAGTCCGACACTCGCGAATATCGTCGGCGAATAGTACGTCATCGCATTCGTCCCCGTCAAGTTACTCCACATCATCAGCGCCACGCACAGCACGCTGCGCCGCCGATAGCTCCTCACCGCCACCGCCTCCTTCAGCAAGCCGAACACCGTCGCGCCGCCGCCGCCAGCAGCGGCCAGCGCGCGCTCTTCTTCCAGCTGCGCGGCGATGCTGGCGAGCTCGTGCTGGACGTACGGGTGGTCGGCGGGCAGGCCGCGCAGCTGGGTGAGGACCCGGAGGGCGCGGGTGGGGGACGTCTGGGCGAGGTGGCGCGGGGATTCGTTGGCGAGGAGCATGCCCACAAAGAGGATGAGGGCGGGCAGGGCTTGCAGGGCGAGGGGAAGGATGTATTGCGTGTGGCCGTGGAGGTGCTGGAGGGAGCCGTAGTTGATCCAGAAGGCGAGCTGTGCGGGGGTGTGGATTAAGGATCAGTTCAGGGGAACATGTTGTGGGGTGGTAGTGGTGGTGCAGGGGGGGCTTGCGTACTGTGAGGCCGGAGACGAGGGTGAGTTGGTAGAGGCCGGTGAGGAGGCCGCGGATGCCGCGAGGTGCGTTTTCGGAGACGTAGAGAGGGTTGACGGTGGAGGCGATGCCGATGGCGATGCCGGCAATGAGACTGGGGATTGATCAGCTTTGATAGTCAGAAATACATGAAGCAATATGCTCAACTTACCGCCCTACATATAGTAACTCTATGTAGCCGCTCGCGCCGGCTTGGAATGCAACACCGATGAAGACGAGTACCGAGGCTACAATGAGTGATGGTCTCCGACCTATCTTATTGGCTAGCCACGTGGAGAATACAGCTCCAGCAAATGCTCCAGCTTGGATGACTGATACAATGTTTGACGATAAGTTTGCCAGGACTGCTTCCGACTTGTCTGTCAGGCCGTATTGCCTACTCATTGTATTAGATCGTGTGCAAGTCTCAACACTGTACTAATGCGGTGCACACTGGCTTCTAGGACTTACCTCTTGAAAGTCTCCATGGTAAGAACTCCACCGATAATGCCCATGTCCATGCCGAAAAGAAGTGCACCTCCACACGCCTACGCAGTGCTGTCAGTGATCGTGCCCTCGTATCGGTCTGCTTCACAAAGTGACCACCTACCGCCAGACTAATCAAAAGCACCCGGGCATTGTAGATTTCCGGTGGATCGGATTGAACTGCTTCATTTCGGACAATCCGCTGAATGAGTCCCATCGCGAGTGAAAAGAACAAGTAAAAGCTAGTGTGATTGTACGGCTGTTTGGCGATAATTTAGCATGTTCCATGCTGAAGACTAAATAACACTCTCGCCACAATCTCCAGTACTCTGTCACTTGCGGCAATAGACGGAATACTTGGCGAAATTATCGCAGCCACAGAGGAACCGCGTGCCAATCTTCAGTCTACCCCGCAAAAGGTTCCTCCGCTTCCCCACATTTCCAAAATCTGGGGAAATGGGGAATCTGCTCCGAGACAGGAAACAGTGGGTTCACTGCTTGAAAGTGGTTCGTGGAGCCTTGTTTATCCATCAATGATAGAGGTCGTAGTGTTGTTCAGTGACGCACACTCCTCGTGAATGGCCGACCCTTCTCCGGCTTAAACGATAGAAATCCTGACTGTTGAATGGAAACCAATTAGAAATAAGATGACTTCCATGATCGATAAAGGCCTCCCAGCATTATAGCCTATCAAGTCATTCGGATGTTATATGTACCAAGTCCATGTGGATTCAAACAGCTCAGATTACAATTCTCAGTATATTCTGCTTGCATATGATTATCATAAGAAGGACGGGTCCCACGAACCCAACGCCGGTAATGAAAAGAGCCCATCAATTGTATCTGTACAATCAAACTGCTGCAATCCAAGACCGTCAAATAACGGCATCTGTACCATCCCCACATTTGGTGTGAAGGCGGAAAGCGTGTCCAGATTTTCATCCGCTTGAGATTGCAACTCCACTTCTGTGCTACCAAGTTGCCTTCCGGATACTTGATCGGTTGGACGGCGGAAGAAGAGACCGCTTAATAGTTTTGCGTATCTCGATGCAATGTGATTTGAATCCGTTGCCGCGGCGGTCAAAAGAGATATAAAGCGGCGCATCAAGGCTACTGTCTGGGCGTATCTCCCTGATGATATGGCTCCTGCTGCATGTGCTTTATAAAGAAATACGGCAGAGTGTATTTCATACCTGGGGTTGTAAGTGGCTTAATACGAAGAAAGGCGCACGGAGAGTACTTACAGGTAATAGCGCTCAGGCATGAATCTCAGATACTTTTCGGGATCAACATCTTCAACCACAATCTTGAGAAGAGTTTCGGCTGCGTCTACCGCTTCATAGATGCCTCGGGCATCCGGACTGGCCATCGCGGACTCAGGGAAACAGAATGTTGTTCTCGCACCTGAATTTCCCTCGCCATTCTGACCCGACGACGATCGGTAGAGGACGGCCTGAAAGGCAAATGCGTGAACGTAGAGGCGGAGGTATTGTTGCATCAACATTAAACAGCATTTCAGGTGCTGAGAGACAGCCAGGTTCCCCCATGCACGCTGCCACGCATCCATAGCATTTGCCGTATCGTCGATATATTTCTTGTAGTCTCCTCTGACCATAAGCTCAGTTGTCCGCTGTTTGGATGGAAAGAGAATGTCATGAGCGTTTCCGAACAAGGTCGTCAACTCAACTTGAGCCTGCAGTACTGAAGCGAAGTCCTCATCGTACGAGCGTTTTGGTTGCAGTGATGGGAAGTCTGCTGCAGTGAACCGTGCCGATAGACTTGGCCCTCTACACCAGAAAGCTTGCCCCATTCGAATGGAGATTTGACGGTCGGAAAGATACGTAACTGAGAACATCAGTAATGGTACTCCGAAATTACAGTGCTTCGTCACTCACACGTCCAAGCAAGTCTCCTCCGCTGAATTGACTCGTCAGTATCTTTATCGCTCTTGAAAGAGGTGTCTTCCAGCCGTAGAAGATATGCCAGTCTGACTGCGAGGCCAATGATTGACCATGCGGCTCCTTCTCCACCATCGTCGGTCTGCGCTTGCTTAAATGGCGTCCATTCACCCAGCAATAAGAGCCCTTCCACGCAACCAACATTTCTGATGTTGGGCATTCCAAGGACTACATCCAGAATGAAGTTCCTCATGTACTTCCATACACTTTTGTGGACATTGGCAAGGTCCGGGCGTTCGCTGGTTGCGACAACGAGGACGGCTGTCAGAAGGAAGGTCTCATTGCGAATTGTGTCGGGAAGACGTCTTGATGATAACACATCGGACGGCACGATGGGAAAGAAAGGGTGATAATGATCGGAATAGCTAAACTTATCAGTAAATGGAAATATAGCATTGAGAAATTTACTGGGGAACTGACTGCCGGAGTAGATGATCTAGTAATTCAGGACTTAATGAGCCATCCTGAACAGGCTGATACCCCGTAGAGTTATTGAGCCGTGTCTCGCAAAGGCTTACGGGTGTCGGCTGATGTACTCTGGAGGATCGCATCTCATTGATTGTTTCTGGAGATCGAGTCTCTTCAGCCTCGTTGTCTTCGGCGGCATGGGCCAGAATCAGCAAAGCATCCGAGGGATTTTGGAGATTGCCATGAACAGGCTCGTCCTGGGGTGAAGGCCCAAGCGAAGGTAGTTCATTGTGGAAGGGTGTTACTGGCGAGGGATTCATCGGTGTTGGTTCCGTCTCTTGCCGGCGTCTCCTCTTGCTTCCATCGCCTCTCAGATGGGCAAAATTGCCGCCCCGCCTTGACCCGGCGAGAACACAATCCGCTCCTTCACGTACGCATTTTGCACAAGGCGGTTTCCCAGTCTCGCCGTAACTTTGCCTGAGAACCAGTCAGTGTCCACTGTGAGTTGGAAAAGATATTAAGACGAACAGGTCACAACGAGTCTTCCTCCCTCGGCACCTGACGCACGCTCTGTATTGTCGTACGCCGGTTCCTCGCGTCATTGTCGGTGTGAAGATGGAAAGCTGCGGGAGCTGTGGCGGAAGAGTGAATGCCAGATGGTGGGGTTGGCTAAGGTCCGGCAAATGGCCGAATCATGATTGGTCTAAATTTCCCGCGGCTACAGTTGGTAGTGGATGGCTGTAGACGGCTATAGACGGGTTGCTCTCAGCTCCGTCAACCGCGCGGGGCAGCCACTGAACAGCTTCACAACTCTGTATGAACCTAACCTATCAGCTTTCAAGGAATATTTTCATCGGCAACTCATCATCTCAAGTGGGTCCCTAAGGCCTCGATAGCCTTATTCCCCGCGTTTTGAGGTAACGGAATATACGTCACTGGCGAGGATGGCGGGGCAATGGAAGCATTTGCGGATCCCGCCACCGCAGTCGTTTCGCGGGAACTGCAATTATAAATGGTGCATTGCCATTACTTAGTGCATGCTCCATCTCACCAGCCTGTCAAAGTGCTTATCGACAATCAATTTGGACCTCCTCACCATGGCGCCTGGTATTCAGTCAGCAACTCTCCCCGACTCGACAACCCTACCACAGAAGAAAGCCGGTCTCAATTCGGAGACCTCAAAGGACCAATATGGCCACTACTATCCTGCGGACCCAGCAACCTTAAATCTGGAATCAAATTTTGGTCCAATGGACCCAGATTCCATCGATTACCTGCAGCCTACCTCCGCAGACACGCCCCTTGAAGTCATGCATGAACGCTTCGAGCGTGACGGATATCTCCACGTAACTCCCCTCCTATACACTACTCACCCAACCGCCATCACCCGGCCTCACTGACTTCCCATACAACAAACAGGTCAAAGGCCTCCTCCCCAAAGACCCCGTCCTCGCCTGCCGCGCCGCCTACTTCACGCACATGTCCCCCTCCGGCCTCCTGCGGCCCGGCACCTCCCCCGTCGACGGCACGTACTCCGGCCTCGACCCGCGCAAATACCTGCCGCCGGGCAACCTGCGGCGGCTGTTCGGCCTGCAAGACGACGCGCAGAGCGACGCCTACGTCTCGCTCATGATCTCCGCGCACGAGGCCGACTTCTACGTGCGCTTCTGCCAGATCCCGGAGCTGCGCGCCTTCGTCGCGCGCTTCACGGGGTGGCGCGATCCGCCGCAGATGCTGCAGCGCACGATGCTGCGCGCCTTCGTGCCCGACAGCGAGCTGACCCCCGTCCACTTCGACCAGATGTACCTGCGCGCGGGCCCGCCGACCAGCTTGACCGCCTGGGTGCCCATCGGCCCCGTGTCGCTCGAGGGCGGCGGGTTGATGTATTTGGAGGGGTCGACGGATATCGGGATGCGGACGGAGGCGGAGTTCGCGGCGAAGGCGGGGAATCTGACGGATGAGGAGAGGGTGAGTGCGTTCAATAAGAATATGAATGACGGTGGGTTTTTGAGTAGGGATACGGTGGAGTACGGGAAGAAGGAGAGGAGGAAGTGGCTGATTGCCGAGTATGAGACGGGCGATGTCATCTTTCATAACCCGTGGATGGTGCATGCGAGTTGCAAGAATAAGGATCCGGATGGTAGGATCAGGCTGGCGACGGATTTGCGGTTTGTGGATCCCGAGAAACCGTACGACAAGGTGAGTGGTACTATCCGTTCAAAAAGCCATTGTTGGTTGTTCTCTAACGTCCTGTAGCGTTGGATGAAGGTCTATCGGCCTTTGGATGGATTGTAGATGAATATTTTCAAGCGATACGGGCAAATAAACTCAGCGTAACTTCAATATTTCTCCCCGCAAATTTGATTGATTCAGATACATGATGACCCAGTGTGGTTCGATACCTCTCACTATCAGCCGGAATAAGTTACTTGGTGAGGCCTATTAAGGAAAGAGCAATTGTGGGTTAAAGTAAGTCCCGCATAATCCTACTGAATCTCGTACGGTGCACGTTGTCGCGAGGACCTCGTGCAGCAGCCTATGTGCTCGCTTAATGGAACAGGCTGAACGGACCGGCGGCACGAGAAGCATCCTACGGGATAGTGCACTAGGAGGAAGAAACACAGCAAGCCCGGTTCGGTTACAGAGAGCCGTGCGAGAATGAAACGTGGTGGGTTGGCATGCCAAGGCCCAAGGCCTCCACCGTAAAGCAAATGGCGATGCGCTGAACCGAAGGGGACAGGAGAACGCATCGGGTCATGAGAGATACTCAGAGAAGGCCTATATAAGTTTGCGATTTCTCAGCTTTCGTATGACTATTAGACAAATCCACCTCTTCGTTCAACGTGTAATCAGCGAAGAAAATGCAGTTCTCCGTCATTCTTCTTGGTCTGTTCACCGCCATTGCCGCGGCCCAGCAGAGCCCCTTTGCTCAATCACAATGCTCGAATACCGGCCGGGCGGGATGTGATCCCAGCAGCGATGGTGTTCAGCGTTGTGTAGCCCTGTGAGCTCTCGCTCCGTTCTCCGCCTCGGCGTTGATCAAGTTCTAACAGCATATGCAGGGACGAGGTCGACCTCTGCGTTGCCGACTGTGACGCTGCGAGCACCTGCGCTTCCGACTGCAAGAGCGCCGGCTACAGCAATGGTTACTGCACTAAGGGGTAAGAATGAGCCATGACCCCCTCTTCCAGGGTATCGGTGAAGGGGAGATGCTGATCGGAAGCCTGTAGCGAACATCCTTGCCTGTGTGCCAACGTTGATGCTAGTGAGAGTGTTTCCAAGAATGGCTGGTGAGAAGGTTGTTCAGAGTCAAGTTTGGTCGGCTCGGATGTAGTTTAGCTGGATTGAATGAGGACTTGTGCATCGTAGGAGGCGATCTTTTTGAATTGTAGTACAACAAGAAGTCCACGTATGCAGTCATTTGGTATTTTGATAAAACTTTCTCAAACCGCCGTGTTTCGACTCGATTGCAGCGAGTATAACCACCATTCGGCCAGTTGCGTGGGTGAGTGCGCCGACTCGGCCGAGAGAGAATCTCCGAGAAGAAAAAAAAAATGGTGAGCGGGCCACCGGCAAAAAATGCAAAACGTACAACAGCCGGGATTCCCCAATGGTCACCCACTTGAGTACTAATCGGCCGGTTCGCAGCTTAAGTACGGCTGAGCGGACGGGAAGCCCTGCATTCTGCGACCTATGGTCGTACATGACAGTTGAAATTGCTAATTGCTTTCATGTCCTCTACTAGTTGACTGACAGTCACCTCGCCGTTCCATGGTAGAGAGATATTCGCTGCACCTGTAGATGCTCAGGCCCCTTCATGTATACCTTTGTGAAACCCGACCACCGATGGGACAAACACCTTTTTGTGATGTCTGTCCACCATCATTGCCAAGTTTTCATTCCCCGGTCGGCTTCGGAGCCTGTGGTTCAGCTCTCCCTGGTATTCATCGTCCCGAGGCTCCTGGGCTGATAATTCATGCCTCCTTCGTTTGACTAGCGGTATAAAATGATCATCGTCATAGTCATCACATCGCGCGAAAGTCGGGAGTTGTCTCTTCCCCGCGCTCACCGACTGGCGACTCACGCACATACCCTCGTTCCCCCCATCGCCCGTTCCGTAAGCAGACGTCTGTGTCGTGTAGCTTGAGTTCAACGAGGGCGTGCCATTCCAAAAACTTTCAGGATCAGAAGAATCATTGTCTTTGATATCTTCTTTTCCCTCCTCCTCCTCCTCCTCCTCCTCTTCGCCTTCTTCATCTTGCACAATTACTTGTTGCTGCTGATCCATCGCACCGGCAGCGGCATTGACGGTGACACCGACTTCAATATGCCCGTTCGGCTGACTGTAAAGAACGCCAGGCTCTCGCTGGTGCTGGTGCTGTGCGATTACCAGGCTTTTCAGCAGATTTCCGCTCTGGCCGAAGATAGCAGCGCCCGCAGCGGCATGTGCGTCCAAGTCAGCTGGCCCGACTACGGTACCGATGGCCGTGCTCGGCACTATCTGGCTCAGGCGCTCGCACTTGCAGCGGAAAGAAGCGGGGGTGGAGCAAGGTCCGAACAGGTTTCCGGGGGTGCTGCAGCCGCTTCCCACGTGCCACTGCAGCTTGGATGACGAGGTTAGGTAGGTGCGGTCGAGTGGGCTGCCTGCCACAGTGTAGAGGTCGGTCAGGGACTTGATGGTGGTGGCGAGGAAGTCTTTGCCCTTGGGGACGGTGCGGTAGCGATGACATAAATGATGTGCTGCTGTTGTCGTTGACGGCAGGATGAGGTCCTCGAACCCGTTGGCGAAGAGGACGAGGGCATCGATGTCCTTGACAAGATTAGTCCATCCGCCGCTGGTCTTGTCAATGTGCCGGCTTTTGAGGCGGAATGGTGAGCGTTCTTCTACTACCGCTTTGAATTCGAAACCGCACAGCGTGTCGCGAAGGGTAGCCTTGGGAATGGCTCCGGGAGAGGTCTCGATTCTCACGCTTTGGTCCAGGAGGTATTCGAGGAGTGACCATATATCGAGAATCATGTTCTTGAGCTGATATCCTTCAGACTTTGAGAGGAGGTTTCCGGCATCTTGCAATAACCTCTCTCGAGCGGAGCATGTGGATGTGTCCTTGGAAAACAGCTTGAAAAGCTCGCCCTCATCATTAGTCGGATCCTCGTAGTGTCGAGTCTGGGCGATATGAAGCATCACAGCCGAGGCAGGGAAAAGCCAAGCTCTTTTCTCAGCCGTATCGTAGAGAACTACTGGCGTTTTCTCGGCAACTGAGATGATTCTCTTGTATGGGCCACCCACTCTCTGGAAATGAAACTTGCCTTCTTTGGCCCCAAGCTTGAAATCGATTTGACCAGCGCCAAATTGCTGAAAACCGACCGCCCCGCCTGTGATACTAAACGCATGGCTAGCATCCTCGGCGCCGGAGTAGTGAATGTTTTCGTAGTTAATCCTCTCACTCCCAAGGAGAATCTCGGTGGCACTACACCAACCGATGATTACCCTTGTTGAATAAAGCGAATCCAAGCCAATCTCCTCGACCAAAGCCCGATTGTTACATTGGCTCATGCTGAGTGCCTCGTAATATGTCAGACGTTTGTCAGGGTCCTTGCCCAGGACCAAGTGCCACTGCACTCTATCCTGTTGTCTCTCGACGGGGAAAGCAATCGAAGAAAATCCTTTGAGGATGAGACCCCCATCATATTCAACCGCGTGGCGAGCTCCTAAAATTGCAGCGAGGATGTCGATAGGTATTTCTAGGCCTATTTCATTCTCTCTTTCCGGTATTGGAAACTTGTGCGCAATCGTGGCGTTGTCGAACAGTGGTAACCAGCATGGGTTCTCGGTGGAATGGAGCGGGCGAGTGGTAAATCTGACGTCGAAACTCGGTACATGTGCCCCCCAGCCGACAGTGGAAGCAATATCAGCTTCGCAGTAAGTCGCCGGGAAGTCGGAACAGCCTTCTCTGAGAGATGCTCCCAGCCAACAGACTTGTTGTGCCAGCTCAATGAGTAGATTCTCTGACCCATGCACATGAAGTTCAAGAACTCCTTTTTGGAAATTGACGGTAAGAAGCGTGTCATCACTGAAAATTATTGAAGAATCCCCCCTTTCCATTGCGATTTGCAGTTGAGGCAGTAGCACGTCATGTGTGTTCGGCCAAAACAAACGAAGATACTCCGCACAGGTTGTTGCGTAAGCATACAGGGCAGAACCACTCAGAGTGACAATTTCCCCCAGAGAGGTTTCGCTTTCGAAGGACTGAGATTTGCAAAATTCTCGCGGATTCCAGTCTGTAGAAAATATGGCATGGTAGAATGGGTCTGATTTGCGGGTTGCTGATCTCCAACTAGCGGCAACGCCGTGCGGAAGTTTCCTTTGAACACATACGCGGCATGGATGCGTCAGCTCCGATCCCTGGATCGTGTTCCGGACCGCTTTTCTGATGCTGCGCATTTTTTCGTGGTCATCGCAGTATAATGAACGCCGCATTGCCCTTGCCAAGTTCTTGAAAGGATCTCCAGACACGAGGAAGTTTTGGACCATGTCGATGTCAAAAATGCCATCCTGGTCATCGATATCATCATCCTCGTCACCAATTTCAAGACGGTCTTGAGAATTAGTAGCCTGTGTTGGCTTGTCGAGTAGATTGAGCCTCTCATAGAGCGACAGTTGATCTTTGAGATTTTGGAGGTGAGACAAAGTTGGCTCAATTGTTCCCAGGACATTCAATCGAAAATAACTCGCTATTTTTGGCCTGTATCTTCGGATCAGGCGGGTAGCATTTCTGATTAATTCAATACTGAGTTGGTTTAGTTCGCCTTGCTCGGCCTTTGCTCTGTATCATTGCAATGTCAGTTACATTTGAATTTCATTTCTTATGATTCAGTTTGAGCGGCGTACCTTTGAGGGAGATATTTTAGTCCCGATGCCGCTGTCTGACCGGAAAGACCAATTGCGTACTCTCTGAGCAAGTCATGAAGACATTTTTCAAGGACTTCTGGTGAGCTGTGAGTGGCGGTGTAAGCAGCCCATGCTTTTGCGCCTGATTCCTCAATGAGAATATTGCCAAAGACGGCAACGAAGTCTTCCAGAAAGTTTTGAGGAAGACCAAGAGAACTTCCTGAGGAGTCGAGGCTGCACACTGACGCTGCATCCGTGCCTTTCCCGGTGTGGTATCCTGAATCTGAGAACGCTGGCTCCCGTTCGATATCGCACGCGTCCTTCGACACTGTCTTGTCTTGAAATGGCTCCAATGCTGTGGCTTCGCGACCAAGTTCAAAGCTTTCACATTCCCCTCCTGGTAACCGTATGGGGTCTTGCTGATCCATCCTGGATCCTCCTTCCTCGCCAACCTCCGTCTCTTGGACATGGTCTTTGTCACCAATGGCCAAGCCATCTTCATCAAATGTAGAGCGGACAAGAGGGAATGAATCACCGTGAATACTGACAACATCATCTTCGACCTGAATGCCTGCAAGAGCGGGGTACTGCTGTAGCAAAGCCGACGGAAGAGAGCGATTGGAGTAAAGAGACGGATTTCCTTGAGTAAACGGGCCAAAGGGAGAAATTTCATCTGCCATGCTCAGAGCCTGTGGGTGAGTACTGGAAGAATTGAGTTGCATCGTCTGCCGATCCCGTTGAGTCGCGGTCGATAGGACCTCTGCCGCCTCTTCGTCGAATAAGGGACGAATGCATACTCTGCCAGCTTCACTATGGAAGTGTCTTCCCAAAGCATCCACTCTGGCAAATCTCCGACCGCAGCCCCAGCCATTGCCATCCTTGAGAACACCTCGGCACACAAATTTTTTTTCTCCAGTGTGAAGACCTTCATGCCTCTTTCGGTCATGTTGTCGAGCAAAGGTTTTACCGCAGATAGAACATACAAAGGGTCTATCATCCGTGTGGGTTCTGAGGTGGCTTCTGAGGTTGTACGCGCGCGTGAACCTCTTTGGGCAAAGAGAACACTGGAAAGTCGCCGGATGCTTTTGTGAGCGCTTCGTACTGTCACCAGAGCCAGTTGATTGTCGGTCGCTCAGGCTGGATCCATTTGGCTTGAGTTCATCCGGCTTGTGTCGATTCGGATCGGCTAGCCCAGGTATATAATCGCGATGCTGGACGCTTGAGGTCGACGAAGGGAGGTGCAACTGGTGATTTACGTGGGGTTGGGAAGATGAGCGCGGAAGAACACCCACCGATGCCTCTTGCTGTGGTGGTGGAGGGAGCATGGAGTTGGGGTGGAATTCCGGCAGAGGCTTTTGAGGTTGGAAATTGGACATATCGTCCGTAGAAAACATTTGTGTTGTGAGCGAAGCTTGTCAGCACCGAACCTTTCGCGCGGTGCTCTGATTAAGAATGAGAAATTCGAAGAGTCTGATGGGATTCACAACCCGTGTCAGACTGGATGATCCTGGGGCCCGTTGGAACAGACGACTAAATAGCTTATTGGTTTTTTGAGAATTTATTGGCCCCCAAGGCTTGGTTGGCAGAGCAGGATACCGGATGAATGTGTCGGCTGCTGATTGGGCTAAGTGACCCATTCAAGTAAATCAAGTCACACGAGCGAGGCGGTGCATGCACATGCTTTACTAGATTTGGCGGGATCGGCTAGGCTGACTGCTGCGCCTCCAAAGGCAACAAAGTGGAGCGTTCAAGGCAGAATTGAGAGAATTCTTACGTGGAGGAGGTCCCTATCGTTAATTTAATCTGGCCAATTTCTTATACAAGAGGGTATTGCAGCCGACGGCTAGCGTGAATTTATTTCGCCCATACCGTGGGCAAAAAAAAAAAATACACGCTAGCCATCGGCTGCGAGAGGGGACTGTAGCCCGAATTGAGATATGACAGATTTTTTAAACTCTTCTCTTTTAAATTATTAATCTCTTTATAGATAAAGAAAAGTAATTCTTTAAAATATATAACTACTATTTTAGTCTAGAAAAGTCGATTAAAAGACGTCTTTAGTCTTTCTCTAATACTTTCTTCCGCTATTAGAATCGTATCTAATTATTATTAGAGCTAGAAAACTTTTTTTTCTAGAACTTCTATCTCTAGATAGATCTTTAACTTACGAGTTATATATTTTAATACTTTAAGCTTTACATTCTCGAGGTCCGCTTAGAGCGAGGCGATTATCTCCTAAAGGAATTATTTCTTAGTATTAGAGCTGGTTAACTAAATCTGTGCCGGCTGGCCCTTCTCCCGTTTAAGAGCCTTGTTCTTCTCTCTGAGCTCGTGCAGCTCTGAACCTCATCTTATACGTTATGAATTCGACCATCTTCATACGACAACCCTATTTGCGGCGATAATCTGATGTTATTTGCTGCAGCGCCACTCAAGTCTGACCTTTTGCAACGCCATTCTATCTGCTGTTGGAAACCATTCAATCTTGCCTGAATACCTCGGCGAAAATCCAGCAGCGTTAACAAACGAAGAACCCCATTGAATTTCAAGACTTCGTGCATCCCAACTCGAAAGACATGTAGAATCAACGGCGCTCGAGACGAGCCCGGAAGTCAACACTGACAATGTTGCCCCAGGTGATATGCATGTCCTGATCAGGGTTCTCCAGCGAAATCTAACAAAGCCCCAATCAGCACACAGAAGAGAGTACATCAAGAGGGAAAAAAAAAGAGCCAGTTCTCACTCACCTTGTACCTGTTAAACAGCGTCGCAGCAATCTTATACGTCTCGAACAAGCCGATATCGCGGCCCAAGCACAACCTCGACCCGAAGCCGAACGGACACAAGAACTTCTCCATCCGCTCGCGCTGCTTCGGGCTGGCCTCGAGCCAGCGCTCCGGGCGGAAGGCGTCGACGTCGTCGCCGAAGGTCGGCTTGTGCCGGTGGATGACCCACGGCAGGCAGCCGACGGCGGTGCCGGCGGGCACGAAGCGGCCGCACACGACGGCGCCGCCCGCCGGAACGATGCGCTCCATCAGGAAGCCCGTCGACGGGTGGATGCGGAACGTCTCCTTGATGCAGGCGTCCAGGTACGGCAGCTGCGTCGACACGACGCCCCACGACGGGATGGTGCCGCTGTGGTCGGGGTAGACGCCGTCGAGTTCTTGCTGCATCTTGGCGAGCGCGGCTGGGTGCTTGAGGAGCTGGAAGACGAGCACGCTCATGGCGGTGCGGCTTGGTGGTGGTGGTGGTGTCAGCGTTTTGGGTTGGTTGGTGGGAGTGCTGAGGAAGGGGGATGCTTACACGGCCTCGGATGCGGGGACGACGACCATGAGACCGAGATCGACGATTTCGTTGCGCGTCACGACGCCGGGGTTCGTCTTGTGGGCGGCGAGGTAGGCGTCGAGGATGTCGTAGTGCTCCGGGTCCTTGCTGGGCTGGACGATCTCCTCGTCGATTCTCTTCTCGGGCAGGTACTTTTTCGCGAAAGCCATGGGAGGCGCGATGAATCCGAAGTACTTGGCCAGAGGGTTCTGATCCAAGAACATCTGGAAGAAGGGCACTTGAGCGAGCTGTGCCGTTGTTAGCGCTGAGCGAACAAAGCTAATGGTGAATTTACCCTGTTGAGGTGGGTTGAGCCACTGCGGACGGATTGGATGATGCCATCAATGTCGAAGCGCTTCTTCAAGAAACCGTAGGGCCTGCTGAAGGCGAAGACACCGCCTGCATCGAAGGTGAAGTATTGAAGGGTGCCAGGCAGGTCGACCGCCTTGTCAGTCTGCTCGTCGAACTGTTGGAGCAAAAGCTTGATCAGGTCGTCAATCTCATCTTCCTTGTGGCCAACGTGGTTGATGCTGAAGCCAGGCTTCACGAGTTCCCGATAGCGGGCGTGCCAGTGAATGTCGCGGGTGGAAAAGATATTCTCCTTTTTCTCGCCCTTGCCGTGCGCCTCGAAGGCCATGTACCACTTGGACTACAAGGGGGTCAGCAAATGCTTCAACTGTGTTGGATAGCTTCTGACCTTTGCCATGTTGGCCTTTGGGCCGTAAATCTCGTCAATGGCATCGGGCGATGCAAAGGAAAGTGCCTTCGGGCCCAAACGCACGACGTCACCGTACTTGTCGTGGAGTTGAACGATGGTCGGACGCTTGTCTCCATTTGTGTACGCCTCTCTCAGACGCCAGAAGTTGGTTGTCGAAGCCCAGAACGGGCCGGGGAAACGGGCCAGACCATTGCCAAATTTGTTGTGAAGAAGAGTAAGTGCTCCAAAGATTAAAACTAACGCTCTGAATGGAGCGAAGGGAATGCTTAGGGCCACACTGACGACGAGTCCGCCGGTCAGGAATTCTGCTGTGGTTTGGCCCATCTTTGCTGGAGGCGTGCCGAATGCTGTGCTGTTTTGCTGATCATCTCCTTGACAATCTTCACATTATAAGATATTACAGTCTGCAATACAAACGATGGAGCTAATGATCATGCCTTGGTGGTGTCATGATTACGGCCCCTCGGTGTTGATGATTCGCATTCCGTTCGGGATCCGACCGCCCGGCGAAAACCCGACGAGGCAACCGCCGGATCGCTACCCGAAGATGAGGTAATGCCGAATATATTGAAGCGTATTGGACAACACGGTCGACTTTTGTGAAAGTCTTAGAACCTACAGAGTTCTCTGGTCGTATCTTTGCACGATCCTACTCTGATCCGACTAAACATGTTGCCACAGTCAGAATCCGAGGACTTCGTGCCTGCACTCGAAGCTCTCTCTAGTCGAATCCGGGAGAACTCCAGCAAACTCAGCTGGTACATTCAATCTCAGGATCATCTCGATGCAAGTCTCTATGGCAATAGAGAAACTCCCAAGCCCCCGCGACACCGAGATGCACAGGGATGGCGTCATCAGCTCAAGCAAGATGCGTTGGATCTGTTCCGGCTGGCAAGCGGTCCGGAAGAGTACATTGTCCACTTATCCATGAATGTATATTTCACTTCCAATTGTAGCCTGCCCAGCTGACAAGGTCTGCAGCATCAGTACACGACGTGCCTTCGATGGCTGAGCCACTTCGGCATTTTCGGCATCATCCCTCACGAGGGCTCCGTTAGCTACCACAACATCTCGGTGGTGGCCAGCGTATCCGAGTCTCACCTCAAGTCCGTCTGCCGGATGGCCATGACCACGGGGCTCCTCTGCGAGCCCCAGCCAGACCGCGTGGCTCACACCGCAACGTCTCTGCTCCTCGCGACGAACCAGGATTTCGCCGCTTGGGGGAGATGCGTCTCGGAGTACATGTACGCCTCCAGCTCGCACCTGCCCCAGGCGAGCGAGAGGTCGTTCCGCGGCGGGAAGCCCGAGCACAGCGCGTACAACGCAGCGTACGGCACCGACGTCACCTTTCCGGACGCGCTGAGACGCAACCCGAAGATCGCGAGGGACTTTGGCGGCTTCTTGCGCGCTACTCAGCGCATTTATGCGAACGACGTGCAGCATGTGCTGGACGGGTTTGATTGGGGCTCCCTGAGTAATGCAAAAGTGGTAGACGTGAGTGCAACACCACACGGGTGGACATGCAAAAGAGACTGATAAGCGGCAGATTGGATCTTCCAGCGCGCAGATGAGCATACGGCTTTGTGAAGCATTCGACCGACTTCAGCTCGTGGTGCACTCCCAAGCACGAAGCTCCGCACAGATCAAGGCGGAGCTCGAGGTCGCGCCTTCGCAGATCGCCTCCAGGATTGCCATCGAGGTCAATGAAGGACCTATGCTGAAGTACGGTCGGGCTGCGGATGTGTTCGTTCTGCGCCACATGCTGCACCATATGCCAGAAGAAGCTGCGGTTGGGCTGTTGGGAGCCTTGGCTGCTTGTTTGAGCCCTGGAGGCACAATTCTCATCGTGGATCTTGTTCTTCCTCAACCAGGAGCTGTGGGAACCTATGAAGAGGGACTGATTAGGACGCGTGATCTCATTCATAAGGAGCTCTCGAATGGAGAGACTCGGTACAGGGAAGACTGGGAGCGTCTTGTTCAGAAAGCTGGGAAGGGACTGAGCATTGCGAAGGTGACTTCGCCAGTTGCCAGCGATCTTTCTTTGCTTGAAGTGAGGGTTGCTTAGTAAACTAGCCAGCGACCTGAATTTCCTCATCTCTAGTAGCATCATATTGAATTGAATTGAATTGTATCTTTCCACTTCACGTCATATCCATGTCGGTGCTTTTGCGTGTTCAAGCATTGATCTCTCATCGAGTATACTCATGGAAGGTGTGCGGATTTGGCATATGCAGATACTAGACTACCACGGTCATCCTCATGAGGTGTGATTGCAATGTGACACGGAACGCCACATTCATTCCAGGCAGACACCACCCCTGCTCCGGTTGAATGCCAAGTTGGAGACCATAATCTCGAAGGAAGCAATCGCGGAGTTACGCCACGGGTCCCGGGGACGGAGCTCTACGCAAGGATTTCAAAAAGCTTTCGTCCACATCTTCAGACCCCACGTCTGGGTGCCTGCGCCACGATCGGGTGCCGAACAGTCCCGCGGGACCCGAGGACTCAGCCCCGGATTGTTCAGCCAACAATCCAACATCTGGATATCGAACAGATTCCGGATTGACCGCAGAGCTGTAGTCCACGACCATTGTCCGTAGGACGTGTCAGGAAAACATTGAGGATTGAGTAGGTTATATTTGATCAACTTGGACACGCACTTTCGACCAGCATCAACCACTTCTCCCAATTTCTCAACCATCTTCACACCATCACATTCACGCAACAATGGCAGCCCCCCAGCCCCGTCAGCTCCTCTGCCTGACCATGCTCGGCTACATGAAGGAAGGTCTCGACGAGGAGGCCCTCTGCGACTTCCAGGTGAACAAGCACGCGCGGCTAGTCAGCGGGCTGATGGAGAAGTACGGCATCGTCCGCTACACCATCGTGAGTGCACCTCCCCCCTCCTCTGCTCACTCCGATCCCTCCGTAACCGGCACCCGCCGCCGCCGCCGCAGACGCACAACTCGAAGAAGACGCGTGCGATGCTGCCCAAGCTCTTCGACCCGCGCTACGTCGAGTACTCGGACCACGACTTCGTCGTGCGCATCATCTTCCCCAGCCTCGAGGCCTTCGAGAAGGTCAAGCAGGACCCCTTCTACATGGAGCGCATCGCCACCGACCACCTCAACTTTGCGGACCGCAACAAGAAGACTCGGTAAGCACGGAGGGAAAACGCCAGGATTGTGGCGAGTAGTGGACTCGCTTGCTAACGGGTGTCAGCATGACGCTTGGATACGTCCACGAGATCATTCACGAGGGCAAGGTTGTCGAGGTGGAGAACCCGGACGCGATTGCTTGCGCGGTGAACAATGCGGAGCTGAATGACAAGGGAACGTTTGAGAAGCAGAATGCAGTTGAGAACGGGGCGTAGAGATAGCGTGTAGTTATCTTTATCTCGGGAGTCTGAATTGATGATTATCACTGATAAACAATTGGCTGGCCGTTGTGAACGCTGCTTGGTGAATCGTTGTAGAGTGCAGAGATGTCCAATGTCATGCATACGACGAGGGGAATTCCCCCACGCGGGAAGATCCGATTCAGCATGATATCTACTTTGAGTTAGAATTGACCAAAAATACCTTCTTTAAGGTGACCAATGAAACACTTGCAAGAGCCATTTTGGCCCCACCAGCCAGCATCCCCACAGTTAGCCAGATCTTTTCTTCGAGTCATCAGGGTCCATTCACATAGGCCACGATCCAGAAAAAGCAATATGCGGGGATGATAGCAGGCGATGGATGCAGTAGCGTATGGCTCAAAGGGGACAATGGTTACATCCTGCGGGGGCCGAGTATGCACGACGCCACGGCAAGGTGCTGTTGGGAGGTGTGGAGCTTAGCACCGGAAGCGGCTTGCGGCAGGATTCCAACAGGGGCATTGCTTATGGCTTTTTTCTCTTGGGCGTGACGGACACAGGTGTTTCGTTTATCTCGTGAGGAACAAAGAAAGGACTTGCACCATTTCCACATGCGTTCCGTTTATCTTACGAGGAACAAAGAAAGATTTGCGTCACTTGCCCATTTCTTTGTTTAGAGCATCTATAGTAGAGCATCTATGATAGCGAAAGACACAGCCATCAAACCTCAGCGAAGGCGCCCGGGAAGCGCCTGAAGTTCTCCTCGAGGTTGCCCTTGGCACGGCAGAACTGGACGTAGGCGCCGTCGCGCAGCAGCTTGCCCTCGCCGCGCAGGGCCACGTACTCGTCGCGCTTGAGCGGGGTGAAGCCCCAGTTCTTGCTGATGACGATCTTCTGGCTGCCGGGGAACTTGTACATGGAGCGGCGCAGGGCCTCGACGGCGGTGGCGCGGTGGCGGTCGACGGTGCGCACCGAGATGAGGATCTGGCCGATGTTGACGCGCGCCGCCAGCCCCGTCGGCTTGCCCCAGGCCCCGCGCATGCCCTGCTGCAGCCGGTCCGCGCCCGCCATGGACAGCATCTTGTTGACGCGCAGCACGTGGTAGGGGTGCGCGCGGACGCGCAGGTGGAAGTTCTCCTTGCCCGCCGTCTTGACCAGGTACCTGGGGGGAGGAACTATCAATAAAAGAAAAACAGACGAATGGGAAGTCGAGTGGTAGACTGACTTGTTGGCGCAGATGCGGGCGGCTTCCAGGGCCTCGGAGCTCAGCTGTTCGTGCTCATTGGACACCATGTGGACGCAGGTGGGAAACTCGTCGACATTGCCACGTTTGCGTCCCATGTCGAAGATACGGATCTTAGGGTCCGGAACGCCACGATTAAATCTAGACTTGGGGAACGGCTGGAGAAGTAAGCGCTGGGTTAGGCGAGGCTTGGAGAAGGATTTCTGACCTTATTCTTGCAGTAGCGATAGCATCTAGCGGGGCGGCGAGCCATTGTGTAGGCGAGGACGCGTGTTGCGCGGTGTGAAGAGCGAGATAGAGAGTTGGCGAAAGGAATCATTTGTAGGAACAAATACAAGCTGGTTGCTGACCAACCACAAAGGCCGAAAGGCCAAGCGTCAGCTTGCATGCATTTGGCCGTCAGCTGCATCCCAAAAGAAAAGGGCTTCGGCGGCTGTCGGACGCCGAGAATGCTTTCAAAGTCTCAGACAATCCCTGCGAGAACGCCCACGGGGAGTCTTCGCCGGAAGCGAATGCGAGAGAGACTCCACATCAGGAAGGTAAGGGATTAGGCAACACCGCGGAAGGATTGCACTGGACCCTGCGCCTCATTGAAACAACAAGCATTCGGCACAAACCTTGCCTCGTTTCGCAGCTTATCAAAAGCGTAGACATCTAAAACGGCGCTTGTGCGTGACTGTACAGCACCCATACATCGCAGCGCCATGTCCGGTACCACGTCCTCCGAGAAGCTACGCTCAACATGCGACAACTGCGCCTTATCCAAGGTGCGCTGCAACAAGAAGAAGCCCGTCTGCCAGCGATGTGAGGCACAGGACCTCGAGTGCGTCTACGGCCGCTCGCAGCGCAGAGGCAAGCCGCGCGCTGCACAGCACCATCACCACCAGCAGCAGCAGCGCCAGCAGCAGCAGCGGGACCAGCCGCTGCACTCGCCCTACAGCTGGTGCAGCACCGACCCCTTCGATGTCATGAACACCTTCCCCGACCTCCGCACCACCCTGCCCGACGCCGCCATGTTCGACCCCACCAGCATGTGGCCCGAATACAGCCCGCCCTACCCCGGCCTCGACCTCGACAGCAGCAGCACCGACGACGTGCGCACCGTCAATTCAGAGCCCGCCGGAAAAGACGTCTCGCCAATGCCCGACGTCCAGCCGACCACCACCACCAGCAACTCGTCCGTCCTGCTCAGCTTCGCCGCGCTGGACAAGCCGTGCACCGGCAACACGTGCACCAGCACCGTCTTCTGCACGCTGGGCACCCTGTGCCACATGGGCGCGGCCTCGGTGGGCGGGATCCCGCAGCAGCAGCAGCAGCAGCGTGGAGACGTCGTCGACAGTACCACCACCTGCAGGATCTCCAGCGACCTGATCCTCAAGACGAACCGCATGGCCATCCAGCGGCTGCAGCAGCTGCTGGCCGGCGACTGCGCGGCCTGCGCGCGCGACGTCAACCTCGGCCTGCTGCTGTGCGCGGCCGTCTCCAAGATCATGGAGTGGTACCGCGCCGTGCTGCACGGGCTGGCGGCCGGCGGCGGCCCGGTGTCGTCGTCGACGGCCGTGGTCCGCAATATCCACGGCGCCGTCGCCATGACGCCCATCACCATGGGCGACTTCCAGCTCGACCTCGCCGCCGAGACGCGCATGAAGGCCCAGCTGCTGCTGTGCGAGCTGCAGAACGTCGGCCCGCTGGTCGACGCCCTGGCGCTGCGGAACGCCGGCGGCGGCGGCAGGCAGGAACGGGGGACCGCTGGCGGTGCTTACGCCGCCTTGGACGGCCACTTGCGAGCCGCGCTGGGTGAGCTGACGGCCGAGATCGACGGGCTGGTCGTGTCGTCGTCGTCGGCGTCGGCGTCGTCGGCGGCCTCGTCTTCGTAGTAGAAAAAAAAGAAAGGCACGGGCTGCGCTGGGCGCAGGCGGCAATCCTTCAGAAGCGTCTTCTCTCTTTTGCGATAACGGGGCCCCCTCCAATAAACGGCGTGGGCGTGTGGCGTATTTGGGCTGGGATGCGTGTTGGTAGATTTTTCCAGGCGAATAATAGACCTTAAGCTATTAGAGGACAGGAACACGGAGAGTTACCGAAAATGGTGGATGCCTGGTCAGTGATCAGTGAGACGCAAGAAAGGAGAAATGGTACATACGAGATGCCGTGGGGGCTGATGACCAACTCAGCCCGCGTATGTAGCATCAATTTAGCCGAATTGCGGGGGATGCACAGTAGATCTTTTTCCAAAAGGCAGACCGAAAATCCCGGTCGGTGTCCGAAAGATCCCCCAAACGACCAGAAGGCACGCCCTTGGATCCTTCGGTTTTCTTACCATCGTGACTTTCGCCCCATGCTGCCATTTATGAAGCGGAAGTCTCCATGTCTTTCTTTCCCGGGTTTATTAACGGGCTTTGCTATTACCCCCCCACACGACCACGACCACGACTAAGCGGCATAGAAGCGAGAGAGGGGGAAAAAGCAAAAAAAAAAAAAAACCATGGAAGTTCCACGAATCGCCTGCTTCCACGGCGGCGGGTCCAACAGCGCCGTCTTCGCCGCGCAGTGCAAGCGCCTCGCGCACGCGCTCGCCGGCACCTACGACCTCGTCTTCTTCGACGCGCCCTATGAGCGTGCCGCCGGCCCGGGCGTGCTGCCGCACTTCGCCGACCTCGCCCCTTTCCGCACGTGGATGCAGCCTCCTGCTGGCATCGATACCACAGCCCGCGCGCGATCAGACGACGAGGACGAGGAAGAGCTGGGCCTCGTCCGCGTGCTGAAGCTCATGCACGCCGACACGCTGCGCCGCAGAAGGGCGGCCCGGGCGAGAGGCGATGCCGCCGCGACAGAGCCGGGCCGCTGGGTCGCTGCCATGGGCTTCAGCCAGGGCACGCGCGTCGTCGGCGGGCTGCTGCGCAGGCAGCAGCGGCGGCGGCGGGCGCAACATCTGGATGATCCGTTCGGCGTCGAGCTCGAGTTTGGCATCCTCTGCATGGGCAGCGCCAGTCCGATGGGGTGGTTCGACGAGGCCGAGACGTCGTCGACGTTGTCGGCCTGCATTGGTATGTGTTTATTTTGATTCGCGTTACCCCTCCTCTCTCTCTATGGGATTTTTTTTCCCCTCGCTGACTGGATCATCTTCTCTGCTCTTTCCAGCTCTTGATACTGATAAGGCTGCTCCGGTGCTTCCAATCGGCGGCCAATTGGTCGTCGAGGACAACGACGTCATCGCGATTCCTACGCTGCATCTCCACGGTCTGAGGGATCCGATTCTGCCGAAGAGTAGAGATCAGCTCGCGGCGTACTACGATCTCGGTGCTTCACACTTACTGGAAATCAATTACCACCACGCGATGCCTTGGTATACGCAGGACTTGATGGATTTCGTGCTCATGATCAAGAGTACGCACAAGCGTGCGAGGATGGCGGTCTGAGGTCTTCTTTTTTCTTTTTTTTTGTTTTTCTCTTTCTCTGGGAATGGAATAGATATATGGCAATAGTTCAGAAGGCTACACAATGATTTGGTTCAAGTTCATGTGCACTCTGTCGTTGAACCGTCGGGGTTGAAGTTGGTGAGTGGCAGCAGTGTTGCGGGTTTTGTTTGTAATCTCGGGATCAGCGGCCTGCTGACAAATTCCAGATCGAAGATGAGCGCACAAGACAGCAGGCCCGATGATGAAAGTGGGCTAGCGTAAAACCTATGATTCTTGGATGATTGATTAACTTTGGCATAATAATTGCAACTCTCAAACCCATCAAGCATGCTTGTGACTGATTCAACATCACCGTGTCATACAGCAAGGCCAGAACTTCATTGGAGAAAAAGATCAAACATGGATACACAAATGCCTTGCTTCGGCCCGGTGGTATCTACCGGGAATGAATGCCGCTTCACATTCACGGCCCCATGTCCGCCGGGACCCAGCAAAGTAACAATGGGCTGCCCCGGAGCAATTGCTTCTCTACTTAAGGCATTAACTGGCGGAAGGAGAGACTGAAACAAAATGTTCATGGTCCCGCATATCAAAGTGACATAACCATATCTGTGTGCCTAAGTAAGGCGGTGTGCACATCAGAGAACAGCAGCGCGTTGCAGGGCATGTGGAGGTCTCTCACGCAACCAGACCAATCAAGTGCCGAACCCGGCAACCTGATCTACGCTGACCCGAAGATGACAGTGGGATATTTCTCAAGAGAAAATTGTAGGGTTCCGCAACCTTTCGCTTCCTAAGTGTAGAGTAATAGCAGACATGATTTAGCTTGCAAACCTCATGATCAAGATCTTCTTTTCTCCGAGGTTGAGCTAGAGGATAAAACTGAAAGATATTTCATGCATGAATAGCAGCAATAGCATACAGGTGATAAGACGGTAAATTGAGTCTCATTATGTTCTCACACATGTAAGCTCCGTCACTCATTCCCTACATTCAACACAAAGCAGTATCGTTGATGAACGGCTCAATTTCTAATTAAGGAACAACGAAACGATAAAAACCCATAGCGTAGGCCTCTATTGCAACAAACCCAATCCACAAAACGCCCTCACAACCCATAAGAAAACAAGGAAAGCACAGCAAGAAACCGCAGAAAAAGCACACACACACACACACCCCTCGCACGTACGTACGCCCCCCCCATTCCCAAGCCCGCTCACCCAATCAGCGCGATCTCGATAAACTCGCTCAACCGCTTCGCATGCTCGCCCTTCATCATGCTGAAATGATTCGCGCCGGTCGCGCGGAACACCTCGAAGCAGTCCTCGGGCAACAGCGTCTCCCAGCCACACGTCCCGAAATCGGTACGACGCTCCGTCAAGAACTTCAGGCCCTCCGGGTCCTCGGGCCTGCGCTCGAAGCGCGGCTGGACGTGCTCGTCGATGGCGTCGCACGCCCAGACGATGCTCGTCTTCGGCACCTCAGTACTCCCCCCCTCGACGTCGAACGGCACGGCGTGGTGCTCGTGCAAGCTCCGCACGCACGCCTCGAAGTGCGGCACCAGCCACGGCGGCGGCGGGCGCTTGACGCCGTTCGGCCCCTCGCCGAGGAGGCCGACGGCGTCGCAGTACTCGTAGTAGCGCGTCGGCAGCAGGTCGAGGCCGCGCGGCACGGGGCAGTCGATGAGCACCAAATCAGCAACGACTTCACCCGCGGATGCCAGGCGCTGGGCGACGTCGTACGCGAAGATGCCGCCGACGGACCAGCCGCCCAGGCTGTAGGGCCCGCGCGGCTGCCGCCGCCGGATCTCGGCGATGTAGGCCGAGGTGATGGGGTCGATGCCGCACGTGTAGCGGTCCGGGCGCTTCATGTACGGGCAGTTCAGGCCGACGACGGCGACGGACGGGTGGATGCGCGGGAGCGAGGCGTACGAGGACGACGAGCCCGCGCCGTCGGGGAGGAGGAAGAGCGTTTTGAGCGTGCCTGGCGCGGCTGGGTTGCCTTGGAGGAGGAGAGAGGTTGCGGGCTCGATGGCAGCGGGTGTGGGCTGCTCGGGGACGACTTCGAATGAGGATTCGGAGGCGGCGGAGGAGGAGGAGGAGGAGGACTCGACCGGGTCGTCGTGGAACATGGAGTGCAGGATGGCGTCGCGGCCGCCGGGCACGGCGCCGGGGGCGGCGGGCTGCTGGGAGGTGCCGTTGGTCCAGAAGGTGCGCAGCTCCTTGACGGTGGGGCAGTCGGCGAAGATGGTGGACTCGTAGTCGAGGCCCAGCTCCTCGCGGAAGCGGCTGGCGCAGAGCAGGGAGAGGAGCGAGTCGACGCCCAGGTCCGCGAACGACGTCTCGTCGGTCAGGTCGGCGACGGGCACGCCGCTCTCCTCGCCGATGATGCGCAGCGCCTCGGACCACGATGCAGTACCACCACTGCTGCCCTCGGACTGGGTGGTGGTGGCTGTGGGCTCCTCGACGCTGATCTCCACTCTGGTGGCGCCGGCGTGGACGGAGGCGACGGGCAAGGCGGTAGTACGCTGCTCGGTCAGCTGCTTGGTGCCGCCGCGAGGAGGTCCGGCCTTGGTGTCGTCTCGCATGTGCACGATGTAGTCCATCAGACGACGAGGGACGCCCTGGGCCTTGATGCCCTTGAAGGCCGCGACGACCTCAGTCCCCTCGAACACGATCATGTCGCCGCTGTACATGCCGTCCTCCTTGGGCCCGCTCATCTTGACGTACGACACGTACGCCTTGTCCATCGAGACGGGCTTGTAGAAGTGCAGCGAGCTCCAGCCGTGGTTGACGAAGACCTCCTTGTCCAAGTCGGCCTCGTCGTTGGCGTTCATGACGAACAGCGCCGGCTGCCCGAAGTTGTCGATCAGGTGCGGGTTGACGAAGTAGGCGCCCTTGTGCTCGCCCTTCCCGAACCTGACCTTGGCCGTGGCCTCGAGGGCGGCGCTGTCCAGCACCACCTCCTCGACGCCCTTGAAGTCGTCGTCGTACGACGCCAGCGACGACACGAGCTTGTAGCCCGAGTTGCCGTTGAGCTTCTGCACGCGCGGGCTGGACTCGATGCTGCGGCGCAGGCCGTCGATGCGCTGCAGGATGGCCGGGGCGGCGTCCTGCTGCTCGCGCAGGGCGGCGTCGGCGTCGACGAAGGCGATTTGGCACTCGGCGTGCTTGGTCAGCTTCTTGCCGTCGGGCGTGACGCTGTAGAACTCGCAGGCGCCGCGGCCGGTGGCCCAGTCGACGTCGACGCGGCAGCGCAGCAGCTGCACGCCGCTGCCCTTGCTCTTGGCCACCAGCGGCCGCTGCACGTCCATGTGCTGCACGTCGACCAGCGCCGCCGCCCACTCGGGCTTCTTCCGGGCCAGGTGGTCGCCCATGGTGAGGGCCATGTCGGCGTAGACGCTGGGCGTGCACAGGGCGACGCCGTTGACGCGGTGGCCGCGCACCATGGGGTCGAGGTCCTCGCGGAGGAGGTCCGACTCGGCGATTAGCGTGGCCTTGGTCCCGTCGCTCGTGTCTTCGACGACCTTTTGGACGGATGTGGTCGACAGCGGCTGGGTGCCGGCGCCGGAGAGGAAGAGGGCGTCGCCCTTGTACAGCGACCAGTCGTTGACGTACTGCATCCAGTAGTTCTTCAGGTCCCACTTGTACGCCGGCAGGCGGCAGACCGAGACGGAGCTGTTGAAGTCGCGGTGGAACTCGTTCCAGTTGACGGCGGCGCCGGCGTCGTACAGAGAAGACAGGCTGCTGCTCAGAACCTTCCAGGTGTCCTTGTTGCGCTGCAGGGTGGGCAGAGCAGTGATGGAGCCCATGTTGGAGCGGAGCAATCCCGAGAGCACCGGATGCGGGCCCACCTCGACCCAGATGGTGTCGTTGGAGACGAGTGACGCTTTGGCCTTGGCCATGGCATCGACGAAGTTGACCGTCTCGCGACAGTGGCGGGACAGGTACTTGGCTCCGAAATGGCCGGCCTCAGTGACGACTTCTCCCAGCAAGGGGCTGATGACAGGCACCCGCGGCGCGTGAAACTCGACACTGCCGGCAATCTTTTCAAACTCGGGCAGGATGGGCTCGACCTGGGAAGAGTGGAAGGCGAAGGGCACGCGGAGCCTGGTGAGTCTGAATCCCGTCGTCGAGAGCGCCTCCTGCATCTTTTCGATGTTCGCGCTGGTGCCGCTGAAAACGACCTCACGAGGACCGTTGTTGCAGGCAACCTCATACTCGCATCCTCCAAGGTCGTTGTTGAGGACGTCTTCCATGGAAGCTCCCACAGCAAGCATGGCATGCGTGTTCTGGGTGCACTTCTGCTGGAGCAGGGTCGCGCGCGTGCCGGTCAGCATGATGGTGTCGGCGTCAGACAGCACGCCGGCGACGTTGAGGGCGGCGTACTCGCCCAAGCTGTGGCCGACGACGGCGGCAGGCTGCAGGCCCCACGACCGCCACAGGCGCGCCATGGCCATCTGGATGCACGTCGAGGCCAGCTGGACGGTGGCGGCGGGCAGCTCGGCGATGTCGCCGCCCTCGGCCCTGACCAGCGGGAGGATGCGCTCGAAGCCGAGCTTCTGGCACAGGACGTCGAGCCTCTCCAGGTCCCTGCGGAAGGACTGGAAGCGCAGCAGCTCCCGTCCCATGCCGGGGTACTGGCTGCCCTGGCCGGTGAAGGCGAAGGCGACCGACGGGCTGCGCTTCTGCGCCGCGACGCCCTCGACGGCGACCAGCTTCCGCTCGAGCTGGGTGCAGATGTCGGCGAGCTCAGAGCCGTGGGCGACGATGCGGAAGGGATGGTGCAGGCGGCGAGCGGTGGTGGTGTAGCCAAGGCTGGCCAGGTCTGGCTTGGCCTCCTGGATGAAGTCGAGCAAAGCCCTGGCGTTGGCTGCCAGCGCCGTCTTGGACTTGGCCGAGATGGCGACGACGTGCGAGGATCGAGGATCGCTGCCCAGGCCTGGCTTTGCTACGACGGGAGCATCTTCGACGAGGACAGAGCTGTTGCCTCCAGCGGCCGAGAAGTTGTTGATGAGTGCGCGGCGAGGCTTGTCGGCGGGTCTGGGCCATGGCGTCGGCTGGGTTGCAATGTGCACGTTGCGCTCCTTCAAGTCTGTGGGGAACTTGGAGTTGATCTTTGTCTTGATTCCAACATGCGGCGGGATGAGATTCTGCTCCAGCATCATCAGCACCTTGACGAGCGCAATGACGCCCGAGACAGACTCTCCGTGGCCGACGTTCGCCTTCGCGGATCCAATGTGCAGCGGCTCGCTGCGCGCCTTGTTGGTGTCGGCAAAGGTGGCCAGGACGGACTCCATCTCGCGGGCATCGCCGGCCTGGGTGCCTGTGCCGTGCATCTCGACGTAGCCGATGCTGTCGGCGTCAGCGCCCGCCGACGTCAGCACCTTCTCGAAGATGGCGCGCTGGGCGCCGACGTGCGGGCGCGTGATGCTCTCGGCCTCGGCCGAGTGGTTGGTGTAGGCGCCCAGGATCATGGCGACGATGGGGTCGTTGTCGGCCACGGCGTCCTCGTAGCGCTTGACCACCAGCGTGACGACGCCCTCGCCGCGGCAGTAGCCGTCGGCATCGTCGTCGAACGTCTTGCAGTTGCCGGTGCGCGACAGGAAGTGGCCGCGGTCCAGGCCGGCGGTGATGTCCGGGTTGGTGGTGACGTTGGTGCCGCCTGCGATGGCCGTGTCGATGTCGCCGCGCCAGAGGGCGTTGCACGCCACGTGCAGCGCCGCCAGGCTGGACGAGCACGCCGTGTCGACGCTGTAGCTGGGCCCGCTGAACTTGAAGTAGTAGTTCTGCCGCCCCGGGATGAAGGCGCGGCACGACCCCGGGATGTAGTACGTGTCGATGTTCTGCGAGCTGTTGGTCTCGCCCCAGTCGTTGCTAGTCGTGCCGTAGAAGACGCCGACACGGTCGCGCTGCGTCGACGGTGTGGCGTCGGGAACCATGCCCGCCTTCTCGAGCGCCTCGTAGGCAGTGAGCAGCGAGAGGCGCTGCGCCGGATCGACCTGCGGTGCCTCGCGGGGGCTCATGTTGAAGAAGCGGGCGTCAAAGAGGCCAGGGTCCTCGAGCCAGCATCCGAATGGCGTTGCGCTGGTGTTCTTCTTCTTGCCCGTGGCATCGACGTGCGTGTTGATATCCCACCTTGTCTTGGGCGCTTTGGACGCAACGTCGCGTCCCTCGTGAAGCAGGTTCCAGAAAGCCTCGTTGCTTTGAGCTCCGGGGTATCGGCCTGAATAGCCGATGATGGCCAGCTTTGACTGCCCCATGTTGCCCTCGATCGGCTCCGAGCTGCCAGAGCGGTTCATGATGGAGTTGTCGACCCTGACATCAACTATGCCCGCCTTCTTCAACTCGGTCGACAGCGCTTGAGCTGCCAACGTAGCGACGGGAAGAACGTCACATCTTGCGATAGAAGCGCCCGTCAGGTGCGAGGCCAGGCCCTTGCTGATCTTGTCAAGCCGGAGAGGGGTGATGAGGATCTCCGAGACAGCAATCTTGAGGAGGGAGTCGAGTGTGCTGTCAGTGTAGACTTCGGACGTGCTGGCTGAGAACAAGGGAATGCGCGATTTCTGCCCCATGCTTTCCTTGTCGACCGCACCAAGGATCTTGTCCACATCCTCGACATCGTAAAGGTGTCGAGCATGGTAAGGTCCATGGACTCGGAGTTTGATCGAACTGCTCTTGGGGAGCTTCTTCGACTTGATGAGCTGGTCAAGAACATCCGGAGGTCCGCTGATCGTTGCTCCAGTGTCGGCATACGCGCTGACATACGGTTGGTTGAGAGAAGAAAGGCCCTGTTCCGACGTAAGCAAAAGCCTGACTAAAAACAGATGGCACTTACCATGTCGCGACTAAACTCATCCAGGTATGGTGCCGCTGCAGTTCCCGAGAGGCCGGGAATCATGATAGACCAGGACCTATCTGGCTGACCCATGTCAATGCGGTCACGTACATCGGCGACCACGAGGCCGGTACGGAAAGCCAAGACCACCGTCTGCACTGCTACCGGGATCAATTCGGTCAAGGACTGTGTGCAGCTCACGGCTGCACCAGTGAGAAGGCCAGTGCAAAGACCGACGATGCGTGTTGATGATGCATCGGGGTACGAAGTCCCCGGTTGTGCACAGTGGCTGCTAAATTAGAAAACTAACGCTTTGAGTCATGGTGGTTTGGACATACCTGATGAAGCTTGCGAATTGATGCACACACGTAAGCGCCTTCTCCAGTGCGTGGTGCCGGATCTTGGCGTTGTTGAGCCGGGTGAGGAGCTCGACGAATGTGGTGAACTTGACAAAGCCATCCCTGTCAGAAAACGGAAGCTTCCCAATCTCGGCACGAAGTGCAAAGGTGACACGCTCGAAGAAGCTTGTCAGGACCGGGTTGTCTTTCCGGGCAACTAGCGAGCGGAGCCCTGCATGGTAGTCGCAGGTAACGTCCCCGAACAGGAGAACTTGGATGTTGTGTGCCATCGTGAAGTGAAGATGATATGAATGTGATGCTCAATTCTCGTCCAAGATTACTTGTCTAATATACTCTTTCCATCTCATTGCAAGCGAGAGTCTCTGTGGCGCTGCGCCCACCATATCCAACAGTGTTGAATTCCTTCAATTTTCGGTTACCGCCGTGGCAGAACAGCAGTCGGTGCGAGAGTTCGAAGTTTCTCCCAGGCAGTTGCTTGTGGTGGTAGTCCAATACCGTGCACCGTGTCGGTGACACTCGGCGTTGCACGGGATGCGAGCAGGCGGGAGCTTGTTGATCTCCCGCTAAGTCCCTGGCTTGCGACTCCAGTCCATCTGACCCGGCTGGCTGGTTTGTATTACCCGATGGACCCGATTGATTTGTGTTGCAGGCACAGTGCCACGCAACCCGACCGGCCAATCAGGAGACCGCTTCGGAGTCCGAAACGCTCGATGGGGTATCGGCCCCCAAGGATTTCCAACACTGCTGAATAACATGGTGGAACAGCTCTCAGCATCTTAGTTAGGTTTTCTGTGCCGTTGATAGCCTTCTTAATGGAGCTCTCTGAACGAATGCAATGCCTTTTTGTTGTGTGGCTCTCTTCCTCTCTTTGCAGCGGGCATTCTCCATCACTTTCCCTCCAAAATCACTCACTGCCAGACCCGCAATCCCAATGGCAACGAGGTCTTCCAACTCCACCATTGAGACGGATGATGCCGTCAAAAAAGACGCAAATGCCGTTGACAGCCGCGTGGCGCTCGACGCGGAGAAGGGTCCTCAGCTGGCTGCCCCAGTCAACCCGTGGGATCCAAGCGCTTTCCCCGACGGAGGAGCCGAGGCTTGGCTTGCCGTGCTGGGCTGCTTCTGTGCCCTTTTCGTGTCCTTCGGTTGGATTGGTGCCATTGGTGTATTCCAAGAATACTACCAATTGAACCAATTGAAGGAGTACACTCCAAGTCAGGTATCATGGATTCCCTCCATCGAAGCCTGCTTTATGTTTCTCGGAGGCTCGTGGGTCGGGCGCATCCAGGATCTCTATGGTCCTCGCTACCTCATCCCTGTTGGGACGTAAGTCTGACCCTGACTGAGAAGAAAAGACAGAAGCTCACATTCACTGCAGCTTCCTGCACGTCTTTGGGCTCATGATGGCATCTTTGTCCACCGAATACTACCAATTCGTACTGTCTCAAGCCATCTGTAGCTCCATCGGCGCATCCATGGTCTTCTACCCGAGCTTTGCCTGTCTCGCAACTTGGTTCTTCAAGAAGCGTGCAGCTGCCTTCGGACTCGCTGCTTGCGGATCTAGCCTAGGCGGCGTTTTGTTTCCCATAATCGTACTCCGCCTCGTGGATGAGATCGGTTATGCTTGGACCATGAGGACCTGCGCTTTCCTGATCCTGGGACTGCTGAGCATCTCGTGCTTTACCATCAAATCACGCATCCCGCCACACAAGACGCCAGTGAGGCTTATGGACTTCGTCAAGCCTCTTGGAGAGTGAGTTCCCACTGGAAACAGATGCCTGAAAATTAATTACTCATCAACTGTTCACAGGCTGCCTTTCTTCCTCCTTACATTGGTATGATGTCTCCAGTCGAACTAGCTCTGACTCTTTACTAACAGCAATCAGTCGATGTTCCTGATGTTCATCGGGCTCTTCGTTCCCTTCATCTTCATGTCCATCGAAGCCACAGTCAAGGGCATGGACGCCACTCTGGCCATCTACCTCGTCTCGGTCATGAACGCAGTCAGGTACGTGCAGCCCAAAAAAAAAAAAACAAGCCTCCAATCCACTCCCGCTAATCACAAACCGCAGCATCCTCGGCCGCACGATCCCCGCCGCGCTGGCCGACAAGTACGGCCGGTTCAACGTGCTGATCATCATGTCGTGGCTGACGACCATCTTCACGCTCGCCATCTGGATCCCCGCTGACGACAACACGACGCTCTGGATCTTCGCCGCCTTCTTCGGCTTCTCGTCCGGCACCATCGTCAGCATGAGCCCGGCGCTCGTCGCGCAGATCAGCGACGTGAGGGAGATCGGCATCCGCACCGGCACCATGTACACGTTTGTCGCCATCGCCGTGCTGATTGGCAACCCCATCGGTGGATCTCTGGTCACCGACCATCACACCAATTACGTGCGGCTCCAGGTCTTTGCTGGATGCCTCATGGCCGGAGGCTCGGCAGTTCTCATGGCGAGTAGAATTGCCCTCTCCGGCTGGAAACTGGCTGTTAAGGTGTGAGAGACCAAGAGCATTTCTGTTCAAGTGGCGCATAGAGTCTGTAACAACGGGCCTCTTCTACGAGACTTAGGGATTGTCAGGTAGGCTCGGAGTAGCCGGAGACTTTACCTTAAAAGACAAGACGAGGGATTAGAATAGAACAGTAGGTGGTGGAGGAAGCGTGGAGTTGGGGTGGAATTCTGGCAGAAGCTTTTGTGGTTGAAGATTGGACATATCGTCAAACATTCGTGTTGTGAGAGAGACCTTCCAGAACCGAGCATTTCGCGAGGTGTTCTGGTTAAAATAGGAATTCAAGGAGCCCAGTAGGACTCGCAAATCACCAGACTGAACGGTCTTTATTCGGTGTCTACCACGTGAGCCAAACGTGATGGTGCTCAAGAATGAGGTAGCATCCTGCACCAAAGTCCATTTTCTGTTCCTGCAAGCGTACAGGCACAATCTGGGAGATTCTGTTCCGTAGACACCAAGCGTGGATTAATGCTGCTCTTCCACATGAAATCACTTCTTAGGTCACTAGTGCGGTACTAGTGTGGAAGTACTCACGGGTGAAAGGTGATATTACTTCTAAAAAGTGTGTTCCTGTCAATTAAATATGACTACAGTAGCGAGACGGAACCCGGTTTGAAGATACTTTCCTCGGACGTTTTCGCCATTCTCGCGTGGCCGAGGAAAACGACGCATCGCAATGTAGAAATAGCTATGGTACCAAACACGGGCTAAATGTTTTTTCACATCACGATCTGCTTGCATTTTCTTGCAAGTATATCTGACTGTCTCTGGCTTACAAAAGCGAGAATCATATCCTTTGCGGTGGTTGAATTGGTTCACGGACAATGCAATGCAATCCCTCGCTTGTCCGAAGCCCTGATTGGTCACTTCGACCGCAGACCTTATCAATCAAGGACTCCTCAACTCCACATCCGTTGGTGTATGTCATCTCTCCAGCCTGAGCAGTTTCCTCTTTGCAATGACGTAGCCAGTATTGCTCAAACATAAAAAGAGCTTCGCCTGCTGTTTGGAGTGCACGTCCAGGCGCCTGATATTTATACAGTAAGGGCAGTAAACAATCATGCAGTAAGTGACTTCAAACTTTCCACCACTCTTGCAGGTCAACTTCATTTGCTAATACATGTGGTAGACATGCCCCAGTGGACGTGGAAGCCAACAGAGCTTCCACCACGCCGAATATTGCCGCTAATGCTGACAACTACGTCGAAGAGCAGGACTACCCCGAAGGAGGGTTGGCGGCATGGCTTGTTGTTGTCGGCGCCTGGTGCGCCATGATTCCGCCGATCGGCTTGCTCAACACGATTGGCGTACTCCAAGCCTGGGTTGCGGAGCATCAACTGAAAGATTATTCCGAGTCCACGGTCGGATGGATTTTCAGCACTTATGCCTTCTTCCTATATATCTGCGGCGCGCAAGTCGGTGAGTGATATCATAATTTCTCGGGCGAAGAGAGAGTCGAGTTGAACATGGCTAATGAGCAACCTAGGGTCTGTCTTTGATCGATATGGCATCAAACCACTTGTCATTCCGGGTTCCATAGGAATGGCTGCGGCGACGATGTGCATGAGCGTGAGCAAAGGTATGAAGAACTTCTGCCACTGTTGTCAATCCCGCCTGACCACGTGAGCTGCTCTCATATATTTGACACAGAATACTATCAATTCCTGCTGTCGTTCGGTGTCCTTGGCGGACTGTCAGCCTCGCTCCTCTTCACGCCCAGCATTTCAACAGTTGGCCACTGGTTCTGCAAGCGCCGCGCCCTCGCCACCGGAATCGCGTGTACGGCCGGCGGCACTGGTGGCATCGGCTTCCCTTTCATCATACTGTACCTTGCACCACGCGTGGGCTATCCCTGGGCGATACGGATCATCGGCTTCATCAACGCAGGCATGTCCCTCGTCGCCTGCGTCCTCCTCCAAACCCGCATCCCGCCCAACAAGCGTGCAGGCGCCGCCATCGACCTGGTGGCCCTGCGTGAACCGCCCTACGCCGCCACGACCGTGGCCGTCTTCCTGATCGAGTTCGCCATATTCATTCCACTCACCTACGTCCCATCCTACGCCATCCACGTTGGTGTCGAGCCGCAGCATGCATACCGTCTGATCGCTCTCCTGAATGTTGGCTCAGTGCCTGGGCGTGCACTACCAGGATACCTTGCAGACCGATTCGGCCGCTTCAACGTAATGATCATAACATCTCTGGTCTGCTCTGTTTTCATTTTCGCGCTCTGGCTACCGTCGGGTGCGTCCGAGCCCGCCATCGCTGCGTTCGCCGTCATGTTCGGGTTCTGGAGCGGCGCGGCTATCAGTCTAACGCCGGTCTGCATTGCACAGGTGTGTAAGATTGAGGATTATGGAAAGAGAAATGGGACGACGTATTCGCTCTCAAGTGTTGCGGCGCTGGTGGGGATTCCGATTGCCGGTGCGATTCTGGGTGATGGTGGAGGATACTCGGGGCTGATTGCTTTTGGGGGCGCCATGTATGCAGCTTCCATGCTCGCGTTCGTCGCTGCGAGGATCATCTCTGGACCGAAGAGCTTGAGAGCTGTTTTTTGAACACAAAAGTAATGATGCACTGAACAATGGAAAAGTTTGAAATTTGAACCTTGCCGACTGTTAGTCTTTTCTTATACCAGACGTGAGACGACCAAAGGGGGGAAACGTACACAAACTTTCTATCTTGTACGAAGAGAGCCAACATGGTTTGTTGATTCGGATATGTCTGGCAAAACATCAAGGCTACCACCACTATCACGTCAACGTTTGAATCATTGCACAAGAAATTTGAAGTAGTATGTCATTCCTCACTGAAGAATAATTTACCCAGCTATCCCTAGATTTCCAGGAAAGCGAAAGAAAAAAGAAGACGGGAAACCCTTTTGCACCCGCATATCTCATTACCCCATGGTATCCACCAACGCCTCAATCCATCTGTAAAGACGGAACAAATAAAAGTCGAAAAGGAGGGTCGGTTCCGAAGATCCAACTGCACACAAAGTAGCCTCCCAGACCATTCCATGACTTCGTTACCAAAATGAGACCAGACTCTGTGATAGAGTATCCCACGAACCCGAAGAAGAAACAATAACCTCAAAGCCCTGCAAGCGACATCTCCAGCTCGGGGCGAGAATGTAAGTAAGTAGAAAACGCCGACCCATTATGCCTTTGCAACCAACAAAAGTGAAAAACCAAAAGGTACCACTTTGGCAAAATCTCTTCGCTCCTCGTCTCTTCCTTTCCGGAGCAATTCACTGCCTCCGTTATATGTTCCCCGTCTTCTTTCAAACGCATCAAAGAAGAGTGATAAGAAAATGACAAAGGAAAGTAGTCATCGTAGAGATTGGACGCCGCGTTGGTCATTAAATTGCCTGCGGCGAGGGGCAAATAAGTCGGGAAGGCAAAGACCGTGTTCGTACCATCTATCTCAGACCACCGACAGCGAGCCTGAAGCCAGTATTCCTCTTGATGAACGGGCTGGGCGCGTCGGCGCTCTCCGGATCCCACTGCGGGGCGGCAGCCGCCAGAAGCGCACTGCTGTTCTTGCGAACGGGCATGTTCTCGCTCAGCTCACCAATGGTGAGGGTGCTGGAGCTGCTGCTGCGGCGGTCCGTCGACGCCTTGCCCTGGGCGAGCTCGACCAACGTGCGGCCCGACAGGTTGGAGGTGATGTTCGCGTTGTTGGCGGCGGCAGTCTTCTGACGGAGGAGAGCGGCCGTGTTGGCGCCCTTCTTGCTGCGCAGAGCAGTCGAGGCTGTGTCGCGCGCAAAGCCGGCGTCGCTGACGTCCATGCTGCCGGTGCTGTTTTTGCGGATAGGCGAGACTTCGCCAGCGGAGGGCACCTTGGTGCGCTTACGAGCGGGAGAAGTGGCGATCACAGGGACCGTCGAATTCGGACGAGGGCGGTTAGTGGCAGCACCACCCGCGCGGAGGTTTGGCACCGAGGGACCACGGTTAGGCGCCGGACCGTTACGGGCCAGCAAGTTACGGCGGCTGAACAATTGGGTAGCCGGGTTGGGAGCGTTGTTCGCGGCAAGGACCTTGAACGGGTCGTTATCAGGGCTCTTGCGTGCACCGTTGATGCTACGGGGACGCGTCGGAGAAGGCAACGCGGGAAGGTCATCATCCTCCATCTCCTCAACATCAGCGGTAGGGCTAGTACAGCGGATAGGCGAAGCCGGGTCAGACAGGTTCTTGCGCTCGGCCGCGGCGAAGATGTTGCGGCGCGTTTTGGGCTCGGCATTCAGTGCGTTACGGCGAGGGCTCAGGCTAAGACCGGCCAAAGAGACGGGAGAAGGATCCGCCATCTGGATATCCATGGGCGAAGCTGCGACCTCGTTGAAGGCAGTGGTGTGGGCGCGCTGGAATGCAGACCTGGCGGGTCTCTTCTCAGGAGTGGCTGCTCTGGGCTTCATAGGACGAGGAGGCGACTCTTCCAGGGAGAGAGAGGAGATATCTGTTTGGGACGGGAATTCGGAAGGCTCTCCAAGCGTGCTGATGGACTGGGCTGCCTCCAGCGCAGGCGTGGAAGAGGGAATTGTTGCTGCGTTCTGTTGCAGCTTCCATACGTGCATGCGGCGCTCGACCTCTTCTTCTACGCGCTTGTTGACCTCCTCCTCGAAATTCTTCCGGAGGCGCTCCAATTCGGTGTTGATGTGGCGGTCAATCTCCAAACGCGCCTTCAGCTCCCACTCACGACGCAACTGGTTGTCGACGGACAACCTCATATCATCCTTTTCCTTTTCCAGCGTAGCAATCTTCTCGCCGAGTTCCTTTTCGAGCAGCCTGGTCGCATCGCGCTCCTTCTTCAGTAACTGACCCATCTGCACAACCTCCTGCTCCTTGCGCATCAGCTTCACAACGGGAAGGTTGAGAAGCTGGGCCGTCTCGGGCCGCTTGGTGTAGTCGGTCTTCAAGCACGTCGCAATGACATTCTTCAGATCCGGGGAATAGCAATCAGGGATGGGGTCGAAGATGCCGCGGCGGATCCTCTGGATGAGGTCGAAATGCGTCTTAGCATCGAACGGGGGTTTTTGAGCGCAAAGCTCGTAAATGATGCAACCTAATGCCCAGATATCGGAAGCAGCGGTGTATTTCTCCGACATGCAGATTTCGGGCGACATGTAGTAAGGAGTGCCAACGTAGGTGGATGCAAAGTCGTGCGACTGCATGATCTTAGAAAGACCGAAATCGCCAAGTTTGACCGAGTTATCCTCGCCGAGGAAAACATTTTCAGGCTTGAGGTCGCGGTGAAGGATGGTGATATGCCTCTGCTTCTCCTTGATAGGGATGGCGTTGTTGCCCAGACCCAGGACGTTGCGGCCAGCGTCGGGCGGATCCTGACCGTAGTGGCAGCGGTAGAGAGCGGCGCACAGCTGCGAGAATATGCTCCAAACAAATTCCTCATCGGCGACTTGGCGCTTGCTCTTGAGGCGCTTGATGACGGCACCGAGGTCGCCATTGCCGCAGTATTCCATGTAGACGTGAAGGTCGTGCGAGGTCTTCAGGTGGACGCGATCAATGTACTGAACAATGTTGGGATGACGAAGCTCCTTGAGGATGGACAGCTCAGCCTGGAGCTGCTCCCTCTCCTTCTGCGACATCTTCGAATAGCTAATCTCCTTGCGACAGAGGACCTGCGGCGACAGGTCAGCAATGCGATTGGGCAGGGTAGTCGCAATGGGGAACTCACATAGCCATCCGACCGTCTCCTGACCTTTCGGATGATGCCAAAAGAGCCCTGGCCTGCAGCGGATCAGCAATTGGATCGAAGGGGTGGCAGCATTCCATGCGACGTACCGATCTTCTCGAGCACATCGTACTTCTCGTCGTCAGACATGGTGGTGAGGGTAGGTATTGCTGCTGGGTATCGGTTAGAAGAACACGGAGAAGATGCGTCGATGCTGCTCAAAACATGCTGTCGTGGGAGTGGTGATGGTAGAGTAGTAGAGTTGGGACCCGGGCGTTGCAGAGGGTAGTAGTAGCTGGGCGCAGCTCGGATGCAAAATGGCCGCTTGTAAACACGGTCGCCGGGGCAGCGGGTCACGTGGTCGGCGCTTGCGTCTCATCCATCACTAGCGCGCAGCCGTGCGTCATCGGCGGCCTCCACCCAGCGTGCCAAGAGGGCCCTGTTACAGGTACTCTGGCGGGGCTGCCGAAAATCGAGCGTCTGGAAGCTCAATGCGTGCCTGCCGTGACTGCTGCGGCGAAAAGCACAGCAGATGCGCCACGATGCACGGCGCCCGCATGCCACGTCCGCCCCGCTCCAGTTCACCTCTGCTTTGCTGCCGCCCGCATTGATCGCCGCGACACAAACTGCCAGGTACAGCGGCCACTCGACCACGCGCCGTTGCGCTGTTCTGGATTATGTCATCGCTCGTGAATCGCCCGAGATGCGGTACGCCACCCTTGCTTCCACAGCACCTCCATCTCCATTTTCTGTCGCCAGAGATATCCCGTCAGAATGGTCGTCCCGAAGCATGAGCTTGAAGCCGCTCTCCACGAGGAGAACAAGGCCATCCGCGCCGGGCAGCTGAAGGAGGACAATCCCCTCGATACGAGCGACGACTTCCGTCGGCTGTGCGATGCCTGTCGCCGCGGAGACCTGAAGCTCTGCCAGGAGCAGCTTTCCAAGGGTGTAAACATCAATGCCAGAGACCAGTTCGACTACACGCCTCTGATTCTAGTATGCCTGCCGCTTGCTTGCAACATTACCCCGCATATCTACGTTTTCCATTGATATGTTGACTGACTGTCTCAGGCTAGTCTATGCGGCCACTACGAAGTCGTGCAGCATCTTCTTGAATCCGGCGCCCTTTGCGAACGCGATACATTCCAAGGCGAGAGATGCCTGTACAACGCCTTAAACGACCGCATTCGTAACCTTCTTCTTTCCTACGACTACTCCAAGTCTACCGACCCGCTCCAGCCGTTTGCCGCCCACCTCGCCTCTCTTCTCACGAGAGAATCGCCGAATACCTCGGATATTACAGTCGTCACCGCCGACAGGGCATTGCCTTTACACAAGTTTATTCTCGCGGCGAGATCCCCGTACTTTGCGAAAAAGCTTGCCGACGCTCCCGAAACGAAAACAACAAACTTCACGTCAGAGAAAATTGCTCCACAGTCTCTGGAATCAGTCATTCGATACCTATATTTTGCAGATATTAATGCGGATTTCGGGGATGGGGAGGAAGAACAAATCATCTTGACGGGCATCGACAAGCTGGGCAAGAAGCTCCAAATCGAGCATCTTTTCCAACAAGTTCTTGAGAGCAACGACCGCCGGTTAGCTCGCCAGCGGCGGCAGGATGAGGTCCACAGAGGGAGGGATCAAATGGAAAGTTGGTTCAAAGACCATGTGCTGAAACACAAGATCGTCCTTGATACTGCAAAGGCGGATAGCGTAAAGTGGGATCGAGATAACCGCATATTCGCGGACGTCCTTCTACGCGCTGACGAAGACTACGAGGATGAGGAGGACGACGTTACCCCAACTCCCTCTACTCCAGACTCCGACGCACCTAGAGTTCGCAACACTCTCGGCCCTCTCAATGGCATCCCAATCGGTCCAATTGCGCGGTCGCGCTCTCCCTCACGACAGCGAAACCCACGCAAGTCCGTGCTCTACCCGGTCCACCGCGCGATGCTCATCCGATCCGAGTTCTTCCAAACCATGTTCAGCTCAGGCTTCCGGGAAGCGCAGGAGACGCCGTACCTCCAAGTCATCCCGATCGACTGCTCGCCGCGGGTACTCGAGATCGTGCTGAAGTTCCTCTACACCGAGCGCGCCGACTTCCCTCTGGACGTCGCCATCGACGTCCTCTTCACCGCCGACCTGCTCTGGCTCGAGAAGCTCAAGGTGCGCGCCGCACAGATTATCAGCACCCTCGGCAACGGCAACACGTCCATCGTCGAGTCGGAGAACCCGCGCGGCGAGACGGCCGACGAAGAAGAGGAGCCCCTCGACATCTACGACGTCATCCGCGCCGGCTGGGACACGCGCGTGCAGCGCCTCGAGGAGTTCGGCGCCCGCTACATCGCCCACCGCCTCGAGCGCTACATCGATGACCCGGAGTTCGCCGAGCTCGTCCGCGAGAGCGCCAACCGCGTCAAGGCCAGACAGGAGACCGACACCGTCGAGCTTATCGACGACATCCGCTACTACCTCTCAGAGCGCTTCCGCCTGCGCTTCGAGGACTCCGGCCTCGAGGAGATGATGGACGAAGAGGGCGAACTGGATCCAGAGGCCGTTGCCGCTGCTGCTGCGCAGAACGCCAAGGATGGAGTCTCGAAGGGGCCGGATGATGCGGCGGCACCGACGAAAGAGATGGGTGGCCTCAAGCTGTCTTCTGATGCTTCCGTCATCAGGACGCTCGATGGTGAGATTGCTGGAGACGAGTTCGCTCAGGACGCCATCAACTACCAGATTTTGCTCGGCAAGATCGACAGGCTATTGGACAGCCTCAAGTTGGATGCTTGAGGTGGGGTTTGGTCTTGATCTTGCGCATTTTTGCATTCATTCTCTGGTCGTTGGTTGCTTGATGCGGATGGATTTGGAGTGGATGTCGCTTTTCCTTCCGTTTGGTCTGGTCTCAGCCTTTGCGGAACCCGGAATTAGAGCGAAAACATAGAACGGATGGTTAACCTTGGTTATTGCACGATTGAATGAAGCAACGGATGAATGTATAGTTCAATTGATACGACATTTTGATGATGGACATGTTGATCCTCATTGATATAGGTTTAGTCCCTAGGGATATCAGAATACCATGCAACTGGCGGTAGCTGATCTTCTAGTAGACTCTCCATTTCAGAGTTGCCAGCCGTCCTCCGAGCTGATACATTACGCTCCACTTTCTCCAACTCAGCAAGAGATCTCAGCCTCTCTATTAGAGGGACAATATCTATTACCACGCACATGAAGATGCAAAGGTGTATTGACGTTACTTCATTCAGCTACGTATCTACAAGCAAGCTACGCTCAAGTCATCAAAGCAGTTCGAACCGACGTCAACATCGAGAAGCAAACTTCCTCGCCGAATCATGCAAAATCATTCATAATCTTCATCATCTATCGCCTCCCGGTCCTCGAATTTCATGAAGAAGTCCGGTTCAGCGTCCTCACCCATGATCTTCTCCCACATGGTGCGGACGTAATCCAGCATGGAGTCATCGAACTTGAGTTCCAGTGAGGGAGGAGGGAATGCTAATACGCTTTCATGAGTTGTAGCAGGCGCGTCTCTGTTGCTGCGGGAGTGCTGCTCGTAATGCATAGACCACAAGATCTTGGGCGTCGTTTCTTCGTTAATGCTCTGGAGAAGAGCGGCGACGGCGGCGTTGAGGAGATTGACACCCTGTTCGCCAGTAGGAGAAGTGAAAGCGTAGAGGACACCTGAGAGCTTTGTTAGCTTTGTGCCGACAGGAAGCGTCGAAACAGCATTGTGTAGGATGGAACCAATGTCAGGTTGTGATAAATTATTATCTTCAATGAAATTGCAGACAATGTAGATAAGTTTTATGGTTGTTCATCATATGGCTTTTTGTTCTTGGTGAAAGGGAGTAAGAGAAGTAGAAAAACTTACATTGACCGGCTGGACACTCGCCAGTGTCGCTTGAGTGAACAAAGACATACACTGGCGGGTGTTCAGTACTGCCATCCACGTTCAGGCTGCCAGTAGGGAAGGACACTACTGCACCGGCAGGCGCAGGAGCACCTTCAGCCAATGGAGGAAAGAGTTGTCGCAGAGCAGACGATACAATCGAAATACACCTTGAGCAGGCAACAGCCCCAGTAGAGGGAGACTCTACGTGAGACGGGAGGTCGTCATCTGAACCAACAATCCATCTCGTGGAGATGTTGTCGCCCTCTGTCAACAATGCTGAAACTCTGCCTTGAGAACCGTCCTCATTGGCATCAGTGGAAGGGCTCGGGTCCGTATTAACGCTGGTGACGCCCTGTCCAAGGACATAAATACCACCGCCAACGGCTTGAGCGCGACAAGCGACTTGAGAAATTTCTGCAAGGCCGCCCCACTTCGGAATGACACAGGCAAAGCCCGGGCCGAACACGCCAATCGACCGAAGATGATTCGCGATCCGCGGCAGCGCATACTCGGTTGTAGTCTTGTCGGGAGTTTCCAGAGACAAAGTTAATGCCAGTAGCGGTCCGTGCATGTCTTTGGGAATCTTGAAGTGATCCGAAAGGAAGTCGGAGAAAGACAACTGGCGATAATCCAGCCAGACTTCCTCCTGATTCTCGTAGTCGCCGACGAAGCGCAGGAACTTCATCAAAAGTCTTTTCGCCTTGAAGTCGATGCTCTCATCCGAGAAGACGTCTTCGCGGCCGCTTGGAACCTTGGTCAAACGTCCAGCAGACCGACCCTCTTCAGATTCTTCCGACTCCGTCTGAGGCCCAGTATCCGAAGAGTATACCCACCAACTTCCCACTGCCAGAAACTCAACCTGCCGGTAGACTTTCGACGATACCAGCACGGGAAGTATGGCAGAGCGGCTATACAACAGCTGCGGTGCCAGCGCAAGACTGTACGATCTCGAGAAGCCAAGCTTGGGTCCCTCTACATCCGAGTCGGCCGGCGCGGGCTGGGTTATGGAGGCACGACGGAACAGCGACGGCTTTGTCTCATCTACGAAAGTCAGAAGATGTCATGCCACCGTACCGCGGATTGTTGCCTTGAAGCGTACCGTCGTTGACCTTCTTTGCCCATGCATCTGCCTCTTGTAAGCTGAAAGCTCCCTGAGGCCCTCCGTAGAAATCGTTCTTGTCCACGTGTAAAATCTTCTTATCGGAGCGTGACAGAGCCCTTCACGAAGCGCTGCGTCAGTCAGAATTTGCATAGCTTGGAGGGACGTGACAGGTGGTGGAAAACCTACAGTGCAAGGAGGGACTGCTCGACGCCAGTGCCGGCAATGAGCACGTCCCAGCGGGTCTCACTGAGGCTTTCCATCGCGACAGAAGGTTGCTCAGCGGTGGAGCGGTGGAAGATGGAGATGTTCACAAGGGAAGGTCACAAGCATCAATAGGCGGTCGAGTCGCGCTAGCGCGCTGACTAAGCGAGACGCGCAAAAATTCCCGCGACGCGCGAAACTGTTCTTCTCTTCTTCAACCGCGCTTCTCGTCCACAGCACCCCCTCACATGTGTGTTGCGGACGTCTGGCATCTTCAGTGTATGCCTTCTTAAGCGCGGGAGACGCACGATTCGTCCTGTATCTGCTGCTCTGGATTTCGCCTGAAAGAAGCGGTTCGTTTGTGACGCTACATGCCTTGAAAGGCCACCTCTACTGTTGTTCAACAGGGACTCGAGGAAGACAATGCTATTCTTCTAGCGAAGTCATTGTTTGTTCAACCGTAGCGCATAGTTCCGCAAGTCGTGATCCGAGGAGCTCTTATGACATACGAACAGAATGGGCCATTATTCTTTCTAGCTGCAGGGTGAGATACTTTGCAGCTTTACTTTGCGCCGTTCGGAATCTAGTCATGACCCGTTGTGCATGACATATTTCACTTAGATTTGTCAATGTCTCACTTCTTTGGATGCAACATGTCCAGCCTTCGAGCTTTCAAGTATGTGCATTGCGACCTTGTATGGCCTGTCATTTGGGTCCGTTTCGGCGTAAGCTAGGTATCATTCATGGTAAACTCCGTTTACATCAGACGATCATGGTGCCTTTTTCAAGCCACATGATGTTATCCTGACCCCTCGACAACCTACAACTTCGCAAGGATAGCGTCGGCACCCGAAACCTGGGACAATGCGGGTTAGTGCTTTTCTTTGACGAGGCCATTATGTGCATATTTCGGCCGTCGTGTGAAAAGGGCATAGGCGGTACTCACCGTGACCTGGCTGGGGTTGGGCTCATTCTCAGAGTACGAGATGGTGCCATCCTTCTCGATGACCATGGCCCAGCGGCCATTGCGGTCACCAACACCGGCCTGCCAAGCGTAGTTCTGAGAGAACTTGGTCTTGTCGTCGCTGAGGAAGTACTGGTATATCTGTTAACTACGAGTCTAGCAATCCGCAAGGAACGGACTTACGATGGGCTCCTTAGCCTTGTTAACCTTGCCCCATGCGTTCATGACGAAAGCGTCGTTGAAAGCAATGATAGCAACAGCGTCAACACCCTTAGCCTTCAGCTCATCGAGCTTCTGAATGTAAGGAGGGACGTGGAAGGCCTGGCAACCGGGAGTGAAGGCGCCTGAATCGGTGGCGTCAGCTAGGATTACGGGTTGAGAGTAGGAAGGATTGGATGAGGAATATGGATAGACTCGTAAGGGCCACATACCGGGAACGCTGACAAGGACGACCTTCTTGCCGGCGAACTCCTTGTTGGCATCGAATTCCTGGGGACGACCGCACACAGTGGGGTCCTCCTCGAGGATGGGAGCCCAGCTATAAGATGTTAGCTCTTGTGCACCTACGCACCCTCTCTTCCGTAGCCCTGAGCTTGTCTAGGCTGCAGCGTTGAGAGAGCAAAGGCAAGGACCGACGTACGTGAACTTGACACCCTCGGGGAACTTGTCGCCGACCTTGAGAGGAGCCATTGTAGTCAATTGATGACAGAGAGGATGAAACTGTGTAGCGGACGTTGAGCTGTGGACAGGATTTGAGCAGAAGAGGACTGAGGTGTGCGGCGGCTGCGGATTTGAACACCTTGGAGGGGCAGCAGCTTCCTAGCTCGGCCGCGGCGATTTGGAATCACCCTGCCCCGCGCATGACGTGGTTGGCCGGAGCTCGAGCTCGCCATCGGTGCTTCGCCTCACCACCATATCCGACCCAGATACATCCGCTGCGATGGAGACGCCTTCGCATCCGATGCGCCGGTCCTGGCTCCGTGATGTCTGTTTCACCATTGAACACAGCGACCTGGTCGCACGGCAGCGGCAGCACATGTCAAAAGCCCCGCGCAGGGCAAACAACAGGCTCTCACAACACGCGCGGATTGGACAGCGAGCCTCCACATGCTACACTGCCCGAAATTCCGAGCCGCTAGACTCGAAAGATGGCTTTTTCGAGTCAGCATGGCTGACGCAAGCCGATTGCAATCGAAAGGCCTTCTCACAAATAGAGGTCGAGAACGCCGCCTCTCCACGACCTCAAGACTGACCACTATACACCACTGCCTCGAGCCTCATCTGATTACTATCGGCTGCTGCTGCGGAAGCGCCGGCATCGCCCCTCGTACCGAAGGCGGAGGCATGAAGCTGACTGAGTCGAACTTTCTAGAGCAGTAGGCCCGATGGCGGCATAGCACCTTGCTGACCTCCTATCTGACTACAGCACTCAAATCATTCAAAGTACACGCTATATCGACATCGTTAAACCTTAAATTGCCCTCCAAGACTTCCACGAAGCCATTGAACTGAGCTGCATACTGATTACCATGCTCCACTTCCCCTGTGTGCAGCCTCAGCGTAGAGGGTGGCCGGCCCTGATTCCGGGGTGCCCCCTGTCCAAACGTTTCCGCTATTGGCAGAACACATGGGTAATTAGTACCTCTCGTCTCCCCAACAGCACCACCATGTACACAAATCTTTGGATAACAGAGGCACCAATGTTCCAATTGTACAAACATGTTCTCGGTGAGCCAATCTTCAGCTGTTGCCTTAGAAAATCGTCTCTTGCTTCCTGCTCGAATTGACCAAAAGGTAACGCAACCGAACTTGTCGGGATGCTCCTGCTTGTATTCTGCCACCTCCTTCCCCAGGACTCCAGTATGGCGGACGCCTAAAACCACCTTCTCTCGGCTAATGCGAGCTCGAGGAAGCGCCAGAGCACGGAGCTGCTTGGCACACTCGGGCCGACATTTCCTGACTTGTTTCCAATCTCTCTCCTTAAACACACCCAACACCAAATGAATTGAGCTTCCAGGGCTACCAGCACGCCGTTGCCATATCAGACGCGGCCAGATATGCCATCCAATCGTCCTCCCAGCCTCTTTTTGCGCCGGAACTTCTTTGCCACGGGTTTTGTGATCTTCGTTTTCCTATGGCTCTTTTTGCGTCGCCCTTGGACTTCTCCGGTCATTGATCCGTCGTACGGACGATTGGACGATGTTTCCCAATCATCAAGATTCGCAATTGCTACATTTCTGAGCGAGAACCCGAGCACGGACCCGCGAGACCCGGAGGGCACGGATTACTACTATGCCGCCACCCGGGTTTTGACTTATCAACTGTTGCATGCAGAGCAAACACGCATCCGGAATCCGTCCATTGATTTCATTGTCCTGGTTACTTCTGAGCTGGCCCAGTACAAAGTCGACCAGCTCACCAAGGATGGCGCAATCGTCATCCGCGCGGAGGATGTGCCGCTCAGCTGGTGGATCTCGACGGGCGTCAAGCGCTGGAAGGACCAGTTCACGAAGCTACGCCTGTTGGAGATGACGCAGTACTCGCGCGTGCTCTTCATGGACGCCGACACGCTGCTCACGCGGCCCGTCGACCCCATCTTCGGCGAGCAGTCCGTCGTCCACCCGACGCCCTCGAAGCTCGACCTGATCTCCCAGATCAAGGCCGACGAGGCGCCCGTGCCCGCGCGCTACGTCTTCTGCGCGCGCTCCGACAACGCTTTCGCCGGCGAGCGCGATCACCCCTTCCCGCCGCTGCGCACCGAGCGCTTCAGTGCCGGCTTTTGGGTCGCCGCGCCCTCGCACGAGCTCTTCGACCTGCTCATCAGCGTCACCCGCCGCTACCGCCGCTTCGACCCCCACACGATGGAGCAGAGCTTGCTCAACTACGTCTTCCGCCCCAACGGCGCCATGCCCTGGTGTGAGTTGGATCCCCACTGGAGCGCGACGTGGCCTAGCGAGAGGGACCTCGACGCCGGCGTCGTAACCCTGCATGAGAAGTTCGGCATGGTCGGTCCCGAGAAGCTGAGGATGATGTGGTACGGAGCTTTGCAGGAGATGCGCGAGTTTTATGCCAGAGAGGTTTGAGAGATGACTGAGGGAGCCCCCGATACGACCAGCACGAAAGCATTCCTTTAACGCGAGGGATTAGAGAAGGAGCCTACTCTTGATACCATGGCTAGATTGAGATACACGTTTTCCTTGTTTCTTTTCTGTCTCCAATATCCTAATGATTATCTTCTTCACGCCCGCCTGTTGTTATAGAATTAAGATTCAGCATTGATCTTTTTCAACCACTGCTGACGAACGATAAAGACGTGCAGCATAATAGACATCCCATGTTTTCTACAATGAATTCATTAACCTCGCAAATGCCTGAATGCATGTATCGTACGACATTGAATCTTTTAACGAGGCGCAGGTGGGGTTCTCGACTCTTCAGATTACATCATTGCTTAGCCAGACCATATCTCCAACTTGAACGTGGTACGACCCGTCAGCACTTTATTACACAGCACTCTTATCCGGCTCCGATCACCATCCTGCAGCTGCAGGGAACCACACCACGAGCCGCGGAGAAGAAAGTTCGTGTGCATGTGTAAGCTGCCGCATCGGCAAGAGGCTGAGTCATTAAACGGCAGCCGCACGCGGGTCGAAGGCGGGGCTAAAAACTACAGGCTGTGTATAAGAGCATTGGGCAACACCGGCGGAGCTGAAAACCAGGCCTATTGGTATCATTTGAATTATTATTATTATTTCGCAAAAAGCAAGCTATAAACATGTCCCTCGCCCCGCCATTCACGCACGAGACGGCGAACCTCAAGGTCAAGAAGGCGCAGGATCTGTGGAACACGCAGTACGTGCTCGGCTCCCCAGCGTCTGCCCTCCTGCACGTGAAAAGTATAGCTGATGAAGCGCTTTGCCGCTGAGCCAAAAGGAACCCCACCGAGGTGGTCAAGGCGTACACCGACGACTCGATCTGGCGCAACAGGTCCATGTTCTTGAAGGGCCACGAGCAGATCGTCGACTTCCTGACCAAGAAGTGGCAGAAGGAGAAGAACTACCGGCTGCGCAAGGAACTGGTACGTGTCTTCGTATGGACTGCTGCTTCCCCACCAACCCGAAACACCTTAATTATCCAGAACGTTGTGCTGATTCGGATGCTCTTCCCGCTTCCTTGGCAGTTCTCCTTTACCGATAACAAGATCGCCGTCCAGTTCTGGTACGAGTATCAGGACGCGCACGACGGCATGAAGTGGAAGCGTTGCTACGGGCTCGAGGACTGGACCTTCGCGGCCGACGGGCGTATGCGGAAAAGGCAGATGAGCGGCAACGACGTCGAGCTGGCCGAGGGCGAGCGCTGGTTTGCGGGCGACGTCGACGTGAACACGGTGGAGATCGGGGAGGAGCATTGGTGATTTTTGGATGTGGCCTTATTTGTGTTTTTCCTCTGAGCGGCATTCAGTGCAATACTTGTCCATTGTAAATTCTTATGTGCGGTCCGCCGCCCTGCTCAGAGATCTCCTGATTCTTTGGTTCCTTTGTGAGATAAACGCCCGACCATGCCAAAGGGGTATCGTTGGTAAGCCCGCCCGGGGTGATATGTGAATTAGAGGAAGTTGAGAGACCCCGTCTACGGAGTAGGCGGCGTATCGTGCACGACGACGATCATGAATCGTGGGTCTGGAAAGGAGTCCCTTTGTTAGCTCTACGGCACCATTTCACACCGCGTTTGGGCGCGCGACTGAACGTTCTCGAGACCTACCAGGTACAATGACCAGCTCGTTCTTCTTGGTGCGCAGGCGCAGGAGCTTAACCTCGTCTTCCTCCTCCAGATTCTTGACCAGCTCGCCAGCCGCTTCCACAAAGCTGTGAACCATGCGGGCAACATCCTCGGCGCTGCGCATGCCCGTCTCCTGCTTGCCGTTCGTCAGAGGAGGTGCGGTCGCGGCTGCAGTGCCGTTGGCGGCATTCTCGGCGGGAGCGGGTAGCGTGGTGTTGGGGTTGGCTGCGGCGCTGGTGGACGTGAAGCCCGAGGTGTGGACGATAGCGCCCGTGTCGCGGGCAAGCACCAAGGTGCTCTGGACGCCGGCCTTCTGGCTCAGGCGCGTGAGAAGGGAGAGCGTTTCCGAGGGCTTCATGGGGTGGTCAGCTGTGGGCCGAAAGGGTTGCCGAGAGAATGGCGGAGCGTACGACTATTTGCGTCATGGTGGGCGACGGAAATGGCAGGCAGAGGGCGACGCCGCGATTGCTGTTTCTGGGGTTGTAGAGTGGATGAGTGTGTCGAGACGACGAGCGGGAGCTGCTGGGCGCCGGCGGACTGCGCGCGCGCAGGAGCGGGCCTGCGGCTGGGCTTGGCGCGGGCGGTGCGGGCGCCTTTCCCTTTTGGCCGCTAGCCTCAGAAAGTCACAAAAATCGTCCTCTCTCCGGTTGCATCTGCGGCCATCTCATGCTGCCGCCTCTGGCCTGCCCCTACCGCACACGACGAAGGAAGAGGCTACTCGAAAGCGGCTGACAGAATGGGTTCGAGCGCAAAGAGGAAGAAGGAAAAGAAGAAGGATTTCCAGAAGCCGAAGCTGAAGGTCGGCAAGACAAAACCCAAGGCTGACAACTTCACCGATACTAGCTTCAAGGCGAAATGTAAGTTTTGTGCATTTCGTTGTTTCCACAAGTCTAAGAATCCTATACTTGAATAAGTTTCATTCTCTTGCGCCACTCTACTTCTCTGTATTTCATCCATCATCTTTTTTTCCTCTGTTTTTTTTTTCCAGTTTCCACGTCCTCTTCTTCAAAGTCAAGTGACAACTGCATGACCATTCCCTTTGCTTTCCAAGATTGTCAACCCACATAGGCTCAACAAGCATCATAATACTAACACGATAATTCAGCAATCATCGTCAAGGAGCAGTCGATACACACCAATGCGCCAACCGTAACTGTCCAGTTTACGCACCAACTAGGCCTCCTTACCCACAAGTCCGACACCCAAAGGCGTGAATCTCTCTCCTATCTCACAAACTCCGTGACCGCTGCGCGCAGCCAGGATGTGCCTCTCCCGCAGCCCGTCTCGGTCATCGTCCCGAAGATCCTCTCGCTCATCTACGACAACTCGAACGGCGTGCGCCAGCAACTCCTCAAGCTGCTGCAGGCGCTGCCACCCGCCGACCTACGCCCGCACGTCGAAGAACTTCTGCGGCGCACGCGCGCCGGCATGACCAGCCTGTCGACCGACGTGTGCACGACCTCCTTCGACGTCCTGGACTGGCTGCTGCAGACGCACCCGGACGCGACCGTCAGCTGCGCCGGCGGCTGGGTGCACACGCTGCGCTGCTTCACGAGCGTGCTGGGCTGGCGTGACCCGGGCGCCGCAGGCGGCCAGAAATGGACGACGACGGCCGCCGCGAACACGTCGTCGTCCTCGCACGCCAACGCCGAGAAGCTGAAGAAGCTGCGCTACCGTCAGCTCGTCGCGCTCGCCGCCTTCCTGAAGGCCGGCATCGCTGCGGACGCCGAAGCCGCGCGTGCTGCGCGGGAGGAAGAAGAGGCGCGTGTGGCTCGCGCGTGGTTCCCGCTGCACCATCATGCGCAGTGCCATATGCTGCTGAACCAGAGCCCGAATGGGTTTGCTCATCTGAATCTTTTTGGCGCGCCGAAGGATGAGGATGGCCAGATGTATACGGATAGGCAGGGTAGGCAGCAGGTCTTCGCGAGGCTGATCCAACCTGCGATTGTCAGTGGGCTGCAAAATGCGAAGAAGGAGGGTGGACAGATTGGCAGGGCTGCAGGAGAGGTGGAAAAAGTCATGCAGGAAAGCATGAGTGACTATGATGGAGGAGAACTCTAAGGACGGTTGTTACAGGCACTATACAGGATTGCATGTTTGGGGTTACGGCGTTCATGGGACCAATGCATTGATGTGCAATCAATTCTTGATATTGCAGATACCAGAAAGAATATAGACGGTTAATCAAACCATGAAAATGGGCGTAAGTGTACAAGAAAGCCTCAATTTGAGACCTCTACCTCAATATTTGTTTCCTTTACATTGCTGTTCTAAGTTGCCCGATTGTTACCGTGAAAACATTCATTGATTCGTTGGTTGGTCTCCAGGGAGTAAAAACGGAGATCCGAATGCCCACAGTATTTGCTGGTTTTGAATCGGACGAGAAAATTACTGTCTGGTTTCCAGCTACACATAATTTCTTAGGCACAGAATGATTAAATAAAAAAGGATCTGAGAGGAGGTGGTGCAAGATTCTATGTGTCGAGCTATTGGTACATAGTGTGGCAAAACCCCGGCTCGGGAATGCAGCCCCTGAGATGGTCTCGGCCCGCGCGCAAAAATCTGCTCCACGTCCATACGTTAACCCCTTTCATGGGCAAAACGAATGCCCATCCATCCAACAGGCAAAAGAACTAGCTTCTCGACGTTGACAAGATTCGAACTTGTGCTCCCGAAGGAAACAGATTTCTAGTCTGTCGCGATAACCACTCCGCCACAACGCCTTTGAGTTGCTTGATGAAATACATGTTCACAATTGTGTTTTATAAAGAGACCATTCCACCACCACTGATGTTGACGGCTTTCCATTAGAACAATAAAGGCCATTGATCTTAGGTGAATTATATCTAATGTTGTGGGTTCAGACAGAAATGATTGTAAGTGAACACATTCCCAGAGAGCCCAGTCATTCACGTAGCCCCAGGCCCAGGTACTTTCTGCGAAACGGGAAATACGAGGATGTCTTGAGCATATTGGTTTGCATAATGCACAGTGTCAGCGAAAAAACAATCAATGCCATACCGTCACTCATGTTTACAAATGAGACTCTTCTCTGGTGCAGTATCTCCAGCTACAAAGACCAAAAAAAAAAACTTGCTACAGCAATTGACGAACATCTTTCCCGGACGCTTCCAAAACAGTTCTGTAAAAGATGGGAACATTCAGGAGGGATGACTGCCGCACAAGGGACTCACAGGTTTGACAGGTGAAGGCCTTCAAAGAACTTACCTTCAAGCCCCCCACCCTATACCAAAGCGAGTTCTTCTCCGAAGTCCCCACCTCTCACTTCGCACCTCCGTCCTCCACCAACTCTACGGCCTTCTCCTTAACCTCATGTAGACGCACGAACTTCGAGTATCTTTCTTCCTCATCCGCAGCCGTAGCGCGAATGACCCGGCGATGGTTCGGATTCAAGCCCATGCACAAGCGTGGCTCGTCGAAGAACATTTGATCCACCTGCTCGAGGGAGCGGCCGGATGTTTCGACGCCGAACTGTCAACGGAAGAGAAGAAACACATCAGCATCAGCCAAAAACGTCGAGTACCATGTAGGATCGAGGAGCAAACCAGCGTTGTGAAAGGGAATAGGAAGTTGCGCTTACAAAGTAGATCAGCGGGATAAAGAGGGCGCAGATGACGGCCCAGATCCAGAAGTAGTTGCCGCCGATGCTATCGAGACCTATGGGAGTGACCATGACGACGACGCTGGTGGACGTGTTTAGTATCGTAGCCAGGGAAATTGTGAGGGAGTGGGTGTCATAGTTGCTTACAAGTTCGACGTCCAATGCGAGAAGACACCAACGGCGGTGGCTTTGTTACGGACGCGGAGAGGCTGGATCTCGGCCGAGTAGGACCATGAGACGGGCAGGATGCCCGAGGTAAAGAAGTCAAGGTAGAGCTGGCAAAAGGTATCAGAGAATACGTCTTAAGTTGGGGGGAAATGGTGGGTGCACGTACAAACATGAAAGCCACGGCTGCAGCGGCGTTGGCGTACGTCCGCACGACAAGACATCCAGCAATGACGGCCATGCACATGGCACAACCCGCCGAAGAGAACATGATACTCCAACGACGGCCTATACGATCAATGTAAAAGTATGGAGGCCATGAGAAGACGGCGTACTGGGTGAAGGCGACACTGGCGAGGATCAGGGAAAGATCCTGAGTGTAGTCGAGATATTCTTGAAAGATGTAAGCGAGGTAGCTAGTTAGGTTGTCAGAATTGAGCAGATATCAAATGCGGATTTAACGGTGTGCTTACTAACACAGAGCATTCACGCCAGACCACTGATTCATCATGTATGGACCCATGCCGAGGCATACGCGCTGTAGGTTCCGAGATTTTGTCCTGTTGGTGAACACTTCGCTCCAAGATGGCTCGCCATCTTCCTCTTCGATAGCTATAGAATCCAAGATTTCATTCAGCTGGCCGCTGACTTCCGGGTCATCGTCAGGTCTGTTGAGTACGCGTGCGAGGATATGGCGTGCTTTCTCTACTTTTCCACGTTTTGCCAGCCATCTAGGAGTTTCTACGATCCAAGGGCATAGCATGAGGACAATCAGAGAAAATATAATCTGACAGGCGATCTGCATATGAGTGTCAGAGATGGACAAGAGCTAAAAGTGACTGATGAACGTACAGGAAAGCGCCATTGCATAGAGCTCTCGGCGAAGAGAGTTGCAAAGCAGATCCAAGAGGCAAGAGCAACACCGATAATGATGAGAGCGGATTGTACCACAAGAAGAGCGCCTCTGTTGTGTGCGGGAAGAGTCTCAGACTGCAAAATTGGGACGGCGACTGTGCTGAGGCCTACACCGATACCCACGATGATACGGGAGACAAACCTGTGTTGCCTCGTTAATCACGGGCAGATCATTGGATCCTTTACGTTATACATACATCTGCGCATAGCCGTATGACGTGGTCTGAATAACGGTACCAAGGATAACTGCACCATGTCAGCGAGACGTCTGGATACTCTTTTGAAATGGGGAAGAAGCTACCGATGATATTTGCAATGATTATAGAACGTTTACGGCCCATCTGCTCGCCGAAAACGAAAGCAGTTAGGGCTCCAATGGCGCAGCCAATATCGTAGATCGCTGTGACGAGACCAGTCATGGTAGAGCTTGCTGCGGAACATACGTCAGCACAAGCGGGGAAACCTATGCACGGCTTGAGTACTCACGGTTGCCGAGCATATCTTGAAACCTCTGACCGGCAAGAATACCTCCGAAAAGGCCTGTAGAACATCAGCGAACACCTCATTGCTTGATATTTGGACAAAGCAAAGCATGCCTTGATCATACTGGAACTTGGGTCAGCCAAAGGAAGTCCACCTGAGGCAGGGCCATAGACATACACCAAATAGTAGGAAGTCAAAACCCGAGACCATCAAAATCATGACGATGAGGGGTCGCCCCCGAAGCTCGAATATCTTCATTGCGAAAATGGTCTATCCCGTAGGTGGAAGGGAAAAGAATGAGCGGCAAGTGAAGCACACCCGTCTCAAGCAGAAAGGGTTGTTTATACGTTTACGCCAAAGATCAAGCATGCTCGGCATTACCAGAAGTGGCAACAATCCGGATTAAAGGCCGCTCTCCATTGTGTCAGCTTCTGGCGGTGACTTGACGTTGCCCAGTGGACAGTAGTATTAGCAAGGATCCATCGGCCACGTTATCACACTCGAGTGATATGTCACGGCTGTCTTGACGTGAAACCAAGCCTTGGATCTCCAAAGCATGCGAAAATGGGAAGCCGAAGAGCCGGGCGGGGTTTTGCGAAAATGCGGGGTACGGGATATGGGCTACTTCCCGTGGTTCACTTGCATGACCGAATCATGATCTGCACTCAATGCCGTCTCAAACGAATGGTCATTGGTTGCTCGAGTCAGCGATGGTCGTCTCAAGTAGTTGTGAGGTCAAATCTCGTTGGTGACACTTCACTCCTGTATTCGGCAACTACGTGGAAAATCCCCATGCTGAGGAATGTAAGCAGGAATGTATAGGATAGTTGGCACCACGCATCTTGAGAGTATGTGTTCACTCTAGAAAACACATGGAAGATATCCAAGCTTCAATTGACTTGACTACACCCGGCCTCCAGCTGAGTTGTGGTAGTTTTCTTCCATAACCGAGTGAACTTCCAGGAGACACCCTATTGAGCTATTAAAGTTTGCACTTCTATTTCCCGTGAACAACGCTACACTTCCTACGTGGCTAAAGCAAACACCATGGCGTAGATGAAAACATTGAAATCACACAAGAACATACAGACGTGGGGTTGAGTTGCCCACGTAAGTACGGTGTTAGGTCAAGCGGGAGAGCTCGGGGAGTTCAAATTCCCGTCCGTCCGCTGTCACGCTGGCTATCCCTCACCAACTCGAGTCACAAGGGTCGAGACCGTAGTCGTCGTCAGAAGTTCTGCATCTTTCTTCCATTCAGCTCCGTACAAATGCGCCATTTACTATAACCTACTCCTTCCATCTCACCCGCCGTCAGCGGCTTCTCCTCAAGGATCTCTACCATGCTTTTCTGCAACAATTCAATATTCAAATTACTTCTTCCGTATCATCCGCAATGGCGTCCCATCCTCTTGCGCTGAGTAGAATCCATGATGTCGACCTCGACGCTCATGAGACCGCTTACCGCTAGTCTATTAACTCCGTGTAACGCCCGCGGTCCGAACAAGCTGTGCACACGATAAATCCAAAAATAGCACACTCCATTCCCGCCTTCCAATTTAGCCCTCACCGCTTAACATCAAGAACGCCCATAGCGTCACCACGTCAACCGACAGAAGGCCGAGACATTTGACGAAAACCAAGAAAAAGAAGAACATAGCAAGAGGGGAACGGAGAAACGAAAGGACGAAAAACAAACTCGGTCTGCTCAACAATTCACAAACGACACCCGAGAGGCAAACAAATAAGAGACACCCTCGTGCCCGCCGTTCAATTTACCCAGAAAGGTGGACTGGTCCCTCGGCGATGCACATCATCCGTTGCACTAGACAGTAGCAGCAGTATTGCAGGAGAAACGACGTCAGCGCTAAACCATAAAAGGTTCCTTCGCAGGGTCGCATCCATTCATAGTGCATTCTTTCCACAGATAGAAATGTTTGCGCCGATCACCCAAACCACAGCCACACTTCTTGTGAGCATGGCACCCGTACCTGATCCTACTCTGCCGTGTTTCCTAGCAAAAAAGGTACCGTACGGTACTTCGGTCTTACAAGCCACGACAGCTAAGGCCGGCCACCAACACTTGGGGTCACAGGGAATGCATTCTTCGCACGAGACCGCAGCCAGCCATCATCCCCGCTGCCCAAAAATACAGGCTCGCTTACTGGCCCCGGTTCCTGATCCTTCCAGCCCTTCATCAGGCTAGGACGCACCCGCTCACGACACACCGGACCCAAATCCCTCTCGTAACACTGACGGTTGCGCTGTGGCGGCTGTAGCTGTCGCTCCTACGTAGCAGCGCCTCTCCCGGCCGTGGCAAGAAGGCAGTGCGGTGCATGCGCCCCATCTACGATTGGCGATCCTACGTTCCTGCGTGGCCCTATATAAGCTCGTGCGACAATCATTGCTCGTTTGTGCCATCATCATCACTCGTCGTCACTCCACCTATCCATTCATCGTTTCCAGAACCCGCCTATTCCAGCGCGTTCATCCCAACTTTAAAAAGGGGAGCAGAGAAGGTCCAACAAGGCCCACCAAACCAAAGGGAAAAAAACAACCAACAAGACACCACCACCACCACAACAACAGTGCTCCACCTCAAAACAACAAAACCCCAAACAACAACCCTCTTCAAAATGTTCAACCTCGCCCTCACCTCCACCCTCCTCCTCCCGGCCCTCGCCCTCGCGGCCCCAACCACCTCCACCAACCCCACCCTCTCCACCTCCAAGTCCATCAAGCTCGTCGCCCACGTCCTCAACTCCTTCGACCTCTCCCCCTCCGTCAACTCCTACGAGCTCAACCCCTTCGAGCTCGCCGGCGGCGACATGTGCAACAACGCGCTCGGCCTCTCCCCCTCCGGCTACGGCGCCCTCTGGCGGTCCGAAGACGGCACGCTGTACACGATCCAAAGCGGCAACGGCTGGGCGCAGAAGATCACGCTGAACATCCAACCCGGCGGCAGCGCGACGGTGCCGGCCGCGCGCGCAATCGGCGTGCAGTGCGGCGCCGGCGGCACCGAGGGCGTCACCGTCATCCCCGAGAACGGCAATGGCAACCCGCTGCTCGAGTACGGCCGCGACACCAGCGGCTGGATGGCCTGCCCCTCGAACATGCTCAACGCCAATGTCCCCGCTGATGAGGGCGCCGTCGTTGTTGGTTACCGTGACGCTGGCCAGCGCATCCTGTCGGGCTGCGCCGAAGTCGAGTTCGTGGCGTACTGCGCCGAGGATGACGGCAGCGCGCCGGGTGCCATGGAGCTGCCTTGCGTTGTCTCGGCATGAGTGGCGAGGGAAAAAAAAAAAAAAGAGCGCGGTGGGAATGGGTTTTAGCCGGCTGTTGGATTGGTGGAAGTGGACGCGGGTGGCAGGGGCAACTGCCGAAGCGATGCGGCGAAGGAGTGTGGCACAGCGATGTTAAGGCTGGGCGACAGGAGATTGGTCGAGATGCGCGCGTTTCTTGTTAAGCGAGTGGGGATGGCGCGGTGTTGGTGGCAGGGATTTAAACGGGTACGATCCTTGATGGGCCAGTAACATGTCTGGGGGTGTTGTCTTAATTAATGTCGAGGCGTAGAACGACTAGAAATTTTATGACCATTATGCAATTGATTCTGCTAAATGGGCGCGTTTCCTTGGCGTCGTGATGTTTCGTTCAGCGGGATGGGAGTAAATAGCGGAATCTATGTAGTGACATTCAGGTTAGATCGAGACGCCGTTGTTGTGTATTCGGCACAGACATGCTCAATGGTTGCATGGTTCCTTGTGAGAGCGAAAGGAATAATCTATAGTTACCTTGAGCCGCCGAGCAGGAAAATCAGATTCGCGTTCGTGGTATAAAGCGATATCAAGCTGCAGAGTAGAAGAATGTGCATCATCGTTTTGGGGCCTTCGCAGCGGCAACACATTGAACTGTGTGCTCTTCGGTGTATAGAGCCCAGAGATTCTGGTGGAGTTTGAAGTCCTTCGTCCCTTGAGGAGAAGTCATGATTAGCTACGACAGAGTGGTGATAAAAAAACAAAAAGCGCCTGAGATGCGACATGACGGTGAAAATATGACTCCATCCATTCCCCAATGATCTTGTACGTGGCAGTCGTGACGCGTAATGCAACGCTAAATGGGTATGTTGTGGTATGCAGGTATCTGATATGATGCGAAAGGCATAAGTGGGTTCCATTTTCTTTCCAATGCCGCCGGTGGGCATTAGGCGGTCCATCCGAAATCGTCTTCTGGCGTCGGGCCCCGTGGCCGTACAGGCAGCCGCCAACCAGGTTCTCGAAACTCTTGCAGAAACGATGTACCAAATTGGGAAGGGAAGGCATCGTATCGATCCGCACGTTTTTCGACCCTTTCAGTGGCTTAGCTGATGTCCAAGAGAGGCGGAAGGGCGGAATGCTTGCTCGCACCAGTAGACGCCATCGGGGTTGGTGTTCTGGAGCACCGCCCAGATATCTAAGGGTTGACGCAAACAACTGGTAAGCTCCTGTTCAAACGAGAAAAATTGGACATACCAGACCGTGCTTGGCCAAATACCGCTCACGAATAGATGGGCCATCGAGCTCGATAGACCCTACTTTTGATGTATGCCATGAACTCCGCCTGGGCTGATTGTCCCCACATTCGTCGTCTCGGTATTTCATCTTCAAAATAAAACAGGAAAAAGGAGGCTTATCCTTACCTTCAAACCCTTCCATCTTTTTCCGGACCCAACGAGCGTGATCCGGGTCTTCCTGGAGAACGTAGTAGGCCAAACTAATAGGCATGAGCCAAGAAAGCGCCGTGTCGGTTGATTTTGCAAACGTCTCTAGTAAATATTCGAATGACCGGGCGATTTCCATGGCTGGCTGGCGCAATGTGCGTGCTTGACCTGGCAGAAGGAGTGGTGTTCGCGGCATATTGGCGAGAATGTGATCTTGAAGATAGCTGTATTCGTCTGAAGACGATTGCTGACTGTCGGGCGATTGTGGGGATGGAGCAGGAGAAGAGTGCTGAGAAGATGGCGAGGGCGAGGGGTAGGGGAAAGCAGCAGGACGCAATTCCCCAAGAAAGCGCAATATCCATAATAGTACGGCATTGTAGAGGCATATCTCCATGGACTGAAGCCATCTCTGATAATATAGTGATGTCTCCAGGCCAGGAGGAATATCGGAGTGCTTAAGATCGCCCGGTGGTTTGGCCGGAACTTCAACGACTGCGTTTGGATTTTTTGATTCCCATTGCCAACGCCAGTGATAAAGATCTTGTAAACATCTTTCGACGCGAGTTAATAGGCCGATGCGTAGTGGAGTATCGTTGGTCGTTTTTAAAGTCATTTCGTCTTCGAGGAATCCTGGGACTTCGGAAAGGATGTCAAGCAGCTGGTTACTCGGGCTTTTCGCTGACGGGTCAAGCGCCCAGGGGATAGTCCTCCACTTTGTCTCTTCGAAAAAGAGGCGCTTGCGTTCAAGGAGAGCTTTCGATATCTACAGCCGTTAGCAGAGTCTCGGGGCGTTCGAGTGCGGATGAGCTACCAATAAATCTCTTGTAGCCTCGAATGCACTTAGCCACGGCTGGTGCTGGAACTTTTCGGGGCCACAAAGCAGGACCAACTGCTTGAGGCCGTCGTGATGACTCATATCGGAATTTTTGGCCACGGAAAACTGAGAGGGCGAATCAGTGAATGAGCCAACCAAGGTACACGATGTCGCACGCACATTGTACATCAACATAACCATGACCGGAATAATGTATTTGCCTGCATTCTCTTGATCGACTTTGGACAGCTCCTCGATCAGGAGGCGCAGTGAAACACCGTACTCGCTGGCCCCTCTGTCTTGGATCTTCTTCTGCCGCTGCGAATTACCAAAGAAGCCTAGGGCTAGAGCCTTACATGCGGCTTGCGACATGTCATCGATGGCGCCTTTAGCGGCCAGCTGCAGCCAGGGTCGGCCGAAGCTGCTGTAAACAAGGTTGGAGAAGGTGAAGGAGAAGGCCATGTCGTCGACGAATCCACCCAAGCCTAGCTCCTGCGGGACGGCGGGAAAGTAGAAGGCGAACTGCGGCTTCCGCCTTGCGGCGACGCGCTGGTCCAAGACATCACGGCGCTTCTGCTGGTGCTGGGGCTGGGGCTGCAGCTGGGATTTAGCCAGCGCTTTCGAGCGGGCAACGAGCGGGGCCGGGGAGGGCGACGGCGTGGCCGCGGCGGATGAAGAGGACGAGGATGATTGGCCGGCGGCGGTGTGGATCAGGAAGTGGATGGGCTTCTCGTAGCCCTGGCAGGTGTAGCCCGACTTCTCGCAGCGGCGGCAGGTGGGCTTCCGCTCATCTGAGGGGGTCAGCTCGGGCGGTCAGAGCTGGGGACTGTGGCTGCACGCACCGCATTTGATGTGCCGGGCGCGGCAGGTATGGCAGCCGCTGGCTCGGGGTTAGCACCACGGGCTGTCGTGCGGAAGAGGCGTTGACTGACCTGCTGCGGCCCGGAACGCCGACCATGGATGCGGCGGAGGCGGACGGCAGGCATGCAAGGGCGGCGGAGGGTGAGACGCGGGCACGTGGAGGCAAATATACAGGACGGGGAGGGGAGCGACGGAGAGTCAGACAGCATGGCACGTCACGCGTTGCGGGCGCGGTAGCGGGGAGCCAAGGACGGCATAAATATAGCGACAGGGCGAGGGCGAGTCAGGACGCTGCGCAAATCGCTGATGGGCTGAAGACTGGAGATGGTCTGAGTCGCCGGCAGCTGGCGGGGAGATGTTGTGTCGCTGAGAGCCGGCCCGAGACGCCATTGGCGGCCTCTTTTGCACACCACAGCCGCTACATATACGCGTACCAGCACGCGCCCGCCACCAAGGCCCGCACCCGCCAACACCGTTGTGCCGCCGGCCCGCCCGTTGCTGTCTGCTGCTGCTCCCCAACTCTCTCTCTCTGCGATCGCCCACTCCTTACCGTCTCATCAGGCGGCCGGCTCCACGCGGTCTGCAGGGTCTGGACTCTGCATCCTTGCCGGCCCGATCCTCCCGACGCCTGTTGGCAGCCTGCTCGCCCTGCTGTCGCGGAGACGGAGCCTGCTCCGCCCTGTTGATCTGTCGCGAAAGCGCGCTACCTCGCCGTGAATAATAGGGTCCTGGCGCCCGTTCTTTTTCACATGAGCCAACATCCACAATCTCGCCTAAGACCCTTTCCGCCGGACACTAACAGCACCCGCTGACGACCGCCGCCGTCCAATCAGTCCGTCCTTGTTTTCGTCCGCCCGCTGCAAATTTGGATCTGCCCGCTCAACCCTCGCGGCCAGGAACCGCTGCCATCGCCTTGCGTCGCAGAGTGCTTTTTTACTTTTCGCTAGCTCTGCTGCCGATCAAGCCCCCGACAGCTGTGATCGCCGCGCAAGGCGTTGCCAATGCGTAAGCAATCCGCGCTACTCCTTGTCCCTTATTAGCAGTATGATTTCCACCTCAGCCAGTTCGTGCGTAAACTTTATCCGCCGCCCTACTGCTCCCACCGCGGCTGATCGTTCCCCCGAATGCTCACCTGCCGTATTGGAAGGATTTCGACTGCCAATGGCGCCGACTTGAAAAGACGGCCTCTACCTATACTGCTCATCCGTATCTCAGGAGCAGTCCGTAAGCGCAAACGCTCGGCGCCTCATCTGGCGATCTGCGGATCCCGCCCATTCTGGCTATTGCAAGCGAGTTAAGCGCGGCGTGCTTTGCTGTCACAAAAACCGGTCTTCCGGTGATGCCTTGGATTCCTGCTTGCCGCGGCTCCGCCGTCCCCTGATACGAGCAGCACATCCTCTGGCCAACACTTCACTTACTTCTCGCCTGCCATCCGAGACCTAGCCTTGCGTTATATTCGCTATCTTGCTCCCAGGCCAATCTTTTCCGATCTAGTTCGGATCGAGACACGCGCGGAGCAGGCGATGATCTCCGACGTTTTCCCTACGTACGACAATCTATCACAATCTGTCGTAATTCGCCTTTTCGAAATCGAGTGCGTTGTCTCTCGTAAAGGAAATCATCACCAAGTCTTTGAAATGGGGGCCTCCATTTCTCTACTTTGTCTCTCTCTCTCTGACCCAAAGTCTCGCGGGTAAAACGATGAACATGCATCCCCCTGGTAGCACGTGTTTGAGCGGTTGAGAGACTACTCGAAGTAGCACCGGTCAGAATTCTTCCGTCCGTTGTTGCCCCGCTAAACGGTCTTTCGAGTGGATCGGTCACCTCCGTCAACTGCCGAAAAAACCGGAGCGGTTGGACGTCCTGACAAGAGAAGAGTCGCGTTCGATTACGCAACGAGCTCGCCAAGCCGTGCAAAAAATGTCTTTGCGCTTGTTGGACGCATTAACGATTCATTCAGGCGCTTCACCGGTAGCGAAGGACCACAAGATCGATAACCGGCTGATCTATCACATTCGGATGGGCTGACGAGCCGGCACTTGCAGACTTGCCGGATGATAATTGGGCCGGGGTCCTAGTATCTAGTGCTTTGGCAGAGGCTTCTTGGCGCTTCAACACAGATTTTTCTGGATGCTCACGAGACCGTCCGGGTCAAGGGATATCCATCAACTGCACATCTCAGGGGTTGCGTACAGACCCATTGTCGTTGCAGGTTCACTTAAGATGATACCCGAAACTTTCGCCTCACTCCTAACACGGACGTCGGTTCTGTATGGCAGGGTTCCCACAACGACTACCCTAACGGTGCAAACCCAGGTCGTCGTTTAGCCGAGGTTTCAGATGCGGACCATGCAGGGCAGAATAGACTGTGGGAATGGCGGGGTTGCTATGAGCACGGGATTGAGCGGACCCAACCATAGAGGGAAAGTCAAAAGAGAAGCTGGAACTACTGGAGAAGGGACCACTGAGCGTAAAACGCCAAGGCTCGCGATACTGTCAAGCATCACGAATAGTGCTTCAAGGAGATGGTTCCAACGACCGGTTTCTGGAAGCGAGTCAGTCGAATGGGAAAGTTTAGATCTACTTCCATCGCGGCTCCATTATTCGTACAGCCGCCCAGCCCTCACTCTTCCCGTCCTTGGCAATCCTTCACCTACCGCAGCCACCGAGATCCTCCCCACCTGCTCATCCGGCTGCACATCCCCCAACCTCACCCTGACTCCCTTCAGCAACCTGCCCCTCTCGCCGTCCCCCAGCGTCGTCCCGCCCGCCGCCAACACCTCGCCCGCATACGGACTCAACCGCACCATCGTCGACGCATTCATCCGCAGCTCCGGCACCGTCGTCACGAAGCCCAGCACGATGCCCGCCGCACTGACGGCGAAGACGACGAGCGCCGCCACGAACACGACGACCAGCCAGCCGAGGTCGCAGCGCAGCGCCTGGTAGCCGGCCTGCACCGTCGCGTCGCGGCTGACGGCGATCTCAGCAGTGCGGTTGCCGACCTGATCCGTGTGGGCGGCCAGGTCAGCAACACGCCCGACGGGTAGCAAATAGTCCATGATCAGCGACGCCCACAAGCTGTTCATCAGCTGCTCGAGGCGGAACGCGAAGACGGCGGGCGGCACGTCCTCGGCAGTACGGAGCGCCGTCGTGCCGTTGTCGTCGGCGCTCCACGGCCGGTCCGGGTCCTGCAGGTAGTACTGCAGGCTGCTGAGCGGGTTGGGCGAGTTGAAGGCCGTCGTGAAGAACTTTGCGAAGAGCCAGAGGTTCTCGCCGACGAGGTTAGCACGCGCGTCGCGCTGCGCCGCCGTCAACGCGTCGTCGCTACTGCTAGCGTTCCGTATACGCAGCACCGAGACCGTCTCCTCGGTGCAGTTGACCCCGACGGCCAGGAACGTCGGCGCGTACGTGCACTCGGCGTGCAGCACGCAGCCCGCCTCGCCCTCGGTGCAGTTGCCCGTCCGACTCTCGTATAGCAGCCGCTGCCGCGTCCCCGCCTGCTTGCCCGTCGCCACCACGCTCGTCGCCCCCGGGAACTCGTCGATCGGCGGCCCGAACCACGCGTCGTTGTCGCGTAGCGCGGTGAAGCGCGGCTGCGTAGTGAGGTTTTGGCATGCGACGGTCCAGTAGGATGTGTTGAGCTCGACGTACATGCTCGCGCCGGACAGCCGCGGGACGTTGCCGAGCGGGATGCCGACGAGCGAGGAGTAGGAGGCGTTGGGCGGGACGGTGATCCAGGAGGCGGGGTCGGCGGGGGCATCGGCGCTGGTGAGTAGGAGGGCTTCGAGAGAGGGGATCTTGACGTTGCCCCAGAGGTCGACGCTGGAGTTTTTGACCGAGGCGGGGCTCATGATCGCGGCGGTGAAGAAGGTCGTTTTGGAAGAGAGGGCGTAGCTGTCGGACGCGTATCCGGGGTCGAAGGCGGCGGTGTAGTTCATCGTCGGGTAGTTGATCGATATCGACGTGTTGTCGACTTGGTGCTTCAGGTCCAGGATCCGGAGCGTTGCTTGACCGCCAAGTGGTGAGATTATCCAAAGGAATATCAAACTGATCCCTACGGGCCCGTACGCCCTCAGTTGGAACTGCGTGATGATTGTGCTGAGGACGGAAGTGCTGCCGAGGAGTTGATCTAAAACACCAACTCCTTGCCCTTTCTCCAGCTGCCAAAGCGAGATAGTTCGCAGATTTTTTGCGACCACAGCAGCAAAAGCTATGGGAAACACGGAGGGCCCCTATGGTTTGAAATCAGTTTATGTTGCAAACGAGGCGGTGGAGACGCACCAGATTGGCGACCTCTCTGAGGAAATCATACGGTAGGTCTTCAAGCCTGACAGAATCAAAATGCCGCACGAGGCCAGCGTATACCATAACAAATAGAGAGAAGAGGATGGCCAGAAAGTTGCCAAAGTTGTCCCAAAAGAAGTTCCTGTACGAGGACTGCAAGCGCTTAGGTCCATCTGGCCACCCCTGCACTATTTTGGCCTTTTTCGGGCCCTGTTCAAGGCCATCCAACGGGAGCGGAAGATACTCTGGCATAATGTCCCGCCGCAATCCCCGGAACGGGCCTCGAGATAGGCGGGTCAAGCTGTCGTGGCTCGCTGCGGCCACTTGGTCAGTAAATCGACGGCATCCCTGGGTTGAGGTAGTCGAACTTTTATATGGTCGCTTAACAGAAAACTTACAACTGCCGTGCTTAGCTGACGGTAGATTTTGCCATCGTTGCGTTTCAACGCTGCACGAGCAAGGTTGTCCAACTAATAGCGTTGATCCTTCTGCACTAAATTAAGCAGCCGTCTTACCTTCGCCAATAGAACATGCAAAAAAGATCCCGCTGCTCGATCCTGCTTACTTCAGCGGAAATTGAGATTACTTTGCGACGGTGCTTGACCAACGGTCACCCGGTACAAGAGTTCTCATCGCGGCTCAGCCACGGAGAACAAAAACCACCAACGGCTTACGCGTGGCTGTGTGGTCTTCGCGCCAATCAACCAGCGGCACTATCGGGGCTGAGCTCCTTATCTGCCGCCTTTATGACTCTATAAAGTATTCATAGAGGCCAAGCCACAGGCACCGAGACCAAAACTTGGAGGCAGGATACTTGGCCGTACAGGCTGAGTGTGGGCTCCATAGCCGTACAAAATTTTATAGTATAGACTAATAATTTCCCTGGGTCAAAATTAAATAAAAAGAAAAGGGAAGGAACTTCAATAAAAGTTATATTCGGGAGTTTCTCTTTGACATTTGGCCACATTCCATACCCAGAACCTTTCGTCCGTGAATGTCTATTAAATACTAGAAATTTGATATTCTGTTAGTAAGCACTGCTTACAACATACTAGAAATACTAAGAAAAGACCGTTGCATTTTCATAAGGATCTTTGCAAGTTCATGCCTGACTTGAGCCAACTTTAGCCGCCATTTCTCTCTCCTTCATCACCACCTCAAAGTACCTAATTGTTTCAACACAAAGCTTACCCTTGAACGGTCCACTCAGGGGTTCCTGTGCACACCCCATTGGTGTTCTTCCACAATTATCCACAGCATCCAATGATGCGCCCTGTGATACCAAGATCTCTGCTGTGTCAAGATGGTTTCTTTCGGCTGCGTAGTGAAGTGGTGTCTCTCCATAATTATCCGTAATGTTATGATCAGCGCCCTTTGAAAGAAGTAGAGAAACGACATCCGCGTGGCCGCCCTCAGCTAAGGAGTGTAAAGCTGTCTTTCCCATTCCATGCTTGACATTGAAATCGGCACTGGCGCCGTTCGAAAGCAGTATAGAAACGACTTTTGCTTTGGTTGGTCTAGATGAGTTGTACTGGAGTGCGTAGTGTAGAGCCGTGTTCCCTTGGGTATCTGCAATACTATGATTGGCGCTTTTTGAAAGAAGGAAAGAGACAGCATCCGCGTGGCCAAAATTAGCTGCATAGTGTAGGGCCGTTCTAAGATGGGGATTTGTTGCCGCCTCAATGTTCGCTCCCTCTTTAAGAAGGATAGAGATGGTATCTACATGACCATTTCTAGCTGCGTAGTGTAGGGCAGTTTCTCCATTACCATTAGCCGCCTTAACATCGGCTCCGTTGGTTAAGAGAAATAGTATAACGCTGTTGTGTCCGAATTCTGAGGCCTGTTGAAGGGCGTGTTGCCCAGAATTATGCGCATCGAGCTTCATGCCTTGATGAAGTAGGAGCCGGACTGTATCCTTGTATCCACGACGAGCTGAGTAACATAAAGCTGAGTAAAGCTCCTCATTAGTGTACCTTGCACTGTCGTCTACAGCGAGCAGGTCCCGAACGACGCGAGTAAGACCTAGGAATGCAGCGCAACATAGGGAAGATTGCGAAGGATCATATGTGGCTTTGGGCCAGGATATGAGATGTGACGCAAGAGGTAAGTCGGATTTCAGCAGTTCTACTATCATTCCGTGAATTTTCTCATCTCGACTCGTTTCAGCGGCGTGAAGGGGCCAAGTTCGGGCGGCAAAGTTGGCAAATGGAAATTCTTTGTTGGAGTCAGAATCCACAGACAGCAAGTATGACAAGCAGACCTCGACGATCGATGCTTTTGCAGATTTTTCTTCTAAAGAATTTGCCAAATCTTCGTGTAGGCGGTCTGAAGTAAGGTACTCCTGCACTGAGAAATGTGCAAGACGAATCTGGGTTGATGATCCGGAACCATTGCCGACCCTGGTGACCAGGCTGGTGCAGTATAGGAGGATTTCCTCTGGATTTGGCATTCTGTGTTTCCGAATAAATCCCGGGCGTTTCTCTGGAAATACCGCAATGGCGTCGACAAGTTCTTCCATGCTCGGCGGTTTGTCAGAATAAGTGATGAACTGGAGTATGCGGCAAGCATTACGCCGGTGCTCTTGAGGAATGCGCTGTACGATCCGGGCGTATGTCTCATCCAATGTTTTAGGCAATGTTGCAAGGGCCTGGCGAAGGGTGTACTCGTCTAAGCATCTTCCAAGAACATCAAGCTGGCAAGAAACCCATCGAAACCTGTTATTTGTCAGTCGGGTCCAGACAGAGCAGCTCTTGAACTTACATTCCGTCGGCTTTCTTTAGGAGGGCAGCTTCTACTTCTTCTTGAATCTCTGGTTGTGATCGCCACCGACTAAGACCATCATGTTCTCGGACTCGGGTGTGGACGTAAGCTCGTATGTCATCTGCCACGAGATTGCTTTGAATAGATATCATGTCTTTTTCCCGGGCCCATGCGCCTATTGATGACTTGATATCTTGCTCCATGCGGCCTGTTACGACGAGGCGAGTGTCAGGAATCTGTTTCAATTCCTTGATCCAGCGAAAAAGGCCATCAGCCCGATTTTCGCATTCGTCAAGCGCATCAACGATGATGTAGACATGACCGGCTCCAAGAAGCATTTCTCGTAAAGTATCGAGCAAATCTTGAAGGCTCGGTTGTTGCGTCCCATTTGCGCAAGCAGCATAAAGCTGGTCAACATACTTTTGTGAGCCCTCGGTCCTGGCAGTCACCATTTGAATGATGAGTGACCGTATCATGCCCTCATACTCCTGCATACTCTTTTTCGAGAAAGTGAAGTAGTAGTAGAGCACTGTTTGGCTAGCTGTCTTTCGATCTTTCAATTCCCTGATGATGGTGGAGCTCAAAATCGTCTTGCCACATCCGGGAATTCCATGCAACCACAAGAATCTGGTTTTACCCATCATCCAGTCGGTAAATGAGGAGCTTCGGAGGAACCATTGGCCTGTCTCCGGGTGATGTTGCGTGACAGAGTTGTTGAAAATGGTTGATGGATCCGGAGGAGACAGCCAGTCATGCTGTCTGTGCTCCATTTGTACAGTGTGCGAGTCGCGCACTTTCTTATCAACTTTCAGAAAGTCAGTAATCTTCATTACCCAGATCCAGGGATTAAAACCTTACTCTTGTCCAACGCTTCACTAAATTTCTCCTCCGCCTCAACTCGATTGGGCGCGATGTGGTGAAGAAGATCCTTGGCGTATGCAGCAGCCGTCATTGCTGCAAATCCCTGCCATCGCTTACTTTTGTGCGAATCTGCATAGTCGCAGATGCCGCGGATGACCAAGCAGGGGAAGTGGTTCATAAGTCCAGCGGCCTCCATTTCAAAGCACAGGACATTGTGTTCCCTGGCGAGCGTATCTCTGATAACAGCATCTTTCATCAGCTTATTCGCGGATGCGATCAAGCCGTAATGAAGAGCAGGGTCATCTTCCTCTTCGTCTCTCTGTTTTCTGGAGACCAGATTGGATGGATTGCTATTGCAAGTGTCTTCACAACTGTTACCGCTCTCCAGTGGATGCACGAATCCGCTCTTGAACAGTCGATCGCTAGCTTCGTCTGGTCGACCGTAATTCTTTTTGAGATTCGGCTTGTCTTTAAGAGCGTGTTCGATTGCAGCTTTGATGCCATGTCCTTCAAGTTCGTAGGTTGCTTGTAGGTTAGCCACAGCCGTACGCAACGACGTGGGTGGTTGGTCAAGGAACCCTGTGTGGTGGAACTTCTGATCCTGGATGGTCTTCCCATAGTCATATTGCCACACGCCTCCTGTCCCGCCACCGGGGGAGCTAACAACAATATCCCCCAGCCTGATGTCATGGCCGGAGCTTGGCGCACCCCCGCCAATTCCAACCATCAAGCCGATCCTGACATTGGGAAAGCTGTGCATCATGTCTCTTGCAACAGCCGCAGCAGAGTTGTTGCCATACTCGCCCCGAGGCAACACAGCGATGACGACATTATGGAGCCCAATGCGCCCAAGGGTATAGCCGTTGTTGTCGTTTTGAGATACACTCTCCGCTTGCTCGTGCTTTTCGTCGAGGAATGCGCGTGCGGCAACGTACTCCGTTTTGATGGCGCAGATCCAGCCGACGGTGTATTTCTTCGGGTCTGACATCCTGAATCGTGCAAGGGAGACTCTGTGGTGCTATCAGTTTAGCGAAAGTTGAGATATGATACCGGCACAGGCTTACCAGTTGACCGCAAGTGCTCTTTGTAGAAATCCAGCGGAGCAACAAATGTGTTGCCCAGGGAAGTCTTTACGGCTAAGTAGACTGAGTATAATGATATCCCAGTACCCTCAGCACCGTTTGGATGCGCTCACGGTGGCAATAGATACGCTCCAAATGGCGTACCGTAGTCGAAAAGTTGATCGAGGGTGAGCCAAACTTTGGTAAAGCTGCTGGGCAGTGCTCACCCTTTCATTTGAAAGGGTGAGATTCCCATCAGAGGATACGATGCTTCTCAAACAAGAGCAAATCGACTGAACAAGATCATGATGCAGTTGACAGTTGGCCTCGAGAGAAGGCGGATGGGAGAAAGCTGAAGAAGCCCCTCTTTCAGCTCCCCCAGTGGAGTAGTACATGGTCTTGTACGACCGGACTGTGCGAGCATGACAATCTGAGAACCTAATGTTCACCGAAAATTACTAGTGAACGTAGATTCACGTATGCATAGCCTGCTGGAGCAGTATGAGAAGAGCAGGAAGCAAGACATAAATCCCAATCAAGATCAAGTAAATGGTAAATCAGCAATTCACGTTGCTGAAGAGATGTGTGCCCGAAGCCACCAGGCAGCAGCGCCAGGAACGCTCTGTGGAACATAAGCTACACTTGGCTCACGGGGCTGTATTGCTGACACCATTGTTGCCTAAAGGATCTTTTTGTCTTACAGACATGTCGACAGCTTACGAGACGTGCCCTCTTCTGCCGTTATGCGATCGCAGGCAACTTACTCCACATTGTTTAGCGATTGAGGTGACTCTATACAGATTACATAGACAGGACTCTCTCTACACGATCACCCAAGACGCCTATAGCTCGCTCACTCCAAAACTCCTCCATGGTTTCCGCCGCCAACCTCAGCTGTTCCCCGCCCTCGAAAGCCTTTGCCTCACCCTTCTTCTTCCTCTGCAAAGCCTCTTCTTCCACCTTCGTCTCTTCCAAGATCTTCAAAACCATGACCAAAAACCCATGATCGTTACTATCGCCCGGATGAGCCAATGATGGGTAGGCGGTGCCCATTTCCTCCTGGATCCGCTGTCGGACGGCACGCATGAGCGCGTTGCACGTCTTCGTCAGGGCGATGTAGTCGATGGTGATGTCCGGCAAGATGGCCGGCATGAGGGACTGCAGCGCCTCGACAGACTGAAGCGGCGTCAAGCGACGGCGGCGAAGACTGTGGCTGGTGCTCTTCTTCTCGGTCTTGCTCAAGCCGATAGTGGTAGCGGCGTTCGCGGAGCTCGCCACAGGCATGTGCTCTTGCAGCTGGTCGTCAACCTGCCTGATGACGCCCTGGACCGGCTGCTTGCCGTCGATATACTCGCGGAGGGCCTTTGTTGCAGGCGTGACGTGCAGGAATAGCTTCTGCTCCTTGTCCATCTTTCTGGGGCGAGCGCTGCTGCCGATGCGAAAGGCCATTCGTGCGAAGAACTTTTCCGGTGTGTCGGGTACGTCGTTGGCGAAGATGGGGCCGGCGTGGAGATCCATGACGCGTTCCAGGTCGGGCCAGCTGATTTGAGTGAGTCGGAGCTGGCGGATGGCGTTGTAGAGATGGGCTGTTGCGAAGATGGAGAGATGGTGGTTGGAGAGGGCTACGCCGGCCTCTTCGTTCAAGACGTCCAGCTGGAGAGCCATCATGCCGCACAAAAGGGGATTGTGTGTGACGGCAAAATTGGGTTCCGGTGCTGGCGGAATTGGTCTCAGGTCGAGCTTCTTGGCATTTCTCTTATGCTCCTCTGACGGGCCGTCATCTGGATCCAAGCCCTTCTTTCGAAGACCTTCTCTAATTGCTTCCCGCACTTCTGGCGGTGCGTCATCCATGGAGTATCCCGGAGCAAGGTTGTCCTTATTGGCTGCCATCATCATCTTCTTAAACTCGCCCACAGGCAGGTATGGGATATGCATCTCAGTCAACTGGTAGATGTCCATGATAGTGTTCTGATCCTTAGTAAGCCAACGTGTGTCGCCCGTACCCAAAGACCCATCTGAGTGGATTTGGAACTCGATGTTCCGCTGTGTGTGCTTGCCCATTTGCAGAAGATCTTTGTGGAAGCTAGGTTGGTCGCTGGTGATTTCAATGATATCCAGCATTATTCGAGATGCAAATACGTTATGGGCGCTGACCTCGCCTTTGGTCCACAGACGTTCCATGCTTTTTGAAAAGCCATCCTGAACATCCGGAAGGACCTTCGCGGAGCCAATGCCAGGAAATTCCCTCATTTTGTGGATGAGAGCAACCTCATGGAGTAGTTGAGTCAAGGTTCTGTCCTTTTCAAGTTTCTCGTACTTTGGAAGCTCAAGTAGTTCGGGGCGTGCGATGTAGCCGAAGCGCATTTGGGGAACAGGCACAGGCCAGTTGATCTTGTCCATATACTTGGCCATATCAGCCGCTTTCATGAGCACACGGGCTGTTGGCAAGTAGATGAAGTCGTCCAGATCCATGACTTCCAAGGATTCCGGAGAGCTGAGATATTCATCGGGGTCTCTGCCATTGCGGAGAGTCTCAGCGTAGAAAACAGACATTGCTACTCTGTCATAAGGCCTTTTGTACGCGTGGAGAGTTGAGGTCGCGTCCAGAAGATCTTTCTCGGCATGCTGTACCAATTCGATGGCGGCGTTGGTGGTCATGGTTGCGGAGACCAGGTCCAGCTTTTCATCCTGATACTTCTTCCACACATCCTTCAGCGTATCCTGGATGGAGTGCAGATCCTCGAAGAAGCAGTAGCAGATGAATGCATCTTCCCAGGCGGGGTCGGCCTCGAGTTCAAACACCTCATTCTTCGTCGCACTACCGCTCTTCGAAGCATCGGCAGAAGCCAGCGCAAACTGGTCGCTCACATACTCAACATCAAGCGCCTCGAACTGATTCCTGTGTAGATTGTTAGAATTCCCGAGAATCAAGACAGCCGAGTCATACCGTAAATCAAGCAGCCCATCCTTCGACTCATCTGCGCTCGGACCCTTTACGTCATCTTTCTTGGGAGTCACAGATCCAATGCCCTCTGCAGAGCATCAATGAAATGCCTATGCCCCTCGTTGCTCCTCCTCGCTTCCACCTTGGCTGTTTCGAACCAATCCGCGCACCTCCGCCTCGCCGCGATCGCCCGCTTCAGTAGCAGCTGCACCGCGTCTGGCATACGCACGCCCACCTGCGTTGCTTATGCCACGGCCTCAGCTTGCGCAAGTAGGTCCTGCGTCGAGAGCTTGTAGCGCACTGCATTTGCTTTTTTGGGCGGTTCGCCGCTGCTGGTGGCGGTAGATTGCTGAGCGGCCGCCTTCGCGGCTTTGCGAGCCTTGCCTTTGAGGCGGCCGCTCTGCGCTTGAGCGGTGTTGGTAGAAGGTGCTGAGGAGCCACCGGGTTTTGCTGGCTCTGCATCCTGCAATGGTTTCTTTGGTACTTTCCAGCCGACGGCGGCGGCAGCTTGGGATAGCCATGTGGTAAAAGCGGTGGTGTCTTCTTTGTAACGGCGGTAGCTGCCGGAGAGGAATTCCGGAAGCGACATCTTGATGAACTTTCGGCTACTTGGGAGAAGGATGATGGATCACTTTGCCTGTACACAGTACGTACCTATCGCAGCGCTACTGGCTGTGACGTAAGAAGTGGGGTTCCGTTGGGCGCCCAACTCCAAGAATTACGTGCTGCTACACGTGTGGTAGCTCGACAGCTCGTGAGGTCTGAGAACTTGTGTGAACTTCGCTCTATTGTTCCTTTAATTCACCGTATCGGAAGACTTGTTGGAAAGAAGGTGCGCAGAATGATCTGTAGAATATCTGCAGGCAGCGTAGAATATGTACGCTGCAGTAGCTAACTGGCAAACAGCAAACAACAAACTAAGAGAGGCAAATATCATAGGATCTACTAGGTATTCTGTCAGAAGCCAAGCACCCTGTCAGATTCAGTGCCATCCACCGCATCCGCTCTGCAGCAACTCCAAGCATTACGACACGGACTGGCGGTGAACTACCAGTGACAGCGAGGCGACTAACTGTTGACCGGGAATCATAACCTCAATTTGCAATCAACTCTACCACGTACGACCATAGGTCGCAGAATGCAGGGCTTCCCGTCCGCTCAGCCGTACTTAAGCTGCGAACCGGCCGATTAGTACTCAAGTGGGTGACCATTGGGGAATCCCGGCTGTTGTACGTTTTGTTTTGTGCAAACTTTTTTTCTTCGGTCCGGCTCGCGGCTCGGGCCGTGCGGGAGACTCATGGCAACACACAATCAACAGCCATTTTGTTTTGTATCTGTTACTATTACTATTACAGGCCGCCGGAATGCATGTACATGCAAACAGCTACGGTCTACAGAGAGGCGCAAACCTCGTCATTCTATTAAGTGTTCGCCGTCTTTACCAGTGTGGAAAATAACAGCTTAAGGTTTCAAGACGGCCATGGAAAGCAAGAGTAATGGAAGAAAATAAAGAAATGGTGATGGGAAATATGTACTTTCAATATGTTGTGGTTTTATGGAAAGGTACGAGGCGCTACCGCTTAACTGATGATGATAAAAGCGCCGCCTTTATCTTAGCGATCTTTTTCTACTCCTGAACGATAGGTCAGAAAGGACGATATATAGAATGACCGAAATTCTTCTCCGGTTAACATACATTCTCATCCCCGAGCATGAAAATTTGACGAGGCCACATTGAAGCATAGGTAGTAGTACTAGGGCCTGTCGAGCCTTAGGCCGGATCATTCGTAAGAAGTTCGTCCCAATCCGTACCAAAAAAAGGCTTCTCTTCCCCTGCGCAAAGAGCACCTTGTGGCTAGATTGGCGAGTAGCAGAGACTACGTATACTCAGAGGTGAGGGTAGTCTTGATTAGGCCTTCTATTCTGGGCAAATACCATGTGCGGCCCTTCGTTCTTGAACAAGATTGAATGGAAATTGAACTCAAGAGATGTTGGATAAGCCGATCGGATGTGGTTGTGTTACCATCTCGCCAAGTTCCCGCTAATCCTTAACCAAGAAAATTGAACTATTGGAGCAACGGAGGTCGATTCTCCATGGATACGAGCAGCGCCTGCGAAGAAGGGCCGATGATTGCTCATGGAGATAGCGGACGTATATTACAATAGCTGATACCAACAGAGAGCTACAAGCCATTTGTCATCGTTTCCGCGAGAAATTAAAGCCCACGGAACACTCTCAATCCGATCCGATAGTAATAGATGTGGGGTGGGCCAGGGTTGGAAGCAAGCGGGTAATGGCCGAGAAGATGGTGCATTACGTGCCAAGCTTGAAGTGACTGTCACTGTAGCGCGTTACATTGTCGAAGCCACCGCCACGGATTCTCACGCAGGCGTGAGTTGACCACACTGGGAGTTCGGCTTGTGAGAGAAGAAGCTCACTTTTCCCGGCATAGTTTTGGTCAGTCTCGATGCGGCGGCACGAAGAGAGGTCAGGGAATCCTGTGCACTATTTGGCGCGCTCAAAATTACTCGTGCTGCTGGGCCAGGAAAAATTGTAACTGTCTTCAGGTGGTGAGAATGCTACTGGCAGGGTGATTCAACAACTTCAATGATTCAGGATACTCCCAAAGTTAGAGCGAAAGTCAGAAATGGACGTCGGCGATGTTATGTAGCTTTCGATGCGCAGATGCGCATGAGTGCCCCGCATATCGTCACCCTCCCAGGGTCCCCTGCAACGTGACGTTCACGCGACCAGTTGGAAATGTGTCATACGTCGTATCTGCAAAAAATATCTAGTCTAGACCCTGAATCTTCCTGCAAGACAGATGCACCGGCATTCAGGGGAAGGGTCTAGCTTGGATTTCCAAGAAAATCCGGGTCCTTAGGTGGCGGCACTCGAATTATCAGGGCTCTGAATGGATTTATGGCGCGAAATGTCTGCGTTAAGCTTTCAGCTGCAGCCATTCATGCACGCTGATAGCGAACTTAATAAAGTAACGGATACGAAAGGCTTCCTGCACGTCATCAGCTGAACTCAATTCTGCCGAAGGCTTGTCGAGGTAGACGATCAGCGGAGAAGAACCGGCACTGGTCATTGATGCTTCTTTTATGTAGCTTTAAATTCAAACCCTGATCAACCATGCTATTGTGACCCAAATGAATTCAATTTGCCTTTGTTGCGCTAAGCAAAGGCCTATCCGTAGGCAGATGGGAGTGATCTTTTGATGCAAGAGTGTCCATGGTTCTTGACACCTGCGTCGGGAATAACTTCAAGTTCACCTCATTCCCGCCTCAATTTCCAAAACCAGCAACAAGCTGCTTGTTTCCGAGCGAAATCTTAAACAACCAACTATGTCTCACTACCCCATCACGAATCCCATCACTGCACTGTAGCTCCAGAGGTCACTTTACCAGGGTACTTCTGCGCCATCATAGTTGATGAAGTGCCCATTGGTTCGTTCATGCGTTGCTTCGGCGACCTGAACAGATGGTAAATTTATGATCCAGCGATAGCTTTCATGATTCTTTTGTAGACGTACCACTTTCATGATCCCAGCGGCGCTCTCCTGCACCGGAATTGCCTTCAGTCCTGGGGGAGCCATAATTGGCATTGCGGTAGCCGACATATCCGTATCAACGAGCCTATCCGGAAACTTATATCAGCCGGGGGAAACTATTTTCTTACTTTGATCCTGGCCTTTTGTGCCTTTGCCTCGGGGGTGGTTATACTTACCCGGGACTGATAGACCAAGTAGTGACACCGTCATTCTCGATTGCCAATCGCCTCACAATGTAATTCGCAAACGCTTTCGACGCGCCGTATATTCCCGCAGGTGCTTTGCCGATTCTCTCGACCAAGTTCAACGCTCCCACCGGGCTCGAAATGTATGCAAATTTTGGCTCGTCAACCTTGGACTTCCGCAGAAGCGGCAGCGTGTTCTGGAACAGCCGTAGCATGCCATATGCGTTGACTTCAACATGCTCTTCCAGTGCGGTGACGACCTGTTCCCCTTCGGCCAACGCGGAAAATGTAGAGCAGATACCCGCATTCGAAATGACAATGTCGAGACTGTTGATTCCGTGATCCGCCTGCAGACTACCAATGGCACCTGAGATTGACGTTACGGAATTGTAATCAAGCGGCAACAGAATCAATGTGCTGTCAGGTCCTTTGGGGAGGGCCGAGAGGGATCGGGGGCCATCAGCAGCAGGGTCACGGACAGAGGCAATGACAGTGTTACCACGCCTTGCGAGATATGCTGCCACGAGACCTCGTCCGACTCCTTAGAAAGGATTAGTTTCAATAGCTATGACAAGGGCAAGTGACAGCCAGAGAGCTTGCAGACATACCTCGACCAGCACCAGTGATGAGAACAGTAACGTTGTCCGACATCGCAGATGATTTTTGTTGAAGGTTTTTTGAAGGAAGGGGTACAACACCTTATACTCTGACTGCCGACTCTCTCTTGTTGGGGTTTGGGAGTAAGAGCGTTTGTGCTACAATTAGCTATAGACTTTCAACTCTGATTTCGGTTGGGCCCTTAAGCGGGGTCGAGCGGTTCTAAGCGTCCATAAGCGCGAGTGCACAGTGACGTCATATAAGGGACGCGTGTTAAAATGCATCAGTGCGGTGCAGAATAGTGTGGGCATCATGCGAGATTGATAGGCATGCGGAGCTTTCAAAGCGCGAGTACGAGAATGCGAGCCGGTTCGGCCATAGAGAGGGCCGACGCGACGGCAGGACTTAGTAAGCATTAAACTATGCGAAAGCTAAATGTCTGTGCATAGAGTGGGCTGGAAGCCGGATAGCCGTAGTACCGAACTGCCGCAAGAGTAAGAGAACGGCATGGGCCTGCTGTGGTGCTTGCCAGCGTGTTCCATACGCCAGATCATTGAATCTGATCCCATGCCAAAGGTTGTTTTCCAATCATTCAACGCCATGTTCTATCCGTTAATTGGCCAGAATATTCACATTTCACGCTCGGAAGCTGTTGGGGGCATGTCAGCCTGTTACGTTTGCGGCGCGAGGTGGAAGAGCCAGCCAATGATATGCTACCAGAGTTATATGTATACAGAAATTAGTTCCGATGGCTCAGATCTACTACCACCAGTAACGTCCGCATGTATATTTCTTTACGAGTAAAGGCGTAAAGGCGCGAAAGCACAAAGGTACAAAGGTATAAAGCAATGTAGTATTTTGAATCCTTGCCTCCCTGAGACCTGACCAGCTATCAAGCAATGTAGTACGTTGAATCCTCACTTCCCCGAAACCTGTTCAGAAATCAAGCAATGCAGTACGTTGAATACTCGTCTCCCCGAAAACCTTACGAGAATGGGCAAATGCAGCGATATGCGTCCAGACAAGTGTATGAACTCCACTCAAAGAGCTCAGGCCAGTAACTCCAGTCCGGTCCTCCTCCTCCTCCTCCGCTTCAGTCTTGGCTCCGAAAGCCAGTATCTTTCGCTTTTTGGGTCCATTGTCTTCTCCTGTACTCGAGGAGCGACGAACAGCGTTCCTTCGGTTCTCGTAATGCAAAGACTGGCGTTTGATTCGCACCAGGTACCTGAACAGGGTTGTGTTAATACGTGGCAAAAGAGGAAAATTGAGAAAGAGTCTTACAGGTGAAATCACCATCCCCAGCTTCGCATGAACGGGTACCAGCGGTACAGGACAGGCACTTCATGCGATTTGGCCTCAAGTTGTAGGCGACTGGGTCCGCGCGGTAATTGTCGATGAGGTTCGAAATGGCATTGGCGAAATTGGCCTGAACGTCGTCCGGAAACGCGAAGATGCTGGACTCATTTTCGCCTGTTTTGAAAACAACCTCATTCAAGAGCCTCCTGGCCTCTGCCATTGTCTCAGCGCTCGTCTGGTGCCTTTTCGCCCTGAAATTCGTCTTGTCTTTCGGCTTTGGAGTTTGCGGCTGCAAAGAGGAGCTCCCGGGCGTTGAGGGAAATCTTGGTTCCTCCATTTCCTCGTCTTCCTGGATCACTGGAAGGGTGCTTAACCGTGGGCCGTCGTGGCTTGATAACACCTCGATGCCCGGTCCAGAGGTTCTCGAACTCGTCGAACAACGGGAAACGGAATGGGCGTCGATGGAGCGCGCATCATTCTCTCCGCCGCATTTCTGGCCAGGTGTGTCTCTGCCCGTGAGACTTTGAGCGCATTCAGTCACGTGTACTTTGCTACTTCAAGTCATTGATCTCTTTCCTGGCGGAGGAAAGCTGCTGTTCGAGGTCTTTGACCTGTCTATTTGCCCGAGTGTGACGATCAGAATATTCCTTGGCCTGTTCTCTTGCGCTTTGCTCCCCTTCCAGGACAGAGTCCACCTGGGATCAGAGTTCGAGGACTTGGTTTTCCAAATCCTCCTTCTCCGAATAGACCTTCAACTCTCGGGTTGTCTGCTCTGAGAGTTTGAGCCTTACATCTAGGATACGCCGGTTCAAGGTATCATTTTCCGTCGTTGCATACTTCAACCGAAGAACCTCAGCCGAAACCTCCTTCTCTGTTTTCTAAGATTTCCGGTTGCTGAGGGTTGCTTCTTGAAGGCGGACTTCAAGGTCGATATTTTACTTGGTAGAAGAATTCAGTTTCTCCGATATCAGTCGATTTGTGGAATTAAACTGACGAACTTCATAAGAGAGGGTGGAGGCCTGGTTAGCCTTCTCAGCCATCTCCTCTTTGAGCCTGACAATCTCCGAATCCTTTACCTCGTTTGTTGCACTCAGGCTGTCCATAGATTTTCTGGTTGCCGCTATTGCCTGGTCCTTACCTCCGACTTCGGTGATATACCCACGAACCTGACTTTCCAGATGGTAAATAGTGGAGGACGTTTTATCAGAGAGCCTTTGATGCTCGGCAGCTTTGCGCGTGGTTTGTGGCTTGAGATTCGATGACTCTTCCTTTAGACGCTGCAAATCAGCTTCCGAAGATGTTGTTATGTCTAAAAAGTTCCTGAGTAAACCACTCATTCATTAAGAAATAATTCGGGAAGAGGTCTGCCCTCCTAAGCAGGATAGGTGTCTGATGCGAGGGACAAATAATCCAATTTCTCTGTTTATGCCTTTCTCATTTCAGGGTTATATCGCTTCGTACTTCCCTTAACGGCTCAACCTAATCGACTTTAAGGGCTTATTTGGCCATTTGGTGAGTCTCTGGCGTACCTTCCTCTTGAGCGTTGTCCTCCCATTTTGGTTTAGCCCCGCAAGGGTCCTCACCCCCGGCTATATAAGAAACATCTCTTTTCTTCTGACACTCCTCCTCCTCCTCCTCAACAACCTCACCCATCTTACGAAGAGGTGCCGCATCAAAGACATAGTATCCTTGCCAGACCACTGCCAGACCCCCACCAGCCCCCACCAGACCCCAACCAGACCCCAACCAGACCTACAGCATGGTACGTCTGTCTGCGCCCAAAAAACATCTAGTCCAGAGCTAACCACATGTCAGCCACCCACGCCGTTCCATCCCCGGACCCACCGTCTCACCCAGAAGAAGATAAGACATGCTCTAGATAACGTAAGTGCGCATCCAGCAACTTTTGAGCTTGTCGAGCTAACACTGCTTCTAAGAATCAGACAACCGGCGAACTTGTTAACGAGGAAAGGGGAAAGGGGGTCACGGAGGAAGACTTCAAGAAGCTCGAAGCCCACCTCAGCGAAGTCAATGAAGAGCTCAAAGAGCTCAAACTGAAGGTCATGGGTAATGATGCCCCGCTCGATGTCCCCATCAACCTCAAGGAGCATTTCGACCTTATCAATGAGCCCAAGAAGGCTAGCGAGAACGATGCGGAAGAAGTGAAGAACGATCCAAAAGACTATACCCACCATATTCGCTTCACCAAGCGGGCTCCTTTTGTTTCTGGCAACCAGTTCTTCATCATCGGCAGCGCAATCCATGGAAACAAAAAGAGGGAAAGGAAGGAAATCGGGGTTCGGGTGGGGAACAATGGAGTGAACCTGCGCATTGGAAAGAAAAGGCTTACTGGTGAAAAGCTGTTCACCCCAAATGGGGAGTTGGAGGACATCACCCTGTACCTGCCTCGCTGGACCCCATCTGCCAAACTACGGAGAAACAAATACGAGCTTCTCAAGGACATCAAGAAACATCTGAAGGACGAAATGGTGAGGCTTCCAGAAGCCCAACGCAGCAAGGTCCTGCCTGGACAAGGCGTTTCAAAGACCAGATTCTTTGGCGAAGACATTGATTCGGACGACGAAGAGGTGAAGAGGCCTTTCAACGTTGATGAGAACGTTCAAGACATTTTAACAATTCACAACCCCAGGAAACGCAAGGAACAGCTGTTGGAAGGGGAGCAGCCATTTCACAAGAGGATTAAGAAAGACGAACATGAAGATGTGAAAAAGCGGCTCTTCAGCGGGTCTATGGAGAACAAGCAAAAGCAGGAGGGAGAGAAACAGAAAAGGCCACATGAGATCTACTCCTCGTTATTCGAGATGCTCGACAAGACCAGCCCGTTCCGCCACATCTACAGGAAGTGCATGGAGGAGCCTGGACAGAACCTTGTTTCCAGGGCAACGGCTGAAGCCCTTCGCCGTGCACGTGAACAGAACAAATGAGGTTCGGGATTTCGGCAAAAGGCGTTTTAGAGATCAAGTTCTGAGCTTGGGAACTGGACAAACGAGGTTTGATTTGCATGGTGGGAGTTATTGGGATAGTAGGAAAAAGAAAAGGACTTTTATTGAGGAGTTGAAAAGTGGCTATTTACAATTCAAGTTTGGGTTTTGCGGGATTCTGATTTAGGGTTCTTCTGCCAGAAAGCTTTCACGAGGGCATCAGGATATTCATATACCCCTGGCAGATAGGTTGGCCATATAGTCATTTACCATCCAGCAGCTTTCTGGCTACATGAATGAGTCATCTTACTTGAGCAGTCTAAACCTCGGAGTATCATGGTCAGGCGGAAGAGAGATGGTTCATTTGGCGGTAACCCAATTCAAGGAAACCCCGGTTCATCGACAGAGGTTATATTGATCAAGACTTCTCCAGACGAACAGAGCCGACAGCAAGAAACAATGTGCTATTGGGACCCGGTTCTGGATGCCGAACGTCGTGCAGGTGGTGCGCCAAACAACGCTATCAGAGGACTGAAGGTGGGGAGGACTCTCCCCGCCTTCACCGAAGCCCGATGTACAGCTGTACACTTTGCTTTCCCAGGAGCTTACACTGACCATGAGTAGATGGATCTGACAGCAGGAGGTGATGATGCTGACGAGCTGGTTCTGCTTGGAGAGATGTGGGATGATTAGAGTTCTGGGAGTTTACTATTTGGCAGTTCATGCCATCTAGGCGCATTCAGCCTTTACTTTAACTCTATTCTCCAAGAATCGACGGTCTCGGTCATGATATCATGGGCAATGGCCGTCCATAGTAGGGTTTAATATCTGCAATTCAAGGTTCGGGTTCTTCAAGCTTAAATGTGTTTTCCATTGGAGAACATTCTCTATAGCGAATCGTCATTGTACGGTTGTCCCATACGCCATTTCAATTATTCACAACTCTTGATGGTGAGATGGAGCTGGAGGACATCATTCAGTACATAAGGAAGATGAGCAAGTGGGATGACCTGAAAGTTTGCCAACGAAGAAAACCATGAAATGTCTACCCAAAGGAAAGAGTTACCAGCCAGCACCTTCCAGTATCGGAGTGCTACCGCTTCATCCACATGGTCAGTTCCCTGTCCCTATTGGGTGCCGCTAATCCTTTTAGAGACATCTGCCTGGTCTTTGTAAATGTACGTCCTCTCCTCTCGCGCTCCTCTTCCTCCATTCTTCTTCAACCTCCGTCGCACTACAACAAACGACGTATTGGTGACGCTAACGCGATGGGCGTCATCCTCACCTCACCACCAACCCAACGCCTCCCCGGATGGGAGCCTACAGCTCAGGCGCGCGTGGGAGGCGTTGCACCAGAAATTTGACGCCGCGAGTTTGGATTGTTCGGTGCCATTATGTTTTGACGATTCGGCAGTATCATGTTTCAGCGATTCGGCGGGGTCATGTTTGGTGGTCCTCAAAGGGCGAAGTTCCCTGTTCCATGGACCCTCTTGACAGAGACAACACTGGCTCCGAGCGCGGCACCGCCAGAACAGGACTTCCCGTGAGCCAAAAACCGTTTCAGAAGGCCCGGGGAATGACCATACATAACTCATTGTGCGAGTTCGAGTTTTGGTGATGAGATTCAGGTCCTCGAAGCCGACATGCAGCGTTGTAGGAGTTGAGTCTTGTTGATAGGCCTCAGGATCTCAAGGCCGCGTGATGCTGCATCAGTCCTTGGTTGGAAGGACGCGTATCTCTCTGTAAGCGGATCACAGGATCCGCATCGGGCGTTGAGGAGTTGTCGGAGAAGTCGATTATTCGGGCTTGAACAAAACGAGGTAAGAGCTGAACCGAGTTATCAGAGAACGACCCGCAGAGTGTAAGAAGAGACGGCGGTACTGTGGAATAGGTGAAGCAGCGTGGGCGCGTTGGTGGATCGTACTCGGAAGGCGCGCCTACGCAGCTTCCTCTGGAGTTGCCCGATCGCCCACCACAACTTCGCAGCAACACCACACCACCCCCGCCAAGTGCTTCAGTCCCTCTGAGTCCAGCTGTAATTCCTCCACTGGGAGCGTGTCATTGCAATTTCGCCGCTTCCCGTTCTACCCCGTTTGCGGCGGTGCCTGCTACCCGAGCCGCGCTGAAACTTTCGAACACTCGTCGCGACCGCCTTTCCGACAAATGAGGGCGAAGAGAGCCTTAATTTAGCCTCCAACTCGTATGTCTCCCCTTCATTCCGACCCCCAGCAGTGGAGATCAAGTGGACTGACAGCTACTGCAGTCTGCATGTCGGAGTCGGATACGAGCACAGATTCAGACACCATCGTTGTTCGCATACCTGGACGCCAGTCTCCTGAACACACCATGCCGCCGCCGAAAAAGCCGAAAAAGAGTGGTGGGACAGGGTCCCATACCCACGCTCTCTCCGTGGTGCAAGAATTCATGAAGGAGTCCTACTACGCGGGCAGGCGAGCAAAAGAGAAAGAGGACGAAGCTCGGAAAGCGGGCGAGAAAGTCGCCCAGGAAATGGAGGCAGAGGTCAACGAGTACATGGAGGACGCTGAAGGGTGGAAAGTGACGATGCAGGAACTCAAGGAGCTGTGCCCGAAACTCGAAGAGCTGCTTGCGAAGATTGCGGACGCGGAAGAAACGACAGATGAGCTATGTGAACTCGTCGATAGCCTGGAGGCGGATCTTTTGAGGCGCACCGATGGACGGTTTTTGAAGGTCGGGGCAGAGCTGCACGAGCTCAGGACAGGAATCAAGCTCTCCAGCTGGAGAACCAACAGCTGGAACGCAACTTGGAGTCCTCAAGCTCTGCTACGGAGAAGCAAGCCCTCGAGAAAACAATCACCTCTCTCCGAGCAGATGTGGAGGGAAAAGAGCGCACTGCACAGCTATACAAGCCCGCGCTGGAGAAAATGAAAAAGATGATTGATTCCGAGAAGGAAAGGGTTGGAAGAAGAAACGAGACAATCACTCTGTGGAGAAATAAGTGCGAAAACCTCCGTGCTAAGGCTGACGAGGATAAGGCGATGATCGAAAAAGAGAAGAGTGCTCTGGAGACTCAGGCCCTCGAGTTGAACCAGAGAATCCGCGAACAAGATGAGGCTCTGAAGGACTCTCAAACTCGGCTGGAAGACTGTGAAACCAGCAAAGGCCAGTTGGAAGAGAGCCTGACGGAGATGAAGACTTCTATTGCCACCATGAATAGCGATTATAGTGAAGGCAAACCCACGATGCAGGCCCAACTGGAAAGGCTTAAGGTAGAACATGCTGCAGCCGTGGATGCAAATCGAAAGGCTTAGGCTGCAAGAAACGAAGCCGTGAAGCTGCAGGATGATTTGACCGTCAGGATCGAGTCGATCAACCGTAGGCACGAGCGCCTAAAGACCAACTTGAAGTCTGAACACAATCTGGAAGTCAGAGAACTCCTTGGAAAGATCGAGGTCTGCGGACAAGGGCGCAAGACGCGGAGCAGAAGTTGCAAGAGACCTCTTCTCGTTTGGGTCGAGAGGTGAAGACCGCAAAGGAAGATCTCGAAAGAGTTGCTTCGGATTTCCACAAGGAGAAAGAGAAGAGTCGCGCAACTCTGTTCAAGAATGAAAAAGAGAAATATGGGCTGCTGAATGTGCAAGCCGAGTTGAAACCCAAAGTCGAATCATTGGAGTTCCTCCTGGATGCCGAAAGGGAGGATGCCGAGTCTGCCCGCAACCAAGTATGACTGAGTTCGGCTGCAAGTTATCTTGGTGGCTTAAGACTTCTTCTATGGTTTACCATGTTTCGAAGGAGCTTCCAGCGTGGGGAGATTGAGAACTGAACAAGATCAGAGACGTGTTCGGCCTTGACTTTAGCTATTCATGTCTCCATTTTCCGGGGTTTAGCTGTCTCGGTCATCGTCATATGAGCAGTAGCGGTTAATAGTTGAGCTTTATTCCTGCAACCCATGTGGATACGAAGCGCTATTCGCTAGTCATGGAATAATCACAAATTGTTCTGAAATTATCTGGAGAAGAGGCGCACTGGAGAAACTGCAAACAGGATAGAGAAGCTCGGCGCTGAACAGAATGCAATGCGACCATCAAAGTTTTGAATTAAAACTTACCTTAACCTGCGAATAAGTCTGTTTGCCTACCTCGAACATTGTCGAGAAATTCACCGGACGCCTTTTTGTATACTCACCTTTTACTATCAAGCAGAACTCCGAATTGTTGAAATCTAATCAAAATTTGTCCGTCTACAATCCCAGTGTTTTTTTTTTATTCGGGCGGCGGAGTCACAAGATCCTAGTCTTGGACAAATTGTGTGGCCTGAAATGAGCATGTTTGGGTGCATCTAGATAGCCTAGACAGAGGGAATCACTGCATGATGGAACCCTAAGTGGCTGCGGTGAAGGGGTCATTACCGGTGTGCATCCGGTTTGGCGCGAAACATTCCTGTCAGGCTTGTCAGTTGAAGGTATTCCAAGCACAAAACGTAACGAAACATGTAGCTCGAGGCGTTGTCGTGGAGTCGCCTTCGACGAGTGGTCTCAGAAACGTTGTATGGAAGGCGGTCTCTGTACGACACGTCAATTTCAACTGTCGTTATAATTAAAAGACATCCGTAAGAGGTGAGTGCTTTCTCGGCACGCTTTCCAATGGCTCTTTGGCGCCGGTAATTCATGCTTTCAACGGACATTGTGTTCAATCAATAGAAGGGAAATGCACTTGGATTATTATCAATTTTTGTCTGAATGAAGTACTTGATGAGCTCAATGATGCCAATGCAACCATAAGAACTTCTCGCTAGAATAAATCCGTCGATGGCCGATCTGTTGAAGATCAACCTCAAAACGCCGACAGACGAAGGCTGGTATTGGTAATGATTATATTTGATGCTGCACGTATCATGCATCATTTTAGTATGCCTTTTGTAGAAATTCTCTGATTCGGGGGGTAGCTGTTGAACAAATCCAGGGGAAATTCGGGAAATCCATAAGCAGTTGCTGTCCGCTCAGTCCTAAGTTAAGTGTGTTGTCCAATTTCATAAGAAGTCAAGAAAACATCAAAGGAAGTCAATGTTGATTCCGGCAAGGAATGTAGAGAAGCCGGAAGTTGTTGAGAGAACGCTTGTCTGACCCGCTGGGTCAGCTCGGGACCTCCATGTCGCACCTACTCGTCTTCAGAGTCTCCGTCAGAGTCTGAGTCGCTAACTTCAAGCATCTTGGGAAGATGCGCTCGGGGCGCGAGATGCGGAGAGCTTGAGTACTCCGAATGCTCCTCCTCTAGGTCTGGCGAGTGGGATCTTTCCCGACTCTCATTGCCAAGAACGTCTTCGATGCCGGTGGCAGCGTTGACTCCAGTGGACGATTCTGCTTCGATATTGTGCTTCAGTTCGGCCAGCTCTTGCTCAAGTCTCTTGACTTTCTTGCTGTTTTCCACGGTCATGCTCATAGACATGATCATGCCCTGTTCTGCCGACCACCCCATCGGTTCTGACTTGGCAGGCTGCTTACCCTCAGCCTTGGACATGTATCCAGATGGCTTGCTAGGGGATATAGACGAGTAGGCGGCGTAAGACTGTCCGGAAGGAGGCATGGATTTTGATCCAGAATACTGATGCGGCTTCACGACCTTATTCGGCGGAGCTTTCGGCTTGGACTTGTTCGAGGCCTTGCCCCTTTTCTTGGGAGCATGCTTGTATGGGTACGAATCAATCGTAGGCTTTCCATTGGTATCGAGGTTTTGGAACAGCGTGCCTCCAGGACCTAAGGGTTGACGGAGGATCCAGCGGCGGTCTTCTGCCGAGATTTCTTTCTCAGCTTCGAGTTCCACCAACGTCTGGAGGAGGTCATCCTTCCTAGGATGAATAGGAATGGCAGCTGCAAGCCCAAAATGTTGCAGAATGCGTCTCATCTCCGGGATCGTGTATGAGGTGGCTTTTTTGCCCATGATCATGGCGTCTTTTTCAATCTTGGGCTTTGGCTGTCGAACTCCGGCCCCCCAGTTCCGATACCACTTCGCATCGGCATCGCCATTGCCATCACCAGCGTCACACTCGCGCTTGCTGCCCTCCTTCGACTCGATTTTCTTAACCGTCGCTCCCACACTCTTGCTGATGGCCATAGTGCCAGATGACGAAGTTATGGTGGCTTCAGTTCCTGCCGCCGACCTTGTTTCACGGCTCTCCGGGCTCACATCATCTCCATCGTCCTGCGACACAAACAGAGCTGGCTCTGTCATAGTTGCGTTCTGAATTCCGGGCTCTGACGAAGACATGATGAGAGTCGTCTGTGGCAATCGCGTAGGGCCGTTAAATGACGGAGAGGGAGTCACTGAGCCCACTGTCGATGTAAGAAGAAGCTGAGTTGATGGAAGCCGAGCTGAGAGAAGTGAGATGAAGTACTCTGAGAGATGGTCAAGATCGCGGGAGCAAACCTTCAGGCGCTCTTCACCAGTGCAGAGTGTGAGGACTTTGGTGAGCGTGGGTATTCAGAGACCAAGCACTCCGTCACTGGCGGTGGACGTTGAGAAACGAGGATGTAGAGGAGAGGTTGTGTTCAAGCTCTGAAGGGGATTATATACGTGGGCCTGTGGACCCTGAACACCATCACGGGAAGAGTTCTCGAATTGAGCAAGAGCAACGCATTCCGTTGGGAATGCCATGAAGCAATTGGCAGGAACATCGATGGATTCTGAAGGGTCTCATTGCGTTAGTTCAGCGTCTCACACTCATGTGGACGACAATGAGGGTGGAGCTCACCATGAGAGGGCGATATGCCCCAACGTACAACTTCTATAGGACTTGCATCTCGGTCGCGGTTTGTGAAGCCGCTCATGGAGAGCTACAACTCTGGCACTGCATACCCTCTAGTGTCATTGCGCCAACGCAGCCAACATCTGCCTCACCGTTCGTGGCTACATTCAGACTCCCAAGATCACCCAGAAAGCATTCAGGCCTTTAGACGAATCCGGTAGAGCATTTCGTGTTTTAAAAATTAGGTATTGGTGCAGACCAGTGCCCTGTTCAATGCGCGAATGAAAATGCATCAATTTGAGGCTCGCAATAGACACGTGACTTTTCCTTCAGCACTCAGCCTAAAAGAGCGGGCAAGATCTAGACTTTTACGATTCTTCACGCCGATCTTATTCGGCTGCAGAAGAGTTGCGGGAAGGAAAGATCACCAAGTGGCCAGATGCGTTGCAGCGGCAATGACTTGTCGAGATTTGCCGAGATCGATGACCTTTTGCGCAGGTCGCGAGACGTTGATATAGATAGTAATGCGAAGCACGAAATTTAGCGGGGTATCCGAGTAAATGTCTCAGATGGGGTGAGGTGCAAAATAAGGGCAACCCGTAACGGCCTTGCTGTTGAAACTGGATCCGAAAATGGAAGCGTGTTGCGAGATACTAATGCGCCAAGCCGCGTCATGACGAACGGAATGATTACCCTTTGAGGCAGGATCCTGGTTGAGGTCACGTTGTGTTGAAGAGCAGAACCACAAAAGACTACGATATAGTACTGCATGACCACGCAGTTGACGGGTAAACTTTGATGCTCCCACGCAACCTCCGGTTCGTGGAGGGTAGACAGATTCAATGCCTCGAATACGGAGTAATTTCCGAGGTGCACCTGAGCATTCAGTGTGCTTCAGATACAGCGGGGACACCAAACTAGACAGGCAAGTGCAAAGTGGTGTTCGAAAATTTCTTCTCCCCACCTTTCTCAGTTCGCGAATCGGTGTGGATTCCGATAAGGGAACAGTAGTGCAGTGCAGATGACCTATCGGCAAAAGCAGCGGTATCCATTAGCAGTGGGCATAAAGTAATGGTAGGCTTGGTGCTAAAGACTAATCAGGTCCAGGTATTCTGTTGAGTTACAGGTGTATATTGGACGAGGAGAGAATAACCCCTCATGAAAGGCTCTGGGGCTGCACGGCGCTGAAAAGAGGCGTCGCGGCACTTTGCAACCGGTCAGGATGACAGCGGTCAAGGATGCAGGACCCTTGCAAGCGATCGACTGGTGCTCGGAGGGAGCCAAAAGCCAAGATTTCCTTGGGGCATTTGCAGCAACCTACGCCACACCCTGCCAAAGACCAGTCATCTCGGGGTTCGGGGGCCAAAGACGATAAAGCCGACAGTGGGGATATTCCCAGGCACCCCGGTCGGGTATCCCAACTGCCGCCGTGGAACGTGTGGTTGCTGCCTCAGGCGAGAGCAGGTGACGTCGGTGTTCGCACTAGAGCTGTCTACCGGGATAAGGAGTTCGGATGGCCCATGCGAATCGGAATTTGGATCTTTTCGACGACATCCGTGGGAAGCCGCGCATGGCATTATTCACGGCGGGGATCGTCGAGGGAGCCGTGGATAAGGATTGTGGTAGAGGCCTAGGCCTCAACCCAAGGCATCACACCACGCAGCAGGGTTCGCGATGGTTGGGGTTAGTTGCACCACTTTGACGAGCAGGGCATTAATAAGATTAAATCCGACAGCCCCGACCGGAAGAATTGCCTGGCACGCGTCTGGAGCGGCGTTTCAGGCGCGGCGAATGGCAGCGCGAGGCGGTTTTCGAGGCGACACGACCGGGAAAGCGATCAGCGGGACCGCGTGCATATACATATGTACACGCTGCAGGAACGCCCGAGGCCACAGTCATGGACATGGGCCCAGCGGCTGACGTTGGATCGATCTTTTCTACTGATCTTCGGAGGCCGGACATTGGCAGGTCGAACAGGACCGAAAGCGAGTACGGTCAGCAGCCAGGGTTGCATCTGGAAGCCAGCTCGCGGGCGAACATGGCGCGAAATTGAGCTAGCTGAGCCAAGACATGCCGGGTTGGGGCAAGCGGGCGATCATACAGGCGGCGAGATGAGGATTGTGGAGAAGGGGGCTCATGGGCGAGAGTTCGCGGTCTGCATGTGAGATTGAGTCGTTGGCAAAAGCAACGGCAACGGCGCGCATTGATGGGATCCGATCCTGGCGCGGCATGCTCCAGATGCGAGGCTTTGGCTGCGCCGCATGGCAGGGGGCAGGCGTGAGGGACTGGCGTCACGACTCCGGGCTTTGCCGCGGCGTCGACCTGTCAGCGTGGATGGAGGAGCAGCCGGCGAAGGGATGTTCCAGGGCCGCGCGCTCGCGAATGGCATCCCGCACGCCAGCTGCAGCCGGCGCCGCCACTGCCAAGCTGGTGTCACAGCTCCTGCCCCAGCCGGCCAAGATCGCCCGCAGCGCCCGTGCGCACCAATCACGCTCGCCGCGGTACCGGGCGGCCGACTAGGCCTGCCACTGTTGGGCCCGCGACTGTCGCCACACGGTCAAACTGCTGCGAGCCTCCTCAGCAATATGTCGCGCCCACGCGAAGGATTGAGCGCGCGCTGCGGTGACTTTAAGCTTGCAGACCTCAACCATTGCTCCCACTCGGAGACGGCGGTGCGCCGGCGCTGCGCTGACGTACGCATTACCAATGGCCTCTCCTGGACGCGCTCCATAATAATAGCACTCGCGATCCTGCCTCGCCGCCATTGGCCTGTATTTCCACCGCCCATGCGCCTGAATCTCCAGATCTTCTGAGAAATACTGCGCCCGCCTCGTTCCTGAAAACTTCACTGCTCCCGCCACTCCGGTAACGCCCCCGGATGCCCGCCGCCCAAAGCCCGCTTCTGGAAGGCCGACGAGGTGATCAAGTACATGGCTGTCGGGTCGCGCAACGAGCACAAGGCCCTTCGTAGGGACAGTCCTGTCAGCCCGACCTTTAACATGTCATATAATCCTTCCGCCCCGGTTTCAGGCACCGCCGTCGCACAACCCTTGGCCACCCAGCTCGATGGCCACGACCTCCAGCCCGCCTTTCCTCCGCCCTCTGCAAAGACGCTCCACGACAAGCGAAGGCATTCCAGAGGAAAGCTCCCGCCCCAGATCAAGCGCTCCTCGTCCACGCCTCACATGCGCGCCCTCGCCCTCGGAGAGTCGAGTCCCATTTCCCCCAATTCGGACAAGCGGCGCAACAAGCTGGGCTATCACCGCACCTCTGTTGCCTGCGGTACGCCCGTCCAGCCCCCCGACAACGCCGCTCTGCTGACGCCGTCTAGGACACTGTCGTCGAAGGAAGATAAGATGTCTGCTGGCCCCGGATGACGCTCAAGGCCGCTGCTCAAACTGCATTCGCCTTAAGAAAGAATGCAACTTCTACCCGGTGGAGCAGCAAAATCCCGGAGAGTCGAGATCGCAAGCTGCCAAGAGGGGCAGCGTCTCGCAGGTCGCTTCGTCGTCGTCGTCCTCGTCGCCTCGCCCATCCAACACTTCCGGCCACGATGCGATTGAAGAGTACAGCTCATTTCAGCCCATGGCCGGTGAGCCGCCACCTGGTTTTGCCGTCACTTCCGACATGGACGGTCCCCTTGACATGAAGCCTGGCGGCAGTACGTCGCATTCTCTGCGCGGACAATCCTTTTCACTGACCGTGCCAGCAGCTATCCCCCAACAGAGCTCATTCCCTTATTCTCCAAACTTCGATGTGGCTTCTTGGGGACAAGGTTACCCGAGCCAGACGCCATCCGACGGACATTCGGAGACTTCTTCAGTCGCGTACTGGTCCTCGACCGGTGCTCCAGTATCAGCTTCATTTTTCACCGAACCCATCGGTATACAGGGTCAATCGGGCCAAGAATCGTCCCGCGCCCAGCTCATCCAACCGCAGTTCCCACCTCCCGAGCAGGCAATGTGGCCGGGAGGCGTCGCACGGTCAATGTCCTACGGAGGTCCCGAAACCATACCTCACGATTTTCAATTTCAACATCCAGGTCACTTGGCCGTCCAGCAGCAGAGACACACAACGCACGAAATGGCGTCTTCAGGGCCCCCAAACACATCAGTGCAAACATCGATGCCCGCGTGGCAGCCTCTCATGCCTCCGGGGTCTGAAGGCATGCAGCCAGGCCCCGTCCAACCGTACAATGCACAGTGGTTTAGTGAACCGGCACAATTGAGCTCACTGGAAGAAGAGCAAAACTATCCGTATCACCACCCTTTTTGAGACTTCCACCATTTTCCTCCGGCGCAACTGTTTTCGATGATACCCCAAAAAGGAACTGGTATTTGGGATAAGCAAAAATCAGATATGCTCGCACTCTCAGGGATTTTGATGGTCGGGTCAAAATTGGTCAAAACTAGCGGCAGGAAAATGTCTGGATCCCATTGACTTGACTACAGAAGTTCCACGGATCCATTACATCTTCACAGCGGCGTCGTTTACAACCCATGTTGCCACTAGCGCGGAATCGGCCCGACAACTTGACTTGATGCGCTCATTCTTTTCAATTTTGGAGTCATAGCATGCAATGTACATCATAGGGGCGGGTTTTTTAACTTTTTGCAAAAGATCAAGAATTCAGGGGTGAGCTTCTCAATTTGTATAATCATTTTTCTATTTTGTGGAGGTTCAGATAATATTTTAGACTTTCCTCAATCGCATTCTACTTGATAATAGGCGTTTAGTGTGTCGGGGGAGGCGGAGCATCACAAATGAGATTGTAAGTCACTGATTACTTCCAATGACTCCTGGAGGAGCTAGCGTCGCAATGAATCAATATAGACGACACTACAGCGATTGACTGATGGTTTCCAATCCGGGAAATCTCCGGGTTCACAAGGTGCAGATTCCGTGGCTCTTTCGGAGAGGAGACGCGAAGGAGGCGGACCGGAAACACGTGGACGTCAGACAGTGAGTTTCTGCAGCTATACGTGGTTGCACAGCGCAGAGGGTTGGGGCCGAATCAGGGGCTAGGATTGCCGGAATCAGAAGGGCTTGGGTGGCCGAATCAGGCGGATGGAGCACTCTACCTGCTTCACCGGCTGGGGCCAATCTGCAAAAGCGAAACGACAACCGTATCCGCGGGTGCCAATCCTCATCTTCGGGAACTTAAATTTAGACGGATCCCTCGTGGCTTTTTCGTCGAGACAAGCACCGCAACCATGGGAAGCATCCAAAACATGTCGCTTACTCTGGCGCCCGTTTGGGAAATGGTGTGGATTGATAGTCTCGCTGAATGAAACAGGTGTGTAGAGCCCTAATTTCCCGAGGCTACAAGGGGCGAGAAAAAGGAAGGCGACCCACATGTTTTTGTCGTCGACGACGAGGGCCGGAGCCAGTGCCTAGGTGACGTAATGGCCGTTGCGCAATGGACGCGACACGAGTGCGACGTAAGGTGCTAGCGCGGCTCCGTGGGCAGCGACACGTATGAAGTGTGTTCGAGGGCCGGCCGTACAACCGCGAAAGGGAAATGGTCGTGGACACATTAAGTTTTGACGAGCAGAAGTAACGAGGCGAAGGAAGTGCCGACGCCGCAGCCCAGATCAAAGAGCGTTGACTAGCCGCGACCCGGCGCCGCGGGCGGTCCAATGGCGACGCCAGCTCGACATTTCCCATCGTTCGGAGGGAGATCGCCGGGAAATCCTCCCTCTCGCCTTTTTTCTCAACTTTCCCCACCCGAGGAACCGCGCCGGCGCTTGCCCTGACCCCGGTTGCACATGTCGACTCGCGCCGGAGCTAGCTCCACCGAATCTCGATGTACAAGTACCCGGAAGTCCACCAACCCACTGTTTTTATTTCAACTACACTCCTGCTGCGCCGCCATGCCCCCACCTCGGAGCTGGCCGCCGCACCGTCGCGCGCCCTGACAATCACCCAGCAGATCACCTGCCAACACCACGACGCGCAAATGCAGGGCTCCACCAGGTCAGAGGGGGGGGCAAAAAGAAACGCCGCCCTGTCTGTCACACTTGCTGCACAAGCACTGAACTCAATAATCAACGTTTCGCCACCCTCTTGGGGAAGCGGAGGCGTCGGGTCCGCTGGCTCCCTAATAACGCCCCCAACCAAGAAAACAAGGCGCCAAGCGCTAGTCAGCTGCAAGGATCATATCAGCAAAAGAAACACCTACAACGGCCTTTCTGGGAGGCGCATGTGCGGTCCGTCACGCAGCATGCGCGGATAAGCAGAGAAATCCATGCCGATCGCCGCTGTCGTGCCATCAAAGCCATGCATGTCAGCAGCCCAAAACACTGAGGGAAAACGTGCTGTCCTGCTGCGTGCCAGCCTCCCGATCGTCGCTCTCCCACCCCCCAAAATCCCAGCCGCAGTAGCCGCAGCATTTGCTTGAAGCTTATGCATGTACCCTATACACGACCTCGTAGATCAGTCACCGACGCCATGGTGATACCCTTCCCGGACTACCTACCGTCCGTGCACTCATTTCCATAATAGTCGGAGATGCTGCCGACGGAAATATCGACCCGATGGCTCTTTCGTTATTGAGGGTTCCAAAGCGATAGCGTGCCCAGAACAAGATTCGCAGAGTTCTCCGCTTCCAGTTTGGAGAGAGTGAGAAATTAACAAGGTGACACCAACGGTAGATATTTTTGCCATACAGCCGACTATTGAATTGCAAGCCCCTTCCTTTTTTTTCTTTCCCCCTCGATTCGTCGCGCATTACTTCCATTATAGGAACACGAAAACGGTCGCGGACCGCCAGGGCCGAAAATCGATGGTTGCATTTGGAGAGAGGGGCATGTGTGGCTGAGCACACAACGCTAATAGGGAGGTACGTGCGGAGGGAGGGAAGTGCTGCGCGTAGCTGGGCCCATCCCGATGGGTTTTTTTTTCTTTGCGATGATCAGCCTAAGCCCCAAATGAACAGTAATGGGGGGTGGGATCGGCCTCTCTGCGCGGAACGCCACGCGCGGCCTTGCCCGTCGCCCCGTGCATGGCGGCGGCAGCAGGTGGTCACCGCTGTGGCGGGTGTGTGTATGTGCGTGTGGGAATGGGTTTGCCGGCGGTGCGCGGATGTGCGGACACTATGGATGCGAGACTATCTCGTCGATTCCCTTGGCTTGCTTGCCGGGGGGAGCGTCGGTCGTTCGAAAACAGCTTGCATGAGACACGACAGTTTTCCCTCCCCCCCCCCCCTTTTTTTTTATTTTTTCCCCTCTCCATCTCTCTCGCATCCTCTTCCTCTTCTAATGACTACGCTATGGCCGATCGGTATGGGATACGCGGGTGTGGGAGCGCTATCATCAGCCGGGCCGAAGCGCGAAGGTTTCAATGGCTGCTTCACATCCGCTCAGCTGGGGTCGAGGCTTTGCCTGGATGTTAGCTCTAGAAGTGATGGCTGCATGTGCGAGCACAGATGATCGACATCGCTGTAGTGGTGGTCACATGTGTGACGCTGTCAGGAGAGGTGAAGACCATCAATAGTACGTGAAACAGTCCAGGATTCTGGCATGGTAAGCCACAGGGACTGAATTTTGACGCCGCACGTCTATTCGCTCTAGTTACGAGGTCGGTTCGCTTGGTATTGCAATAACGTCGAGTGGCTGAAGCTATTGTCCGCATGCCCTTGTTCACATATATGTTGTGCATTTATGTCAGGTGGATTCTAAGCGACCTCGTAATTATATACAACTATTCTTGTAAATTCGTATTTACAGGCCCCACTCTGACAAAGGAACTATTACTGTTCTCCCATCTCCACTCAGTGATTCGTTTCTTCTCTATCGCGTACACCCTGCCGGCCTGGTTTGAAGTGATTGATGAAGAATTAGATACCGCAGCTAAGGGTGGATCGAGATTGCTGTTGAGCCACGACGTGTCTAGCCTTCCATCTTGCCAGAGGAAAATCCCACCAGAGGACTCGGGTTTGGTTGCTATTATCTTGACATCGGCCGTCTCGGCAGTGGCATTGTCGTAGTTCGTTATTAGCCCGGTCAGAGCAGCATCTGGGTCAATGCTTCCACTGAGACTTCCTACATTGTTGGATTGGGTTAGCTGTGGGTCTTTTACATATGGCGTTTTGGAATACTGACCATCCAAAGTCCAACCATCAGTGATGTTGAAATGGAGCTGCGTAGGGCTCCCGTTATTGACATATATACTCATTACACCTTCATTGGCTCCCAGTGATAGTATAGTAATAGACGTTCCATGGACAGGCGGCGGTACTATGGTGGCGTTCATGGAAAAAGATGCCCAGCCGTGGCTGGACTCGTAGCCGGCTAACATGATTTTATCATCGTCATTTTGCCAGACAACAACAGAAGAGGCGTTTCCGCAGTTTTCGCCGCATTGTCGACCGTATGACGCAAGACTTGAAAATGATGCCGCGGTGTAGTTGCCTTTCAGGGCGCCTTGGGCTGAGAATTTCCACATGTCGTCTGGGTCATGGGATACCAGCTCAAAAATCTTGTTGTTGATATCCAGGAAGAAAAGATGGTATTCATACTCATCCTGAAACAAAGTCAGCACTCCTGGTTGTTTGAATATAGTAAGAGTGACTGTGCGTACGCTTGAAATTGAACCGTAGATATGGGCAGCCAACGGAGTGCCGAGTTTCACCTCTGGTTCCCCCGTGATATTCGCGGCGTTTGCCTTCCTCAACGGCGATACGGTCCATTTCCCCGTCTCAGAGTCCCAGACTGACTGACACAGCTCCCCCTCCGTCGTCTGGAAGTACACGCGGTACTGCGACACGCCATCCGCCCGTTTATAGCTTACTGACGCCAGCGCCGTTGTGTCCAAAATCTCGGTCGTCGACTGCCTGCGGGAGGCAACTCCAGAGCCCACTATACCTCCCACAATAGCTATGATCAACACGACCACCAGGAGCGCAATGAGTATGGATATTCGTAGTCTGTTCCGGCGCAAACGTGTCTCCTCGGTGAATTCTGGTACCTCCAAGGCTTCCTTGCTGGAATGGGCGGGGTTGCTGACGACAGCCTCGGGCAGAGTCCCATCTCTTACTACTTCAGGGTAGACCTCGCTGATGTTGTAGACCTCAGGGTAGTTCTCATGATCGGGCACCGCTGCGCTTGTCGGTGAGTTTGCCTCCTTGACGCTGTTGTATGGCAAAGGCTTGTCCGAGTCAGCGTGCGGGAAAGGATGAGGACCCGCTGGAACCGCCGACCGATGATGGTTCTGCCATCCGTACCCCGAGACAGGGCCATCGCTGCCCCTTTTTGCTCCGTCCATGATTCCGCAGCACGAGCTTCCCTGGTGTTGATTATGATTCCCATGAAACGCCCGAAGATGGCGCAATGCGACTGGACTTCCGAAAGCCCTATATGTTACCGCCGTGAAAAGAGGCGTCGAGCGAGATGCTGCGGACTGCGAACAAACATACCACCATTGCGTGCGGGCGTTCACCAGGGCTAGCGCTTTTGCAATCAAAGTTCGGGATTCACTAGCAAGGTGTTTGTTGGTTGATCAAGTAATCTCTCATCTGTTGTGGGGTTTCGAAGCCAGAGTTCCGCCAAGAGTAAGCAACTGCGTTGTACCATCAAACTCAAATCCGCTGACGTCATATTACCGACAGGCGGCCTATTAAAGAGCGCAGTCGTTGTAAAGGCAAGGTGGGGGAGCCGGAGCTTACGGCGCATGAATTGGCTAGCGCTTAAGCAGCAGCGCTACTCTCACAAGCTTCCAAACAAGGAAGTTCTTCAAATAGGCAACACCTCTCTGCATTTTAGTGGCTATCACATGTACATTTCTCATGCTTCAGCCTAATTGTTCAGCTCGAGTTGCAGTGAAGCGCCTTGTGAATTCAACATCAGTCAGCACCAACACACGTCTTCGCCATTTCTTCGCCATCCCCCCTCTTAAACCAACGTCAGCTTTCTAACCTCAGCGGTCTTAAAAATCTCCTCCAACTGTGCGTACTCTTCCTTTTCAAAAATGGAAGTAGTTCTGATCAGACCGACCCGCTCATACGCACCGGGCACTCTGGACGATGGCCTCAGGAAGAGGAAATACGTGATTTTAAGCTTCGAACCCACGTCAAACCGAAACGGAGTCCCCCAAGCTTGTTCTGACACCCTGAGGCAGACCAGTGAGCTGTATTCACCCGGGTGGTTTCGAACATCCTGAACATCGTCCGGCTGGAAGGCAATACAGCGGTGGTTCTCATCGCGGACCACAATCGTCCTCTTCTTTGACTGCTCTAGAGCTGGTGAATCTTCTTCCTGGCTGAAGCACTGGCTGGCCGTCTCATAAATGGTATAATTGTTGTAATCCCCGTCATATCCAGTGACTCCCATAAGATTAAATTCCATGGCACAACGCGCTACTTTCACGTAACGCTGGATGATATCGACATCCTCGGGCTGGGGGCCGTCGAAATAGAAGTCAACCGCAGCACCGGACACTTGGATCCTTCCGTCTTTGACCCGGCCAAGGGGATCTGCCGTCGCCAGGCTGGTCCCTGCATCTAGCACTTCGATATGACTGGTGGTTTCCACCCCCTGGTATGGATACGGTCTGCCGCTATGGGGATGAGCTGCTTTGACCGAGAAGTAGCTTATCGAGCCCATGCGGGAAGCCCAGCTCCATGACGGCGCGAGGTAGACGTCCGTTTTGCTGCTGGTTTCCTTGGCTCTGGAATTAAGCTCCCATGTGAGTCCCGTGGCCAGATCTCCTCCCCAAAGACCTGCGAGGAAGGTGGGCTTCTTCCCAGTCACCGTCTCGAGGTGTCCTTGAAACCGTTTTGCCAGTCCCGATAATGCTGGCAGACGGTCATTCATATTGGTGAGGGCCCTTTTTGTGTACGCAACCGACATACTGGTGCCAAAGGTGGTGGAGCCATTGTTGCCTGTCAATCTTGTCGTCGTTGAGCAGCTGATCGAACTCTATCGATTCAAGCATCTGGCTATGGAAGCCACTGTCCCTAGCGCATTCGCATTGCGTGCCCGTGTTGCACTCCCAGACTATCTCAAAGCGCGTGAAATGGAGAACGCGGGTGCTCATCAGCCGTTCCTGTAACGTCCATGCTCGGGTCGTCAGCGGAGAGGTGTCGACGGTCAGCATGAGTGTGTTTATTTCGCCCTGGGTGAAATCCGAAAGAGTTGGGTGCGGCCACTTCTCTGTCAACAAAAGAGGATTGCCGTAATCTTCGTTTCCAGATGAGAAGCACTTGTATCTCCACATGCGATGGTTCCTCTGTTCTCCGTAGATACCTGCATCGTCGTCCTCGGCATCATCGGCACTGATGGTCAAGGTACTGGATGCGTAGATGTCGCACATCCGAGACGATTCCCGAACCCAGTCTTCCTCGTCGTCCTGGACGATACATAGCCGATCGATCCAGAGATATGAAATACCCAGACGGCGAGTGATATCTACCGCATCTCGAATGGTCTTTGGTAAGGAATCGATCTCGATGCCGGTCGAAAGATGGGCGGAGAGAGTTTCTTTGGTGGTCTGGACAACGTGAGATGCATTCGATGGACTTCCCCAGCGGTAGCTGAGAGTGACGTAGTCGAGAAGAGGCTCGTCGGGACCAAATTCTTTGAGGAGTACAGTTGTTGAAGAAGCACCCACGTACAGGAGCCTGGGCGGAAGACTGGTGCCGGTCTGACGGCATAGCTTGTGATGCCTCTCGCGACAGGCCTCGAGCCAGGTGCGTGCCAAATCGAAGCAGCTTTGGTCATCTGATCGTGGCGACACCTCTCTCACGAATCTACCTTTTCGACCAAACGGTGCTGCAGATATTGCGCTCACCCGTCTATCCTCTGAGCTCGCTGTTACCGGAATGACTCTGTTGGCGGACCAGAGCTCCACTGTGAACTCCTCGTCTTGCCTGCTGAATTCGAAGCCAAACTTGCCGTTTCTGCTTCTAGCTAGCAAATTTTCGGTGCCGTCAGAGCTCACGAAGTCGTTCCCCGGAGGCAATGCAAAAGATAGCTCCTTCCACCCAGCCTCCTTGCCACGCATCCGGACTGTGATCTTCCCGCTCTCGTTCTCACAGGCTTCTCGTAAGCCTTTCCTGCGGACCAACCAGAAGCAGATGAACTCGCAGCGCTCACAATTCTCGATGTTGTCTCCCACGTCCGGGAGAGTTGGGTGGCGCTCCACATTGGTCCAGGATGTCAGAACGTAAATCGAGAGCGGAAGGCCTCTCGGTATGCCGCATACCGGGCAATCCGGATGGTCCTCTGGGAACTCAACCCGGGCCTCCCGGTATTCGTATGGCAGGCCTTTGGTATAGTCTCTCACGAGCTGCCGAGCCCAGTGCTCCGGTTCTGGTTGCGGTTGTGAACCTTCCTTTTGGAGCAGGACCAAGTTCTTGGAGTGAGAATCGTCGGGGGCTGATCCAGTGCTGTCAGTCATGCTGGAGAGTCTGGCGCCAGAGGATGCTGCGGTCTACCACTAACAGGAATTTGTGGTTGGTAAGGTGGTTAAATGCTTTAAGCTGCGCGAAGTGGTTGTACAAGCATATTAACTTCACCGAGAGCCTGTCAAATTGTGGGGCGTTCTAGGCTTCACTTGGCCCCCATGGGGCGGTGTACATCCAGGGCCTCGCAGGATCGGTTTCTGGACGCCCGTCCGGAATAAAGCCGTTCGCGGCGCGTGTCCTCGCCTACAATTTGAATCAAGAATCGCCGGGTAATAGTAGAGGGAACACTAATAGTCGAAGTTGTTTAAACCCAATTTTACACCACATAGACACTACAAATTTTAATAAAATTTACGTAGAAAGATAGAGCTAAAGAAGCGCTGTATTTTAAATTAAATTTCATCAAAGTTTATAGAGAATATAATTGGCGATTTGTGGTATTTACGGGTGTATTCCGGACGGCCGTCCATAAACCGATCCTACAAAGCCCCGTAAGCACCGCGCTAAGCACTAACCACTCACTAAATCGCAAGCAGGCTACGCAATCCATTATACTTTCTACAATATCCAAGTACAGATGCAAGCTTTAAATTTAAGACTACACAGCATTCAGAAGTAGGTTACGATTTAAGCAGGTCACAGTGCCATTGAGAAAACAGATTTGAGGGAAGTGTTTGAGATTTTAATCGGTAGATCTACTAACTACGCAAGCCTTCCAATCCACCACTGAGAACAGACGTGACTGCCTCGAGACGAGCTATTTAAGGGCATAGCTGAACCACATAAGGAATAGAGAAGTGAGGGAGGTTTTTCAGGATTTTGATTTCGGAAGATGTGATAACTACCGCCTTGAGGACAATCGCGACTTTGCCTCGAAGGTGCCGTGGACGAAACCATCAGCTGAGAGCGCACCGAAGTGACTCTGTGAGAACAGGCATAGCCGAAGCTACAGCCAGTTGGGCCTTTTGGGGGTGCCTTAGAATCGAATTCACCAGCGTGAGAAGCACCGCGAACGGTGACGACTCGGGCAAACTACAGTGAAGTAGTCTACCTCTGAGAGGAGAGGTGAGTCTGCCTCTGGAAAACGGCGCGTTGCGAAAGAGTGCGCCAAGCTCAGCACTTTGTACAGCGTGCCAACTGGAGAGCCACCCGACCGGCTTGAAAGGAAGTTCGCGGTGACTCTGAAGAAGAAGAAAAGAAGAAGAAGAGGTTGGGGCCCGAAGAAAGAAGGGTTTATATACCCACCGCTAGCGAAATCTTGGACCCTGAAGTTGGCCAGGCAACAAGGCAACCAGGCAACCGTTGTCACCTTAGGCAACCGTGGTCACCTTAGGCAACCGTGGTCACCTTAGGCAAGTGCGGCAGGAACCGGATATCTGTTAATTTCTAGCGGATTCCAGCAGTTCCAACAGATTCTAAGATCACCGTGCAGCGTCATCGTCGGTTTAGCCGTCCCGGTCTCCTCCTTCTGTGTAGTCTGACATTCTCCTGCTGTACAATATCATCGCCATAAGCTATAATTTAGCAATGCGGTATCAAGGCGGTATAAATCAAGAATTTCGATTCATGTTGACATTATGTATAGTATGTAAGCCAACTATCTACTGTGATAAACTACGTGATGTCATTTGTGACGATACTGGTCGCCGCACGCAGCGAAAGAAGACACTCAGATCAAGCCGCTCGCGACATTTGACACCCTAGGTATTTAGAACTCTCTTTATTGCACTCACATCTAGATATCTCCGCCCTCGTGAAACGCCCCTCCAAACACCATATTTTGATCTAAGCCAATTTGCTGCTCGGTTGCTCCATCAACTTTGTAGTGAATTGAAAACGCCAATATGTCCAAAACCTGCAAGACCTGTATAGATTTTTATGCAAAAGAAAAGAGATTCTGTAGTAAGTAGAAATAGAATTCAGAGAACTAGATGCGATGGCGGGGATGCCACGCTACATTTAGGTTTGGCGAGGGCGCTTGAAGCGGTTGGGTGAGAACGGGGGGAGGATGAGGGTGTCGTCAAGGTCTGCACGAGGGCGTTTTTTGGTCTGTTGCCGCCCGGAGGAAGGCACGAGAACACCGTCTATGCTCTGAGGGAAGTCCTCCCTATTTTTGAAGTACGTGTCGTTGATCTTATGGAAGACATGGCGAACTTTGTCGGGCCGGTATGGGAGGAGGTTGGGTGCTGGTTGGCCGGGGCGCGGAGCACTTCCCAAGATCTGCTTGTTGATGAAGTAACTTTTCACGTACTCGTTCCACAACGCTTGTGCAGTGGTAGCGATCCTTCAAAGCGTTAGTGTCACTGATTCAACAAGCTTTTAGAGAAAGCTTACGTCGTCAGCATCAACTCCTTCATGTATTCGTCTTCCCAGTTTGACGGGATGGAAACGGCCTGGGATACGGGATCATAGAAAGCTGCGACTAGATCATTGCTGACTCTCTTGTTCCAGAAGTTCGTCTTCTCCGCTTTCGTCAACTGGCTGAAGTCCCTGGCAGCTTGGGGGGCATGATGAAGGTCCGTGTCGAACGGGCAGGGATCGAACGACTCGATTTCTTCACGCAGGCTGTTCAGCTTGGAAGTGTACGCTGCGCAGCTTTTCTCACGCTTCACCTCGCCAAAGTTCTTGAGGATCTTCGAAGTCTTGACGTCCTTCTGAAGCTGAGTAGACACGCGTGCAGCGTACGCCCTTCGAGCGTCAAGATACCTTTGACGTATGTCGCGCATGAAGTCGTCTCGGGTGGCGCTGCCTGGAGCTGCCGCACCATTTTTCACCCTGTGAAACTCCAGTTGCATGTTGGTCATCTCAACCCTCCAGTTGTGATGGGTGACTTCAGAGCCGACCTGGACGAAAATGTTAGCATCTGAATTCGTGCCAAGAACGCCCAAGCTGATGGCTTTGATGGAACGATGCGCCAGAATACTTACAAAGGATATGAACCAGTAATCCTCGATGCCGGCGACCATTGGATTGGCCGGCATCGCGATTTGCGCGTTCCGCCAGCGCATTGAGAGAGCTCCGAGCTTTTTGAAGCCATGGGCCAACTCCATGCTTCCATCCTTGACTTTCATGTCCATGCAGGCGCGCTTTGCGCTGTCCGACATGCCGTTGTACCGGAAGTGCCAGACCATCGCCGTGAGCCTTCTCGTGTCGTCCACCATCTTCTCAGTCTCCAACTGTGGCTCCAGCGTGTATCCGGCTTCGACAGCTTTCACTATATCAGTGTATGAGCCATATTTGCGTTCGTCGGGCTCATAGGTAGCCGGAAGCGGCTGAGGAAGAATTGGAGTGCTGATGGCGTCCATTGTGGGCAAGTGAGATTGTGGCGCGTTGTGCGGCTGGATGATGCTTGAATGCCGGAGGTGAACGGGTGATGGATTGAGCTACCCGAAAGAAAGCGCTAAATGCACCCCTCGACGATCGTGCCTGCCAACAGCGTCTTCGCTTGCGCGCACTTACAGAGAAAATGATATTCCTCCGCGCGACGTCACTTTGATTTTCCATGGGGTCCTATGCTTGCGTGCTCTGTGGTCGAATCTGCGCTCAACAGCCGCAAGTATGCTAGGTGAGCCGCAGCGCTTCTATGCCGAGAAACTGTGTGCTACAAAATAGACCATCCAGACTATGACAGCACATATTGTGCACGCCACAGGCTTAAGAGCGGCTAGACAAGTCTTCACATATCATGAGTGACGTCGGAAGAAGACTTAATTTAAGGGAAAGGGCAAAGAGAACCGGCGAAATCATGCCCGAACGGCCTTCCTCCGTCCATTTTAGGATTAGCGTCACCTCGCGCGCGCACTCGCGACACCAATATCGCCCGCCCACTGCCTCTGTTCCTTTCCTCTCTCGCTCTCTACCTTACGCCACCAGCGAAACTCCTGCGCCTGATGTCCTCTTTTCTGGCCCCCTCCGCTGGCCGCCCCCCGGAACGACCTTGTGCCCTCCGGCGCGTCCGACGACCGCGACTCTGGAACCGCTCACCCGCTCAAGTTGTTCCTACCCTGGAGGTTTATGCAGACGAAGACATCGAGATGGAGCGCACCGGCGAAGATTTGACTACCTCCAGCAAGAAGATAGTGTCCTTTGAGAATTTACCCGCCGCTCGGAAGTTCTGCGAATATTCGCCAGGTTACATTGCCGACACAGCATACGACATGACTCTTGTCCACAGGGACTACCGTGGCCGGGACCGCAGAGCATTCCGCATGAGAGCCAAGGACAAGGACGGAAACGCGCTGAAGGGTTTCAACAAGAAGCCTTTCGATGCCCCTCGACCAGCGTGCCTCGAAGTCAGCCTCGTCAATGGCAGGAGCATCGTTTGGGGATCGCTTCCCGGATACGAAGACGTCACGGAGAAGTCGCCGATTACCGTGATTCATAGGATCGATACTCAGTATCCGTCGATGGAGATCGTGGTCGCTCCAGATCCGGGTGACGAGCATGGCGAGGCTATCACTTGCATAATCTACGCTGAGGCCATCGAGGCCGGCCTCGAGGCCGACGAGACGCTAAAAGGCCTCTGGTCCGCAGAGTCCCATGAATTTGGCGACGATTACTGGAATGACTACGGCGCTGCATTCGGCTATGCTAACGGGACCGACCCGGCTTTCAAAGAGCGCCAAAGCTGGACGACTATGGTGAAAATTGACTCCCGCAGGCAGTCTACGCCGGCCTTGCCGGTACCGGAGCGGTCAAAGGTCAAGTTTCACGGCATCAATCCCGGTCGAGTCGAAGAGCTACGCGTCCAGATCCTTGAGGGGAGCGATGTGGCCCCACCGGCTGATGACCCAGAGAGACTCGGTTTCGATCCGTATGAGGACCTCTCATACCAGGAGCTGATAATCGGCTTCCTCACACAAGGTAAATGCTGTGTGCAGATCTTCACCAAGGTGACTCTCGCTGAGCAGTACGATGGGGCATACTCGGAGTTCATCCAATACTGGCTAAGCCTGATGAAGACCTCAATGACACTCGGCCATTTCTGGTATTACCGGAGGTACAACAGGGAAGGGACCCGCCTCATCAGCCATGACTTTACTATCGCAGGCATAGAGGCTCCTAGATGGCTGGCCACCAAATTCGAGGTCGTTTACGACACGAATGACATCCCGGTCAGCATGGTGCCATCCCGCTGGGGCACTTACCGCCTACCGAAGGTCCTTATCGGTGAAGACTGTGCCTTCCTCGTCCAACTCGGTAGCCAAAGAGTACTGGAACACCAGAACAGGCTTCTCAGCAAGTATCTCACAGATCGCGAAGCTGATTGCACCATGAGGTTCATCGCCAACCCACACAAGGATCCTCAGTATCTTGTGCAGGTCAATATCTCAGAGAGCCATGATAAGAATGTCATCATATCAACCGCCGACGCTCGCGTTATCCTGAAGATTGGAGGCTATTTCCCAGGATCGAGGAAGAACAGGGATCTAGAGCTCACGGGAATCGTCACAGATGGCTATCTCAGCGAATCCTGCGACTTCACGGTCTTCTGTCAGGGAATGGGGCCTAACAATCTCAACGACTTCATCAAGGGCAAGATTGAGATCGTTAACGATATAACCACGTGGGCTCGCCAAATCAACGCGACAACCATAGCCACAGACAAGCAACAGACCAGCGGCGTGGACATCGGTGCACTGCTACACTTGAGGGAGCCTACGGTTGTGGATACTGCTGTGGTCAGAAAGGTATTCGAGGAGAACCCCGAGCAACAAGAGGTCTTTGACAATGTCATCAACAGCAGGCAGCCGAGCTTCAACTCCAGCCAAAGGGAGGCAGCCCAGAAGGTCACAAGAAGTTCCACAGGTCTCGAGCTCATCGTTGGGCCTCCTGGTACCGGCAAGACCGACCTTGGCCAAACTATCGTGGAAGGCCTTGCTAAGTGCAACTACCGAGTTCTTGTCGTTGCTACACAGCACGAGGCCGTCGACGTCGCCTTCCGGAAGTTCAAGTCCATCACCACGCTTCCAGAGCTTCAATTTTCTCGCTGGATGAGGGAATCTCCCAACTATCAGCAGCCCTCTCAGTTCAACGCCCCAGTGACAACATCAGCCGCAGAGACCCATCAGGCTTTGCCCGATGACATGTGGAACAAGATCAGCACCCCCGGCACGAGCCTGGACCCTGAGGTGGAGGGATACCACGCGAAGTTCCATACTTGGGTACAGGAAGTGGCTCAACAACCAGGTAACCCGGCCTACGAAAGGGCCACGCACTACCTAGATACTCTTCGCTCCCTTGGCGATCCGGACCTGAACAGCCATGATCGCAGGAAGTTGCTCGATCTCGCGGACAATCTGCGGACACATGATCTGGCAAAAGCCTACCTTCGCAGCGAAGTTCGCGTTGTTTTCGCAACCTGTGCCTCTTCGTGCTCGGATACACTGTTCAGATTCTTCCAGCCTCAGGTCGTGTTCGTCGAGGAAGCTGGCTTGGCGTCAATCGCAGATCTGGCTGTGCCCCTGGCCCCATACATGGAGTCAATCAAATTGGTTGTTATGACGGGCGATCAGGAGCGACCCCCGCCGTTTCTGCCGTCTGTAGGCGCTAACGAGGCATCTGATTTGTTGAGGCGTTCTCTTTTCAAGATTCTTTTGGAAGATGAGAAGGCGGATCACACCGAGCTACTGACCTCCTACCGCACTACAGGGGATCTGGAAGGCTCTGGGGATCGTGGAGGCCGTGGCGGCGGTGGTGGCAGAGGTGGACGTGGAGGAAGAGCTCGCGGAAGAGGTGGCCGAGGCGGCAGAGGCGGAAGCGGCGGTGGAGCCTCAAGTGCGGCTTAGAGCTAAAGAAAAGGTTTGTTGAATAGTAGAGTACAATGGAAATAGACGTACTATACCAGTTGTGAGGTATTAATGATATGTGGTAATGTGCTGATAATCTGGGTGTTAGAACCCTCTGTGAGTAAAGAAGCAACATGTGTAGGTAGTTGAAGCGATTGTCCGGATGCAAAAGTGCAATTAAAAAAATATACATTTACGTCCGGACGATAGCTTCAAGTACCTATGATATGACTGAAAAATATCCGTGCTAGCCTTTGGCTACAGTGCCCCTCGGCAGTTGCAGGAAATCTTCATTTTTCGGTTCTGCATACGCTCACGGTAAGTAGAGAACTAAGTTTCCCGTCGGAAAGCGGCAAAGTGACGGCGCTAAGCTTGATCTAAGCTTGACAAGGCATGGATGTGGGTCCGGATATCGGGTAAGGGGGCGAAAGATCCGCCAAAGCCCAGCTGTATTTTCCAGCATTTCCAGCCCTTAACAGCGATTGCTACTCCACCACATGTAGTCATAGATGTTATACTTATTTATAAGTGTTTCAAGCACCTCCATTGCGTTCTATAGTGATATTTATTTGGCAATTATGGGCGTATAGGGTTTCTCTCCGAGGATAGAAGCCAGGGCTGCCCTATATGCTAAGCCTGTATAACACTAGCGCCAGGTATCTTGCAATTAACAAAACAGTGGTTCCGGAGAACCCCCTCCGGGAAGCCAAACTTTCCCGTATACCCACATGCGATCACATTGCTTATCGCTACCACCCTTCACAGAGATAGACATGGTCTCGATGCGGGACCGCTTGTTTACCAACAGTATAAAGCCTGCACGCCCGCCGTACCATCGCTTAGTATCACTGTAACCCGACAAAAAAATTGACAGGAAACAATGCCGAACATCTACGCCGACGTTGACGCAGCCGCATTGAAGGCGGACGCGGAGGAGTGCATGCTCTCATTCGGCTCGGCCTTCCACCCTGACATAATTACTCACGCTAAGGATGGATACATCTACACCTCCGATGGCCACCGAATGCTGGATTGGACGTCTGGACAAATGGTATGTGCTGTTCCTTGCGAATTCTATAAACAATTCTGATGAAATTCCCCAGTCCTGCCTCATTGGCCACGGAAACCCAGAAATCGTTGAAGCCATCACCCAGCATGCTTCCAACCTCGACCACCTCTTCTCTGGCATGCTTAGCCCACCGGTTATCAACCTGGCCAAGCGTCTGACCAGCCTGACACCTCCAGGCTTGGACCGGGCTTTCTTCCTCAGCACCGGCGGCGAGAGCAACGAAGCCGCCATCAAGCTGGCCAAGTCGTACACCGGCAAGTTCGAAATCGTCGGATTGTCCGCGAGTTGGCACGGCGTGACGGGCGTTGTACGTAGCCTACCCCCTTCACCTCCTCTTCAACCCCATCGACGTAACCGAAACCGCTGACACGAGAGAGCAAGGCCGCTGCCGCGCAATACCTCTCCGGCCGAACCGGCCACGGTCCCATGGTAAGCCCACCCTCACACACAGCATCTCTCCTCTCTCCTCCTTACCGCAGACAGCTGACACCCACCAGATGCCCGGCTCCCTCATGCTCCCGGCACCCAACAGCTACCGCAGCATCTTCCGGCACGCCGACGGCACTTACGACTGGCGCACCGAGCTGGACTACGGCTTTTCGCTCATCGACCGGCAATCCTGCGGCAGCCTAGCAGCGCTGATCGTCGAGCCGATCCTCTCGTCTGGCGGCATGCTGGTGTTGCCGGACGGCTGGCTGGCGGCGGCGAAGGCGCACTGCGCGGCGCGCGGCATGCTGCTAATCGTCGACGAGGCGCAGACGGGCATCGGGCGGGCGGGAGACATGTTTGCGTTCGAGCACGAAGGAGTGGTTCCTGACGTGCTGACGCTGAGCAAGACGCTGGGGAATGGCGTGCCGCTGGCCGCCGTCGTGACGAGCCACGAGATCGCGCGCGTGACGAAGGAGAAGGGGTTCCTGTTTTACACGACGCATATTAACGACCCCATGCCTGCGGCCGTCGGGCTGAAGGTGCTGGAGATTGTGGTGCGCGACGGGCTGGTGGAGAACTCGCGGCGGTTGGGGGCGAGGCTGCAGGCGGGCTTGCGGCGGCTGCAGGAGCGGTACGGGTGTTTGGGCGATGTCAGGGGCCGCGGATTGATGGCCGGCGTCGAGATCGTGGCCGACCGCGAGACGAAGCAGGGGGACGCCGAGCTGGGCTTCCGCATCTCCAACAAGATGGCAGAGCTCGGCGTCTGGGCGCAGTTGTCGACGTTGCCTGCCTTTGGTGGCGTCTTCCGCATCGCACCGCCTATCAACATTACCGAGGAGCAGATGGATTACGGCCTGGCTGTCATGGAAGAAGCGCTGCGTACTACGCCTGGGACCATGCCTTTGTACGACGTGGCTTCCGAGAGTGAAGTTCCCAGTAGGCTGTAGGCAGAAGCAATTAGCAGATAGTACTTGTCAAATGTATCTGGACAACGGGTTCAAGTACCCATGTAAGCAGATTTCCTTGGACGTATGCTATAATCACATCTGTCACTGAGGCCCCTCAAACATGTCCCACAAAGACTCCCACGGGTAATCCAACGGACCAATTGGAATGTTGAGCTCAGAAAAGCTGCTCAAGCCAAAATCTGGTGGTTCTTGTTGAGCATCCAGGCGTTGGCTCTCCTCGGCAGCTTGGACTGCGGGTGGCTGTGCGGCGTTGGACTCCTGGTTCCTCATTTGCGAATCCGATGTAATTCTAGAAATAGGCTCGTCACAGCGCTTGAGGAACATGTCCGCGAGATCCCATTGATCCTGGTTCTTTGCTCGATGCAGCCTACTTCGAAGAGACTTCAGGGACTCCTTACACTCCTCAGCAACAGCGGCATCGGCGGTGTCGATAGCGCAGCGCAGCAGAATCGTCGCAGCTGAAACAATCAAGTGACCAGTGACTATCACAGCATCAGATCATCGATCAATAGAAGCTTATCCTTTAAATTCTTACAGGAGAGCCAAAATTCCTTCAAATGCCTGCTTTGAAGAGAGCATACGAAGTCGGCAATGCGTGTGGCAGCGCGACGGAGAGTCGTGAAATGATATTGGCGAACGTCCTGGGCGTCCAAGCCGTTTTCATGAGCTGCTGCCTGATTTGTGTCAGTGCACTTCACAGGAAAAGGAAAGGGCGGTGCCACAGGAGTATAAAGCCTGTACCAGGCGGACCACAAAGGCTAAAAACATACCCGATATGACAACCTACAAAGCAGCATCCTGATGCAGAGGTAACCAAAGTGTAAGCTACTGGCTCCGGACACAGACGCCTCGGTAGAACCGGCCTTCAGAAAATTTGGAAGACTTTCCTCCCATGTATCCAGGTCACATTCAAAACGCCGTAGCTCTCTCCAAATCTCTTTGCGTGGTTCACTAAGATCATACACCAACGGAAGTACGTCGCCAAGGATCTGAGATAGACGGCAGAGTTGTATGAAGCATTCCGCAGCCCGGACTCTGTCTACATTCTCCTTGCCGGGGGTCAAAAGTATGGCAATAGAGGGTAGCGGGACATCATGCTGCTTGCGTAGTATCGATGGAGGAATACCGTGTGCAAAGCTCGACCTACAAAAAGATCAGCGGGTATGAAATTAGAAGCATTCGCAGGATCTTACCATTGATCCAGAACCATGCAGCCCCAGAATATTCTCACTCGCATGTCTTTTTCTCGCGCAGAAGTCCTCCATGCGCTGGGGTTTCGGTTCAATCCGAGACTATGGACCAGTGCCATTGTCCTACCGGAGTTTATAACATTACCTTGGACGGAACCAACTGGTCTTCCGAGCAAATCAATCATGGAAGAATAAAGCGTATATAGGTTGGGGGCAAGAAAGTCATCCTGCAGAGCAGCAATGGCAAGATTCCAGAAATACTGTTCGCTGGGACAATGATGGTGCTTCAATGTGTCCGAGAAATGCCAAAAAGTGAGAGAGATTGCATATATTTCGCACAAAAGTGTCGAAGACACTTTGCGGCCATCTTCCCCAGAAACCAATTCCTCATCAAGCACTGGGAACGCGGGGTGGATATGCTTGAAATAGAGCTGGATCACGTCTCTCTTCTTCGGACCCAGGATCTGGTCGAGAATTTCTCGTTGGCCGCGCCCCGAGTCTTTGGCAAGTTGCAAACCCTCTCTATGTCTTGGCAAGGCCAGAAAAATGGGATCTCCTGGAGCGTTTGACACGACGCTATACGGCTGCGGGCCGACCCTCGGTTCCGCTGTCAGGTATCGCTGCAAAATTTGCACATCCTCTGCAACCATTGGTCCCACGATAATGGACGCCTCACCAGCAGGGCCTGATGCAGAATTGGTCCCATTGCGAGGGCTCGAGGCGGCAGTGTCTCGTAAAAGCGGGCTTTGCTCCGATTCCGCAGCAGGATCTCGAGGAGGTACAGGGATACCTTCGCTTACGGGGCTGTCGAGTGTTCGGGCTCCAGAAATAGACGCGGACTGGACGTTTTCGACTCTTGGTCTCTTGCGCGGGCGCGAACGGTCAGGATCGGAGGTGGGCTGACGAGAGTTGCTGCCGGAAAAGAGGCAGTTGAAGCCCTTCTCAGCACACAGCTCACAGGGCTGTCCTATGGTTGCAATTTTACACCGGATCTTCCTTTGCCGGCATCTGTCGCAAGCGGGAACGCGATGGCTGCGATATGGCCGCGCTTGTGCTGTGGTGTGGTTCATGACGATTGCGAGTAGCAGAAATTCGGGCGCGATTTCGGAAGGCGCGATTTCGGAAAGCGCGCCTTAGGAACCAAGGCATCCCTGGCTCCTTCCTCAACGACAATTTCCTCCAAACCCAAAGTCAACCACACGCCTACCCGGGCATTCGCAATCGCCGTCTGCTCGACACACTGTTTGCGGGGAACCTGGATCTGGAGGCCATGTCAAGTTGCCGAGGTGTCCGAAAACCTTCTCATTGAACAGATCGAGATCGCTGGCCTCGGAGTCGTGTGTGACCGAACATGTGCTTCATCGGTTTCTCTTCCAGAATGCGCGAAGGTCAATGTCGTTCGCAGGCTTGGCCAGGTTCGTTAGGACGCTTCTCCGCGATTTCGTTAAGCCTTACGAGCTCGCTTGCGGCCCTCACAGACGGAACTGGCGTGCACGTCCCGCGTTATATGCTTAGAACCCTTCGCCTCTTTTGTATGAATGCGTGTCAGTCAGGCCGGAATACCCGGTCAGCATAGCCTTTAGGATCAGGCTGCCCAATGGTTTTTTCAAGGCCTGCAACTAACGGAGATACGGCGCGGAGTCCAGCCGCCATGCCAAGATATTGTTCAGTCACCAGACCTTGTTAAGGCCTCATTCGCTGCCAAGTGGTTCGGATACCTTACTCAATTCGACTACCATCCAGGACTAACTTTCCCGGATCAGCAATAGATCTTTGAGCCACTTTAAGCCACCTCATCAGGCACAGCGATTGAGCTGGCGCCTGACAGCCTATCCTGGTCGATACCACACCTCTCATTGGCCAACCCCGCACTCTACCCGCTCGCCTGCTGTAGCCCCTCCCCACCACCATCAAAGGTTCAGGCACGTCAATATTCGTGACAGCTGTACGTGCTCGTAAGGATGACACGACCATTGGGCAGCCCCTCGGTCCTGCATTCTCGTCAATGGTTTGCTGCATGTTCGTTCGCAAAGTCCCCCCGAAGAGGTACAATTCACATGTACCACCTACAGAATGCAAAGTCGCGCAGCAATGCCTACGGTGAGACGACGGGCGGGCCGAGGCTTGGAATGCCTGACGAGCGATTTTAAATTACTCCGCACGACTCGGTGTCCCATGAAGCCTCGGATTTGACGGCAAGAGACGTACCTATATCATTGACGATCAGCCCTGAGTGTGGGTCGTTGGTCTGTTGCGCTTCGCTAGCCCGGCTTGTTGGATTCGAAAATGCGCCTGTGCAGCCTTTTGATTTGCTTGCTCGCCACTGCGGTGTGTGCTGCTCCCACCGCAGGCCCGCAGCTTGGCGTGAAATTCAGCAAGCGTCAGAATGAGCTTCCAACGCTCACCCTCCCTTACGGAACCTGGCGAGCATCAGAGTACAACGCAGATGCCGATGTACGTGGAAGCACCGATGTGGCAGAGGGAACAGCTGACCAACAACGCACATTAGGTGTATGTCTTCAAGAACATTAGGTTCGCCGCAGCGCCGATTGGTGACCTCCGTTGGCGTAAGCCGCAGCCTCCGGCCAATAATGATACCATCCAGGATGGTAGCTACGGGCCCATCTGCGTCCAAGCTCCAATCGAAGGACTCAATCTTCTCGGCCCCGGCAACAACTCTCCTATTGGAGGAGCGATTAATCAGTTCTTAGCAGGAATCCCTGTTCCCATCTTCGAAGGTGGCTCCGAGGACTGTCTTTTTCTAGACTTATTCGTCCCTGGAGATGCTGTCCGAGACCCTGACACGCATAGCCTGCCGGTCATCGTATGGATTTACGGAGGAGCATACGGTACGTTTCACGGCTCATTCTTGATATAGTCCCCTCTCGCAGCCGATGGCTAGCGTGGATTTGTTTTTGCTCATGTCATGGGTAGCTGAAGCTATCGTCCGGACGAGAATGTCGAATTAAAATTTCTACATACACGTCCGGAAGATAGCTTCAACTACCCACATATGTTGATTTTTCTAAGGCAGAGCTGGGACATAGTTACGCTGTGTTCTAGAGCCTTGCTATTCTTCGCGCTAGCCATCGGCTGCAGCACCCCTCTGTACAGAAGACTGACTGGATCATAGTATTTGGTAGCAAGGATGCACTTGATTTGATTGGCTTTTACAGTGGAACAGGCCTGATCCAACAGTCTGGAGGGAACGTAATATACGTTGCCGGCAACTATAGGTTGGGTACTTATGGCTTCCTTGCTGGCGAAACCATGGAGAATGATGGTGTGCCAAATGCTGGATTCTGGGATCAGAGAGGTATGGCACCCATATACCCGCCATTTACGGATTATGCTCACCTAAGAGACAGCGGTCTTCCAATGGGTTCAAGATTACATTGGCCTTGTCGGTGGGGACGCTTCAAACGTCAATGCCTGGTAAGCTGTCTCCCACAATCGTACTGAGAAGCATCGCTGACACAATTCAAGGGGCGAGAGTGCAGGCGCTGGTTCTATTCTTCACCACCTGACAGCTCAAGGAGGCACCCTTGACCCTCTGTTTAAGAAGGCAGTTGCGCTAAGCTCCGCATTCCAAATTATGTGGGATCGCAAAGGAGGCCTGGAGAACATCTTCCAGAACTTCAGTGCACTTGCCGGCTGCGAGGGTCAAGGCTTGGACTGCCTTCGTGCAGCTGACCCGGCGACGCTTGACACTGCCAACGAAGCCTTGATCAGAGCCGCGCCGGAAAGTGCTTTCAATATCGGACCGGCTGCAGACGGAGATTACGTGCGTCAACTTCCTATGCTGGAGTTCGCGTCAGGTAAGGATCCACCCTTGATTATACACTATCGTTGCGCTCACCATTCGCTAGGGAACTATTGGAAGGGCCTGGATTCCCTGATTATCAGCCACACAGCTGACGAATCTGAATTGTTCGTTGATGGACACATCCAGACCGACGAACAGTTCAACGGCTTCATAGACAGTGTGTTCCCAACGTACGTGAAGGAGGCGGGCATCAATGCTGCTATTGAAGAATTCTATCCACCCGTCTCGACCAACGACACGTACGCTACCGTCACCGAAAGAACCAAGGCCTTCGTGAGGGATTCGTCATTCACATGCTGGTCCCGGTTCCTAACAGACGCCTACGACGGCAAGTCATGGAACATGCAGTATAGCGTATCGCCGGGCTGGCACGGAACGGACCTGCTGCCTCTCTTCTACCAGATCTACGTGTCGTTCGGAGGCGACGTCGCTTTTCCTTTGATCCCAGGCTTCGGATCTTTTGCGACGGCGTATCAATCGTACTTTACGTCTCATGCACGTTCAGGCGACCCGAATACGCACTCGGCCAAGATCAATTTACCGCCGGCGATCAACTGGCCTCATCCGACAACTGGAGGCGAGAACTTGGGCAACGTGCTGAACGTGGGCAACCTGGGCTTCTCGCTGAGGACGGACGAGCAGCTGCCCAAGAGCTCGTGCGATTTCATCCTCGAGCTGGCGGCGGCCGTGACGAACGTGGGTGGGTATGCGGCGCCGGGGACGGCGCAGCCGCAGAGCTTGGTGGAGTTCGACGGGGATCCGAGCGCGAACTACGAGTGATGAAACAGACTTCTTTTTTAGCGGACGAACAGGCGAGAGCGAGAGGGTCGTGGGAAATGTTGATAGCTGCAGCGAGATTTAGATGTGACGGTCAAGTCATGATTAGTTAAGCGCCGATCGCAGCGCCGATCAAAGCGTACAGAGTTCCGACAGGTCGCGCCCATGGTGCAAGGCTGTGTATTTGAGCCGTGAACGGGAGCCGAAGAGCGACATTGTGGAAGTTGCTTTGTTTAGTTCGCGAGGCTTTTGCGGCGGGTGGGGAGCTCGAGCTTAGACCCTTGGGGCCTGTGCGATCAGCATATGCAGGGTTCTCCCTAGCAAGCAGTAACAGCTCCAGTAGTCTGGCTCAGGCGATGCGACGTGGGCTTGCGGACGGCATCCAATCATGCATGCAGCACGGCGGTATTTTGGCGTCGATGTGTGTGCGGTGGCGTGGGCCAGGACCTTTCTTTCGTTCTCGGCCGGGGCCAACAACGTCCCTCGCCGTTTGGCCGATCACTGCAGGAGCCGTCTCCATCCTTGCCCCGACCAACGCGACCACCACCATCGCCCGCCCTCACTCCCCGCCTTGCTACCAGGCTCCCGGAACGAAGCGACTGCCTGGTGCTGAGGCAGCTGCACCTCGACCACCCCAATGGCTCGCGCCGGAGCCGCAGCGGACCTTCTGTGGCTTTTATGATTGCTTCCGTCGCCTCATTGTGGCGTCCACGCCTCCAGCAGCCGTGCGGCCCCGCGCACACGCGTGGTAGCCAGCGAATCCATTCACGCCTATCTAGCCCTCTCCCTGGCCCTTTTCTGAGCCACCGGATTCCTTCTCCTCCCCCGACGAGAGGGCACAATGACCAGCCGGCGCTCCTACTTCCCAAAATCAAACCATCTCTTCAAGCGCTCCGAGTCTGACAGCCCGTCCCTGCCGCGCCGTCCCTCGAGGATCGCCCCCATATTCGACCAAGACCATGCTGACCAGCCGCTGCCCCCGTTTGACGAACACCAGCATGCCATTAACTATGCCGAGGATTCGACGGACCCCTACACCACTCCACTGCCGCCAGAGCCTGCCGACGTCTCTACTCCATATCTCTATCCCACATTGTGCCGTAATGAGCGCCTTCGCCTTACCATGCTGTGGTACTACACCAAAGATATAGCCGACGACGAAGAGCTGCTCCAAAAACTCCAAGGCATTGTCAGGCTGGTGCGCTCCTTCATTGGCTGGGAATACGTGATCATGGGTATTCTTTCAGAGAACACATACCATCGCCTGGTGACCCACGGAGTCCCTCTGGCCATACTTCCCAGGAGGGAGAGCACTTGCGCCCATACGATCAACCAGACATTCGGCGTGAGTCCACCGAGCCCCTTCTCTGCGCATGCTAACCCCGCTCCAGCTCTTCGTTCTCCCAAACATGCTGGGGGATTGGCGCTTCCGGAATTCTCCCCATGTCCAGGAGGGCGGGTTGCGGAGCTACGCCGGAGCCCAACTGCGCTGCGAGACCGAAAACGGCCAGTTCATCGCCCTTGGCTCTTTGTGCGTTGCCGCAAATTCCGAAACAGAGGGGCTTAGTGCGGATCAGCAGGCTGCTCTCTCACGCTTCGCAGATATCCTTAGCGCCGAAATCGTCAATCGGTCCCGCATCAATCGCCAACGTCAGCGCCAAGCCATGGGCGACACCCTATCGAGGATCAAGTCCAAGGCAACACAGAATACCGTCGAAGATCTGGTGAAACAAGCTCTGAGGGATATTTACCCCGGTGCGTCAGTCACCCTGCAAGACTCAGATGACGGCACCATTGAGCTCGAGGATCGACCGCCAATTTCGTTTGAGGACGACGTGCAAGACTGCTTGTGGGAAGATACCGAGTTTCTAGAGACGTTGATCCGCACGAGCAACCACCGCCGACTGGAATCCTTCCAGACAATCCGCGCCATGGTCGCACGATGCCAAAGACAACCGATACCTCGCTTCTTGGTCGTATCCTTCAAGGAGGTCCAATTGGTTTTGGATGATGTTGACGCATGGTTCGTCGAGTCTTGCGCCATCATACTTTTCGACCATTACCACGAGCGTCTTCTTGCCGAAGCCCTGAAAGCCAAGGACATCTTCCTGCGCGGAATCACGCACCAGCTTCGAACTCCTATCCACGGCATCCTCGGTTCTGTGGAGCTCTTGGGAGAAGAACTGTTTGCTCCCCCAGAGAATATCCTTTCCAGCGGTGCAGTCAAACGGTTAAGCATCGCATCGAGTTTTACAGACTCGAGTACTGATGGCTACGCAAGCAAAAATGCTCGACTATATCTGCAGGCCATCACGAACGCGGGAAGAGAATTAATGAGTACGGTGAACAACGTTCTCATGTTAAACCGCTGGGCCGAGTCGAGCAGGTCGATGAAGCAGGCTTCATATTATGAGCTTAATTTACTGGAGGCTGATATCCTCCGAGACATTTCTCTGATGCTTCCAGAAGAAGAGTTGGCCTTGACGTCAGTCCTCTTCGACAACCAACTCACAGTCGATTGCAGCATCGTGACGATTGATATCGGTCTACTCAAGGAGTGCTTGCAGTCTTTGATACTCAACGCGATCCAATCATCGACAACGAAAAACGGGAGCGTTCTTGTCATAATCACTGCAACAAGCGACTATTCCATATTGCAGTTCGACATCAAGGACACAGGGATTGGTATCTGCAAAGAAGACCAACGTCGAATATTTGAGGCATATGAGAAGGGTGACTCTCATACTAGAGGCGTCGGGTTGGGTCTGACCATTTCTTCGAAAATCGCCGCCTCCATGAATGGTTCCGTCTCTTTGGTCTCCTCAGAACCTGGCAAAGGGTCACACTTTCGCGTGGAGCTCAGGGATCCAGGCTTTGCCTGTCCGACCGACCATTGCCCTTACGCACCTCCGGCCTTGAAACACGTCCCTAGACGCTACCACGAAGTACCCACGGGTCAAGAAGCCATGCCACTGGTCCGACACTTCATAAACTACCTCGAGCACCGCGGCTGGGTGCGTTCGGACACATCGATTGGTGCGCTCAACATTGTCAGCTTTTGCGAGGACGAGCAAGATTTTCAGAATCACTTCAAGACAGTAGATCCCACCGCCATCTCCGTGTGCCTCATTCCTGCTCGCGTCAGCACGCGCTCGCTCCGCCTCCCTTCCGCGAGCAGTCGGATCCTCTTCTTCGAAGGCCCCTTCCTCTCCACCCGCCTCTACGACATCCTCTACGAAGTCAACGAGACCTACGCCAAACTCAAACAACTCCCCGAGCAATCCCCCATCACCAACGGCGTGCCGGTCGGCCCGAACGAGCAGATCCACGACGTCTTCGCGCGCAAGATGCGCATCGTCGAGCCCATCAGCGCGCTGCTGGTCGACGACAACGCCATCAACCTGCGCATCTTCAAGCTGTACTGCGAGAAGCGCCACATCCCGTACGCGTGCGCCGTCGACGGCAACGAGGCGGTCGCGCAGTACCGCGCGCACCTACAAACACAACCGCTCAACCTCATCTTCATGGACCTGCAGATGCCCAACTGCGACGGCGTCGAGGCCACCAAGCAGATCCGCGACATCGAGCGCGCCTGCGCCCGCCACGCCGCCATCATCTTCATGATCACCGGCCAGGACTCGCCCAGGGATAAGGCGCAGTCGAAGGAGGCGGGCGCCGACGAGTTCTTCGTTAAGCCGACCAGCATCAAGACGCTCGATCAGGGCATCGCGCGGTATTTCGAGCCCGTGGCTCAGCGGGATATTCCTGTCGGCTGAAGCCTCGTTGTAATAATCAACCTTGTATTCAAATGTATTGCAGATCTATTTTTGGCAAGTACACACGCTGTTCGAGTCGCAGTAGAAACGGACGTCCGCGACACCAAGAAGAATCCATTTTCTGTTTCTTTCCTCCCCGTAGAGCACGGCGAGGGTTGTGCGCGGTGCGCGAAAGGCAGTTCAGCGAGGGAGCGCCGTGTCATCCCGCGGACATATGGCCGCCAGTTGCAAGCCACGTTCCAAAGTAAATAGGGGTGGTGCTTCGCAATCCTCTGGAGTGGGTCGGTGGTCGCGCCTATCTGCCGAGCAAGGGTTGGGATGATGGAACAACGTCAGCCAGCAATCAAGCCAGACAAAAACGCCAAGCCATTTCAAGGGTTCCCCCGGTCGAGACGGAAATAGCACACATAGGGAGGAGGGTCAAAAAACGAGGATAAGGGAGGATTTTGAAAGTGTGGTTTGGGGGGCTTATCGCTGGCTCCTTTCGGTTTTCTTCCCGTAACCAGCATATACATCCCCACGTAGTTGAAAGGAAGAGGGATTGGAAGATTAGAGCAATAATATACCCTATTTATACCCCTTGTCACAAAATTTTCTTTCCTATTTTTTTGTTCTAGCCTTCCCACCATTTGTGTGCCATATGCGGTGGCTTTGTAAGAAAGGGACACGTGTATGCACAATTACACAACGACAGTTGACTTGTTCAAACGGTTTTGCACCTGAATAATTCTCATTATGTATTTGTTTTCATGTAAGATTCGTCACGCTTTCGTCAGTACACCATGGGTATTTGGTAAAACATGTAGATGGCATGGGAATCCGAGAAAAACACCGGCGAACAAAGATTAGTCTTCCCTCTTTCTCTTACTTCCAAACGTAAGAGGGAAGGAACCGAATTGGTTAATTCCATGTTAGTTGAAGAAGCAAAAGCAAGAGCAAAAGTGGGGAAGAAGGCAAAAAGAGCAGAACCAAAAGGCAAATAACACCTCTGTACTCCAACGGTTAAGCAGAAGAACCACGCAAGAACACAACGAAAAAAAAAAATCCAGAAGAGAGGTAGGGGTTGTTGAGCCCCTGTCCAAATCATGACGGATAGACAAGAAAAAAAAGGCCACTCCCAACTCCTGGCCGAAGGCTTGCTTGATAGGTCAGCCCGTACTTTGCCTTTCGATGTTTATCTTTCTCTCTCTCTTCCAGGTTCAGTTCAAGCCCTCGTTTCGCATGAGAAACCAGAGCCTATCCTTCACACATAGAAGCGCATGGGTTAGATGATCACGTCGACATGGTCGCATTCTTCCCTCCTTCAAGCATTCACGGGTCCAACGGTCGTCGACCCGGCCGACGCGGCACCGCCTCCGTTCGGATTAGGTCCCGTCGCTGGTCCATTGCTGCTGTCGCCACCGCCGCCGCCGTCACTGCCTCCACCACCGCTGCTTTGACCGCTCTTCCTTCGGGATTTGGCGTAGCGTACTAGATCGTGACCCATCACTGTCAGATAACCGTTCTTTTTTATTTTTTAAAAGTTGTCGCGAGGGGAGAGAAGAGAGAGGGAAAAAAACTCACAACCACATGCATTGCACAAGCTCTTCGGCCCGCTGGGACCCTTGCGCCACTCGGGGGAAGAGGTGGTGCTGCACCAGGAGCAGACGTAGTCGTCGACTGGCAGCTTGGCGCGCTTCTTGAAGCCCGCGCCCGTCAGGGCCTTGACGATGAACGGGATGCCCACGTCGCCCTCCATGACGGTAGGTGTATTGGTCGGAGGGGACCTATTATCTATGGCAATGGCATTATTGACGCTACGGCTGGTCGTCGCGGCGATGGTGCCGGGGACGGCGGTCGTGCTAAAGGTGCGAGAAAGCAGAGGGGGTGGTGGCTTTCGGCCAGCCACGGCGGCACCGCCGGAACGCGAGGAAGAGGAGGGGAACGAGGGGGAGGGCCCGGCGATGATGGAGGCCGACGTGTTGGTGCTGCTGCTGCTTGCCGGGCCGAACATGCTGCTGGCGCTGCCGCTGAAGACGGATTCTTGCGCTGAAGAGGAAGCGGAGCCGGTCGTCAGTGTCATGCTCGCGGGCGTGGCGTCGAACCATGGGAAACCGTCGCTGGGACGCCGCATGGCGGCGGCAGTCGTGTAGGCAGCGGCGGGAAAAGACGCCTCCATGGAGTACTGACGTGTCTGGTAGTAGCCATCATGTCCGTCGGCGTAGACGTCAGTATCTTTCTCTTCCTGTTCGGCTCTCAGCGCGGCCAGCTGTGCGGTCAGCCGCTCGTTTTCGATCTTCAGAGACAAGAAGGAGTCAAGTTTGGTGCCTTGGGCGAGGGGGTAGGGCCGGGCCATCAGGACGAAGAGGCCGTCATCGCCGGGCGGTGTGACTGCCACGCCGATACCGACAGCGATGGGGCCAGGTGTTACAACCTCATGGAAGCGGCCTGTGATCTCGAAGACGGAAAAAGTTGGAGAGGACGTCAGATCTCGCTCTGGAAATCCGGAGTGAAAGAGGGCGGCATCAGCATTCGTTCCTGCACCCACAACATTGACACGGCTTCGAATGCGGCAATAGAAGCGGAAGGGACGGCCCGTGGACGATGCTTCGCGTAACTCATCCCGGTACACAGGTGCGTCGTCCTCGTGTACGTGGTCCGCCAGCACGGTGCCCAACAGTTCCTCTGGGCCGTAACCCAGTAATGCGGCGCTGTTGGGTGAAACGTGCTGGACGGTGCCGCCTAACGAGAGGACATAGTGGAGATCGCGCAATGAGTCAAGCACTGCGGCACTGATGCGCGCCCAGGTGGCTGCAGGCCTGGTTCGTTGGGCAGTAGCGGCGCCACCATGACGGCTTCTGGCACTGGCCGAGGGTTCAGTGATCGTGGCAGGGGCGATGGCGGTTCCGGCATCCTCGATAGACATGCCGTACTCTAGGTAGGGGATAATTGGGTACCTTGGGTCCATTGCAGGGAGGAAGGAGAAGAGATGGGTCAGAAAACGTTTTGCCTCCCGACCCGCACCCGAGTCCGGCGAGGCGCGAAATTAGCGGGGTTCGGGGGAGAGCTGGGCACGTATGTCAGTATTGGTGAGTAGGTCTGGCATTGCACCGCGAAAAATGGTTGGAGCAACGGGGGAAGAGGCCATTTGTGGCGCCATTCTTTACACACCACAGAGGCTTGGGCAGCCGAAAGGATCAGCCAAGAGGGCCGTTAGATGCCAGCTGAGAGCAGCAAATGGTGGAGACGGGGCGTATCAAACGGGCTGGCGCAGTTGGGTGACAAGGCGACTAGCATGGACCCGGCAAGCCGTCTGCTTGCCGGTGGCTCGGGCGGACAGTGATTGGACGGGCAGTGCGTGCTGCTAGGCCAGGTGGAATCGCCTCAATGGTAGAGGTTGAGGTGAGGAGCAGAAGCAAGCGTGAGAAAAGTGGTACGATCTCGAGAGCAGCGTGCAACAGTGAGGCGGGCGTGGGAATCGTCAGGTCGGGCGGCTATCTGATCTGACAGATCTAGACCGCCCGGGACAGAGGCACAGATGGATCTGGTACGCAGTCGTGGTGCCGTATAGTACGGGGAGGCGGCCATGGCGGGCATGCCTAGTGGTGGGCTCGTGGTGGCGAAACGGCCCCTGTCCTTCTGAACAACACAGCGGCCACCAGAGGCCAGAGCGGCCCTTAGCGCGGAGAATCAGAGAGGAAGAAATACAGCGTTAGAAGCGCCGCACGAGGGTGGTGCGGAGATGGGCATGCTGTAGGCGACTAGGGCCTGAACAGGCAAACGGCATGCTTTTTCTGCCTTGCATGCGACCGCACTGCTGCGCCGATCGACCGAGAACCTCAGGCCGGCGTTCTAGGCCAGTCAGCCGCAACGGCACCCGCACCCAAGGCGGCGGTTTCCTGCAGGGCAAAGTATTCCAGAACGAGGGCTGTGTTGGCCTGGTGAGGCTCAAGCGCCCCCGTTGGGCGGAGGCCACGCGCGGTCGCTGCTGGTTGAGCTTCATTCGCTCTGTTCTCCGCAAATTGCCACCCGTTGCAGAGCCGAACGGCGCTAAGCGTCCGGGAAGATTCCGAGTGCCACGGTGCGCCGGTCCAGCCGCCGAATTAGGACCTTCAGCTGGGTTTCCAGTGCCTGCTGACGGCCGGTCGCGCCGGCCTATAGCTTGCCGGCGCTCATCTGACGCGGCTGCGTGCTAAGCCTGGTCCGTGTGGGGAGGGTTCGGATCGCAAGCGTGGTGAGTATCGACAACGAACACCTTCGGTGTTGCGGCGGCAGCGTCGGGGCTGGCGGCGGGGCGTTTGCTGGTTACTGTTACTGCCGACCGACGTCTCGTCTGTGCGTCTAGGCACTTTAGCAATGGCCTCACGCAGTCCACAATTCCGATGCTCGATATTGTACATGCTTGCTCACATTGACTGTTGATTTGCTGCTCTGCTGCCGATCCCGAGTCTTTATTGTTTAGATACTCTACCCGTGCGCAAGAGACCTTTCTCCCGGTCAATTATTCCCAACCAACGCCGGGGTTGATGCAGCCGCCATTGACCTCTCGTTTAGCTGGTGCGCCTCCTCTTCTCGGCTGGCTCGCCGCCTGCTGCTTGCGTCCCACTTGCTGAGCGCCAATTGACCGTGCTATTCGCCGAGTCCGTCTCAGACGACGCTCCTTTCTCCTCCTCGGCGCTTTTCTCCTTCTTGGAAAACGAAAAGGGCGCGCTAATGGCAAAGTAGAAGACATCGTGATCGTGGTCGTGCGAGGAATCCGCATTCTTCCCCTTCCTGGACTGTACCGTCTCGTCGCCACTCTCCTCAACTGTCTCCACATATTTCTTAGTAGCCCGCTCCAGCTTCTTCTCTGCGCGCTTCGTGCGCTCCTTGGACAGGATGCTGTGGTTGCGAAGCTCCTCCTCATCTTCGAATGCCTCGCTAAAGTCCTGCATCACTTTCAACTCACCCCTTACCAAAGCAGTACCCCAGCAGGCAATGAGCACCCCAGGGACCAGGTAGAGGAGCGCGGGCTGAGCATGGTCTGCAATCTGCATAGCTGCAAGGGTGGTTAGCATACCCACTACATAGCCGACCATGGTTGCGGTGAAGTAAGGCTTCGGGAAGGAATGTGCCGCCGAACGCGCCCAAAACCATTCGCCCCATTTGTTGGAGACCGAGGCGTACGGCGCCTTCACAATCTGCACGGATTGATCGGTAGAGCTTGCATCAGCCGTTGCCCCAGAGTCCTTATTAGCTTCAGTGGTCTGGCTGGACGCCTTGAGCGTTGTTTGTTTGCGCAGGTAATGCAGATACAAATCAAACCGGAGAGCAAGGCCGATCATTATACCGGGAAGGACAACATCCCCGAGACCGAGCATTGCGTGTTGCTTGATTGGTGGTTTGGCCGGATCCGCCGAAGGAATGTCGGGACGGGGAAAAACGAGCTTGATTGGGATATCCAGGGATTTGGCCACCGTAACCATCATGGGTCTGATCCCGTTAGTATGAATGGCGTCGGGCTTAAAGATCATGGTACTTACGTGAAGAAAACCATGTAGATGTCGTAGAAAAACAGGGCGGAAAGCAGGAGTGTCCCGGTAGCGAACGTTGTGGGGCTCATGAGCTGAAGAGCCCCGTACGAGAAAGCGAAGCCCATGAGATTGGTCAAAAACCACGGCTTGTCTACGAAGTTGAAGTATCCGACAGCAACCACAGCCAGAACAAAGCCAACAACACCATGAAGTCCAAGGTGGCCGCGCACTGATGCCACGTTGCGCAAAAAGAACTTGACCGTCCACTTCTGCCTTGGGATATTGCGAATGTTCCAGAGAAGGGCTTTGGCGTGTGTAGGAAGAGGAATCCGAGAGAGCAGGCCAGGAAGTGGAGAGCTTCTGGCAGCATTATTACCCACCGGCACAGGGCTTGCTGGCTTCGCGATGCGTGTGCGCGAATTCACATCGTACAGAATCCCGCCACTCATGTACCGGCGCGGAAAGCAAAGACTGTGTACCAGATCCAAGCCATCAGTGATGAAGCGACTTACGCTCAGTACACCAAAGAGTGAGAAATAGGCGTTGAGGATCTTGTTCAAGAGTTGCGGGTCCTGCATCCACTTGATAAGAAAGTAAAGACCAGTGAGCGTCACTCCTGCCATGATCGGGAATATTATAGCATCGCGGGTTGACAGGCCCTCCATCTGCTGGATATCCTCCTCCTCATCTTCTTCCGATTCGTATCCATCATCCGCGGTATCAACCTTCGGTGCTTTCTTTGGTTTGGCGGCAGAGGACGGACGGGTAAGCGACGAGTGCGCGCCGGCGTAAATGGGGAAGAGAGCGGAGATGAGGAGGTGAGAGTAGGTAGGAAGCAGTGGCTGCGCTTCAGCGAAAGCATATGCCAGCTTGCCGAGAAGCTCGTAGATGGGGCCGGGGTCAGACATAGCGACGGTCGTTGTCGGTGCTTGCGGTGCTCGAGGTGCTTGCGGCGCAAACAAATTCCTGGTCGCGGCGGGGAAAAGAAGCCGGGAGGGCTCTTTCGATTACAGGTTGCGAATCACCTGGCGGCGACAATCATGGTGCTGAAGAGATGTTGAATGTTGAAAGAGTGTTCCTTGTTTCTGGAAAGCGAAGTGTGGCCCGCTCTAGGAAAGCACCAGGGTATAGCGGCGGCCGACTTACCTCAGAAGCCCCTCAGCTATCGATTGGCGTAACTTTTAGATAAGCCAATGACTCAGCAGCTCTGAACAGCTCTATAGGCTTAGCGTGTTCGCAGTACCAAATTAGGTATGGCGCGTAGCCGCGGACCATTTCCGCACCGAACCGATCACTGATGCTCCACCTATGTGTGCTTTGGTGTGCTTGACAAATACTTTCGCTCCCTAACCTTATTTACTTCTCCTTTTAGGCTCTTCTTCCCGAACACTTAATTCACCTATCGGTCACAGCTGATAAGATGCCTGAATCCCAATTCCGCGGTCTTGCATTTATAGTCGCCGGGCTAGCTGTGATACTGGGTATAGTTGCATCCTCGTACGATCTTGCATCTGCTATCAAAGACTACGTGACTACAAGCGCGCTGCCAGATATCACTTCAAAATCAAGACAAGGAAGCATTCAGAAAGTCGAAATGGCAGAGCAGAGCCCCAAGACTCCTGTATATTTCGTGTCCCATGGAGGAGTAAGTACCACCGTTTCTCTACAAATAATCAATGCACTGATGGAATAGCCAAACCTAATGGAAGATACGGATCACCCGGCATATAAAAAGCTGCAAGAGATCGGCAAGGAGATCACGAGCAAGGTTAAGCCAAAAGCAGTGGTTCTCTTCTCCGCTCATTGGCAAGGCCGGAATGATAAGGTGCTTGTGAACACAGCTGAGATCACCGATTTGATTTACGAGTGGGTGCCGCCGTGATTCGCCGTGGTGCCAAGCTGACCTTCTCAGTTTCTATGGCTTTCCTGATTGGTACTACTCCGTCAAGTATCCTCACGTAGGAAGCCGGGAACTCGCGCAAAAGGTCATGTCAAAGCTTGAGACTGCCGGAATCGGCTATACGCCAGTAACCCGCGGCCTTGACCATGGTGCTTGGCTTCCGTTGCTTATCGGTAAGCAATCAGTTCAAACACAATAGGGCCATTGGAGCTGAAAGCATTAGCATTCGATCCCGAGAAGAATCCGCTCAATGTCCCTATTGTCCAGGTCTCTCTCTTCAAAAATGAAAATCCAGACGAGCATCACAGACTCGGAGAGGCTGTGGCATCTCTCAGGGAGGAAAATGTCCTTGTTCTGGCATCCGGAATGGCGGTACACAACCTGAGGGATCTTTGGTTCTCCATGGGCCAGGATCAACCAATGCCGTGAGTTTTCCCCGTCAGACGTTCAAAGAAGTGACCGTCTTATTTGAATATAGGTATGTCTATAGCTTTGATGGTGCCCTGAAAGATGCTGCTACAGCCGAGCCGGATCAAAGGAAGGCAAAAATGGCGGAACTGCTGAAACGTGGAGATGCCCGTCAAGCTCACCCAACTTTTGAGCACCTACTGCCCATTCATATCGCGGCGGGGGCAGCGGGAAGCGACCTTGGGACTCGCCTCTTCACCATGGCGGACGGAAGTATGAGCTGGGCGCAATATCGATTCGGGGATTTGACGGTGAATGAGACGATTGCGGCGAAGTTCTAGGGGCATGTCCTCCCGAGCGCGAAGCGGTGTAAAGTAGAAAGTCGGCGATGCTCCCGTAATTCAGAGCTTTTTGTATTTGTACAGCCCTCCAACGGAGAAGCAGCTAATTCATAGCATCTATGACGACTTGACCAGCTCGGTAACTTTGCTCTCAATAGTCGCATCATCCAGGCCTGCGTAGAGTCAGCATCCTACCACTGCGCAACATGCATAATAAGCCAACTCACCCGACAATGGCAACATCTTCTCCTTTCCGAACTCTGTTGTTTCCGTCAGCCAATGCTGCCCCATATCCCAGCCCAGGACGTTGCGACGCACCGTATCTCGCGTAAACCTTAGGCTCCACATTCTGAGCTTCCCTGATGAGGATCGGAGTGTGAGGGTTGTGCTTCTTCATGGTCGGGTAGGCGCGCAGGAGGAAATTCCTGGGCGGTCCAATCAGCGTTGTCGCTTTTCCAATCGAAGACGGCGGCGGGAAGAGGGATTGTACCGTGTGGCAGCGCTCTGGGACGAGGACTGGCAGAGGGCAAAGCGCAGCTCCCTGACGGCGCTGCTGAACGCGTACTTGGAGGCCATGGTGACGGTCGGGGTGGTGGATGGGCGACTGGGCGGTTGAGTGAAGCTGCGCTGGGTGACGGGTGACGACGTCGGAGAATCCGTCCCGCGCGCCAAGTCCCGGCGGCTCCATCGCCTCCGACTTCACAACCCGTAAGCTATTATCTCCGCGACTCTCCTCTCCACCACCCATTTTTCGCGTCACCACTCTCTGCTCTGTCGTCACGCTGCCCGCCATGTCTGCCTTCCGTCCCACCACCCGTATTCTGAACTTCTCCCGGAATCTGGTCCGGAACCAGGCCTTCCGCCAGACTTCCCAACGCCGCTTTCAGTCCACGGCGGCTGAGGCCAATGGCGCCCCTCAGAGCGGCTTTGCCAAATTCTGGAACAGCCCTGTCGGCCCTAAGACCGTCCACTTCTGGTGCGTATCCTTTTTTCCGCTTTCACCGTGTACGCTGCTCCGACAAACCAACAAAAAAATTATCGTTGGTGTCGCGTGCGATCATGTTGGGGAGTGGAGATACCACGCAGACCACATGAGCTGACGCATTCACAATAGGGCTCCTGTCATGAAGGTACCATCCCGATAACTCCGATCGCATTCCGCCCGTCGCTTCACCCTCAGCGCGCCGTTGACGTTCCCGCCCACGCTATGACTGTACCATGAAAGATGGGGGCTGATGGATGATACAGTGGGGTCTTGTCCTCGCAGGTATTGCCGACTTCTTCCGTCCCGCCGAGAACCTCTCCCTGTCCCAGAACTGCGCTCTGATGGCCACCGGTGCTATCTGGACCCGCTGGTGCTTGATCATTAAGCCCAAGAACATTTTGTACGTGCACACCTCAACCGAACCATTTCGCAACCACACTATTACAATCAGCCCAGTGTGAATCAGCTAACCTGGATCATCGCAGCCTTGCTACCGTCAACTTCTTCCTCGGCTGCGTTGGCCTTGTCCAGACTTCCCGTATCCTGCTCTGGCGCTCGTCCCAGAAGGGTGACTCCGTGACCGACGAGGCCAAGCAGGCTGCCAAGGAGGAGGCCGCTTCCGGCAAGAAGATCCTCGCAGACCCCGTCGCTGCTGCTAAGGAAGCCGCCAAGAACTAAGATGGCTCAATGGTGAAAAGTGACATCGTCGGGTAGGCTTTGGACAAGAGGCGAAAAATCATCTGCGGCTGTGGAGCTGAGCGCAAAATAGACAAGATGCTCTCCACAGACCAGGCGCGAGCCAAATAGAATGGGTAGGCAAGTCTCGCAGAAGAGATACCCCGGAAAATGGAGACAGTGTGAAGACACATGTATTCTCGGTATCGAGGCATGTAGAGTGAGCGTCGCTGGCTGATATCCTGTCATTTCTGGATTTATTTCTTTTCTTGAGAGATATGTGACTTTCATTTGGGCTAGAAACACGTCACCCTGGAACAATACACCACGGAGTTCACATTACTATCAGGTAAATCTTTTTCTTGAATTTCTATCTCTTCAAGTGCAGCTATCAAAGAGATTTGTATATTTTGCAGGCTGTCATGAACAAGACCAAATTCTTGTTGAAGTCTTACGAAAGCGAAAAGTCGAAAGATTTCAACATGAACCATTTTCTTACGTGTTTGGCCGGTATAAGAGTAATGGCTACCAGTCTCTCAAATCGTCGGGGCCAATCATCGTGTCTGATGCCAGCTATTTGCTCAAGCAGCAGCCCAGGCGGAATCAGGTCTCCTACTACAGACAAGTCAGCTACACGATTTCATGATCCGGGGGCATCGTCCTACGCATCAGCCTGTTTCACGTCCTCCTTGATAAGAATTGCGGCCTTCTCGCCGATACCGTACGCAGGCATCTGAGCTATCACAACGTTAGTAGCGCCTTATAATTCTATGAATATCCCAACTTACTATGTCCTTGGTTCATGAGTGGCATGACGCTGCAGTCTGCAACTCTCAGCCCCTTTACGCCCCTCACGCGAAGTCGAGCATCCAACACAGCCATCGGGTCATCATCTCTTCCCATCTTGCATGTTCCTGCAGCATGGTAGCCTAATCCTCAGTCAGCAATCTGCCATGTTTCTTTGGTCTTGGGTCTCCCTCGAGAATAAAGACCACTCACATGTCGTCGCATTTTTTCGCGCAAAATCGGCCCACTCCTCCAGCGTCGTGTATTCATGGTGCTTCTCGGTAGGTGGCCACGAGCCCTTAATGTAGTCTTTAGTGCCCGCCCCCTTAGTCACAATTTCATTACCCCAGCGGCAAGCCTCGGCCATAACGAGCACGTCCAGTGGGTCGGCGAAGTAGTTGTGGTCGACGACGGGGTTGGCGGTAGGGTCTGTGCTGGCCAAGGTCACGGAGCCGCGTGAGTGCGGCGACATCAGCATGCTAATCAAGGAGAAAACGCCCTGGCCGTCGACAGGAAAGTCCGCGTACTGCTTTGGCCCGCCGTAGCACTCTGTGCTGAACCATTCGACGTTCGGCTGCGAGCGCAGAAGGCCCATCGGGTCGCGGTCCGGACCGTAGGGTTGACCATGTGGATCCTTCGGCGGGGTGGCTTGCTTCCACTCGGGGAGGTCCTTGAAGCGGTCGTCGAGCCTACCGTAGCCGAAAGCGCCGAAGGGAAAGGTGGAGAGGAAGCCGCTCTTGGTGTCTTTGTACAGCTGGTAGCTGGAGGCGAGGGCGCCTTCGTAGTAGGCCAAATGGTCATTGGTGAGTTCAGGCTTATTGGTCTCGTAGAAGACAAAGGTAATAGCGTGATCCATGAGGTTCTTGCCCACCCCCGGTAGTTCAACCTGAGTCGGGATGCCGTGCTTGGAAAGTTCAGACTGTGGGCCAATTCCCGAACGTAGGAGGATGGCCGGACTGCAATAAGCTCCCGAGCTCAAGATTATCTCTTTACGCGCTCGGACAGTTGTTTCCACACCGCCCTTCGTCACAATCTTGACGCCAGTGGCTGTAAGCTTTCCATCCACGTGCTCGAGAATGACTTTGTCAACCACGCTCTCGGTCTTGATGGTAATGTTTTCCCGTCTGTAGCCCTTCGTGATGAAGTCTGCTCCGGTCGTCCGAATACCCTGGTGGACTGTACGGACTGTGTTGCTGCATCCTTGGGGAGAGGCACCTGTAGAGAACAGATCTGGGGTATAAGGAACTCCTTGGTCGTTGAACGAATCCAGGAGAAGCTTGGAGATTGGAGCAAGGTCATGAGGTTCCGTGTGCAGAGGCCCATCTGTTCCATGGACGCTCAAATCTGCCTCAAAGTCATCCTTGGGGTGGAAGGTCTCCGCCTGCATAAATCAGCACTACATTCTGAGACATAAGCCCGATATAATCGTTGCAGCCGTAAGCCATGTGAGTGAGCGTTTACCGACAGTCAAAGCTTCAATCACACTCTTGGTGCCCAATCACGCCAAATGTGATGCCTTAGGCGCCTATATGTAGGCCCTTGGCAATCACGCTAGCCTCAAAAGCACCCACACCACCGGAGAGAAAGCGCAAGGGTCAAGGTGCGGGGTAGTAATGCGGGACACCACACTTACCTTGGCCATGCACTTCCACATGTCTTCGCCAGACCAACCTTCCAGACCCCAGTCATCGTAGTCCTGCTTGTTGCCTCTGATGCAAAGAGTGCCATTGACACCGCTACATCCGCCCAGAAACCTGCCTCTGCTGTTCTTGATCTGCCGTCCATTGAGGCCAGGTGATGGCTCGGAGACGATGTTCCAGTCCGTTGGTCCGTCAAAGTTCTGTGACCATCCGCCGACCATGTGAACGTTGTCCAAATCTGCGTTGTCAGGACCTGCCTCGACCACGCAGACAGAGACGTTGAGGTCCTCTGCCAAGCGGCCCGCAATGACGCAGCCAGATGTACCGCCACTGTGGGTCAAGCGTGAGGATAGACCACTGCGCAGTCCGGGGAGAGACTTACCCGCACACCACGTAGTCAAATATCTCAGATGCCATAGTGAAAATTTTTTGAAGGCTGGAAGGCGAAGAAAGCGGGCAGAGATGCTGATTCAATGCCAGCATCAGGTCACATTATATAGCGCGCCAAACCGCAATAAGCACTAATTCTCTAGCAGTTTCATTGTTTTCTCCACACTCTGGCAGCTGCCTCATAAGACGGCGGAATGCCATATTTGGTAATGAGGAAGTACCGTATGGGGAAAGGTAGGGCTGGTTCACAGCAGAAGGATGGCGGGTTAGCGCGCCGCGGCAAAGGGTGTTTCGTCGCACAAGATCGGCGCCCGCGGCAGCGGTGGCGGAGCCGGCACGGCGTGACCCCAGAGATGTGCGAAGCTTGAGGTTAGCTGGCACAACGCTGAAGTGTTCGCTCGAAGTTGACGTCGCGGCGGGGCCATGGCACGGGCCGACACGTGCGGGCTCCCGTCGCTGGGTCAGCGGGCCCGGCGGCTGCTGGCGAGGAAACGGCGGCTGCGGCGATGGCAGCGCTGAAGAAGGCGTTGAGAGGCGCCGATGCGGCCGGCCCTATCAGTGCGCGACAGTTGTTGGCGATGGGGCAGCGCGGAGCTGCGGGCGCCCCGCGCGCCTTCTCGAACGCCCAGCGAAGGCAGTGATTTCCCCGGGTCCGCGCGCCCTCTCACCCGACGCGTTCCAGAAACTCTCAGGACTCCACCATGGCCTCCGCCCAGCTCAGAGACAGCGCACTCGCCTCTGCCCTGCGAGCCGCCGCCCCAGCGCTGCAACGGATCCCGGCCCTGATGTGGCACCAAGTGAGCTGGCGCGCGCCAGTGCGCACCAATCAGCCCGCTGGCGCTGGCCGTCGCGTCGGGAAGCCCTGCAGGCATGCTATCACCTACCAAGATCTGCTGCCAGGATTAGGCCCGGTTTGCTTGTTGACCGGCAGCCCATGCCCAGCTTTTCCTCCACCACACCCTCTGCTTTCCTGAACCACACTATGCCTCCGTCCGCCGAGTCAGGCCCACGAGCTTGGATTTGCTTCGCGAGTAGACGCTCGTCCCTTCATTATCGCGCGATATCGGGCAATGAGCGGTGTATATGGTCAACGCCTGCGACTAGCCGCCGTCAAGAATCCCGCCGCGTCCACCGAGTCCGCCGCGCTTGCCTCAACTCCGCCCCAAGCCGCTCCTCCCTCCGCCGCCCGTCACCATGCCGTTCGGTTGGCGCAGACGGCAGCCGCTCGAGCAGCACGACGCTGCTGCCGAGAAGGCCGAGGTGCAGCGTGTGAGAAAGCGCGACCTGCTGCGCCAGCTTTTCACGGGCGTGTACGCGGAAAAGAAGCAGCCACGCGCTGCCAGCATCCCCAGTATCGTCGAGCCCGAGGTACGCAGCCGCCCCCTATCCGCTGCCCGCACCGCTAACATGACTCTGGCTCTGCAGCGCAAAAGCCGTATTGTTGAGCCCTTCAGAGGCCTGAAGAAGCACTACCGCTCGCGCTCGTCCTTTGTGAAGACCGCCGACGACGACAAATCCACCACCGCCGCCGCCTCCACCCCCGACCTCGCGGCCGCCCAACCAGCCCAACCAGAGGAGACCGAGGACGCCAGATCAGAGGCTCCCGACGATGTTTCGACTCCCGATCCGAGTGGTGCGTGATCGTGATCTGCCCTTTTCACCGCCATGACTGTGTAGTCGGATCCTCAGGGGAACTGACCCTTAAGCCGAAGTTTGCCAGGGGTTGCAGTCGCTAACACTATGCATCTCGCAGGCTTGACTGAAGACGATATCCCCAACCTGTTCGCTGGCGCCCCTCTTTTTTCTGTAGACAAGATCAAAGGCAGGCGCATCCCGAGAGTTGACTTTCCTTACGACGACACCCTCATTGTTCGAGATGTCAGCGACAGTCCGCAACTGTCCCACGAAGCCTTTTCCTCTGCCACTCTCCGGCCTCATCTTTGCCAGGTTGGACACCAGGATGAGAAGAAGGGGCTGCCCATGGGTTACGACATCAACGTGGTGGAGATTCCGAGCATGTTGAGCGCGCAGGGACTGGACGCTGGGACCATTGGCTTTGACCATTTTCTGGAGATTCCGAGATCCGACCACCTCCGCCTAGAGGACAACGACGATGAAGCCATCGCGAATCGGGACCTGTTGGAGGAAGCGCCGGAAAAGTTGGGAATCAAATGGCTTGACCAACGGTTGATCTACGAGCGGCTTATGGAGCTCAGCCAGGTCCACCAAACCTTTAAGGAGACCGCCGGCAAGACCACCATTCTGCACTCGCAATCCCCTGGAGAGATGTACGCCCACCTTTTCGGTAAATTTCTGATGCCACCTCGTTACGATGGATCGACAGGAGACCCCACTGGACTGAAGGTGCAAATCGAGACTTTGATCCGGGTTCTCAGGTTGAAAGGAATTTGGAACGACTTCAGTCTCGTGGAATGGCGGATACGTTTTGGCCGGATCTTATGGGACAGCCCCTCTTCGGATCCTGACGATTCGGAGGAATACGCCGGGCCGAGCGAAAGGGACATGCTCCTCCTCCAGATTCTGCTGGCTTCGGAGCTCCTCCTTCGCTTGGATGCGATCTCGGGGCTCCCTGTGAAGGAAGTTACGGAACAGCTGAATTTGACTGAAGCTGAAGTCCGCAGCTTCACGAGCATGAAGTCGCGCAAAATTGACTGGGACTTGGTGCTGGCCAGACGGTTCTTGGAGAATATCGAAATCAGCGAGGAGACACCGGCCCCTCTTACCCCGAAGAGGAGAGGGTTTCTTGCCGCCCTTAACGTTGGGCGCTCTACCGAGGAGACTGAAGAACCGCAGGAAACTGAGTTCTGGCTACGGCCCCGCTACCGAGAGCGCCAACTCTCCGGGCTCCTTCATTTTGCCGAAACTATCGGTTGGCCTAGACTCAGGGAACTTTCGATCAATTTGACAGCTAAACTTCAGGACAACGGGACACCCCCATCGCCGAGTATTTACGCTACACCGCTTGCTTCCCCTCTTGCGACTCCACGTATACCAAAGGACCTTAACGGATACTTTGACCAAGAATTTCATCGCCCACGTCCGAGTCGCGTGAGTACCTCACGATCCATCCAGTTACACCCGTCGGTTACCTCCACACCTGCCACGCCTCCACGACCTTCGCTGCTCAGGAGGGATAGCTCACAGCCCACCTCGAGCTCGAGCAATGGACCCACCGACATTGGCGGCTGGCTAAGCCGGACTTACCTCACTGGCCTGGTCCTTCCCGGCGAAGCCATCTCGCATTTTCTCATTTCGACTTTGCTGGAAAATGACAGGTCGGCTGTGACTGCGCTCGGAGAGTTGGCTAATCTGTATGGCGGATTCATCTACGCTGAACGCAGCTGGTGGAGCAAGAGTTGTATCGTTGGCAGGGTTCTCGCAACCATGGATGGCTCGAAAGAGTGCATGGGCTGGATCAGCACACCTTACGTTCCGATCGGCTTCCAAGATTCATGGATCGATATCGTCAACGGTACCACACCGCCAAGCCCAGGTAAAAAGTCAAAGGCAAGGATCGACTGCGCAGAAAAGATTGAGCTCGACGCGAGCTACTTGGCGGGGAAGGCGGATAGCGAGGTTACTGGAGAAGACCTTACTCTGCCCAGGGATTCGATCGAACCGCCGCCAAGGCTAGTCCGTTTCCACAGCCTGCAGCTACTTCCGGAACCCGTGGTGGAAATCCCAGGCCCGGTCTTAGCGGGAGAGGTCGAGCCGCAGCCCAGCTACGCAGCTCAAATGACCTTCGATCTGTTGGAAACGAGCGTCACTCTCTCGTTGACTTACGATATTCAGTTTATCACTGCCTGGCCGTGCACACCGCCATCTTCCGCTACGAACAAGAAGCTGCGCCGCCTGAACAGGAACTCCACCGGTGGCAGAAGCGGCCCAGTTTCCGCTCACCCGCTGCACGTCGCGCATAAGTACCGCGTAATCACACCGGTGCAACTTCTTGCAGGCTCACCGCATCTCACGCCCGCATCATCGACGATTTCCCTTTTGGACGAAACAGCGGCTAGCGGCGAAGTCCTCGTGATCGATGCACGCCCACCGCGTAATTCGGCTGATTCGGGACCGGCTCTCAAGCCTCCAACTGATTGCACGGCCACTCCCTCAAGTGGGGCTGACGCAGCGCTCCTGGCTCGTGCGTGGTGTGCGGACCGCGGCGAGCACGCACTCGTCGGACGTGTGGGCCGGACTTGTCTGGCCTGCTGCGTGAGAGAGGCGCGGGCCCTCGGCGTACGCATTGTCATTCGCGTCTGAAAAAGATGCCGACAAGGAGAAAAAATCTACAACCAAAGAATACATAGAAAGACACATTCCCCCACCCCTGTATTTTCTGTATCACTAAATTGCTGGTCAATGCTTTTTGTTTTTGTTTTTAAGCGAGCGCGGAACGGCGATCAGCTTTCTGATTTTGGGATATCCGATTTTAGCACCTTTTGCGTTTCACCAACAACCCCCAATCGTTTTCCTTTTCTTCAAACATGTGTAGAGCGAGCGATCGTTTAGCGAGATTGATATCCGATTCCCCCTTGAGTTTAATAGGTGTCTTTGTTGCCTGCATAACATCTGTTCGGCGAGTCTTCTTCACCAGCCCGAGCAAAGATTGACTGTTTGTCTAAAATTCCCCCCCTTTATACCCCAAGTAACACCCCAGTGCCTTTACCCCTAAATGTTTAATCCTAGATTTTCGGATCCTGGACACCTATTTTCCTCCAGGTACTTGTCATTTAATCCACACCGTACGTCCTTGAGCTCCTCTAGCAAGTAGCAAGGGCGTTGGTGTATTCCGAAGCTCGCTCTCATCTGCGTAATACGTGCAGAATAGAGGAGTAATAATAAAAGCAACAGTTACACGTCTTTCTAACTCAGAAGTCCCGTGCTTTTTCAATATGCGGTGAATGTTTGGGCCACCAGATGGCTTTATCCTGGTTTATTGATATGTACAGATACAATAGGTGTCAGAGCATCTTTGCGAGAATCGACACTCAACTTTACAGGCAGTTGAAGCTACCGTCTGGGTGTTGATTCCATATTTACATTCGGACGATTACTTCGACTGCCCATTACGAGCTTGGGACCGGCACCTGATACACAGAAAAACATCTTCATGCAAGCCGGTAAGCTGCGATATCCCTCGGTATATCTAGGTATCCAAGCCTGTGCGTTCTCTCCCAGACTCTTTTTCAAGCAAAAGGGGCTCATGCACCTCTGAAGCGACTTAGTAGTTTGCCTGATCATTCCAGTACAGTGTCTCGTGCTGTACTTCGGGGCCAGTTGCCAGAAGATCCCAGTCGAACTTGATCTTGATGAACTGCATCAGGTGGCTCGCGAGCTTGAGGGCGCCGACGTCGGTAGGATGCCATTGCGGTCCCTAAAGTGTTTGGGCAAGTCATGGTCAGCAATCTCTTCTTTTTCTCTCTTGCAAAATGCATGTTCGTCGCACGAAACTCGCTTCTCCGTTTGTTCCTTTTTTCCATTTCTTTTCCTTCCTTTTTCCATTTCCTTTCTTTCCTTCTTTTTCATTTTCTTCGAGACTTTTAGGCCATCCTCAAGCTGTCTCTATCGCTCCCTCCCTTTCACCGCGTCTACTCCCCCCTTTTCCCCTTTTCACCGACCAATATTTCCCCCATCCACCCAATGCCAAGGAACAGTTCAGCAGAGCGCACACTTACAATATCATTGTGCTGCATAATGCCGGTAGTATTGAAATAATGCACGAAGCCCTGGCCCTCGTAGCGCCTGGCCACCTCCTGAATCTCGTCGACAAAGGCGCCGCCCTGCGCCCACGACGAGCCGAATTGGTAGAAGCCGTTCCACAAGCTGACCAGGACGATCTGGGCGCCGGGCCACGTCTCGTGGATGTCGTCTACCAATTGAACGTAGGCGTCGAGGTAGGCGGCGTTGCTGACGTTGTTGGCCGTGTTGTTGTCGTTGGTGCCGAGGTTGACGACGACGACGTCGGCGGCCGGATGGGCCGCGAAATCCCAGGCTTCGGCGGCGGCGTGGTCGGCGCCGTACAGCTCGGTGGCGCGCCACGACGTGTCCGAGGCGTAGCGCCACTGGCGCACCTGGCCGCGGGCGTTGCCCCAGCACTCGGCGTCGACCAGGCAGATGCCCGGGTACGCCGTGATGCTGAACTCGGTCTCGCCCAGCCCCGCGGCCAGGTCCCAGGCGTACGAGGCGAGGCCTTCGTACGTGGCGTACTGGCCGGCTGAGAGCGAGTCGCCGATGATTTCGAGGGTGCGCGGCGCCAGTGGGAGGCGGATGAGGGAGCCGCCGGCGCGGGAGACGTGGACGGCGGCGATCTGCACGCCCAGGGACCAGTTGGTGACGCGGAGCTCGAATGTGCGGGTGGTGGAGTAGGTGAGGTTGAAGCCGGTGGTGCTGGGGGTGATGAGGAGGTGGGTGGAATCAGCGGTTACGTTGGTGAATTGCTAGCAGAGGGCGGGTTAGTGGCAATGCGGCGCCATTGTTGCGGCTGGTGGAAGAGGCAGGAAGTGAACAGAGAATGAAAGAGCTGCACCCAGTCCTGGCCGTCGAGACGGTAGCCGATGAGGACACCTGGGGAGGTGTATTGTCCGAAGGTAATGGCAAGGCGTTCCCCGGTGAAGCCAAACTTGAGACCGGGAGCTCTGGGCAAGGTGATTGGTTTGAGCAGCAATTCAAGCTTTCATGGAGACTTACGACCACCCTGGAACTGTCAGCCCCGCTCTCAGTGATTAAGCGTGAGACTTACAAGATATATGCTTGCTGTCCCAGCGACCCTTGTAGCCTATTTCGGTGGCATTGGGCGGGTAGGTGGTCCAGGTCGAATTGCTGGAGTCGTCGAGAGTGATTTTCGTGTCCGGAAAGTTCACGTCACGGACCTGGCCATTCTGCAGGATAGTTGCACAGGCGATGCAAGCCAGAGACACGATAGAAAAGAGGCTTGAAACGTGCATGGTGACGAAAGTCAAAACACTATTGTTGCAACCATTGACACTCGAAACACAGGCACGGGGGAGAGTCTTTGTTAAATAGGCCTATACATGGCGGCATCAATATCCGCAATGATTCAAACAGATTGACTGCGTATATGGCAGAGGAGGCTCCGCGAGCAAAGCAGTTAAGCGGGTGGGCTCGTGCTCGGGGGAGGGTGCTCCGGAGGGTGTTTGGTATGCGAGGTGGAGCAGGTCGTCGGATTCAGGCTGAAAGAGGCAGCATCCGCGGGCCAGAGAGTCGGGCGCCTGAGGTCAGAGGCGTCATGTGCTCAGCGTCTGCGGCGTTGACGTCTATCGACATGCGGCGGGCAGGACCTGCGTCCCTAGGCCCATCTTTACCCGCGCGCAGTGCCGATGCGGACGATCTTCCGGCGCAAGTACCCCAGGATGAGGGTGTTGGAGTCGCGCCGCAGAGCGAGGTGGTGTGCGAGAACGTGGCGTGAGTGGCCAGGTCGCAGGCAGAGCCGTTACCGCCCGGGCGTGCGGGCACATCTGAGGAAGGTAGTTATGGCTCTCCCGGCCGCTGGGCGTGGCTGCGAGCGCATGGCAAAGGCAGTTCCAGCGCACGGGAAGTGATGCGCATCGAGTGTTTTTTTGTAGTCGCGCTATAGTCGCGCTGCTGCCGGCTGCGGGATGATAGGGCTGCAGACGCGCGCTCGTTGGTCGTGCAGCGTCAAATCGAACTCACGCCTGGGCCGCTTGCCGGGCCCCTCCCAAACCACCTTACTGCCTTATTACTACCTTACCTGAGCCCCTCCGTCGCGCCCAAACCCGCCCACCTTCCCGCTCCCACCTCCCCGCGTCCATGGCACGCGGCGGGCAGTGAGAGCTTGACAATGCCGTCGCCGAGCGTGCCTCCGCACAATGGCCTCCCCAGCCGCCTCCATTCCGGACAGCCAGCTCGGCCTGACCCAGGGCGAAATCCAAACCCTCCGCTATCACCAGCAGGTCGCCCTCTCCCAGCATGGCGGCTCTTCGTCGCGCGCCGCCAGCCAGGCCTCGTCTCAAGGCCGTCTGCTGCTCGATCCGTCCAGCCTGCAGGCATTGAGCACCCACTTTGACCGTCTACTGCACAGCATCCAGCAGCGCTGGTCCCATGTGAGTTCCGCGAGTCCCCGGTCCGCTCCGCCTTTGTCTGACCCGCCCAGCTCTCCGAACAGACCCAGTCTGCCACTGCCATGCAGTACGACCGCGCCGGAAACCTCATTTCTGATGCCGACGCCCAAATCGCCCGCTTCCACGAGATCCTGCGCCAGATCGACGAGCTCCAGGTCGAGTTCGACAAGATCCGCCGCATTGGGGAGATAGTCAAGGCCTACCGCCGCCGTGTTGAACACCTCGACCGCCGCGTCGGCCGCTAAGACCCGCCACACCACAACATCTCCGATGCCCATGCTTCTTGCCATTCTCCACGACTCTTTGTCCACGTCCTGTTCGAATTCGCCGCAATACCACCCTCGGACATATTCCAATGCAACCCCAACATGACCCTGTCACGGCGTCCCAACAATTGCGGACCGCCGTCAAAACCTACCAATGAGACACGGACACGCCGGCGTATACCCAATCCACCTACTTTGACATTGTCGGCCATGCAGAATTTTAAGACTATTTACGAGTTATCGTTTTCATTTCGCCCATTTTTCAGAAGAGATTGGATGCCTCGCGGCACAAAATCGACTTGGCACCGGGTATTGTTTACTATTCCATGTTTTCTTTTCCGCCTCGGAAAGACGGCATTGTGCAGTTCGGCAAGGAGCGAGCGTAAGGCGTTCTCACGGTGTTCTTGCTTTTTAAACTTTTTTTTTTCTCTCGGCTCAGCATCTTGTCTTGCCCCGATGTAGGGATATACCCCATTTTCCTTTACTCTTGGCGATCTGCAATATTCCGTCTCCCCTAGCGTTATGCGTTGGATCATCGCAACCGAACGAGATCCGTAGTCCTTAGCATTGGTAAGCCGGTGCAATCAAGTGTTATTTTGCTTTTCCCCCGAACCCGCCTTCTCTGGTTTCTGCTCTTGTCCTTCCAGTGATTGGTCCAATCCTGTCTACAGTCAGGTGGGGTTCGTTGACGAACGGAGCCTTGCCCTGGCCCCCGCCCGCCGTTGAATCCTTCCACTCACGGCTTACTCGCCCCTCACCGAACCCAGACGTTCCCGTCCTAATTTTCCTTTTCGTTTACCCGAAGCCTTGCTTTTTGTATCGGCACTCTCCGTTATCTATCATCCACACCATCTTTGCTCCCTCCGCCTTCACACCTCCACGTGGGAGGTAAAAAAGTGATAGAATCGACCTCGGCATCCGCGCGATTTTCTCGAACGGTTGAAGCCCCGGGGCAGTGGGACGAAAGAAAGGGATGACCCGGCAGTGACACAGAAAATCCGGACGGTCATAAGACACCTCTTTTTCTTTCCCTTCCCATCATCATACAGCTATTCCCGCGTTCATAGGGTAAAAATAGGAAAACTCCCGACGTGCCACGGTCCCGATGCCGCGTCTCCTTCCCGGGTGCCAACCATCCGGGATGTCGACATTCCTGCTGAACATGTCGCGACCAATCAAAACACGAGAGGAGAGAGAGGGAAGAAGGAACCGTAGAGGAGAAGACAAGAGGGAAGAAAAGCAAGACGGGAACACCACATGTGACCGGGTGACTTCCAAATTACACGGACGCATAAACAACTTTTTTTTTGCTTATTTCTTTTTTTGACGGGGGGGAGGCGGATGGTCGGGATTGGCGCCACTGTTGCTAGTACGTATCTGCCTCGACACACTATCACGAATCTGTGTACATGTTTCAAACCAAAGCCCTGAGCGTGGCCTGATCTCACAGTGGCGGTGATATATAGTTTCCGGCTCAGACGTCATCGGAAAGCGATCGAAAAAAAATTAAGATAAACAAAAAAGTATACGGAAATTACTATGTCACCCTTCCGTGTAACCAAGCACTGAGGTCATGCGTCCATGTGCGGCACGTCACTTGATTGCAGGCGCAAGATTGAAGTAGAAGATAAGACCCAATGGATCTACAACCAGACTACGCTAGACTAATGATTGAGAACGCTCTACTGGACGATGCAAACGTTCCAGGAGTGCTCCTTGTAACTCTGAGGGGTGGCCATTATAATGCTTTGGTATGCTGAGAAGGGTTTCGACGGATTTTCCGTTTGTTCAAGCTTCCTTACCTTGAAGTTCGTAAATGTGTACTGTTGATTCTGGATATCTTGATCATCTCCGGACACGATGTGCAATATATAAATCTTAGACGAGGCCAGTATATCAACGACGAAGCGCCGAGCCATCTATTTCGGCATTCTTTGTGCAGGGTCAGGCATTTAATATCCTTGTTCCGAACGCACCTTATTCTTTCGCCTGAATGCAACCCTAATTATCCGAAAGTTTGCTTAAATGCTAAGCTCAACATCACCCAACTGACTGAGTAGCACTTCCTGCTCGAGCCACAAAGAAAACACACAGAGTCATTGTGAATTCATTCATAATTATCCATTGTCTCACCGGACCACCTTTGTTACGCACGCACTGAATATTTCCTAGCGATAAGATTGGGAGCCACACTCTTGTCTTGGTTCTTTGACCATTCAAAGTGTAAGAGAGGCCCGGACTTGTACACGTAGTGCCAAGGGTCCTCTTTGAGTATTGAACTTAAAGTATATAAGATCTCGATCACCTGGAGGCTCTATCTTTCTCTCTATTTTGCACAAAGATTTCGGTTTGTATACGCACAAATCTATTAGGCACATCAAGATGGGCATCACTAGCATTCAGAAGCCTGGAATAACTCCTACCTCCTGCCTCGTGATGTAAGCGAAGGCAGGGCTAATATAGAACACTGTCTGCTAGAGGCACAAAGAGAAGATCGGAGCCCATTCCATCTTCAGTAATAATTATCCACCGTCTGATCGATTCGTCTTTGTTCCACACTCTTTGTTCGTCGGTGGCAATATCCACCTTAAAAGATCCAGATCTTGACCCACACCCCCGGTTCTTGGGTCGTGTCATCGTGTATAAAAAGACTCAAGACTTTGAACAGCTCAACATCTCCAACATTCCTCTCTCCCTTGCTTAAAAGTTCAGCTTAAACACGTTCAACACTATTAAAGATCAGAATGGGCAAGCTAGTAGCTCGAATTCCTCCATTTTGCCTCGTCATGTAAGAAATGCAAGACCATTTTGCATTATGGCAGCATTTCCCTGGCACAACAAAAACACACACACACACACCCCTGGGCAAGAGGCAAGGCTCAAGAGCGCCGTTCAAACCTATGATCTAGAAGACACATAGCAGTCGCAAAACACATCAAGTAATTCAAAGATGTAGCAACGAGTATGCATCAATTCGTGGCTCTGGTTTCCATATTGAAATGTGTCTTCTGCTCCCATACCATGCAACCCCACCCATCAGGCTGGTAAAGCCAGAAAAACTCCCCGAAAAAAGAAGATGAAAAAGTTGTAACGCCGATCAAAGCGCCATCAAGACGCCGGGTTTCTCTGCTTCCCCATCATGCATTCTCCCTCCCTCCCGTGCACTTCCGGCCCCACCCCCATGTACAAATCCGTACAAAACATTCAACTTAGAACACACTTTTACAAGCCCCACAGACCAGCGACGACGGCAACGAGACCAGCAACACCAGCAGCGCCCTGGCCAACGAGGGAGACACCGGCGCCGGTCGACGAGGCGGGGGTGGCGGCAGAGCCGGAAGGAGTGGAGCTCGAGGAGCTGCCGGACGACGACGATGAGGAAGAAGAAGACTCGAAGACACCGCCGCGGACGCTGTCGGGCGTCTCAGCCTCGGAGACGTCGGCGGCGGCGGAAGAGTAGGCAGCGAGGGTCCTGGATCGGTTGTTCGAACTGTGAGGGTTGTTAGCCACTTTGTTTCTGTTGTGAAGGAGAGGAGGAAGTTGACTTACGGAGGGTTGATGACGCCCACCATGCCGTTCTGGCAGTGCTTGCCCTGGGAGCAGTAGTACCAGATGGGGTTGGTGTTGTTGACGGTCACGACGAAGGTGCGGTTGGCGGCGCCCGACTCGACCGGGACGAAGTCGGAGTTGAAGCCAGTGTCGATGGGCGTGCACGGCGAGTCGAAGGCACCCTGAACGACCGAGTGGGCCTTGGGCCAGAACTTGAAGGTCAGGGTGTCGCCCTCGTCCGCCGTGGTCGAGTTGGGCTCGAAGGTAAGACCGCTCTTGCCGACGATGATGTCGATGTTCTTGGCCTGAGAGAGGGAGATGAGGACCGTGGGGGCCAGCAGGGTGTAGGTGGAGAAATGCATGTTGGTGGTTGGTGGTGGTGTTTGTTCTTTAGTATTAGAGGATGGGCTATGCGGAAACTGTATCAAACAGTCCTTTCTTTGAACAGAAGGAGAAAATGGGTATCTTTGATGATGAGGAAGAGTTGATTTGATGCTGGAGAAAAACATTCCAAGCAGCGGACCAGCCGCGGGTTTTATGCTTTCCGCAAACCTTCGTTTACTGGGTTTCCTAACCGTGCCTGGGTTACGACAGGTCGGTACACGAGGCGGAAATCACGGCAGCGAAGGGGCTGTGTGTAGCGCCACGGCTAAAGAATGCTCGCACGCTTACCGTTCCAAGTGCGGGCAGCTATCGAGCGTCCAGCGCGGCGTTATGGCCCAATGCTTACCCAAAACCTTACCCTCAGCCACTGCGAGGCGGCATTTCGAATCTAACTGGATCTCTGAAGGGCCCTGATCGACGGCCGAGCAAGTCGTCCCTGCATGGCGTTGGCGCTGGGAGCTGAGCCGAGCGTGTACGAGACGTGGAATCTGCGTGAAAGATGAGATCTTGAGGCACTTCTGGTGTAGGAACAAGCGCCGCAAGGGGTCATGCGGAGGGAACTGGCTGTGCAATGGCCTGGGCTCCAAGAATAGCGCGGGGTGTTATGGCTGGAAGCGGAAAAGCCGAGGCCAAGCTCACGGGCGCCAGGTGTCAGAGGAAAGCTTAAGGACGGCAGGCATCTGGGAAATGGGGTCGGCTCGAGATCCGTCTGGACGTGCCGCTGCGAGATCCACGGTTCCGAGACGCCATCGGAAGCGTCGGAGAAGCGTTACAAATCTGACGCACATCTGGAACACGGCATCCGAATCGGGTATTGTATTTGCAGTTGAGGCCTGAGGCGAACGAAATAGGCACATCTCACTGACGAGTCGAGCTCTCATAGGCTAGCCGGTCGCGAGCAAGCGCTGGCGAGGGAGAAGTGCGGAGGCGGGGTTAGACTTTGGCGGTGGCTGATAGCTGATGGGCTATTTCTGGCCTGGGCGCTGGAAAGCTCCAGGCGAGCGAGTCGCAAATGTGTGCCGGACAGAGCGATTGGTTTGACAGCGATTGTTGACAGCAGGCTTGACGGGGCGGCTTGACGGGCGATGTGTTGGGAGTTGGTCATCAAATGGGGGCGTCCTGTGGCGCAGCCATCACGTTGAAGTCATGCCAGGCGTTGAGGCCCCGAAGTCGCTTCCCCAGCTCTTGTTGCCGCTATCCGGAGACGGCCTTCCCCCAGAGGCAGGTGTGGGTGGATATCGACTGACAGGCGGTCGAAGGAGTGAGCTTGGTCAAAGATACGCAGCCGAAGGTCCAAGCGAAGTCAACATCGACGGCGACCATGGCATCCTTTATATCAGCGCATCTTGGCAGCAGGCTCGCCTACCATACCGTGGTGGTTGGCCATTTGCTCTCAAATGTGCTCAAAGCTGCTCCCAGCGCAGCCGTCTCGAAACCACCACGACCACTGCCGTCAACACCACCCGTTTCACGATGTCGCGCGCGCCAAGCCCATAGTCTGATCGCACCGGGCTGCCGAAATAATAATGAAAACCAAAAATCTCTCACGGGCGGCGCGCAGTCGCCTCTAGAGGAATGACATCCGCCACACTTACCTAATAACCCATCAGCTCGGCGTCCGCATTACGTCCATGCAATTCCCACCAGCAATGCTCTCCCCTGCTGCAGTCCCCATAATCAATCCATCATCTCCATCCGCCGCCAACCGCGACGCTCTTCTCCGGATCTCCGGCTTCCGGCGCGCCCGCTGGCGAGCGAGTCGAGTTTTTTTCCTGTTCCGGGCGGCGCGTCGAACGATCGATCCCCGCGGGCCGGGGCCACCAGCGCGTGCGCGTGCGCGCGCCCAGAAAAGTGCTCACCGGTGTGGGACACGGCCGACGAGCACGCAGTGGAGTGATTGGCAAGGCCTGGAGGAGGAAAAGATTCCAGCGCGGCGCGGCGGGCTTATCGCGCCCGGTGAGCACGCAAGAAGGAAGGAAGCATTGGCTGCCAGAGCGCACAAAAGTGCAGGCGCGCCGCCGCCGGAGGAAAAAAATCGCCCGCCGTCAACACCACGACGGCTACCCTCGGCCTCGTCCCCTGTTCCACCGGGGAAGAGCCAAGTAGGGGCCCCTCGGGGTGGGCTGCAGCGGCCCTTATTGGCGTCATCCTATCTGGCGCTCGCCATTTGCCAAGGCGCACCACCCGCCCGGCCCAAAAGGGCATTGCTGTTAGCAAGAGAAATGCCCTGCGATCTGAGCACTCTGCTGGCACGGCCACACACGCCCACCAGCCTCCTGCACCGTCGGCTTCGAAGCCGATTGAAGAAAAGAGAGCGCCGGCCTCGCCAGAGCGCGTCCTCTCCCTCTTTTTTTCTTCCACCGAAAAGGCCTACTAACACTTAAACCAAGCCCTGACCACCCCAAGGCCCAACGTCAGGTGGGGATCACGTCTTTCTTAGCTTATATTTTCTTAGCAACCCTGTTGTCCCTCAGGAGCAAAAAAGTCTTCTTAAGAGCCGCATGGACCCTCTTCCCCTCTCACCTGTCATTTCCACCTACTGGATGGAATCCGCGCCCTTTCATCTTCGACCCCCTAGGACCGTCGCATTTGAATCGCCTCGACCTTTCGCTACCGCCGTCCTCGGACTGGAATCTACGCTGCATCTTCGTTGCCGTTCGAGAGTGAATAGAAAGAGCTATGGATACAAACCCGGAAAAGGAAAAGAGGAGGTACTGGGGGTGACGACATTTGGCGCCATCCATGGCTTGCATCGCGAAAAAGACAAAATCGAAAAAAGTGGTTCATCATTCAAGAGGGCGATAAGATAATGGAAGACGCAACGCAGACACACACCGAACGCCGGGCGAGACACCGGCACGATTACCACCATCGTCGTCATCGTCATCAGAGATCTCCGATGGATGGGTTCACGGTCTGCTTTTGCCCCCATACCGAAAAGGAACCAACCGAATGAATATCACGCACTACACCCACACCCAACCCCACCGGCCCAAACCTAGCACTGGTTGCCTGGAAAAGAGAGAGGTTCTTTATCTCCCTCGGACAGGATCGCGCGTGCTCCTGCACGGGATGACCTCCGGTTTCGTCGTGTGCTCACCCACCACCCAATCGTTGGTGCTGGTCTGTTCCTCGGTGCAACCGCGCGATAAGAAAAGTAAAAATAACGGGATGGGAACACGCAGGCACCCGCCCGGAGCCTCGAGATGGACCACTTCCTCTTCCATCCTGAATGATTGGTCTCATTTGAGTCATGAATCGTGCTGGCAGGGAGGAGGCATGTGAACAAAGCCTTTCGTCAGGATGAGGACAGCGCACCGCATGTTGCTGTTCCTTCACATCTGCTCCATCACCTACGCTCCCCATTTCTCATCTGTTCGTTCATGGTGTTGTCAAGAGGAGGCCTCTGGGAGGAGAAAAAAGACACGTCACACGCAAGCACTCAAAACACCTCATGGATATCAATCTCTCGATTTGCGTCAAATCTCGCCGTCCGGAAGTGGATCAGCCTGCGAAAACTACAACGACAACATCGACAACCATCCTCGAATCCCATCTGCGAAGCGTCCTCCTACAAAACACCGCCCCAGTCTATACGCGATACAACAGCAAAACGCGGCCGAAAACCCGTTATCCGAGCTGAAGCGCAAACACAACGCGAGAGAGTGCTGCGCAAACCAAAACGACCGTCACCATTCCCGCACGACGACGAGAACGATGACGGCTGAACAATCGAGCTGAACAAGGGAATCACATCGTAAACTTCGTGGCCAAATAAACAAGGGGGGGGAAAGAGCAGAGCAACAAGAAAACAGATAAAAAGCAGCAGCCACCAAGAAAGGTATTAGGTACGGGTACCAAAGATGATGCAGAGCGCCTGCCTCCACTGCATCACCTACGTATGTTGGTCCCGTTTGGATGGTTCCCTCGGACCGTGTGTTCCGAGTCGCCATCTCATCGTCAATCTCTTCTCTCGTCTTTTTATCCACATTCACGGCGGAGCGCCTGCCTCCTCCACCGCTGTCAATCTAGGTATTAGACGAACCGGGATTATGGTCCGCAAAAAAACGTCGCTTCGTGCCGCACCACATCGAGTGTTGCGCCACGAGCCGACGGCCCGCTTGCCGGTGCAGAGCGCCTGCCTCCTCCACACAGGCCCGAAAGAACGTGGTAGTGCTCGTCGGACTTCAGACATGACGGATCGGATAACGAAAAGAACTCTACAAAGAGCCATGTAACAATGTCTCTTCGAAGTGTGCAAACACGCCATCATCAAAAAAGCGAGGGCGGAAGTGCGATGGTCCCTCTTCCATCGACTCCCGCCCGAGGTATCATCTTGGTTCAGGTGGAAACAACAACGCCGGTCAGACTCGACGAAAAGAACGCTTACGGAGAAAGCGTCGAACTCGACGCGTGGAGAGACAAGGTGGTGGACACAGATGTAACGCTGCTGAGGGTTGGGTGAGACAACCGGCAGTCTACAAGCTCATTGTCAGCCATTCCCACTCCTGCGGTCCGCTTCCGGACCCGGGAATTGCGCCTTGTCCCATGGACCCCATCTGGATGGGGTTGTGCTGGGTAGCCATGGATGGCGGGGCCTGGACGAGAGGCTTCGGCTCGTTCTTCCTCTGACTGCTGCTGCTGACAGAGGGAGCAGATTTTCCAGTCGTGTCGTCTGCGTCGCCCATTTCAGTATCCTGGTTGCCAGGCTTCGCACTCCGCAACCGCTTGGGAGCAACGGCAGCGTTCCGTGCCGGAGCAGAAGCAGCCAAGGTCTGCGACTGCGTTTTGGGGGGACCGGGTGCAATTGGAACGACGCCATTTTTAGAAGCAGTAGCGCTGACGTTGCTAGCAGTGTTGGCGGCCGTATTGGACGCCGAACCCGCCATCGACTTCGGGGATTCGGACTCAGCACCGCTGGCCTTGGTTGAGTTGGGCGTAGTCGCAGTAGACTGCGCGGCGATCGAGTTCTTGCGCGATGTCTTATTCTTCGACCTGCTCGAAGCGCCCACGGGCACGCTGTTGCCACTGCCACGGTTGCGTTTCTTGATGACATCCGTCTTGAGCGACAGCGGGCGCACGACACCGTGCAACTTCAAGAACAAACCGCATGCATTGCAAAGCGGATGACCCTCAGGGTTGCGCCTCCACAAGGGTGTGGTCTGCGTAAAGCAGTTGGTGCATGTGGTTGGCGCGCCGCTCTGGTCGCCTGATTTGCTGCCACCAGGGCTCGCCGGTCGAGATGGCGCAGCCGAACTGAAACCCGATTCTGGGGGCGAGTTAGGGGAGGATTGCGGCCGCTGCTGCATCGCTTGATGGGCTAGCCCAGCTGCATTCGGCGTGGAGCTGGTGCGGGGTATCTTCTGACGGCGCGGATCGTTTCCACGATTCCGGATCTCGCTGACAGAAGCCGCAGAACCGTGTGTACGCCCGAGGCTGCCCCCAGTACTCCAATCTTGCGGTGAGGGAACCATCTCGGTTGGCCCGATCGTGACCGTCTTGCGTGGAGGTCCTGCGGGAAAACGCGCGGCAGTCGGATTGAACTGGTTCGAGAGGTTGTTGGTGTCCCACTGGAACGTCCCGTTGAAGTCCAACGAGGAGTCGTCCATTGGAGAATACTGCGACTGCATAGGCATCGTGCGGTCGGCGAACGCACCGCCCTCTTCCTCGTTGTCGTCCGAGTCCGCTCCGAATTGAAAGATGTTGTCATGCCTCGACAGGTCCATGCTAGGGGAGCGCGTGGGATGCGAGAAGCTGGGATGAACTATCTGGTTGGGGTCCACATGGCTATTTTGATGGTAAGAGTGCGCCGAGAAAGGCGGAGGTGGTCCCGCTGCCGAAACGTTGTTGAACAGCGAGTCGCTCGCGGTAGGATTGAACATGAACGGCTGCATCGAGCTGGACATAGTGTTGTGAGGCGGGTTGAAGCTGCCCATGCGTCCCCTGATGTCCATGCCGCTGCGATCCCCGAAGAAGATCTGCTCGCCTTCGGGGATCGGCTGGGGCGTCGAGACGGTCGAGGGATAAGCGGAGCCTGGAGGTGAGTTGTAGAAATCTGTCGAGTTGAGAGACGACGCCATCGAATGGGCGTTGTTGAACATGTTAGAGTAGTTGTTTCCCTGGTTGGTAGCCATGGGCGATCCGATGGGAGAGAAGGTGAACTGGTTCTGGAAGGGGCCGGCGGAGTTGATGATGGGATCGTTGTCGATATCGAAGGTGTGGAGGTTGAAAGGAATCTGGTTGGAGTTGGAGTGCTGCTGGAACTGAGGAGGGTGAGGTTGGTCCAGAGAGTAGTCGTGGAAGCCCTGGTCCTCGGGGTCGTGGGGTATCATAATGCTGCTCACAGCGGGTACCTGCGGGGACGCGTCCGGCTTCCTCTTGGGAGGCTGATAAGGATTAACATGGGTATTTCCTGATAACAATTCGCCGGAAAGGGAACTTACTCTTCGCTCGTCGATGCTCGTCTTGCGTACGTGCCTCTGCACATAACCGAATTCATTCTCTCTCGACACTACCGGCTGCACGGACGGAGCAGAGGCGCGCGAAATATGAAGGGTCTGGTCGTTCAGCTGGCTCTGTTTCCTTATCGGAATGGCGGGAGCGGTGGCATTCGTCGACGACGGCTGATCGTCCGAGGCCGAGGGCGAGTGTGGCACGCCCGCTGGAGAGGCGACTGAAGAGGGCACGATGAAATCGTCGAGGTTCATGGGCTCGGGCTTGCTGGCCTCGAGGTCTAGCTGGGCTTGCTTGTCCCGAGACAAGCTTCGTAGCTGGGCGATGCCGCTGGGCGCGGTTGTGGGTCTCGAGCCTGCTCTCTTATCGTCGTTGGTCGGTTTGTGAGATAACCTAGTGGCATGCTTTGTCAACACCATCCCAGACACGCAGAATGTCGCAAAATCTTAAAACTGACTGTGCACTCTGCCTACGCATTTTCCGCAGGTTCATCGACATCATCCGCCAGGTCAGGTTCTCCATGCGCTCAGAATTGGGCAGCTGGGATTTTTGCTTGTTGTAAAGCTTCCATATTTGGGTGCCTATGGGGTCCTTCTTCTGCATTTCCTCGGGGTCGTCCAGGTTGGGAACGGCGTCATTCTTGAGGCGCGGGAAAAAGGTGTCCCGAAGCACGCCCTCGCGGGCGGCCGAGTCGGAGGGTGAGAGATCCAGCTTGGAGCTGTCCAGCGTGCTGGCCGAGGTGAGGGACTGCACGGCGCTGGAGGTGCCGGAGACGTCGTCGCGGTGGCCTTGGGGAAAGCGAACGTGCCGCGGCGAAGATGATGTGTGGAAGGAGTGTAGATCCGCCATCGCTCCAATAGCGTCGTTGTCGAAGTCGGCAGAGAGGGGAGAGGCGTGCATGCCTCCCCCACGCTCCCCATGTTGCGCGTCCGACATTGGCGAAGGCAGTGTTGCGCAAAGCACGGGGGTTCGGGACAGGTGTGGCAGGTGGAAGGATTCTCGTGCTCGAGGGTGGTCTTGCCTCTTGCTGTTCCCAGCGGTCCACGGGCTTGGGGAGGGCTGAATTGTATGGACACGGGCGAGCGACCAGTGGAGAGCGACCTTGTTACAGTGCTCTTCTATGGCTGGCAGTAGGCGGCGTGATGGGGAGGCCGCTCGGTCGGAGAGCGTTCAGAAGCTGGCCTAGCACCGGGCGGGCAATCGCTGAGGCTGGACTAGCGATCCTTGGCCGGATGATGCTTGCGACGCTGTGAATGGACTCGGGCCTTTTGGGGCCCTGGCGGGTGGTGTGGTGCGCAGCGCTGCCGGGCGCGAGTGGCCTGCGCTGGGCTGTGTGTGGGATGCCAGAGTCGCCCTAGCGGCTTGGTGGGGTGCGCGAGCGAGAATTGGCCCGCCGTCGACTCGCGCACGCCCACCGCCGGTGCGTCCACGAGCCAACAGTGCCCGGCAAATGTGGCGCGCAGGTCGTCCAGGATGGCCCTGTGCCGCCGCGCCGGGTGTGCAGGGAGCGCGCGACCGCGCGAGATGACGGCCGCTGGACTGTACGAGGAGCGATGATGTATGCGACTAGCTCTGGCGTCGCGTGCGGCCGGCAGGATTCAGCAGGCTGGAGCTGCGCTGCGGTGCTATGATGCGCAGCCAGCCGGCTGCCGCGAACGTCGGCCGGCGGGCGGCGACCTACCAACGGCCGGGCAGTGCAGCCAGGGCACCAAGCGCCGCGGCGGATGGCTGGGGGCGAGGCGCGCGACACGCTTCGGGAAGCGCAACGGGAGCGGATGGGCTTGAGGATTGATGTAATGCCGCAGCGAGTCACGTCCGCGCAAGCCAGATATTGCTGCGCCGCACCGGCAGCTTCATGCGCGTCTCGACCGCCCTCGCCCACGTCAGTGGAAGAGCGCGGGGGCGCGTGGTGAGAGCGTGGGCGGCGGCAGGCACGCGGGCGGCCGGCTGCGCGCGCCGCTGGCAGCTGGTGATGACGCTCGTGGAGGTGTGCCTGCTCTCAGCTCGCCTAGGGCGGCAGCAAGCGGCTCCGCGTGTCATAGCGACCAACGACGATGGATGATCTCCCTCTCCCTTCGCGAGCACACGACTCGCTGCGCGCCGGCTGCCGGCAAGCCTCCTCCTGCCCATCATCTCCAGGCCTACCCGAGCCTCGGCGGCGGCGACGGCGACGACGCCGGCAGAGCTCCACTTGGATTCCACTTCTTCGCGCGCCGGACACATTTGACGACGCTGCGGGCGGTGGCAACGCGCGGGAGGGAATCTGCATCTCGCTGCCCGCGTTCCCTGGTCTGTGGATTTTCTCTGGGTGCTCGATCTGCCGTTCGTCTCCATGCGACCGCGCCTGGACAGCAGCGCGGCTCAGCGTCCAGCGGCCATGATTCGCGAGCGTGCCAGTAGCGCTACAGGAGATTCACCGTTGATGAAAATCTACCCTCTCCCTTTTCCAACCGCGCCGACTAGATACATGATCCCATCCGCTCTGGCGGAGTCTCACATGCTCGCTGCGAGCCGCGACGCCCGCCAGTTCCAGACCGCCGCCTCGTCGAGCTGCGTCTAAAACGTAGGTAGAGAGAAACCCCGAAAAGAAACGCCGCCCCGCATGCAGAACATCATCCATGGAACATGCCGCCGTAATTCCGAGCAGCGATGCCCGCAATAAACAGAGGCCCACCGGCGGCGCCGTTGCGCTCGAGCGTTGGTGCCGGAGGTGATCCCTCCCTCTTTTTCCTGTCCTCCGCGCCGCTCTCCTAAAAGACCCGAAGAGCGCGGTTTGAGGCACGCGAGCGTCTCCACGCCAGCGCAGGACCTGTTGCCGCCGCTGGCTCGTGTCCGCGATCTGACGCACGCCCGCGTGCTGCAAGACCAACCTTTAATTGCGGCTCCAATCAGCACCCGCTATTTCCAAACACAAGCTCTCGACGACTCGTGCCCCAGCGGAGGAAAGGCGGAGATGCCCAAGCTCCGCTGGCTCCCTCCGCCCGGTTTGGTTGCCCTACTGCCGGCGGCCACAGGCCCCTGCAACTGGCGCGGGAGGAATCTGGGACGACAGCTCTAGGGCGGAAACGCTGCTGCACGCATGATGAGCCCACCCAGCCCCCTTCCTGCGGCGAATGCTAAAACGCGGTGGAGTTCGTTCAGGCAAGATTTGGCTGCGGCGGCGTGCGCGCCCCGAAGAGGAATATAGCGATATGCGGATCTTCCGTGCAGCTGTCGGACCAACAACCTCGTTCCGAATTCGCGTGAGGCTCGACAAGGCCCCCCGGCAGATTCCGTTGCCTGCGCTGCTTGGTGAGCCGCTCGGTGGGCAAGGCCTGGAAATGAGACGATTTTGGTCGATTTGCCCAAGGGTAAATATTTCTCCACCGCACGGCGCCGCCAGTCAGAGTCGCCGCAGCGGCCGTATCCCGAAGCAACCGGTGGAAGGAACCATCACAGTCCACTTCGCGGCCTGCCGCGCCGCGCCTACGTATGCAGGGTCTCATTAGCCCGCTTGGAATCAATCTGAAATAGACTGCCTGGACGGGCGGCATTGTATCTGAGCGCGGACTTGGCTCTGCTTGCGGGTGGTTTCGGCGAGCCGGCAGGACGGGGTCTCGAGCGCAGCCGGCCGCGCGAGGCGGCTCGAGATCTTTTGGCCAGCTCCACCGGCGTACCAGATGTTTGACAGCAACGGACCGTTGCGAGCTTGTCGCGTGGCAGAGGGCGCACACACGCCAGCGCGCCGCGACGGCCGCTCCGCGAGTCGCGCGAAGCAAGGACTCCCATGATCGACTCGACTGCTCAGCAGCCTATTTGTCAATGACGACCAGCCATTGAATAGAGTTTCTGGGTGAGCGACCACAGCGCTGGGAATCGCTATAAACGTCCACCATCGACATTTGGACTCGCGATCGCAAGATGGACGCGCACATCCCAGATTCAGTCGCCCACCCGTCAGCGTCGGATCTATCGTCGGATGCTGGTCGGATGAGGGAGCCCTGGACGGATCTGCCCTGCAGTGTAACTGTTTCAATCCGCGCGTGGCGGAGGAGATCTCTTTCGTCGCGAGCATTGAGCAGCGTCGTCGCTATGAGGCCCTGGCGCGCGGGCTGAGTGAGCGGGCAGCCCGCAGCCAATGTGGGCCTTTTCACATGCTAGGCGACATGCAGCGATGCGGATTTCGCTTGGGCGCGTGTTCTTCCTGGGCCAGCAGGAGGCGCGCAGATCCAGCTCACCGCATGCAATCTGCCTGTTGCACTGTGTCGTCAGTGCCGCCTGTCGCAGACCCTGCTTGACGACATGGTGCCTGGTGATCCGAACCGTGCCAGCCTCCAGCAGCAAGTGCCGCGAGCAATGGAGCGGCCTTTGCCTCACGCAGCGTTTCCATTTGCGGCAAGACGGCGTGGTCCGAGTGGGGGTCGCCATGCAAGCCACCGTGGGATGCGATCTGCAGGTCGGCTTTAGCTGTTGAACCGTGGCTTGCCGCGCCACGATTTCGATGCCCTCCGCTGCCCTCCGCTGCCTTCCGCCCGCGATGATTGAAGGGCCTGCCTCCGCGCTCTGAATCTCCGCGACGACGCCTCCAATGACGGCGTGCGGGAGCCCCAAATTGCACACGCGAGGCCGTTGTTTAGTGTGGCCTCGGGGTCCTTTTTCCAGCGCGCCTGTGTTCGCCTGAAGGCCCAGGACCCGCCCCAGGACCCTGATTTTGCATGCCTGAGGTCCGCGCCGCCGCCCTCCCTTCCCTTCCTCACCCTCCCTCCCGCCGCGCCAGGCTTCATTCCATCCCGCGCGATGATGGAATGCGCCACGCAAGCTTTGGCGAGCAAACGGCTTGTTTCCGGCCCCGGTGCAGTCCGGTCCAACGCCAGTATCCAGTAGCAGCTCCGGCAGTGGCCCCGTCGTCATATTGCCCGCCCTATGGTTGGAGCGACGCGGCGGGAGGGCCCTCACTTCGCATCCCTTCCGACCGCAGGTATGCCGGACCGTCGAAAAAGCCACCGGGAGTTCCTGAACCGGAGCTTCCTGCATAGCGCTTGTCTCACCATGCTCGCGAGGGCCACCGCCCGCTTAGCCTCACAATGGCCAGAGATGTCAATCCCTCGTACGCTGGGCATCGTCGACCGGGATTTCGGTCCCTCCGTGTCGTGAATGTTAAGGCGCGCCCTAAAGCTTTTCGTCCCGAGCGCGCGCCGTTACCATCTCTGGCGACGCATGCCGCAGGCCACGACAGCTGCCAGCAAAGCGGTGAAATATAGCAACGGCGTGGGTTCCAGTTACACCGCGGGGCATGTAGCCAGGCAATCCCAGCGGCGGCGCATCGGTCAGAAGGCCGCTCGTGTGTGTGGAGAACGCCCCGAACGCAATGCTGCTGACTTGAGGCTGCCATGTCTCATCCATCTCCATCTGCCGCGTGCACGCGAGTCGACGACGACACTCGCTTCGTGGCGGTCAGCCTTCAGCAAGCCTCACCACCGCCTTTCGTCCCAAGCGCTTCGCGGCTCCACTGCGGTCCATTGGCCCCCAACAGAGTTTACATGACATTGTCCAGGTAACGGGCGGGGCGGGTGAGTAAGTGACGAGGTCCATAGGTCGGTTCTGATTCATTGTCGTCCGTCTGCCCGATGGTGATTTGCGTCCATCCAGATATTCCGTTTTGGGAAGTCGAGCACGCGTGCGCCTGGTCCTTGGTGTTGAGGTCCGTCATGAGATCCATGCCGTCATGTTGTCCCTGGTGCCCGGTATGCGGTCCTCAACGCTCCACATCTTCCGAGGGGAGGCTCCGTCCTGGTAGCGTCCGGTGCGCAGGGCTGAAAAGTCGGCTATAAACAGAAGCGTTCCAAGGCGGACGACACATTGGACCTTTATACTGCGGACGAGGCCGCCCACACCCACGTTCCTGGAAGGGGTCGGGGTGCTAAAAAATGACCAACGCAAAGCTACTAGGCTGCGCAATGAGCGCAACGTCTGCTGATTTGCGATTTCGACGCCAGATAACGTTATCTTTGTGTCGTGTCGCGCCGAGCGCCAAACAGCCCAGCGGATCGCAACGCACGCGCAGTGACCAGAAACAACCCGCGTTTGATAAGTGGCTCCGAGGCGTGCCGGTCTGGCCTGGCTGCTGGCGTCTGCATCTGACCGGATTGCACCATCTCTGCCAATGACGGGGCACAAGCCTGGTAATTCCCTATCATTTCCTCCCTTCTCCCCCGGATCCAACGGCCCGGTCCCTTCCCAGCAGCCTGTCAACCAGGCCCTACGTGTCCCAAAAGAGCGCATGCAGGGAGACGATCGAGGGAAAAAGCAGAACATGTCGTATTTTCCGAAGCTAGTCGGCCGACGGGGCGTCATCAGCGGGCTACAGGGCACCTTGAGGGATGATCACAGCTTCCTAGATAGGCGTATGATGACAGGTACGGGATGGGACGAGGCGATCACTCCAAATCTTATCTTCTCTGGGGCTTGCGCCGCTCCATCGGAATGACCTCCACGGAACTACTTGCGTGTCCAATTACTTGCATCCGGATCGTCGTTGCCGTCGTCGCGCTGATAAAGTTTGTGGGTGACAGGTGGCCGTGCATCCCACTGCAGTGGTTGATGATAAGCTGAAGGGAGGCCTTGCCAGCTGGATCCCCACAGATGGGGCGATAGCCATCGACCGCGCGGGTGAATTTGTGGGGTGCATGAGGGCTTGTTATCTGGAAGACGCAGACAAGAGAGATTGGCGATAATTAGCATAGGAGCCGCCCGTCTTGCAGAGTGGGCAACGTTCTCCAGACTCCGTTGAATGTATTTTGTTATCTGCGTTTGCTCACTCCTACGCCCAGTCGAGCAGGTGCTGACTATCACATGCTATCCACCCTGAAACACGGCCACTCCGCACGCGCTTGTGCGTCTTAGGACTATGGTACAGGCGCAGATAAACGACCCTTGGTCCCATGTTCCTAGCGGTATCGTCATCAAGCATCATGCGTCTTATCGTGCATAGGAGGATTGCTTTGCGCCGGAAGGTGGTTGAGGAGAGCAACCGCGCGTATGTGACAGCCGTAGGTTCATGGTAGGATCGGACATGCTTTTCGGCTTCTCCGAAGAATACAATTGCCGGGGATGGCCGGTCATAGTTTGAGAAGATGTCTCGAGCCTCATCATGTACTCTTATCGTGGTCGTGCGAGCTTCCCGACGGGCTGGGTGCACTTCCCCCATTAACGGTCTCTTCTCCGAGCACCTTGCTGGCTGCCATAAACCTTTGAGAGACAAGACGAATTAACAACGTTCCTTATCTTGCACGCATGGTGGGGTGCTTCAGCATCAAACGTACATTCCTCCGCAGTATCCTCCAAGGCCACGCATGCTCTCTGCCTGAACCGCAGTCATGCGCAACAGGTTCTCCAAGTCCGCCATGTTTGCCGTGAGCTGGGCGAGCTGCGAGTGCAGGTGCGAAAGTTGGCGGGGCTTCTGGGAAGAGGGCGCGCTGCTCATGCGAGAGCCGGTGCTGGTCGGACGATGAATGCCGGACATGATTGAGGCGAGGGTGGTGGTTCTAGATGAGGTATCGGACGCGACGCGCGGTTTGAGCGGCGATTGAGGAACTGTACGTTGTTGTGAGTGATTGTTGTCGTGCAGAGAGCTGGTGGGAGCTGGGCTCTGTTTACCCGCGGAGCTTCGGAGTTAACCCAGCGACAAGGGTCTGCCCGCTCACAAGCTGTGAGCTTTTTCTGTCCCTCCGCATTCACTGCTCCACCATCCTCAGCTCGCCCTTCTACCACCCAACCATGGTATCGCAACAGACCATTCGCCGAGTTGTCCTCACCGGCGCTGTTGCCGCAATCACTGCCACCGGTGCCCTGTACGGTGCCGGCCTGAAGCTCCAGCAAGAACACAAGCAGGTACGTGCAGTTTAACACTCCACTATTCAAGGTCATTGTGAGGGACTTGGCCCCTCTGTGGCTTTTTTTGCGCTTCAGTTTTCCTTTCTCAACATGTGTCTGCGGCCTGACACTAACAGTAATCCCAGGCGCAGAAGAAAGTCTACGAATTGCCCATCGAGGAACGCATTGCAGGGCTGGAGACGAAGCGAGCACGACTTGTTACGCAGAAAGAAGACATAGAGCGGAAGATTGCAGAACTCCAATCACGCCGAGCTCCGGTGGCGAAGCCCCAGGACTAACACCGATGAACCGTTCCCCTGCCTATCCGCTGCCTGCTCTGATGCCGACTTTCTTGCCCGTCATGCAACATCACGCGCGTCCGGCCGCGAGGCCCCACTCCACCTCGACCGTGTATTGTCGCGGATAGGCCACCCATTGATTAGGCGAATGATATTCCTGCGGACCCGTTTCCCCCGGACCTAGATCCGCAGCCGACTCCGCAGCGAACCACATATTTGTTTGGTGGCAAATATCGTCACGGCATTCTGGAACAGGTTCCTCGCGGAAGCTCGTTACGATCCTGCCTCGCCAATTACCACTTTGGGAGTTGGTCTGGACCGCAAGGGCAGTTGCGGACCTGGCAATCACATGAAAGCGGGATGAACAATCTCCATCATGGACCAATACGGCGCACTGCAGGTACAAAGTATCCTGATCACTTTGCTGTCCCGGCCATCCCGTGCGACATTTTCCCGCTCGATAGCCTTGCGCCGGATTCTTTTCTGCTCTGGTGGTTGTGGGGCTGGGTAGTGCCGCTCAGCGACACTGAGGGTGGTGTTATCGCCACCACCAAAATTGTGGGAGCAAAGGGGTTGCAAAGGCAATTCCGATGCCCGTGAAACTTGGCTTAAAATCAAATCAAAGTATTCGATCTCTCGTGATCGGCCGGGCCATGTCTTATCCGGAAGCAAATTTGGCATATCTTTCGGTGGGGCCGCGTCAGAATCAATGATGATTGAGTATTGGTGGATAAGCTTGGAATATTGAGTGCGACAGGAGGGATATGGCAGGACAACACGTGGTTATTCCTCACGCGGTTTCTGCAGCATCCACGTACAAACTCTTGCACTCCAGACTCTCCATACTCTACATTTCGAAACTCAAATCATAACTCCTGCCCTCACATCGCGACCCTGCCATTAGGCACTTCTCCAAACTGACCAAAGCAGTGCTGCAGCCCGTCCAAAATTTTGATCATCCCTTCGTGCCGCTCTAGCTCCACACACCACCAAGAAATGGGCGTCATCCTTACATGCTGCCTCGCCGTCTGACACCCGCCCACGAACGCCTCCTCTTCCCCGCCCCTACACCATCTCGCCCTTCCCTCATTACACTGACCCTGTCAATCAGCACACTCGCTGCTGTCGAGCTCCGTACCCAAAGTGCTCAACGGCCCAGCTTCTCCGCCTATCGCCGGCGCCATCCATTTTTGTTCTGTTCTGTTCTCCATTCCAACACCCACACTTTTTTTTTTCCTTTTGATTTTAACTCACTAACGCCAGGATGGACAAAGTCGCGGGGGCATGTGCGACCGTGGCGCTGGGTCTTACCGACGCGGCGTCGATTGCACCGGGATTGACCTGGTTGGCCAGCACCGGAAAGGTTTGATGTGCGGGAGCGATAAGAGAAAAGGAAGGCAGGAGGAGGTCAGATAGGTGGACTGGACAATTGTTAGCTTGATCGAATCGTGTGTTGGGGCTTGCCTGCCCCTCCCCTAGCTGTGGGAAGGGCAAACAAAGACTGCCAGCAGTTTATTACACCTGCCAGTTCATGTGCCTTCCTCACATCCTTTACAAATTTTGAGAAAAGTATTGATTGCTCAGTCATCTTCAAACCCCAATAGTTATTCACATCTTGGCCTTCGAAAATAGGTTCAATATAAATGATCCCTTTTAGTAAATCAATAAATACATACGGCACATTGCAACTTACTTCAAACTAGTCTCAAGAGTTGACTCACCTTCCACAATGTCTCAATAGCGGTCATGACGTCACCACTCACTGTCAAATGGAACATGTTGTCACGCTCTGCGATTCACATCACCCAAGAAAGTGACAAAGTAAACACAAATCTTCCTCTTATTCGCTCAGCCCGCCCCGTCTAAGAAAAGCACGACACATCGGACGTGCCCGCATTCGCTCCGCTCTCGCAAAAAATGAAAAACTTTCTGTCCGCTCTTCCAGGCGAAACATGGCGCCTGTATATACAAAAACCGAGTGCACACCAATAAAGAAAAAAATGTAAAGAAAACCCTAGTCGATATGACCCATTCCCCGACGTCCTCTGGCAATTGGGGATAGTTGAATAGATCGCCCGTCCGCTTTTATTTTCCGATGCCAACCAAGGAAAAAACAGGAGTCCCTAGAGGGTTTGAAACAAGTCTCCGGTACGATTACTGTTACAGCTGCTGTCGCTCAACGCAAAAGTTCCATCATCCACAACGTCTCGTTTACTCAAGAGGAATGCCGTCGTACTCGCCGTAGCCGAGAGCAAGGTTCATGTTCTGCAGGCACTGGGTAGCGGCACCCTTGAGGAGGTTGTCGATGGTAGCGTTGATGACGACGCGCTTGCCCGAAGAGTGGACGGCGAAGCCACCGACCTCAACGCCGTGCTTGCCGGCGATGTTCTTGACGAGAGGAGACTCGCCAACAATCTTGACGAGCTTCTCGCCTGCGTAGCGGTCCTGGTAGAGCTGGCGGATGTCACGAGCCTTCATCTCCTGCTTGAGGGGGATGTTGATGGTGTGCTATAAAAGTGGTTAGTCGAATACCACGCACAGGGGGTTGAATAGAACTTACGTGAATACCCTGGAACCAGACGGCAACGTGCGGGATGAAGCCGACCTGGGTACCGAGCTGAGAAGAAATCTCCCTCTCGTGGATGTGGTCCGTCAGGCTGTAAGGAATGAGGTTGTTGGTGAGGAAGTTGACATCGTTCTTCGGGCTAGGCTTGGTGCCAGCACCCGAATAACCAGAGACACCGAAGACGGTGGGCTGGCCACCAAGGAAGTCAACAATCGGAGCAATACCGATCTGCGCGGCGGTAGCATAGCAGCCAGGGTTAGCAATGCGGGTGGCATTGGCAATCTTGGACCTGTCGACGAGCTCCGGGAGACCGTAAGTCCAGTTGGAGTCGAAGCGGTAGTCGGCCGAAAGATCGACAATGACGGTCTCAGGCTTGCCAGCAGCGTCAATGGCGTCGACGAAGGGCTTGCAAACACCGTTGGGAAGGGCCATCACCCAGCAATCGATCTCGCCGGCCTCGGCCATACGGCGGACATCGTCGGGAGACAGGTTCTCGTAGGTGATGTCGCGCTTGGAGTAGCCTTGGAGCTTCTTGCCGGCAAGCTCACGGGAAGAGACGTGCCTCAGGTCCATGTTGGGGTGGTTGTTCATGAGGTCAATAAGAGCCTGGCCAGTGTAACCACGGGCACCGATCAGAGCAACCTTGGACGGCCAGTCCTTGCTCTTGAACTTGATGCCGTAGGGAGGGTTGGGGTTGGTGGTGGTGGAGTAGCCCCTGGAGGAAGAGGGGGTCTTGAAGGCAGACGCAGAGCTAAGGATGGAGCTCCCCTTGAGCGTGCGGGCGCTGGTAGAGTAGGACCTGGTCTGGGAGTTCTGTGCAGCCCTCGCCCTGAGACCCTCGGCGTACTGTGCAGCGCGGTTGAGCTGAGACTCAAGGTTGATGTCACCGAACATGGAGCGGCCATGCTGCTTGAACTCAAGCATCAATTGGCGAACCTCCTCGAGGTCAGTAATGCCGTACCAGTAGAGAACCTCGTTGCCATGGCGCAGGGAACCATCAGCACGCTCAGCAAACCAAGTAAGGTTCTCGTCGTGCACATCAACAGTCCACATGAGCTTGGGGAAATCGGCCTGAAGACGGGTGAAGATGTTGCCGGCGAGGTTGGTCAACCAGCCGGACTTGGTGATGGTGAAGGTGGCGAGGTGGGCAGTCTTCTCCTGCTCGGTAGGAGGCAGAACAATGGCAAGAGCCTCCATCTTCTCGTCGAAGTAGGCCTTGAAGGGACGCTGGCCAAGGTTCTGAATGTAGCGGTCGACGACGGCTTCGGCATCGAGGCCCTTCCTGTCACGGACGAGAACCTCCTTAAGCTTGGAGACATCCTCGAAGTCCTCAAGCTTGCTCGCGGTCTTCACCTTGTCGCCACGCCTGATCAGGGTACCGGCGCCGGAGTCGGTAAAGAGCTCCTTCTCCAGGTAAGACGGGTGGATGATGGCCACACTGGAGGACTTGGGCAGGTCGTCCAGCAGGTTCTTCATCTCCTTGATCTTCAACCTGGTGCCGTGCTTGACCCAAGGCTGTGCCATGAGGTGGTCGTATTCCTCGTCCAAGTTGATGGTCGAAATCATCTCGTTGGTGTTGGCGTTCCAGAGACCACCCTTCTCCGAAAGGTAGACGATCTTGAGCGGCTCCAGAGCACGAGCAAGCTCACCGGCGGCAACGTCGGCGTTGACGTTCAAGACCTGACCGGCGTCGGTCTCGGCCATGGAGGTCAAGACCGGGAGCTCCTTGGCGGCAATGGCAGCCTCAATGGGCTTGATGTTGACGTTGTTGATCTTGCCAACCAGCTGCCACTTCTCCTTGTCCAGGTAGTCGGCACCCAGGACACCAGCGGTGATGGGGCGGGCGCGGACACCCTCGGCCCACAGCGCAGACACCAGCTTCATGTTCTCCTCGAGGAAGAGCTTGCGGGCGATGCCCAACGTCTTGGGGTCAGTGACACGGATACCCTCCTCGAACTGCGGCTCGACACCAGCAGCCTCAATGATACGGTTCAATTGAGGGCCGGCACCGTGGACAATGACGGGGTACAGGCCCATGGTGGTCAGGTTGCGGAGAGCAGTGCAGAGAGCGTCAAGGTGGTCGGTCAGAATGGCACCACCGACCTTGATAACGGCGAACTGCTGGGACTGCACCGAGCTGAATTGGGCCAGGTACTGCTGGATCTCACGCTTGGAGCCGACGTCCTTGAGGATCTTCATGATAGCAGTCCTCGCGCCCTCCTGGCGACTCTCGTTGGACGTGGTATAGCGGCGGGCGGTGCATGACTGCAGAGCTGCAGGAGCAGCGCGCGGTATCGAGGGACGAGCGCGGCGGATGGCATTGCGGGCGGCCGCGCTGGCGGCGCGAGAGCGGAGAGGCAACATTGTGAGTGGAGAGGGGAGAGTGTCGAGAAGCGCGGCCTCTGGGTGGGCGAGGTAGGAATGAGTCCTTGGGCGCAGCTTTTATCAGCGCCAGGCTCAACTGGAGCACAATGCAGGCCGAAGCGGGGAGCTCTCACCTCTCTGGAGCAGATAGTCAACGCCGACTAGCCGCGCTGCACTGGCATGGACAGCAGCGAGAGGGGGAAATTGACAGAGGGCGGAGGGCGAGTGGGAATGCGTGGCCGGGGATGCGGACAGTAGGGCACGGCGTCACTATGTTTTGTAGCGATAGTGGCCGCCGAATTTTCTGAACCTGGGCTGCATCCGCCGAGATCGCGCGCAAGCTCCCATCCCCACACTTGCCGGCCGCCGCCCAAGCCCTAGACGCCGCTCAGCCCATTCGGCCTTGTTGACCCTGCCTCAGCGCGTCGAGACCTGCATGCCATGCTCGAGCCCCTTGGTCGCTAATTTTTTGGTGGCACTCCGCCTTTTGCGCCCATTTGCGCGGTCTCACGCCTCCGGCCGCCAGCGCGTGCGGGCCCATTCTCCGATATAGGCCGATCAATATCGCGCATCGTTGGCCACCGGTGAAGCCAGAAGCCTTCTCGTCGACTGTGCTCAGACAAACCACTCACTTGGCCGTCGTCCGCTGCCAGCACGCCACCCTGTGAAAATCACTCGCGCCGCACCGACAAATCGCGCCCGCACGATGACATCAATGCCGTAGGCGCAGCAAGTCACGATAGTCACGCACAGCTGTGCAATTGACTCGACCAAGCCGAACTACCGTTTCGCGTGCCGCCTGCCCGTCTGTTCCGTCCTCACGCCCAGACCGGAGCTCTGAGTATCTTAATCCCGGGCTTTGCAATTCTGTAAAACAAACTCGTAGCATGACGTAAATTTGTGAAGGGTCACAAGCACCCAAATGCCGAAGTTTAGTAATTAGACGATGGCGTGCCCGTCTACTTTCTCACATGGCATCATCTTTTTTCCTGTCGACGTAAACACAACTAGACATGCACTATCCACGGGGCCCAGCCAGCTCGATTCGTTTGGTAAACATGAACAGGTAGTTTCCTAGCAGAGGTGTATCGTAGAGAAGCCATCAATTATTACAAGCCGGAACTGCATGCAGCATCAAAAGAACCCCGTCGCTCCATATTCGCCAGATACGTAAGAGTTACACTCCGGAGAGAGGGGTATTTCCCCGGAGGTCCGTCGGTCGTGAACACATGCCATCGAGGATAGTCGCGTCTTCGCATACGCATAGCATTCGTTTATTTCTTCTGAGTGGCGACGACTGCGGTGCCTGTTAGCAAAACGGCCCCCAAACGAAGCAGCGCTCCAGCACTCACCAGAAGGCACAATGATGATAACAAGCAGGATGATAATTCCGACGATCAGGCACATGCGCATCTTCATGTCCTTCCACCACATCTGCTTGCGCACGCGGTTGGCGCCGCGGCGGAAGCCCTGTGCGGAGACAGCAAGGTTGTCGGTCTTGTCCTGGAGCGAGTCTAGCCTGGCACCACGTTCCGACACCTTGTTGATGTTATCGCGCATAATGCCGACAGTGCTGTCGATTTCCTGCAGGCCATCTGTCAGCAAGCTACACGGTAAACCTTACGGCGGCGATGCGACGGTCGCAGGGCTCTCGGAGCCGCGACAGCGGACAGCTGAGACACTTTGTTGTTTTTAGCACGACCGTGCGACAAATCAGGAGGTGTAGCAGCTCAACCGCGAGGGTCGGCAGGCAGCAGATCCGTCGCTGCCGCAGCGATGCCGGACGCAGCGTGGGAGGCCTGGTCCCTCGCAATCAAAGGGCGGTCTTTGTGCCTCCGCGTAGCTGCTGCGACTGCTGCCGTGCCAGAGCTCTATCGCGGTGTCCCACGCTGCTCGCTGCCGCGTCGTTCCGAAAGCCGGCGCCGGTGCGATGCAAAGTGCCGGCTGGGGGAGTCGGGGAACCTACAGCCTGGAGCGCGGCGGTGCGTTGGTTGCCATTGTTCTGGCTGGCGTTGCCGCCCGAGGGAATGTAGGGGTCGTAGGGTTGCTCGCGGTCGGCCATTTGTGCGGTGGGAGGGAGGCGGAGGTGAGGATAAGAAGTGTGGTGAGCGGATCAGCTGTTGTGGTGATGGAAGGTGGTGGAAAAGGTGTGGTCGGTCGAGCGACGGGTGGGTGTCGGTTGGGAAGCCAGGTGGTCGGGCGCGGGCGTTGGCGAGGATGGCTTTGACTTGGAAGGGAGGCTGAGCTGGGAGCGCCGAGAGCAGGTCGTTAAGAGTCTCGTTCTCGAGGCGTGCGCGGGGCGCGGGCTGCAACGCTGTGGGCACTGCACGCTGCGGGGGCTGCAGAAAATCGCGGGTGATGCACAGGAAGAGATTGGAGGACGAGGAAGAAGTATGGGATTGAGCAACAAAAATACACTGCTCTGATGATGCGCGCAACAGCGGACCACGGCGCGTTGGCAATCACGTGGGCGCCGGAAGCCGTGGCAACGAGCGGCTAAGCCTCACGGTTGGGCAGGCGGCGGCTCCTGCGAATCGAGCATGCGGCGACGGGACTACGTAGACATTGGGGCTGATGCTATTCTCGCGCGTCTGCAGCCTGCTACATAAGCAGCCGCGGCTGCTCGGCGGCTACTGCTCGCGCGCGACACTCTGAAGCAATGCGAGACAGGGCCAGCCTGGGAGCTGCTGCCCCCCGCCCCGCCGGGCGCGCCGCATGTTTGTTACGCCGCTTGGGCAACCGCGCATAGTGTAAGGAACGGCCGCTCTGGGTTTAGAGCCTGCCGCTCTGGAGGCCCCAAGCCTGCCCAGCATGCTTGTGTGCCCGGCGAATGGTGGCTCAGCCGGCAAAGGCAATACGACGCCAGCAGGATTGCCTTGTCTTGGCCGCCAGCCTTTCCTACAGCCCGTCCCCCTAGCCTGCCGGGCGACCTTGCTACCTCACGACCTGAACTCCTCTGGCAGCACACGCTCGTTTCTCTAGCACCTCTTGCGCTCGAATATCGCGGCCAAGAATCTGTTCGCACCGGCGCCTGCCAGCCTCCGCCCGATCGTCAGTCTACCCCGGATTTCCGCTGCGCACCCGCCAGCTCCATCTCCACCCGTCGCTCCTACGGGCGTCATTCACTCGCTCGCCCGCGCTCCTACCACCAGCCCGCGCCCAGCTCCGACTGCGCGTTTCCCACGCTTCGGAGCCTTTCCACGGCCATCCGGTCTACCTCGCCTTGCGTACGACCTGCCTCTGCAGTCGCCACCAAGGCGCATCTCTCTGTATTGACCTCGCAGCATCGCCGTCGTTGCAGTCATGAAGCTCTCCACATTCGCGACCGCCGCGCTGATCGGCGCGACGAGCGTCGAGGCTGCCCTCTCGATTACATGGACCGATGAGAGTACGTCATCCCCAATCCTACGCCACCGCGGTAGCTAACGTTGTCCCAAGACTCCGTCAAGCAAGCGATGCAGACAGTTGCCAAAGGCATGACGCAGTACTATACTGGTAACAGACCGGGCGATGTTCCCGGAAACTTGCCCGACCCGTACTACTGGTGGGAGGCCGGCGCGATGTTCGGAGCCTTGATTGACTACTGGTACTACACCGGCGACGACCAGTTCAACGCCATCACCACCCAGGCCATGCTCCACCAGATTGGCCCCCAGGAAGATTACATGCCACCCAACCAATCACGCACTCTGGGAAATGATGACCAGGCTTTCTGGGGAATGTCCGCCATGTCAGCTGCTGAGAACAAGTACCCGGATCCGCCGGACGGACAACCGGGTTGGCTCGCCTTGGCGCAGGCTGTCTTCAACACTCAGGCACCGCGCTGGGACAACGAAACATGCGGTGGTGGCCTCAAGTGGCAGATTTTCACTTTCAACAACGGCTACAACTATAAGAATACCATTTCCCAAGGTTGCTTCTTCAACATTGCTGCGCGGCTTGCTCGCTACACCAACAACGAGACGTACTCCGACTGGGCTGAGATAGCCTGGGACTGGACCGTCGCCATCGGTCTGATGGACAGCAACTTCCACTTCTACGACGGTACCGATGACAGGATCAACTGTACACAGATCAACCATATTCAGTGGACATACAATGCTGGCGTTTTCCTTTATGGCGCTGCGACCATGTGGAATATTGTAAGTACAGTGCTATTTATCGTGATTGGGACTCTCTAACATGTTTTCAGAGCGCCGAAGCTGGCAAGGAAACCGAAACAAGCGGAAAGTGGCATGACCGCCTGCAGGGAATCATCTCAGGACTCGATGTCTTCACCAAGAATGGCAATGTTTTAGAGGAAGTTGCCTGCGAAGCCAACGGCAAATGCAACATCGATCAGCGCTCTTTCAAGGCCTACATCTCTCGCTGGATGGCTGCTACGACCAAGGTTGCCCCCTGGACCACGGCACAACTGGATCCTGTCCTGGCAGCTTCGCGCGAGGCCGCCGTCAAAACCTGTACCGGCGGAAGTGACGGGAGCCAGTGCGGCTTGAGATGGACGACCGGCTCGTTCGATGGTAGCACTGGTGTCGGCGAGCAGATGGCTGCCCTCGAAGTCATGGGCACCGCTCTTATTGCCAACGTTGCTGGACCTCTTACCAACAAGACTGGTGGAACTTCCCAAGGAAATCCTTCTGCCGGTTCGAACAGTCAAACGACACCGACATCGGCTGATCCTATTTCGACGGGAGACAAAGCTGGCGCTGGGTTCCTTACTGCTGTAATTCTCATCGGCATTTTGGGTGGCGCATGGTGGATGGTGGTGTAAGAGGGCCATCATGAGACGTTTTCTTTCGCGTTTTTGTCATTTTGAAGGGGTTTCAGGCCTACAGCCTTTGCTCCGCTAAACATATTTTCCCCTAGTAGTGCTACTGGCGGGCAGGAGGGCTTATGCTCGAAATCTTTGGATCAATTCTTTTTTTCTTTTTGCGGGATAGGGTCCATCCAGGTATCCGATGGATGAGACATGACGGTGTTTTGAAAATACGCGGGGGCTAGCTATTGCATAATACTTCGCTATGACCGGTTTTGGCTTTTGGGTAACTCAAATGGGGATGAGGCATGGGTCTGGAATGGGAATTATGTTCTTACTTTTATTTCAAAAAGCGCTCGCTAGGATGCATGTGCGAGGCTCCTGAGGATCTTGTTCGGGAACTCGAACAAGATCTGCGGTGGTGGGGTGGGCTTCCTTACCGAAGGAGGTAATGCGGGTGTGGATGGCGAGCATGTGGTGTGGGTCCGACCAGATATCCCTTCCTCAAAGGCACGCGATTAGCTACACGAGCGAGCGTCTAGCGAAACCGTGTTGTAGGCTCACGCGAGCATTGAAGATCTTGCAATGTTCTCTTACAGGCGCAGTGCCAAGTGAACCCTTCCCCCCGCAGATCATGTAACAGGCTGAGTTTCATTAGCTATCGCCTCCTTGCGGATAAGTGGTCCGCGGTGGCTGTACCGCTCACTTGACCCCTGGGATCCCAACTCAAAAGCAAGAGAGTAGAATGAGATTGAAGCTTGTCTTGACTAGCTGTCTACTCGCCGACCGGGGGGATAAGTCAGTTGAAGCAACAGAGCCTGGACGCTCTTCTTTACTTTCGAGTCGAAATTATTTTTACACCTTACCTTCTTCCCTTTCAGCATTTGCCTTTCAGCAGGACTCCTCTCTTCCACGCTTTTTCGCCGCAGCACAGTCTTCTCTTCCCAATCTTGTTAGGCTTCCTCTTTCATTTCATCCCCCACTACAAGCCACCCCACCAAAAAAACCTCCAGCACAAGCAAGCACAAGCACGCCACAAAACAATAAAAGAAAAAAAAAAACACACGCACATACACAAAATGGGCGCCCAACCCTCCCACCACATCAAGCTCGAGCACCGCGTCCCGCTGTTGACCGAGATGCAACAGCTCTCGCTGGACATCGACCGCAAGTACGGCCCTTCGCCCACACCGACCATCCCGAGCACCACGACCACCTGCTCGTATTCCCCGCCTTCACCGACTACGACGCACACGCACACGCATCACACGCACGCGCACAGTTGTTTTAACAGTAGCGCCATGATGATGCCGCCCCCGAGCATGCTTTCCGCCCCGCTCGGCCCCGCCACCGGCTCGCCCGCCGGCTTGCTGTCATCGTACCCGCCACCCCATCACGAGCCGCCCTTCGGCTTCTGCGCGTGCTGCACGGCGCCGCTGCCGCCGCCCACGCCGTTGCCTGGCTCGCGCTGCGAGCACCGCCACAACGAGCAACTGCGCCACCGTCGGTCGTTGTCTGGGCTGCGGCTGCGGGCGAGGCTGCGGGGCTTGATGCTCTGTGGCGGCGGCGGCGGCGAGTGTAACGAGAAGAAGCAGTCGAGGGGTCTGCGGTTGAGGTCGAGGAAGAAGGGGGGCAGGTGGGAGGGAGTTGACGATGATGCGGACAATGTTAGTCTGGCGGATAGCTTTACGACGGGGAGTAGCAGCTTGAGGAGCGTGAGGAGCGGGAAGCTGGTTATGATGACGGTGAGTAGACGGCTGACGATCCCCTTGAGGAGGAATGATTGTGGAGCTAATGACGTGTGTGCATAGGGTCTCGGACGGCGGATAATGATATAACGGCCGAGGGCCATGAGCTTTTCTTGTCGTGCAAGACAGGGAGCCTTTTAAGGTTCAGAGCAGGGGAGGTGTAGCAACATTTGCGGGTAACCCGGCTGGGCTGGGCAGGACTGAAATACCCACTGATGGTTTGGACAAGCCTGGGGCTTGCTAGTGGTGAACTCTGGCGTTAGAATCCTAGGCCGGTGACGGCACCGAGTGAGTTACGAACAGCGGAATATAATGAATCTCTTGTCATGTTCTTTGTCTCATCTCTATTTCGACTCTTGCTCTTTCTCAACGACGTCCACCACGAACGCACCGCCAAGGAGGATAGCGGGCTCGTCGATGGAGTGATGTTCGTAACTGCCAACCCATGACAGTCAGCTAAGCGCACAAGGGCAGGCGCAAGCAGCCTTCACGCTTCGACTTACCTCAACGTTCCCACACCACCAGCCTCAAGAATCAGCGCCGGGTTGTCCGAAACGTCCCGTCCGATCCACCGGGCGGCGAAGGCGCGCAGGATGTGGCCGTGAGCCACGATCAGTACGTCGTGCGGACCGACGTCCTTCTTCGGCTTGCCAACCGCAGGTCCGTGGAAGCGCGCGCGGATGTCCTTGATCAGCTCATCAAGCCTCTTGCTTACATCCTCCGGCGACCTGATGCGAAATAGGGCGCCGAATCAGTAACATTCCCTCTTCATTCTCTCGCCCGTGGCTGCGGCGGTCCAGAACCATTGGCTGGCCCCCACGCTCTTCCATCCTCCCATCCTCCTGTACAGCTCCAAGTCGGAGAGAGCCCCCGAATCCTCAATCTCACACCGGAAGAAAAAGCCAGACTTGGAAAGATTGGAAAGATGCAAAAAAAATAAAGGGCTGTAAATACTCACTCTCCGCCTGGACACCCATCCTTCCAGATATCCCAAGGCTCCTGGCCGCGTTCAGCACGCTGCTCGCGGATCTGAGCGCTGGTCAGGCCCTCGTAGTCGCCATAGTCCCACTCGCGGATGGCGTCCGTCACCTGAATGCCGGCATGGGTGCGGATGAAGTCCTTCGTAGGTTCATCCTGCTGCCACGGCATGCGCTCCGCGCAGCCGAGCGACAGCAGCTCGAGGGTGCGCTGGGCGCGCTTGCGGGGAGAGACGTAACTAGAAAAAGGCCGTGGCGTTTTTGGTTTTTCGCGCGCGCCGTTATTTTTGGGGGCCCGGCGCACGCGCAAAAACGCGGGCAGCGTGAGTCACAGGGCTGCGTTTTCATTCCGGGTAAAAACGAGAAAAGTGGCGTGAACGGAGAGAGATAGAGTTGGGTGACTTTCAATTTTTTTTTTCTTGATTGCTGCTCAGGCCGGTATGGGCAAGTGGTACGGCGAGGTGGGATTTAGGCAGCCGTTGGCAATTGGGAAATTGAGGGATCGATATCGTGGGAAGCGGTGTGTGGGGTTTGAGGTGGGGATTAAAATAGACTCGGGAGGATTCTGATATGCATGGGGGGGATCTATATCAGGAAGACGACGAGCAGAACTCACATATGAGCCAGGTTCTTGGGAACGATCAGGCGGTCATCGCCGACCAATGCCTTGCCGGTGGCCTTTATCCTGCGCTCGCCGTTGGCCGTGAGAGGAAGTTCGGTGGTACCGGTGTGTCGTCCATTCAGGGACCATTCGGTCTCGCCGTGACGGACGATGAAGACGCGGGGCGTGCAGGCTGAGGTCATGATTGCGTTGCAATGGCCGATGCAGTCTAGCGACTGGCGGTGAGCTGGACGAAGGGGAGTATTTGAAGATGTCTAGGCTAGCAATGGGCGAGCCGGGGCCAGGAGTGCGTCCGGGATGTACATGATGACGGAAAGGTCGAGGATGCTGATCAAGATGATGACATCGTTAGATATGGTGGGGTGCGCCGGGGCCTGGGCCTGCCCAAGCTTCTCCGCGCGCCCCACGCCCGGCGGTCCAGTCTCGGGCGCCAAAAACGCCTTCTTCACGGAAGCTACGGGAGCGCTTATTTAGCATCGCGCTCAACAGGATGGATTGCGTGGAACGCGTGGCTCATTACTAAAACTAACAGTCGTGATCTCGTAGCTCAAAGACTCCTGCTCGAGGCCGTTAAATAGGATATCGTGAAAGTATTTCTGTTGCCCAAACGAGCGCCGGGTAAGCCTCCGGCAGAAGTGAAGAAACGCCCCCGCAACGCCTGCACTTGCGGACCATCACATGTAGTCCTTTTCCTTCGCAATCACGCTGGAAACCGCAGAGTCCTTGCGCGCCCGGCGCGACTGGCGCGTCCGGAGCTTGGACTTGAAGGACATGACGGAGCTCTGGTTGTGTCGTGTCAGTGATGATGATCAGTTCCGTTTGCAACAGGATCGACCCGCGGGAGCTTACCAGGACGAGGAACGGAAGCGGCTTGCTTTTCTCCTTGGCCTCCTCATCATCATCCTCGCCTTGTCGCTGCTCCTCGAGCTCGCTGAGGATTTCGCTGAAGTCTGTTGCCGGGCTCTTCAGGCCCGTCGACGCTGACGATTCACTGCCGGTGCGCGTGGTGCGCGGGAGAAGAGGGCCGCCGTCCCAGCCGGCTGGTACTTGCAATAGCAAGCGTCAGTTATCAAGATCAAGTGAGACAAAGATTGCCGCAGCCGAGGTCACGTACCTTTCTCCAGCTTGCCGTACGCAGAGCCGCTGGAACTGGTGTATTCCTGGCCCGAGCTGTCGCGGAAGAGATACTTCTGCGAGTCGGCGTCGTAGCCAATGCGTGTGATGCCAGAAGGCAGCCGGTAGGCATCAGTGTCGTAACTCGACCAGCGTTTGGCACTCATGGTTGTGGTGTGTGTGAGGTGGGACGATAGGGCGGTGGAGGAGGGCACGCGAGCAAAGATATACGAAGCACGGCTAAACGACGTGGACAGCAGCGCGTCAGAAGGATGGAGTGGCTTGTCAGCGATGCTACCCCGAACTTATAGCTTGCAAGGCAGATAAGCTTTAAATTCGACTGCAGGCGCGGCTGCGGAGGGGCCATGGAGCTCTGTGGAATTCGGTGCTACCTACGCGAGGCTGTGCCACCGCCTATGAAACGGGTGGTACGTTCGACTGACAGTGGGAGCCTCTGTAGGGAACGGGCCGCAACCGTCTCCACCGTGCGCCAAAAGAGCGATGATAAGGACGAACCGAGCAGCTCCCCTAGGCAGAAGCACCTGCTGATCCTGCGCCGGTCCCCCCCCTTGACCGGCATCTCTCTGTTTTCGTTGTCGTGCCGGCCTGTGCACCCCCAGCCAGCACCCTGCAGCCGTCCTGCACCGCGTCACATCCGCCGCCACCAGATTTTCATCTCGTGTCGCCCAAAAGAACAACAACTGTGGGTCCAGAGACATCTCGTCCTCATTAATTTCATATTGCGTACGAGAACAATCGAGTTGCTGTCGGAAGGGATGCCCTGTCTCAGCTTCCCGAGGAATGCAGCCTCGTTGCCATGGGGTTGCCGCGGCAGGCGGCTCTTCAGCGTTGCGGAGTGCAACCAGGAATTAGCAAAGAAGTTTCTCCAGCACATCGTCTTCAAGTCGCCACATCACGCTGCGGCCAATAGGCGGAACTTCCGGTCTCCCCACTGAAACCCCGGCTTTACCGCATTCGGTAATTCACTCGCGCTTGGCGAGATACACCTCACCCTCCAACGTGTCACTATTTACAGGAGAACTTCCATCAGAGCCCCACAATCCCTTCAGCTCAGGTATAAGACAGTTGCTCTCCTGTTCGGTGCCGTGACAACCAGTTTCACTACCTACAATCGGATCAATGGGACAGATCCCCGGCACGCATTGTCTGGGGCTTGGGCATGTGAAGAAAAAAAAAAGGGCACATGCATCCGCACGGATGCTTCGACGGCCTATGTATCGCCTACTACTCGCTTCGGTTGCGCTTGGCGGACATTGTCGTTCTGCGGCTGATGCAGAAATATCTCATGCTTACCAGACGACGGACTCATGATGCTGTCACCACTTCCGCTTCTCGACTTCCGCAAACTCGCCAACACTCCCTCATACCTAGTACGCATGGACAGCAGTGAAAACTTTCTTTAGCATCCTATATGGCAAGAGCGAAAGAGCGAGGAAAATGCAGGCATGCAAGCAAGAGACCACGTCACCTTGAATATTTTTGACCTCGCCAATCGCAAATCTCGAGCAGAAATTCGGTGCTCCGTCCGTGCGTTGCTTCCGGTACCTACGGTGTCGTTAGTCAGATACCGGTAGCCGGTATCCAATCGGTCATTTGATGACACAAACATCAGACGATGCTACCACCGCACGTGGTCGATGTTGAACTACTATACATCGTGCGCAGTCATTATATCTAGCCAACTATGGTAGCTAAAGTCCCAGTTTTCACAAGATCAGATGAGATTACGGTATCTCTCTAATGTATCTCATATCCTTGCTAACTCTATCACTTCTTCGCCTTTCTTTTTTTTTTAAAAAAAAAAGTCAGCATGCATAAACTTGGAAAAAAGCCTTCTCGTCTAGGAGGTTGTAGAAAGTAAAAAACTGTTCAAAATACAAAATTTTTCCGTATTCCAAAGCCTCCAATTTGGCCCTTTCCAGTCTCTATACAGCAAATCCAGTGCTGTATCCTTCCATTTCAGCGCTTAAATCCGTACAGGCGAACATTGCAGCCATCCCAAGATATTTCATATACAGCCGCATTTACGCATCCCCTCTCCTTTGCTTCCACTTGAATTTATTTTTTGGCCTCCGGAGATGTCCGCTACTTTGAATTATACTCTATCACAACTCTTTATGAAGTTTTTTTTTTTTTAAAAAAAAACGGCATAAACCATCTCTGCAAAGATAACGCTGTTCTAAAGCACACCGCATATTTTCTTCTGTTGACCCTGAGGATCGAAGCTTGTTAATGCGTCTTCGTAATCGTAGGTGCAAGGGAACCGACGTATATTTTGCTGAGTTGAATCTACTCCGTTCTCGGGCCTAGACAAGACGGACGGTTCGTCATACCATGACTGTATTAGGTATACCTGGCGGCGCTATGACATTTGATACAGGTATAACGGGGAGTACTATAATTTGATTGGATGGTCCATTGCCTTCCAGCTTCCGTTGAAACAGTGCGTGGATATCCTGAGAGGAAATTTGTCAGGATCTTTGAGTAGCTATTTTACAGCTCTAATCGGCTTCCGACTATCATCTCACGGAGTGTGGTTTGATACTTTTCTGGAGCAGCCGGCCTGGAAGCGTACATGTAGAGAAGCTCGCAGGTGGTGAGAAGTGACTCCGGGGTGTCGTTGCATGTTGTCCACAGACGGGTGAAAGGAGAACGCGTCTGATGCATTGTCATGCTCCGATCACCTCGGCGAACGAGTTTAGACCAATGGCGAGGAGGGAGTTGCGTCTAAGATCCGGAGCTTTAGCGTTCTCGCTCGCAAGTCGACAAGCTGCATTGCAGAGCGGCGCGACCTCGAACAAAGCTGCACATCATACTTTTGATCCACGTCAGCAAGAGCTGACCGGTTCAATTGAGGCCGTGAGTCACCCAGTAGACGGCAGAGAAGACAATTGACTGCCGACCGTCTGGACCTCTGGAAAGCCTCATTCTTTAACATCTAGACTCCTGGACACGACGCTACCACGATTTCCCCTTACAGTGAGCACATGGCTCACATCATGAGACCAAGAACTGTCGTTAGGGGCCTAGTCTCCGGAATAACGGATAATGTGTTTACCGAGGATCACGCTCCCGAATGGTGCCTCAATTATCTGTGCTTAACCACATAGCGGCGTTCCTGACTAGCAGAGGGCGACTGAGTCAGCATCCGACGGCGGCTCGGGTGCAACTGCAAAGTAAAAACTGAGGGGACCGCGCTACACTAGATCAAATAACACATTGACCCGCACGTGGCAAGTAGAGGTGCTGGAAGCAATTGGCGTGCGAAGGGCCTTCAAACGCCCGTCGAACCAGCGATGATGGCGGTGCCGGAGCGACTGGCAGCCTGCGGCCGGAGTGCCACTGATTCGAAGCCACAATCATGTGTGGCCGCGGACCCCGGTTTCCCCGGATATTGGCACGTGGCGTTGTTACTAGCGGCTCTGATGGGGGAGTGATTCAAGCCAACGACGCCCGTGTTCCGGAGTCTGGGTTGACTGTAACGCTTCTGGTGAACAGTGTCGGAGTTGATTGATCGTGGACACATCTTTTTCTGAGTTGCTTTCTCGATGTACGCGTGGACGCGCCGAGTGGCGGGGCGTGTCTTATCTAGTATTATTTGGACTAGCTCCGGTTTGATGTCTCATTGAAGATCGAGGTTCCTTCAAGCGCCTTGTAACAATGGAACAGACGAGGCTACCCACCTAGTTACGCCACCACGTGGAAGGAGAAAAAGGAGGAAGCGGCTGAAGAGGAACGGTTTGGTGCTACCTGAACCGGCTGCAGCCCGTACCTCTCAAAGGCAGCCACATCGGAGCTTTTTGAGAGGAGACTAACATGTGATCAAAAAGTGACTGTGGAAGGTTTGTAAAGTACAGGTGCGGTCCTTGCATACGAGCTTCCGGTCCGCGTAGCTGCTGCAGCAACGCGATACCAAGGCGGAACAAGCAGCCGTTCGTCCCGAGAGGCATACGCAGTTCTCGACGACATCCGAACGTACCACGTTCGGTGCTGCCGCCCGACATCTAAATTTAGCGCCAGAAGAAGGTCCGATGGTGGAGAGACTATTCGTGTCCGCTTACCGTGCCGTGCAAGCCACGCGCGGCAGGAACAGGGCGTACAAAACCGGAGCACGGGCAGCCGCATCCAGCTGACGTTGCGGAGCGGTGCTCTTTCAGGACTGGCAGGGCTGCAGAGACCGTTCTCGACCCACGTTTCGCAGAGGCCGCGTATCTGTCCGCTGCCAGCCACAGCGACACTACTTCGGCCAATCCCATCCTCCGCTGCACAATCCAGGAGACGTAATCGAGCATAGGTTACTTTGAGTTTAGGTCAAGACGATAAAGGATGAATAAATTTAGCTACAATTTTCCCAGCATGAACCCTATCCAATCCCCCTGTTTGGGGTGCGCGTCAACGCCAGGAACGCCAGGAACACCATACGTACTACACGCGTAAATTTTGGACCGAGAGAACCGAGAGTGAAAATCGTGCTAAGAAAGCATCGCCGAGATGATAACAGCGGACTCCTTGCAAATTGATGATGTCCCAAACTTTCCGAAGGCTCGTTGCTTTTGGTTGCTCGTCTCCTTTTCTGATGGTCCAATCCGTCTGTCTAGAACTTTTGTTCTTTTTTGCAATTGGTGGGATTAATTATCATCTGTCTCCAGATGAGGAGTGATGTCGTCGAGATGGTGATCGAGGAAGGTACGGACAATTAAGGTCGGCAGATGAGATAGAAGGTGATTAGGATCCAGATGTCGGTCCGTAGTTTGGAGGTAATGAAGCATCGTAAGGTGATGTCATGCCGACTGCAGCGCAACCACACCATCACGGGGATGGGCGGATGATGTGCAATAGGTGATTAAGTAAGAGTCGATATAGTCATACATGGCGTCGAAGGTCGAAGTGATTATGGTGATTGCTCCTCTGAAGGCAATCGGCAAACTTTCCGGGAAGACGTGTTAGCACGTGCTCGAGAGCGGAGACAGCGTTTAAGTTTGCTTACCATTAGGAATACACGTAGCCTACGATGATCTCCTCTGTGACGAGAGCCAACCGCCAGTCGTTTGGGTGCTTCCCCTGCGGTCCTGTGACGCTCCGCTACTTTGGTAGCGAGTGGAGCTGTCTCGTGAGGAGGAGGAGGCGCGTGCGGATTGGTTGGCAGCGGAGCAGTATGGGCAATTCTGGCGCAGGTATTTGCCATACCAGCAGCCCGGAGCGCACGTAGAGCCGGCCATGTTGATTGAGTGGTGGTGGTATTAGGGTGGAGGTGGTGTGATTAGGAAGATTATCGAGTGGATGGCAGAGAAGCGAGATGGCAGCGCGGTATTAAGCAGGCAGTCGGAAAGGTAGAAGACGCGTGCTGCGGCGGGGTTTTATCGATACCGTGACAGCCAGGAGATGGTGAGACGGCGGCGGAGCAGGGGGCAAGCAGGAAAGCGGCAGTGACGCGAGGTCCAGAGACTAGTTGAACGGTCGCAAGTCTCGAGCAGTCCCTTTTGGCCGGCGGCCAGGATCAGCTGGGTACTCCGGGGGTGGCCGGGTGGAGAATCAAAGGGTTCCGTGCGGGAGTGGGATCGTCGGGAGCGATCAGAAGGTGGCAGTGCCGCTCGAGGGGAGCGTGTGGTGCGCGATATATGTGTTCGCTCAGGGTGGCCGTCTTGTTGGGCCGGTTCAGGGCCGGAGCGGGAGGGGCGTCGGACTTTTGGGGGGAATAATGGCTCAGGATAAGCTACTTTGGTGTTGTGTACCGGCTAGTGGCAGCCACGGCTTCGACTTGCCCGAAGCAGGCGCTGACCTTGCCACCACCCAGCGCGACGGCAGGCTAGGCGTGGTGTCGAGAGGAGTCGACTCGTTGCCTGGCGATGCAATGCTTCGAGGCGCCTGCAGCGCGTCAGCAAGTGGGTGGTGCTGCAGCTGCAGGACGGGAAGAGCCCTGCAACGCGTCGCCATCCGTCGTAGCCGGCGGCAACAGACGTCGCGTCCAGAGCTTCATTGTGCGTCGCCGTGTCTTCAGCCGCAGGCAAGCGGCGCGCGAAGGATGGAAAAGAAACCCGTTGACTTGGATACGGCGCCCATCGCCGATGCGCGATCGCGCAGCACGGCGGGCTGACGACCCGCAGAAACAGTAGGGCTGGCAGGCAGAGACACCAGGTGCTACATGCCGGTCAAGTACAGCGGAGGGGGCGAGTTGTTGGTCGGTGAGCAGTGAGGCGTGCCAATGGCCTCGGCCCTCGCCCTCCATCATCACTGCCACTCGTTGCCGCCACCCAGAGCGAGCCGATCGCCCGAGCGCGCTCAAATCGCGCTGCAGGCCCGGGCAGTGCGCGGCATTATTCACGGGGCTGGTGGCTCCTCCTGAGGCTCTGTCTACCGGCCTTGGTCAAACGATGGGTCGGCAGGGCCTGAGTGGGCCTGCAGCGTCATCCCCGGGCTCCCCAGAAACCTTAATACTATTGACGCAACGAGCGACGCTGAGGTATTTCGCATCGATCATCCGGCCAAGCTTCGCCCCATTCGGCTACCACCGGTGCGTGGTTTTTGGCGGAGCAACGCCCGCCTGCCAGAACTATGAGGCAGATGTCTTCGCTGCTCCCATTCGCCTGACCTCTGTACCTCCTGCCCACCACCGCGACTCGTCCAGATCGGCAGCGTGATTTACCCGTCACGGGAATGCCCTTCTCCTCATTTCCCTACTGGCAAGCCCGACGTTAGCTGCCGCGGCTTCACGGTTGCGCCACTGCGCCTCACGATGTCTTCACCGCTGCATGCTGGTGGTGGTCTTGCGTCGCGACTATTTATTCGTCTGCTGGCTGCCGCTGTCCTCTGAGGCCTCAAGCAAGTTGAATTCCAATCCTCAGTGACTAGAGTCTCAGCTGCTCCCCGCTCCCGGGCTGTTGCCCGTCTTAAACTCGCATCCTCCCTCACATTCGCCTCAACCATTAAATGCCTCCACCCTCCATAATCCTGACGCCGGCTACGTCTTCTACATCCGAGCAGGCTCGCAACGTTTCTCTTCACATAGCACCAGGTAGGACAAGCAGCTGTCAAACGTCGGCGCCGATCAATGCTTATGCAGCTTTAGCTCGACGCCCTTCTACCGAGAACATCACCAATCAGTACCGCAACCGCTACGCCCTCTACCTGGCTGCCCAGTTCAACATTAGCGCTGCTGCTGCCTTTGTTGAGATCGACGAGCAGATCCGCTTCAACCAGTCCAGGAAAAGCGCTGCAGTTTCCGAGGCAGACATTCGAAATGTTCGAACTGGTGATAGCTTTTAGCGTCTTCATTGTCGGCATGGTTGCCGCAGACCTGCACTTCGGCAGCGCTGAGGCGAAGAGGAGCATGAAGTACGCTCAACAGGCGAATTGGGACCGCGGTCTCTGAATGACGCAACGGAGGTTGATCTTGGGAGTGATCCTGTCTTTCGTTTCGACTTAGCGTCCATGACTGTACGAATTTCATTGAGTCTCGAACCATCTGTTGTTCCAACGATCTGCAGACTTGTGTTTTACTGCGTGACAACAAGAGCTTGTAGCATCTGAAAAAGAAAACACAAGGCGACACAACTAAACCGCCTGCAACTGCCTTGTCTATGAAAATGATGCTGCTGATGTGTTGCTTGCTGCGTTATGACACGCATTCCTCGCACGGCTTATGTTGGTGTGTCGTCTATTGGGCCGATTATTACCGAGAGCCCATCGGGCGGTTCCATCACGAAGTTTATCGCGGCATCTTGACGATGGCTATGATCTCACAGCTGGCGCGATCGGAGACTGCGCTTGGTGTCGGGGGATGGCAGGGCAAAAGCGTTCCTTCCCCGCTATCTGAGATGGGGGACGATGGTGTTTTTGCTCGTCTAAGCGAGCCCGCACACGGCGCCGAATGCGCCGAAGTTGAAACCATCACGAACTTCGCGACCTCAATACACCCGCCTCATCCTCACGCAAAGGTACGCTCGCCCCCCGAAACTGGCTCTGCGCTTGCTCGCGATGCTGGCCAATTCATCTCCCGCGCCCCGCAGCGCTGACTCCGGCCGCTGACGCAGGTCCTCTTAGCTCCAGCCTTCCCGACCTTCCCCTCCACACACAAACCGCAAATATGGATCAGGCCAAGCTCGCGCGGATGCAGGCCTCTGTGCGCATCGGTAAGCGAAGTCCCCGCTGGATTCCTCTCGGAAATGCTTTTGCCGTGCAAGCTTGACGTGCGAGAGCTCTGCTGACTCGATGACGTGAATAGGGTAAGCTCTTTCTGTTCCTCAACAACACGCGCCCCGCTCCCAAGCGCCAAAACGCCTTCGATTTCTTCGCGTGGGACAATGGATCTAGGGCACCGCGCTGACGGATGATGATCGTGATAGAGGCAAGGGTACTCCGCGCAGGAAGGTCAAGAAGGTCCACAAGGGCTCCGGCGGTGACGACAAGAAGCTCCAGGCCACCCTGAAGAAGCTCAACGTCCAGCCCATCCAGGCCATCGAGGAGGTCAACATGTTCAAGAGCGACGGCAACGTCATCCACTTCTCGGCACCCAAGGGTGAGTTTCGCACTGCGCTCGGAGCTCTGGATTGGCGTCATGCCAGTCTGCGGGGCTGACTGACTTTAAATCTGACTCTTTGCACAGTCCACGCCGCCGTCCCCGCCAACACCTTCGCCATCTACGGCAACGGTGAGGACAAGGAGCTCACCGAGCTCGTCCCCGGCATCCTCAACCAGCTCGGTCCCGACTCGCTGGCCTCCCTCCGCAAGCTCGCCGAGAGCTACCAGAGCATGCAGAAGGAGAAGGGTGAGGGTGAGAAGAAGGAGGATGAGGACGATGACGACATCCCGGACCTTGTTGCGGGTGAGAACTTCGAGGGCAAGGCCGAGGTCGAATAGATGCACAATCAGCTAGGCAGCGAAAGCAATGAGGAGGAGCAGAAAAAAAGGGTCTGCATTTGAGATTTCTCAATTCGATACTTTGAAGAAGTCCAACTTCCACGGCGATGGAATGGAAATAGCAATCTCATCCTCTTTCGACGACGTTGTATCTTCGGTTGCGGTGCACATGTAACAAAACTGTAGCTAAGCTCGGTGGTACGAAAACCTGAAGTATAAACAACAGATAAATATCAGGGCTAAGAGTCGCAGAAACGTCGGATGACTTGCAGCATGATAGGCACCTAAGCTCTCGTAGTTGCATAGAGGAAGTCATGTGCTAAGCTTGGAAGGAATGGGCCGTAGTCCGGCAATATGGCAGGTCTAATATCTGCAGCGGAAAAGAGCTCCCTTTCCAAGAGATCTGACTGTAGCTAGCTTTCAAGGGCAAAGCATCTCTTACGACGTCTGTTGATGCGTCTGGTAGCATAATTAGAGTCCGTGCGCATCTTATCTTATCGGGGCTTCGGCCTAGTCGCACCCCGGCCTTTCACGCGGCGCGCGACAAGCACGCGTCCTCCGAAAGAACGCGGCGTTGTTTCTACTCTCGACCCTCTACGACGCCGCACCTATCCTCCAGCCCCGCACCTCTTTGCACCCACCATGGCGCGTCGCCGATCGAGTTCTGAGGTCGACGAAGATGAGAGCGGCGAAGAGAGTTATGTCTCACAATCACAGAGAAATGCGAAGCGTCCCAGGACCGACTACGACGTGTCCGAGGTGCGCTTTTGCCGTCCACTTCACCGTAAAGCGACATAGACTAACGAATGTCGAAGGTGTCCGACGATCCTGTTCTGCCAGAAAGTTACCGCTCACAACCTCGTCATAGAGGCAGCAGCAGTGACGACCTTGCGCCGCTAAAGCATCAGCCTGGATCGATCGTCCGTGTCACGCTCACCAACTTCGTGACGTACACGTCCGCCGAATTCCAGCTTGGCCCCAGTCTGAACATGATCATTGGCCCTAACGGCACTGGCAAGAGTACGCTGGTCTGCGCAATTTGTCTGGGCCTTGGCTGGGGCCCGCAACATCTGGGGCGCGCGAAGGAACTAGGAGAGTTCGTGAAGCATGGCGCACGCGAAGCCGAGATTGAGATTGAACTTTGTGGGGGACCACAGACTCGGGGCAGGAATCCCGTCATTCGCCGTCTGATCCGCAAGGAGGGGAACAAATCAACCTTCATACTCAACGGCCAACAGACCACGCACAAGGAAATCATTCGGCTTTGCAAGTCCTTCTCCATCCAGATCGATAACTTGTGCCAGTTTCTTCCGCAAGACCGTGTGGTCGAATTTGCTGCGCTTAACCCGGTCCAGTTGCTAGAGCAGACGCAGCGCGCGGCAGCACCCGACTACATGAACGAGTGGCATGAGCAGTTGAAGGATTTGAGGAAGGAGCAAAAGGCCATGGTTGATAGGCACAGTCAACAACAAGAGGTCCTCAGAGATCTACAAAACAGACACAATCTGCAGAGAGCCGACGTGGAACGAATGCAAGAACGCGAGGCTCTGAACGATAAGCTCCACGCATATCAACGACTGCGTCCTTTTGTTCACTACCGAACGGCAAAAGAGCGATTTGATACTGCTAAACAAGCGGTTATTGAGGCGAAAGCGGAGCTCAGGGACCTCCAGCGAAGAGAGCAGCCGACCCTGGATGTGCTTGAAAGGAAGCGGGAGTATCGCGATCAAGTTGACCAAGTTGTCAAACAGCGCGGGAAGCTGGTCCAGCGAATGGAGCGTGAAGCTGAAACACTCCGTCAGCGCATGGAAAATACGCAAACCGAGATCGATGACAGAGATAAAGCAAGGAATGCTGAAAAGAACGCCAACAAAGAAAGGGCGCGTCAGCGTGATTCCATCAGGCGCGAAATAATCGCTATTTCAGAGAGGATGAAGGAGCCACCGCCTCCGTTCGACGCCGCGGCGTTCAACGAGAGATCGCGCGAGAAACAACGCGCAGCACGCGAACTGCAGACGGATAACCTGGACCTCAAACGACAGCGTGACGAGATTCAGCCACGTATTCGCTCTCTCGAAGATCAGAGGAAAGAGGTTGAACGAGAGGTTGAGAGTCTTAGGTCGCAGGCTGGACAGCAGTCGAATAAGCTGAAGAAATTCTCGAATGATACCTGGAAGGCCTGGGAGTGGATCCAGCAGAACCGGGATAAGCTGACCGCCGATGTTTTTGGTCCGCCTATAGTGTCTTGTTCTGTCACCGACCATCGTTTCTCCGACGCGATCGAGTCAATGTTCCAAATGGGTGACCTCCTCGCCTTTACCGTTAGCAACCGGCAGGATTTCGGTACACTGAGCAGGACCTTCCAGAGGATGAACCTCAATGACATCCACATTAAGGAAGCTGGCAGACCCCGCGACAGCTGGAAGCCATTAATGTCAAGTGATGAGTTGAGACAGTATGGTCTCAGTGGTTGGCTTATCGACTACCTGAGTGGACCCGATGCAGTACTCTCAACCCTCTGCGATACCCTGAGGCTTCACCAGTGCGCCGTAACTCTTCAGGACCATCGCGATGAACAGTTTGAACGTCTCAAGACGAGCCCCATTCAACGATGGGTTGCTGGACAACGCTCGTATCAGGTGTCGCGCCGACGTGAATACGGAGACCAGGCTGTGTCGGTTGTCGTCAGGCAGGTCAGACGAGCAAGAGTCTGGACAGATCAGCCTGTGGACATTGGTGTTGAGCGCGAACACCAAACCAGAATCCGGGAGATCAACCGCGACTTGCACGGATTCAATGAAGCTAGCAGCGATTTGACAAACAAAATACGGGCGAACGCAGAAAAAATCAGTCAGCTTGAGAGCGAAAGGCAAGACATCGACAAGGAGAAGAATGACCTACAGAGAATTCGTGGCGAGTTCGAAGGCCTGCAGACGAAGAAAGATACTTGTCAAATGAGGCTGGATGAAATTTCCGGGGCGCTGAATGAGATGGAGCAACGGCTCGAGTCGATCGACAAGGAGACTGACGAGCTCATTTTGAAGAAGGGCCAGCTTGCGATTGACTACGCTAATTCAGCCAAATCACTGCTTGATCTTCACCACAGCGTGTACGAGGCCGAGATTATTCTAGCAGAGGCCAAGTCGGAGTTTCAAATCTACGAAGAGAGGAGCCAGGCCATCAGGAGAGAAATCGCAGAACACGAGGAGAATGTTCGAAGACTGAACGCGGAAAGGGAGCGCTGTAAGGAAGAGGCTCAGCAGCTGGTGCGTGAGGTCAACCGGATCCACGCGCAGAGGACCCCCGAGGAGGAAGCATTGGTTGAGCACATCCAGGAAGGAATCAGCCTGGAAGACCTGGAGGCGGAGATCGAAATTTTCCAGAATCGTTTGACTCTTCTCCATGGCGGCGACCCCAACGCAATTCGAGACTTCGAGAGGCGTGCAAGGAGAATTGAAGAAATTGAACAGAGGCAGCGCGGTGCGGAAGCTGAGCTGGAGGAGCTACAGGGCAGGATCGAGGACATCAAGTCCCGATGGGAGCCAGAACTGGATACTCTTGTTCAGTCCATCAGCGAAGAGTTCGCAAACAACTTCTCCAAAATTGGATGCGCTGGACAAGTCAGTGTTTACAAGGCAGAGGATTTTTCGGAGTGGGCAATCCATCTGCAAGTCAAGTTCCGGTAGGTCATTGGCAAGGTCTGACAAGTCAAGAATGGTGCTAACTAGGCTTACAGTGAACACGAACAACTGTCCCTTCTGGACTCCCATCGACAATCTGGTGGCGAGCGTGCGGTGTCCACCGTTTTCTATCTCATGGCTCTGCAATCTCTCGCTCGCTCCCCATTCCGAGTGGTCGATGAGATCAACCAAGGAATGGACCCGCGTAATGAGCGTATGGTGCACGAGCGCATGGTAGACATCGCGTGCCAGGAACACACCTCACAATACTTCCTTATCACTCCAAAACTTCTCCACGGTCTGAAATTCCACCCGCGGATGACGGTACACTGCATTGCCAGTGGAGAGTACATGCCAACCGATTACCGCGAGCTGGACTTCAAGGCTCTGGTAGATGTAGCATTGAAGGTGAAGGGCAAGGCTTAGTTGAAATATGGCGTATACCACGGCGTTCTAGGGAATCATGACTTGGCGGATAGATACGAGTAGTCTTTGGGGGTTGCAATACACGTGTTTTCCGAAATTCCATACTCATGTAACCTTGGGTGACGATATCATTCGCAGCAGCCGTCAATCGCGATTATGCAGGTCTGCGGTCCCGAGGGTGGTCGCATAAATGGGCTTCACGTGGTGTCGCAAGATTTGGAGGTCTCAGGCACGGAGATGTGGCACTGTGGCTGGTGGCACTAATGCAAGCTTCCCGAGCCGGCTATCTCTCTCGTAAAGTTGACCCTTTCGCTGACGAATCTCGACGACTCCAACCACCGTCTGCCCGCTCTTGTCCCGCGCCCCTCACCTTCCTTTCGTGACGTTTCTGGCCAGCTGCGATCGCCGCGCACGTAGACGGGGAATGCTGACGCCGCGCCACCTCGCCTAACGCCGTGACGGGCTGTTGAGCCCAGCTGCAGATCCCCCGGTCACGCAGACTCGCTTTCACCTCGCACCTTCGAGGTGCCTCAAACGCCCTCCTTCTCACTCACCTCGCGCCACTCACCAGAGCTCGCCGCTGGATCGCGGACCCTGGGCCGCCAATCGCTACCAAACATTCGTTGTCCGATACCGCTTCCGCTCCCGACCAACCTCCGCGACACGATACGATCGCGACGGACCGCCACATCCTCCGCGCAACACTTGCGCTGACTGCCACGCACTTCCGACGGAACCGAAGGAACAGTTTCTGCGTACTGCTGCAAGCACGACGACACCATGTCCGAAGACAGCAAGGCACAAGGCCCCGGCCTCAGCTTTGCTGACATTGTGAGCTCGCTCTTCCCGCGCATCATTTATTTTCGGACGCGCAAGGCCGTTTGCTGACATGACATCACGCCAGGCTGCGGGCATCGTAGAAGACTGCCTGTACAACATCATTCACGACATCGTGCTCCAGACGCACCGGGAAGAGAAGCTGCAGCGCATGCAGTCGGCCGCGACGGTGGCGGAGCAAGCGGCGATCGCGGAGCACCAGGAGAACGCGGAGAAGTCGACGACGGGCAAGGGGTCATCGGCGGCGGCGTCGGCGAACAATCCGCAGCCGCCGTCGGTGCGCATCGACACGCCGGCGGCCGTCTACGACAACGGGCGGGTGACCTTGCGGGGGAACCCGCTGAAGACAACACCCGAGTCGGTGTGCCCGTTCTGCAAGCTACCACGGCTGAAGCACCCGATCGCGGGCGTGGGCTCGCAACTGCCGGACCTGTCGCGGCAGTACTGCACGCGGCACCCGTTCGTCAGCCGGCAGGGCCACGACATCTACAACAACCCGTTCCCGACGGACATGGCCAAGACGAAGAAGGAGCGCGAGCTGATCAAGCGGCAGGAGAAGGACAACACGCCAGGCGGCAGCCAGCAAGGGGACGACTCGCAGGAGAACAGCCTGTCGAAGCTGGCGGCCGGCGGCAAGCCCGCGTCGTACATCCCCTGGCACACGTGCCCCAACTGCAAGCGCAGCCTGCTCATCACGCGCTTCGCGCAGCACGCAGAGAAGTGCCTGGGCATCTCGGGCCGCCAGAGCAGCCGCAACGCCATGGCCAAGCTCAGCTCGTCGCAGGGCGCCGCCAGCTCCGCCGCCGGCAACACGCCACTCGGCAGCAGGGTCGGCACGCCCAACCCGGGCAGCCAGGGCAGCAAGATCAGCCCCATCAAGAAGGAAGCAGCGGCGGCAGCAGCAGCAGCGGGTGGCGATGGAGACGGCGACGAGGACGGCGGTGGCGGCGACACGCCTAAGAAGATCAAGAAGAAGAGCAGCTACGTCAAGAAGGCTGACCGCGACCGCGATGGCGGCGGCGACAGCGAAAGGCGCGAGAAGGGCGGCACGAAGATTCTGAAGCTCAAGACTGGCGGCAGTTCGCTGGGCAGCGGCTCCTCGTCGAAACGCCCGCCCAAGGAAGACAGAGACGGGAAGGAGAGCACGCCGATGAGCAGCAGCAGCAAGAGGGAAAGGGACAGGGATGGTGACGAGCCGGTGCCGAGGAAGAAGATCAAGTTGTTCAAGACGGAGAGCAACGCCAGCGACATGACGGATAGGGAGAAAGATGGTGGGGATAAGGAGTCTAAGAAAAAAGAGGATCAGTCTTCTGCTGCTGCTGCTGCGGCGGCGGCGGCGGGAAGTCCAGCGAGTACGGCGAGTTAAATGGTGTTTGTTTTGTTGTTCTCACTTCCTCTTTCTTCCTTCTTCTCCCCGTTTTGGGCTAGACGCCCTGTTATCTTCTTTCCATTTGTCCAATCTTCCTTCTCGCTCCCTCCTTCTTGGGCAGTGTGGGCTTTGGGGCAAATGGCTCTTTTTTTTTTTTTTGGCGGTTCTCGCTTTCGTCTGATTCTGTTTTTATCACACATTTTGTCCTGTTTCCCCGGATCTTTATTGAAAGCGGCATCATTGGCGTTATTATTCATTTTATTTTCTTTCTCACCATTGGAAAAGGAATTGGTCGGTGGAAGTAAAGATACCTGTGGCATCAATTTGGCCTCTCTCAGCAAACATTTGTTTTTTTCCTCTTACAAATCATGAAGGAGGTGAGGATGGTGGTGAAGTTCTGTTAATTCACGATTTGTTGTTTGTTTGATTTTGTGTGATTTCTAGTGAGAGATAAAAGCAGGCGGTTTGAGAGAATGCTTGGTGTTCATCCTTGCTTGTGTCATGATCATAGATATGAGGGTACCGTCGTTGTTAGAGGGAAAGGGGAAATAGGGGGTGTGACAGTTAAAGATTGGTTTGTATGACCTTGGAAGATTTTGTCCCTGCCGTTGTCGGTGATTCGTGTTGGGAGTGAAAATGGCTGCCAAGTTTTCAACCGGCAAAATCGATCAGTTCTCTGTCTTTTCTACGATGCTGGTGGTGCAGTAAAACATCACTCAGAAGCATGCTCACGAATGATGCGTGTAAGTCCAGGAAGAAGAGGAAGCATTTTGCTGATTTTTTGATCCGAAACAAGGGACGCAAGCGCAGCTGAGTGTACATATGTTTTCCCGAATGAGCGGGGAAACGAAAAAAGTATATACAGAGAATATCCTTCCCAACCGGAGCATTTCCCTCGTACTTCGTCTCTCCTTAAAAAATTGTTTTTTTTCTCAACCAAGTTTTTTCATTTCTCAAAACCCTCCTTTGACACCAAAACGCACGCACTCAGAAAACACAAAAACTTCTTCTTTCTTTCATTCTTTAAACGTAGACGTACTCGACGGCGCAGGGACCGTCCTCCTCCTCGCCCTCGGCGGAGGCACCGTCGACCTCAGACGACGAGGAAGCATCCTCGGTGGCGTCGACGGTGCCCTTGTTGCTGCCCCAGCCGGGGAAGCTGGTGGGCCAAGCGGCGCCGCGGGAGAAGGAGGGCCAGTTGTTGCCCCAGCCGCCGGCAGCGGCGGTAGTGGTCGAGGTGGCAGCGCTTTCAACGGCGGTAGCACCGGCGGCCTCAGAGGTGGCAACCTCAGAGGCGGCGCTCGAGGCGGCGGCGGTGGAGGGAGCGGCGGCGACCTGCGTGGATGAGCGAGTCTGCGTCTGAAGAGTGGTGGGGGTGGCCTGGGAGACGGGGGCAGAAGAGGTGCTGGCCTGGGCAACGGGGGCAGAAGAAGAAGTGGCCTCCGCGACGACACCAGCGGCGTCGGCGGTGGAGGAGGCGGCCTGAGTGCTGGAAGAGACAGCCTGGCTGGCGGCTGAGGACGCACCTGCGGTGGTGGAGCTGCTCGCGCTGCCGTCAAGGGACATGCAAGCGAACGAGATCTTCTTGGAGGTGGCGGTGGAGCCGCCGTAGGAAACGGCCTGCGAGACGTCCCAGGTTCCGGAGACGTAGGGCCAGCAGATGCGGCCGTCGCTCATGGTGACCATGTCGCCGGCGACGTAGACGTTGTCGACGGAGAAGGCCTCGCCGACCTTGGCGCCGGTGCTGTCGACCTGCTGGAAGAAGGTGCCGGCGAAGTCGCCCATGCAGCCCATGGCGATGACGGGGCAGACGGGGTTGGCGGCCTCCTCCCAGGTGACGAGGGCGTTGGACTCGCCGAAGGTGGCGACGTGGGCGTTCTGGCAGTCGTTGTCGCCCTGCTTGATCCAGTTAACCTGCTTGTCGCCATCCGCGGATCCGACGGTGGAGGTGGCCTGCTCGCCGGCAAGGGTGTTCTTGTCGCTCATGATGGCAATGGCGATGTTGCGGTTGTTGGTGCGGTTAGTAACGTGGGTGTAGCCATCGCCCATCCAGTCGTTGGTGGTGACGTCGATGGCACCACGGGAGACCCAGGAGAAGATGTACTTGGAGGAGCTGCCGAAGCGAGCCAGGCCGCTGTAGGAGCCCGACATGCCGCCCATGGGCTCACCAGAGCCACCGTTGGTGGTGTTCTCGTTGGAGATCTTCTGGCCGGCAGTGCTCATGCCAGTGGTGCCGGTGTTGAGCCAGATAGCACCCTGGTCCTCGGAGCAGATGGAGGCGAAGGGAGCAGCATCGGCAGCCTCGAAAGCAATACCGGTGTTGTGGCTGCAGCCCCACGAGCTGGAAGCACCGTCGATGACGGTCAGGGTGCCATCCTCCTTGACGTACTGGATCGAGTCGCCGAAGTGGCCGGCAGCATCGCCAGAGTAGTCAGTAACAACGAAATAAGCACCGTAGAGACCAGCCTCGGCCGAGTAGACGAGATCACCGTTCATGTCAGGGGAAGCAGAGAGACCATCGGAAGCGTGAACATCAGGACCGCCGAGCCAGGTCTTCCAGGTCTGCTTGCCGCTGGTGTAGCGGTACAGAACAGGGACAGGGGTGCTGTCGGCAGGGGCGTTGGCAGTGCCCGAGGGCATGGCCTCGTTCACGAGGATGGCGAAACCATCGTCGTGAGCAACGAGACCACCAGCCTCCTTGGCGCCAGAGACGGTGACGGTGGTGCCGGTGGCGGCAAAGGTCGAGGGGTCAACCTGCTGGACGTGGACATCGGTCTCACTGCTGTCGAGGTAGGCCAGGTAGGCGCTCTTGCCGTCGGGGGAGACAGCAAAGGGAGTCCTGCGGTGGTGGGGGATGCTGGTCCAGTAGGCCTCCTTGACGGGGCCAAACTCAAAGTCGAGGGCCAGGGAGTCGACGTGGGTCTCAAGGTTGGACTTGGTAAGAGCTGCGGTGGTGCTCTGCACAGCAGAGAGCAGCAGTAAAGCGAATGAAGGCGCCAGCATGCTGGGCAAGTTGCAAAGAATGACTGTAAAAAGAATGAATAGCGAAATCCTTGGAAGGGAAGTTCGTGGAGAGCCAACTAGGGGCGGGTGAGCCCGTTGTATATGTATCTACTTCATCACGCAGTACGAGCATCAGGTCAAGGCTTGGGATCCGGACATTTGCGGGCCCCGGAAAAGGCACAGGGCGTGTTTTGTTTAGATGGGGCTCGGCGGAGGTTTGTCCCAGAGCGGGCGCAGTCCTTACTCGCTTGAAACCGAGCAGGGGCGCGGGGCCGGGAGATCGCGTTTCACGCCGGCCTTACGGAAACAACCCGCCAGTGCTCGCCTCATCGAGCTCGCGTCGACGGCTTCGTCTACAGCTTGGTGGTAGTGCGTCGACCGGGTTGGGAAGTCTGGATGTAGCGCGAGGAGGGCGATGCAGCTCGAGAGGCTGCAATCAAAACATCGTGACCGCTTAGCTAGACGACAGCGCCACAAACTGGAGACGACTGAGGGGTGAGGGCCTGTGTAATTTCCGTTGCGGCTTGGTCGGGATCAGGAGGAAGGAAACAGGTCGAAACGACGTCGAGAAACGGTGGTTGCCGCCGTTGAGCCCGCATCATCAGTCGGATGTCGCAAGTGTCTGCTCATCAGCCAGGATACGCTGCATCGTGCTCTCGGCGTGCATGGAGCGTTTGCGGCTCAGATTGCAACGCGTGTAGAGACCAGCATCATGGTGCCGCTGAGCCAAGAGTGACAGCGGTGTGGGAGCGGGGGCGGTAGCAGACAGATGACGGCACATACATGGCGACCAGGTATGGGCGGCAAGTGGTGCATGGACGCGAGTGGGTTGAAGGAGGCGTGACGGGGCGGCAGTCGGGGCGCGTCGAGGACGTTGCCGGTGGGCTAGACCCGCCGAACCCAAACAACAATCAGGCCCGACTTTCCAGAAGCCCAGCACGCCGGCAATTCACGCCGAACACCCGGCTTCCCGGCTCGGATGCACCCCATCACCGCACACCGCAGCCGCACCCTTCTCATCCTCACCCGCATGGAGCAGCCTCTGGTCACCACGTCATGAGAACAGACCACCGCCTCCTCTCTGATCAACCCACCATTCAGATCCATACAGATGTTGCGGTCACAGAGTCCCCCCGGTCGAACACCCCAATTGTTCACCTAATTCTTTTCTATTTCTTACTATAGTGACGCGGCTTCCTTCCGAACACCACGCACCCTAGTAGTCGGCCTGATGCTCCTCGTATGCCGATAGATGCAGCTACTCAGGTCATGGCAATCTCCGTGCCTGCGTCACTCACCACCACCCCGCCCCTGTATACAGCCTTCGTATTCGATTACACAATTACTCCGTCCTACTACTAATCGTCTCGCGCGTGGCGTTGTCACTTGCTCCACTAGGAAAATCTAAAGTCAGAGCTTAATTCCGTGGCTTTGTTCGAGCGCCCCGGATCGAAGCCATCTAACCTTATCCCCGGTCGTATCTATTATTGCGCCTGCGTCTTAGGATCGCCCCTTTCTGTCTCTTCATTGGTCATGACATCTATCCTGACGGTTCTCGTGTCCCTTTGCAACCCCATTGCACCTGTTGTCAGTACTGAGTCTCTCCTCCACTGAGACTTCTCAGTCATAGAGCGTTGCTGCAGTCTGTAAGAAAAACGAAGAAAAAGCACTAACAACTATTTATAACCGTCTCGTTTTCTACGGTTTCAGCATTAGAAGCATCTTGAGTCACTCTCTACGTCCTCAAATTCGAACTGATTCTCGATCCTTTGCCCTTACTCTATACCATGGCTCAGCCACCCTCTAGACTGACATGCTCGTATCAGCGATGTTTGCCCTCTTTCAGCCTCAATTGTTTGACGGCCTATCTCCCGGATACTCAACCCGCCTGACCATGCTACGATGGCAGCCCGCAATATCCTTGATGCCAGCCAAACCCATGCTCTGGTCCAGATCGGCAAGAATCCCCTTCATCACGTCGCGGGCGCCGGCCTTGCCGGAAATTCCCAGGCCGTAGACCCACGGTCTGCCGATGCACACAGCCTTTGCTCCGAGTGAGAGCGCTTTGATCACGTCGACCCCTGTTCGAGCCCCGCTGTCGAACAGGACGGTCAGCTTGTCGCCGACAGCGTCGACAATCTCTGGGAGCATGGTCAACGAGCCGACGGCACCATCCAGCTGGCGGCCGCCGTGGTTCGAGACGATGATGCCCTGTACTCCCACCTCTGCCGCTTTGATCGCATCGTCGGGATGCTGGATACCTTTCAGAAGAATTGGGCCGTCCCAGTGCTTCTTCAAAAACTCAATCTGATCCCCTGATTTCCCAAACGTCAGCACCCTGATCTCTCCCGCCGGGAGCTAAAAACTTACAGGTGTGTGCTCCACCGGAGAAGCAGACTTTCACGAACTCCTGTGCCGCGGCAACGACGTCGTCTTCAACCTCCTTTCCGTACTTCTCCCTGAACTTCCGCCTGAAGACCGGATCCGAGAAGGCGACGTCACACCCAATGCCTTTGACGAACGGCGCATATGCCTGGTCCAAGTCCCACGGCCGCCAGGCCACCGCCCACGTGTCTACCGTGACCACGAGCGCGCCATAACCGTTTTCCTTGGCGCGCTTGAGAAACTATGTATATGCCCGACATCCATCAGCACTACTGATGAGGGGGGAGGGGGGATATGACGAGAAAGAGAGAGAGGCTCTCACAGATATGGTAATCTCGTCGTCGTGCGGCCAGTACAGCTGGAACCATCTCTTCCCAGCGGGCCCGTTCGCCTTGGCCACCTCCTCGATGGTGGATGAGGCCGCGGTGCTGAGGATGAAGGGCACCCCGATCTCGGCGGCGATCTGCGCGACGCCCGTCTCCTTCTCCGCGTGGAAGATGGACTGCACGCCTACGGGCGAGAAGAACAGGGGCGTCTCGTACTGCTCTCCGAAGAGCTCGATCTTCATGTCGCGGTTGGTTGTCGGGCGTAGCATGCGGGGGATGAGCTTGCGCGGAGCTTTAGCGAACAGTAACAGAGAAAAGCAACATAGGTAATCGAATTAATTCAACGGTGAGGGAAAAAAAAGGAAAGTGACGCGATAGAACATCCATTTAAATCTGCCATGAGGCAACCCAGAATCTTACCTTCCACGTCCTGAAAGCGGCACGATTCGCATCCATGGTCGCCCGCTCGCCTGCGCCGCCCGCGATGTACCGGTAGCTGCGCGCGCTCATGTCCCGCTCCGCCTGCGCCTCGAGCTTGTTGGGGTCGGTCGTGATAGCGGGGAAGACGTTTTGCAGCATGCCCTTCTGATAGATCTCGTTCTGGAACGCGCCGTACTTGCGCGCCCCGGGCGGAGCGGGCGGGATGTTTTGCGCGGCTGCCATGTTTTTGTTTCTGGCTCTCTAATTGGCTTGATTTTGTCTTTGATTTGATTTTACTTGTAGGGTTGAATGAGAAAAGGCCAGGAGAAAAGACGATGTGGAGCAGACTTGAAGTATGATATGTGACGTATTATTGTGATGATATGATGTACAGTTCCGCTGCGGGGCAGCCTAAGCCTCGGAGTTCGGCAGAAGGAGTTAGGAGCTGCAAGTTGGTGCGGAATGGGGCGCTCTCCCGCGGATGCTTGTATGCGGGGAAGCTTACGATCTAGCGCAATATTATTGCTAGGAATATAGGTATTGGCGTCCGCATTTGGTTCCTGACGAACATCATCCTTCCATTACTCTTCTTTGCCTTATGGTGTGTATGAATAAAAGAGTGATGGGTATCCTGACACATCCCTTGCATCTTCCGATAAAATTCATACGGAAACAAAATCCATCACCTGCTGAAGAGAACAATTATCGCTCATGAAACTTAGCCAAAAAAAAAAAAAAAAAAGGAGAGCACCAACACAATTAGTTGTCCATGCTGCCAACATCTAGATCCCGCTCACATGAGGAGTTGCAGTTTGATCGAAATAGATCTGTATTAATTCTCAACTTGCATTTACGTCTTAACATTTAATCCAGCCGTTATCCAGTGAGTGCAGTGGCCTTCGTGGAACACTTTTCGTTAGTAGTCCCTTAAGCCGCATAAGACATCAGCGCCGGCTCGGCCAACCTCCTGTCCGAGTAGGTCAACAGATTGACAGCGGCCAGAACATTCACGCCCTCAATCTCCAACAACGCATCCAGCCCCAGGCCGGGCGCCACGACGGTCGAGCACACGGTATCCAGATCCAGCCTGTCCACACTACCCGGGCCATCATGGGTCAAGGCATCGACGAGGAGAGCATAGGTCAGCGGGTTGACCAGCAAGCTCTCGTGCGTGTAAAAACCGCCAGCGGGACCCTTGCCCTTGCACACGACCTGCACCTCAGCATTGGTCGTGCCCACACCCCTAGCATCATTGATGTACGCGGACGCGCCGGTGCCGGACTGCGGCTGGACAATCTCATCGAGGAAGCCAGAGAAAACAGACGTCGTCGGCACGTAAGCGTCCGCACCGCCCGCCGCGCGCAGGGCCGTGACGAAGTTGCTGTTGTACTCCTGCTGCAGCACCGCCGGCGCGCAGGGGCCCAACCCAACACCGCCGGCGCCCGGGTTGAGGCAGATGACGTTGGCCAGGACGGTGCCGTGGAAGTCCGGGCTGACGGGCACGAAGTCGGAGACCAGGGCGCGCGTCGACGGCCAATAAGTAAAAGCCCACTGCGTGTCCAGCCCGCCCTGCGACCACGAGACGACCGACACGTTGGCGTCGCCGGATATGCCCGAGATGTAGTTGATGGCGTACGCCACGAACTCGCCGTTCGTCTGCGCGTCGCGCAGCAGCGCGTCCGGCACGTTGAGCCAGACCGGGTCCGCGTACGACACGCCCGTCAGCAGCTTGCGCAGGTTCGATCCGAAGCTGATGCCGCCGTACGAGCCCGTGCCCGGCACGAAGATGACCGGCGGCTTGTCGCCGTACGTGAAGTCGGAGGGGATGTAGATGGCTTGGCGGAGCTCTTCCTCAGTGATGGAATAGGGGGCATCCGAGGACGACTTCTTGGGGTAGATGGTCGTCGACGGTTCGCGCGTGTTGCTGTTGGTTTCCGAGTTCTCGCCGCTGGGGGAGAAGCCGAGGGCTTGGACGATGGTCAGCGTCGACAGTCCGTCGGCGATTTGCTGCGCGATGTTCTCGAAGATGTTGGTTGGTGTCGTCCCGTAGATGGCCTCGAGCTGCTCCTGCGCCTGCTCGACGCTGGTGGGCGTCGATGTCGCTTCAACCGCCTCGAGCTGAGACAAGATGGCCGTAGGTTCGGTCAGGCCACTGAGGGCGCTCAGGACGCTGCTCAGGGACTGCCTCTTCTCGAGCCCATTTTCAGGGACAGGGGCTGGGGCAGCGTTGGTAAGGAGAAGCCCACTGAGGACGAGACAAACACTGGACAAATGCATGTTGAGAATCGTGAAGAGACCGCTGAGGATGGGAGCTTCAGGAGGTACTCACTCAGGCTCTATATACCACCGCTTCTAGGGCGGTAGGCAAGTTTCGCCAGTTCCAATAGCTGGAGCTAGTTGACGATACGAGCTGCAGTGGGTTCCGACACGAGTACATCAGAAGACAACTGAGCATCCAAGAGCGCCTAGAGGGGCCGAATCGTGGTACGACGGTGTAGAGAGACACTGCGCTGGTAGAAACATCAACCGAACTTGGCTAAGCCTTCAGCCCAGTGCAAAGAAATTTGGTAAATCCACCTGCAACATGACGTCTGTAATATAAAAAACCCAGTTTGATCACGGTGCACTCGCTTACCCCGGGGATAAGAAGCCGCATACGCACTCTTCATGTTCATTTTGGGCCAAGGACGAATCCAATGGACGGGCCAATGTTTCCCAAGCCGGAGTGGTGGGGCTACTGCTTCAGGAAGCATTCGGCCCATGCTACGTACTCCAAACTTGAAGGCACGTTCACTGGTCCCAGCTACTAGCGCTCCGAACAGTGGCGTGGCCGTAGTAACAGGCGAGCGCCACTGTCGTCAAGAAGGTCATACGTCTTTGCAGATGCCGAAGAACTAGCAGTGTTGACTAAAAAGTCGAGGAACCGCACAGTTTTCGTCGTGGAGAAGATTGCATATGGAGCAACGGAGCTGAGGCTTGATGCCTCGGCTGCTGGGGTAGTAACCCTGGCCAAAACTGCGGCTGAATACGGGTCGGCCCATCTGGGCCATGAGATTGGCGAAGATCGTCAGTGATATACGTACGTCCCGTGGTGATCGATCGCAGTTGGGTGCCGAGGCTCATGCATTCTTGAACTCAAACAGACGATGCTTGGAGTCCGGATGCTCGGTTTCGTTGTCTACGCAAGTTAGCGCATTTCAGAGTCAGGCGATAGCTATGGGAAAGAAGCGTGCGGGAGATGAGTGTGGGATGGGCCGTCCGGGAAGAACGGCCGCAACCTTCGCCGGCCTCTCCTCCGGCGTTTCGCGCTCGCCCGCCTGACTCGTACCCAGCGGCTAGCCGGGCGGTTACGCGCCCGATATTTCTTTTCCCCTAAACGCTCATCCTCATCAAGAGCCCCATAAGTATGTCTGTCTGCATGTTGGCAATGAAATCTGCAGAAGTGCGCTTCCTTTCATCTGATGATAGGATATTGCTCTCATACGGCGCTTCACTCGCCAAGATAGGCTTATTCGGCGCTTTGCTGTCTTGGACTACGCCATCGGCCGCTCCGCTCCGGGGGACTCCCGCTGGTTCTAGAGCGTTGTCTAAGCGGAGGTGGCAAGAGGTCTCGTTCAAAAAGACCTTGCCCCCAGAATGTCACCAGTGCCGTCGAGTAACCGCATATTCAGCCACCTTTCTGGCGGCTTGGCAACTATGCCTGTACCTGAGTACTGGACCGCTGCCTCAGCCCGCCTCATGACCACAATTGCCCGATGCTGTTGCTTGGCAAGCCTCCATTCCACCATTTAACACGGCACTTCCCTTCACCACTTCACACAATCTTCGCCAGCACTATCTCCTGAGTAGAATCTGGACTTCGAATCAGCGGCGATAAGCCGCCCCCATCCGTGCTGAGATTTAGGAGAGAAAATAAACATTGTGGCGCGAAGGCTTTCAAAAGGCTGCTCAAGCTCGCTGCCATGCATTCTTCGCGCAGCCGACACATTGCATTTCTGCCGGTGGTGACCTTCGTTGGCCACTTCACCTACCTTCTGTCGTTCGTTTGAAATGCTGTTCTCCCCGCTCAAAGGGTTGCTCAGCGCCCAGGTCTTTTTCAGCATTGCCTCGCTGAGCAACGCGCAGCAATGGGCTGGAGACAATATCACCACCTCTCTGCCCGTTGTCCCCGGCGCCGAAATCGCCTACTTCAACATCAAAGATGCCAATAAAAAGAATACCACTCTGCTGAATTACATGTCCCTGAACAGCAATGGGAAGAGGCTGGATCCCAAGGCGCTCAAGCGAGCAGTCATCGTCGTCCATGGACTCAACCGTGACCCGAACACGTATATGAGCAACATGTAGGGCCCCAAAGTCTTTGACTGGTTTCATCACCACTAATTCATACAAGGCTCTCGGCCTTGGCTCAAGTGACTGACCATCCCGAAGTAAGCACCGACAGCGTCGCCATTCTGGCCCCTTACTTCACCAACGGAGACGACAAGTACACCGGAGGCTACCCCTGGACCGACTCCAAAGGCTCTTACACCTCTGCGCTTGTCTGGAAGGGCTCGCAGTGGGCTTCCGGAGCGAACAATCAGTATCCGAAAACGCAGACGACCGTGTCCTCGTTCGCCGTTCTGGATCAACTGACCAAGTACTTTGACGACAAGTCGTTGTTCCCCAGTATCAATCAGGTAATGCACATTGGGTCTGAACTGATGGTGGGAGACGCTGACTGGCTCGGCTAGATTGTGATTGCTGGACATTCGCTGGGCGCTCAGACGGTGCAAAGGTACTGCGAAGTGGGTGACAACCTCAGCACGAAAACTCCCGTCGTATATTGGGTCGGAAACCCCAACAGCTATGGTTGGATGAGCCTGGACCGCCCCATTGACCCCTCTACGTGCTCGACATATGACGACTGGCGAGATGGCTTATCATCGTACACGAACACTTACGGGGCGACGTTGGTCGCGGCTGGACGGCCTGCTGTCTTGGCCAATTACAACACCAAGAGCATTGCTTATGCTCGAGGAACTCTGGATCTTGGGGACGACTCGTCCGGCTGTGGTCCCACAACTACGGGTGCTAATCGGCACGAGCGATTTTTCAACTTCATCAAAGCCTTTCCGCCTACCAGCTCGTGTACGATTGATTACGTTCCGATAGGGCACGATGCGGGTAGCATGTTTGCTTCATCGGCAGGAAAAGCACGGTTATTCCTGGACAATTTCGACGGGGCAGGATCCAAGGCTTTCGATTTCGGGTACCCTCGCCTCCAGGCCGGAGATGACCCTTACCCCGATCCTTCGCAGAGCTCTGCAGTAGCTCCCACATCTCCTGGAACCTTCTCGGGCATGACCTACCAAGGGTGCTACTCTGATCCGGGCTCAGTATTGCCTCTCAAGGCTTACTCTCGGGATGACAACACCATTGACTCTTGCACAGCCACCTGCGCTGGTCAGGGCTACAAGATCGCTGGGCTGGAGTATGGCGTCGAGGTAAGGATTAATTGACCCCCTATCGTATTCAGCATAACCGATAATGACACTTCATTCAGTGTTGGTGTGGAAACACGATGGGCTACAAGGCTCAAGTAACTACTGATCAGGCGTGCACCATGGCTTGCGCCGGCAACTCGACTCAAATTTGCGGCAACAGCTACCGCCTCTCAGTCTTTTCGACTGGAAATATCACCAGCGCTGCGCAACCGTCTTCTCCAACACAAGTTGGGTCCTACTCACTCCTTGGATGTTACAGTGAAGCCAGTTCCGGAAGAGCATTGTCGGAAAGGAGCACCTCGCAAAGTGACATGACGGTGGAAACCTGCGCGACTTACTGCTCTGGCTACAAATACTTCGGTGTAGAGTATGGTGCTGAGGTAAGTAACTTTTTCAAATCTCAATCGGGTTATAATAACTTTCAGCAGTGCTACTGTGGCAACACTGTTGCCTGCTCGAGTGTGTCCTCGGCTGCAAGCAGTTGCACTATGACGTGTGGCGGCAACTCGACAGAGTACTGTGGTAATGGTGGCTACCTCAACCTGTACGCTCTGCCTTCAAACACTGGGCCTTCTGCATGTGCTTCATCCACTAGTAGATCCACGTCGACTACGTCCACAAGTGCATCGGTTTCTACAACGACTTCGGGATCAACAACGACTTCGGGCTCCACTACTGCATCAATCTCTACAGCAAGCTCAGGTTCTACAACGGCATTAGTCTCTACAACGAGCTTAGCGTCTACATCGAACCCAGTCTCTGCAGCCAGCTCAAGTTCCACGAGTTCAGGTTCCATAACGAGCTCAGTCTCTCCAACGAGCTCAGCCTCATCAGCGAGCTCAGTCTCTACATCGACCTCAGCCTCTACATCGACCTCGGGCTCCATAATAAGCTCAGGTTCCACGACTACTACTGGCACCACATCTTCGGCCACTTCTTCCGCTACCGCTCTCGCCTGCCCAGATGCCAACGGCACGACGTATACCAGCAAGAACCGGAACAACTACCTGATTGAGTGCTACACGGATCACTGTAAGTTTGCCGAGCTACTATATATATACCAATCGACTGACATTAATCATAGACGCCGGTGACATGCTCACAACCTCTGCGAGCACACTTGAGCTCTGCATCGAAGCATGCGATGCCAATTCCGGATGCGTCGACGTGGCATGGGTTTACGGCTCCTGCTATCTCAAGAGCTCCGTCGGAACTGCCATCTCCAACAACGCGGTTCTCGGCGCGAAGCTCATCACCGATTCGTCATCCTCCTCCTCCTCATCCACCACCGCCTCTTCAACCACCACCACCACTTCCTCAACCAGCAGCTCCTCAGCAACCCCCTCCGCAACAACAACAGCCCTCTCCTGCCCCACCTCCGACGGGCAGACCTTCACCGCCCCCCGCGGCCAACTCTTCACCATCGAATGCGGCACCGACCACTTCGGCGGCGACATGGGCGCGCCCACCTACCCGGGCAGCTTCGCAGCCTGCGTGTCGCAGTGCGACGCGACCGACGGCTGCGTCGACGTGGCCTACATATCGAACGGGCCGTGCTACCTAAAGAGCACGCTCGGCGCCTCCATCAGCAACCCCAACATCTGGGGCGCAAAGCTGGCGGCCAGCCTGCCCAGCGGCATCACCGCCAAAGGCTGCTACGTCGACGACGGCGGCGCGCGCGCCTTCCCGACGCAGCTGTACTCCAACTCCTCCAACACGCCGGCTCTCTGCGCGTCGGCGTGCCGCGAGAAGGGGTTCAAGTACGCGGGCACGCAGTACGGGACGGAGTGCTGGTGCGGGTCGTCGCTGCCAACCACCACCGCGCCGGCCGCCGACTGCTCGAGCGCGTGCGCCGGCGACGCGAGGCAAAAGTGTGGCGGCGGCTACCGGCTCAGCGTGACGGACGACACGGCGTGGACGCAGAAGTTCTTCGCGCGGCAGGCGTACGGCGGGTGGAGCCTGGTCAGCTGCTACCAGGACAACGTCGACAACAAGCGTACGCTGGGCACCAACGTCGGCATCGATTCGAGCTCCGCGACGATCGCAAAGTGCCTGGATGCGTGTGCGGCTAGGGGTTTCGCGTACTGTGGCGCTGAGTACTACTATGAGTGCTACGGCGGCGCGAGCAAGCCGGCTGATAGCCTGGTGGTTCCCGACGCTACCGATCCGCTGCTGGCGGGTTGCAATTACGCGTGCTCGGGGAACGCGACTGAGGCGTGTGGTGGAGCGAATAAGCTGTTGGTCTACGTGAACAATGGAATCTGATGATTGAATGTTTTTTTTTTTGGATCTCGGAAGCATCATTAATGTAATATCGTACGTAATCATAAGACAATTAACCATCTTGCTTCCGGGTTATATCTTCTTTCTTGGCCAGCCAAGTTCCTTTTAGTCGTGCGTCGGCTTCTGGCCGTATGTAAAGTAAAACTTGAGGTGCGTCTTCCACTTGGAGTACAAAAACTCATTCCTGACGGCCGCCAGCAGCGTCTCGATCTGAGGCATGTCCCAGTCCAGCACGCGGCTGAAGATGGCCAAAGACGTGGGTGCCAGCCCCTCGAAGACGTTGAGCAGCGCGCACTTGCCCACCTCTAGCTGCTGCTTATCCCACGTTCCCACGGGTATCTGGAACCATTGCTCAGCTAACGCACGCGAATACGGAAAAATGGAAGAGACGTACCTCGATAATCTCCTGCGTCACGTTGGCAAAACCGGCATTGATCATGTGCTGCTTCTGCTCGTGGGCACGGTTGAAGCGCTTGCCGATGCGGGACGTGGCATCGTCCATGGTCACCTGCCAGTAGTGGATGTTGCTGTTCTCGAAGCCCGGCTCGTCCGAGTAGAACCACGCCGAGATCTCCTGCGACTCGGCCCAGCCGCCGGGCCGGAGGTGCTCAAACGACTGCTCCCACAACCGCCCCCAGTCGCCGATGCCCGGATACAGGTACCGCACGTGCACGTAGTCGAACGACTCTTTATCGGTGAAGACCCAGTCCGACTCGGCGTCGTCGATGATGAAATGGCAGTTTGGCGCCGTCCTGCGTGGGCAATTGTCAGCTATCAGTCACCCGTAGCGTGGCGGGGAGTCGCTCGTACCATTCGGGCTGTATAACGCTAAGGTCGGTTCCTACAACACCAATTAGTTCGTCGTCGTTGCAGAATTGAAACGGCTTTGTTCCGGATTTTCCGAACTGACTCGACCGGACATTCCGCGGTCCAAAATCTGTGCTCTTTCTTGCCCATCATCGATCCCAAGCTCTTGGCGACACGCGTATGGAGCCGACGGATAAATTGCACACCAAGGAAAACAAAATCTTCTGCTCAAGAAAAAAAAATTAGGACCCACCTATGACCTGCGCGTCGGGATGCGCATCTGCAAAGTCCAGGGCCCAGAGGCCGGTGCCGGTGCCAATGTCGAGCACGCGTCGCTGGAGCTGCGGATCGTCGCCGGCGCCATCACCGTCGTCGAAGTTCAGCGGGGCGCGCACCAGCTCGCCCTTGAGCACGAGGCCGAACCAGTGCTGGATGAGGTCGAGGCGGTCCTGCTCGCGCTCGTCCTCGGGCAGCGGGTAGGCGCCCTCGCGGTAGGTGTGGTACCGGCGGCCGTTTTCGTAGCGGCCCTCGTAGATGGAGGCGCTGACCGACTGCGTCAGCTCGTCCAAGTACGCCTCCGACGCCGTCTGCGACCTGGCGCCGCCGCTGCCCGACGAATTCTCCTCGTCATTAGCGCTGGCGTTGGCGTTGGCGTTGGCTCGATCGTCCGAGTAGACGACGCCCGAGGCCATGGTTTCGGGTCTGGGTTATTTTTTGCGCGCCCTCTTTATTTTTTTTGTTCGCCTTTCCCTTGTGGCCGGTTGGGGGCGAAAGGAACAAAATAGTAGATAAGAGCCGGCCAACAAAAAACCCACTGATAAGCGAGCGACTTCCTTTCTGCTTTGCTTTAGTAGTTCGCTTTCCCTTTTCGCGAAGAACGAATATGGCGGACCCAGAATGTCGGAAGCAAACTGCACCATCTTTATATGGGACCCGGCCGCGGCACCGCAAAACCCCCCCGCATGTTTTCATGCGACGTAAGTGGGCTCTTTTAGCTTGCGAGCCCCTCCCAGGACAAGGGGGCCCTCCCGGGATCGCTGGTCACGTGTTACAATGACTCAGCAACCCTGCGGTGAACCACGTACGTGTACGTGGCGCCTTTTTCCTCTCCTCTATTTTCCTTTGTAGAGATACTGCATCTGTGGACCCCAGCCTTGCGGTCTGCAGTGCTAAGGGGGCGGACCGGAGCGTTGTCACCTGGTGCAGGGAACTACCCGAGCGAGACCGCAGATCTTCAGCTTGCCTGCAAAGTCGAAGAGATGGAAAGCCGGTCTCGATGGAGATCAATGGCACAATCACCTCATCACCTGAGTGCTACACCGTATCCAGCTTCGAGTCAGCCTCTCGACTCCCTACAATCCTCCTTTGAACCTCCTCAGAGAATCACTCTACCTTTCTGCTCTCGTATTGAGCCGTTTCTATCCTTTCTTTCGACCCAATTCCTCTTCACCGCATCGATACCCAGATCTTCGAAGCCTAACCTCATGCCCCCCGTCTCGAGACACCATGAGTCTCCGTGCGTGGAACGCGGCAGCCCGGTGGGGGGCGAATCGCACACTGCTGAAACCTTTTCTGACTCGGCAGCATGCATCTCGGAAACATGGCGCAAAACTTGACCAACCCGTTTGAAAAAAAAAGGAAAAAGAAAACTCCAGCCGCGGAGCCAGTGGTTTCTTCCCCGGCTTTGTATCCCTCGATCCTGAAAAGAAAGCACTCTTCGAAGCTTCGTGGGCTGCATGCTTTGTCAGCACGTCTCTACCGAAGCAATGGCTTCCCCACATGCGTTGTAGCGTGTGCGCCAGAAACCCTGTAGCCAGAAGTGCTGTTCGAAGGCCGGAGTCGCCGAAAAGCCTCGGGGATAAGCCGCATGTGGGCCTGAGAACACCAGACTTGGGCCGCAGATCCGGGAGAAAAGAGTAGATCGGAGGCGAGCCGCTCCCCTGGAAGCGTCTCACGTCAATACATGGCCTAATGGAGAAGCGGAGTTCCAATTCGCGACCTGTTTGCCCATCCCAGCTCGCCTTCCCCAGCTCTTCAACTCAAACATGCTTGACCATGGTTTGGATCCGTCGGATGGAAGACCGAACGTTCAATTCGTATGAAATTGATGACCTTTGAGCAGTAACATCCCGTCCTTACATATGTTGGGAATCCGTAGAGATGCGACAAACCACGCAACCTACCACCGGACATTGTTCCTCAGCTCCAGCGACGCTTGGGACACTATCTTCATCAACCTCGCGGGCCGAGAACACTTGCACATTGCGTGCATCCGCAGGAGTGAAAGCTAATGCGGGGTTATCGGTGCCCTAGTGAAGGGGTTCACTGCCCATGCCCCTTTCGGATATGGTATGTAGTTCTCATACTCTCCCGCTCGACGAACAACCTCATGCTACTGGCCGCAGATATCAACCCCTGCATTGCTAATTTGGCGCAGATGAAAGATCGCCAAGTGTCCCGTTAGAGGGTGGGTGCTTGGCGATGTGATTGCTCGCCCCATCAACGATTGGCAGTGGCGTGGATCCGTAAACCGAGATCGCACGCATTGCTTTTCTACTAGGACAACCGGTTTGCCAGCGAAGGCCTCGGACAAAGCATGCGTTGGCAAAGTCAACAAGGGCCTTGGAAAAAAGAAAATGGGCCTCCTCACACTTGCTCCCCTCGTCACAGCTTCCGCCCCTTTACGTGCATTTGGTCTAGTATGGTGACATCGGTCAGCATCATTCCCCGGAATCCCAGCGGGACGGTCTCATGCAGGACTGATGGGGCTCGGTTTGGTTGGAATCCTAAGCAAGATCCTCCTGACGACATCAACCTCGTCAGCATCGGATACCACAGCAGTGAATTGCTCCCAAGCTCTAAGTGCCCAGGCCCGTCCAACTAACGAGATTAAATGAGTGAAGAGCACCCTGTCGGATAAGGGCCCTGACAGATTCTCTTTTTCTTTACGAAGCAGCGGGTGTTGACGTGGACGGGCCATTTCACTAGTGTGCACAGACGATGGCGCGGGAGGACGGCAGACCAGCCGTCAACACGTCTGTAGGCGGGCACTAGATGGCTATGTGTTCCGAGAGCTTGGACTAGCGACCCAAATGACAGCCAGTCTTGCCGCAAACGGTTCACCACTCGGCAAACTGTGCCTTACCCGACCCGTGTGGCGGAGGAGGGCTTAAAACGTCCATGTTCAACCGCGACGCAGCGAGATCGGCGGGGCCCCCTGGATCTCGCATCTTTGTGCCCAAGACATTTTTTCTCGTAGGGTCGTCGTCAGACTGCGGGGCAAAGAAGGGAGCCGAGTGGCCCATATCCGAAGTGGCAGATTAAATCCTTGGGCGATCTTGGGCAGAACAGAGTCAGCGGCTCCATCTCGTCATCCTTCGACTACCACGGTCCCTGTAGATCAGTCAGCCGCGCAACATCGCATCTGCCACCATCGAGTGCTAGAGGCAGCGCTTACTCCTAGCCGCACTTCCACCCGAAACACCCAGCGCCCTTCCTTCGAATTAGAGTGGGAGTTGAGACGGGCGGCGGAGTAGGTGACAGCTCCGCATCCTTCCCTCTCGCTTGTCATAGGGAGGGTGGCGCCCCGTAGCGTCGAGCTAGGCCCTGTAGCGCCGAACGAGCCACCCGCCGTCTTGACCCAGAACGCGGGGGTAATCCGGCTTTGACAAGAATGTCTTCTGGAAATCATTTGCTTTGCTTTTTGTCCCTGCGTGCGTGCCTGGTTTTAAGTTTGGCTGCACCCGCTGCCCTTGCTCGCCATTTTCAACGACACTCCTTCTTGCCCATGACTCAGTTCCTTTTCACTCTTTTTCAAAGCTGTGTACACCGAATCACAGCTGCCAAACATGTTGAATGACGTCCAGAATGCCTTTATTCTGGAGCAATGGCTCGAGTATGGCATAGGCATGAGCATCTTCGTCCTCCGATTTTACGCAAGATGGAAATCTGTCGGCTTCGAAGGTTACTCTTGGGATGACCTTTTTGCTGGATTGTCTATGGTAAGCTGCACCTTGAGTTCTGCAGGAAACTAGGTGCTGATATTGTCCAGATATTTTTCACCTTTGATCCTGCCTTACTGAATGTTGTTAGTAAGTGCCATGGACCCACTGTCAACTCATTTGCATATCTGACCTTTTCAAAGTCACGCATGGATCATTCGTCGGCTTGACTGATGAGACCGCCGAACTACTTACACCGCCTGTGATCGAATCTTTTACGACAGGATCAAAGGCTCTCTTTGCTGCATGGTTCACATACGTTACTCTGATCTGGACTTTGAAGGGCCAGGTGCTCGGATACTACAACAGGTTGACGTACGTATTTACGGATCGTTTATCTTTCGCCTCGTTCTAACATCTCCCTCAGTGCAGGAACTTGGCAGCACAAGTGGGTCAAGGTCATGGCTGTAGTTTGCTTTGTGTCATGGATAAGTCTGATTCTCCTTATCTTCTGTCGCTGCGTAAGACTCCCAATACAACATGTTCTATACAGAGAAACTAACAGAGCACAGACGCCAATCCAACGCAACTGGCAGATAGTGCCATACGCAGGTGATCAATGCACAAGGACGACATCAACCGTCGTATTGCTGATGGTCCTCAACATCTTGTAAGCCAAACCCAACCCCCCTCCCTCTCCCCCCGTGCTCACCACCTTTACCTAACAAACCCCCTCAACAGAAACGATATCGGCCTCGTCCTCATCCCAGCCAACGTCCTGTGGTCAGCCAAGATCCCGCTGAAGCGCAAGCTGCTCATCTCGGTGCTGCTGTCGTCATCCTTCTTCATCATCGCCTGCGCGCTGCTGCGCGGCATCCTGGGCCTGCAGTCGATCAACAACATCGTCGTGTCGATCCAGTGGGGCACGCGCGAGACGTTCGTCACCATCATCGTCATCTGCGTGCCGCCCATCAAGCCGCTCTTCAGCTCGTCCGGCTCCTCGCACTTCGGCTCCTCGCAGGAGCTGTACGCCACCGGCACCGGCACCGGCACGCGCTGGGGCGGTGCTGGTGGCGCTGGCGGTTCGAAGAACCACGCCATCCCGCTCAAGGACTCGCCGTCGACGGCGGCCATGGACAGGGACTTGGAGCGCAGCGGCACCTCGTCCGTCAGAGACGTCGACTTGCAGTCCCTGGGCAGCAGCAAGGACTTGATCGAGGACCGCGAGGCGTCCAAGGCGTTTGCGTCGCCGGCGACACCGACTACAGCGACGATGGAGCACGGTGCCGGGATCAGTGTGAGGACAGAGTTCACCGTGTCGAACTCGCAGTCTCACGGCGAGATGGACGGTCAGCAGGCAGGCTGGTCCCGCCATGAGAGCTGGACTCGGGTTGTGACGCGGCAATAAGTCACGATCATGGGAGGGTTTAGGGCATGGACTCGGCGTTGCAACTTGAGCTTTAAGGCAGGGATATGCAACTGCATCACGGTATACCAAGGTCGGAGGGAACATTTGCATGCTTTTCGCGTGTACGAAAAGCCCATGAGGTGTTATTCGGGAGGGATACTTCTTTTACACATTTTATTTGTCTATCCAACTAATTTACACCTTCTTTTCTTTTATTATCTAAGAATAAATAAATTTCAACTCAACAGATTGTCCTGATAGTGAAAGTTATAAAGAAAATGCGAGCTACGTTCGCCCGCTTTTGAGATTTTCAATGAGCATGACTATTTTAGTGGTGCTAGTAATTTTGCAGCATTTCGCGCCCTGATTACAGGGGTAGTTGAAAATATTGTCCGGATGTATTGTAAAATTTTGAAACATACATCGACGTCAGGACGTTGTGTTGTCTACCTCCGGAGGAAGAATGAAATATCCTTACACCAGAACGAGGGCTTAAATACTCTAAATTGACCATTGTAGCTACCTAGGGTAGAACCAAACAATGATTGCTTTTGCCAACCACGACGTTGTCTCAGTTTAGGTTTTCTTATTCTTCTTATAGGAGCCTCTTGCAAGGTGGAGAGATCGAGGCCTGGGTCGCTGAAGTAAAGTGGGGAGAGCTCCTCATTCTACTTACCATTTCATTTCTCGTTACTCCTTATCATTCAAGAGCAGCTGTAGCTTCGCTACGAGGTCATGAGATCTGTCAAAACAATGGAGACCTGAGTATATATCCCGGAATTTTTGCCTAAAGACTTGGCAGCTTCTATTTTTGGAATGGCGTGTCCCAAGGGCTCCTAAATCGGTGGCTGGCTAAAGTTCAAGAGGCAGTTTAGTGGGTCATATTGAAGCCATATAATGAAGCTGGGTTACGGTTGCATAGGATCAAATGGTCATTCAACGTCTGACTTGGATGCTGCTCAAGGACCCCAGGGACGGCGAACTGCTCCTTTTGGTAATATGCTGACCGAAACATATCAAAATGCTTTCCCTACTTTTCTTTCACTGTGAAACCTTAAAGAAATCGAAATGTTGCCTCAGAATCTCGCTGCTCCATGGTAACGGGCTGGTTGAAGGCAAATAATTCAACCGCCTCGATTCCACAACGAGGCAAAGGTCCAGGGCTACATTTTTTTCGCTTACACTAGCCTATTAAAGGTCGTCTTCCTAGTCCCGGACTACTCTGAGCAGCACAGAAGCATGATAGGCTGCACAGTTGTGTGACTGACTCGAGTTTCGTATCGCTAAGTTCCGGTTTAGCGTCGGAAGTCGATCCACATTGTGGCTTCCACGCTTTGCGTGCTGGGCGGGAGGTAGCGTGAAGCTTGCTCTGAATCACTCCTTGCTTAGACACGTTAGGTCCATGGCCAGTAGTATAAGACGGCCCCCGTATTTTGGTCAATGCGTACGACCTGCACGATTTGGCCCCCAAGCTACACAAGCTTCAACGGCCGGGATATCGGATCGTTCATTGTTGGTCCGCAAGGGGCGCGTGCGTACCCGAGCTAATTAGGGTGTGGGCCTTGCCCACATTGTGGGACCCGGGACGCTCATATCCGCTCTTCCTTCCGTCGCCTTTCTCTTATCCTCTATCAATGCCCCAGCTGTGCCAACCTTCCTCGAAACTAAGCGTCGCCACCCGAGGATCTTACGGGCGACACTAACGACAATGGCACTTCGAGGTCTACTCGCACTTGCGCTCGGGCTGCTGGCCGCATCGCCCGCCCGGGCGGCCAGCAGCTCGATCACACCCACCAAGAACTACATCGACACCATATCGGGCTACATAGAGCTATCCACATGCGCCGAAGGAGTTCTTAGCACCGTGGTCAGGGCGCAACAGAGCGGATGCGGTGACAACCAAGCCTTGACGAGCTACACATGTTTCTGCACGGATTCCAGCAGCTACTTCAGACGAATGATCTCCACAGAGGTCACCAACTCATGTGGTAGTGCTGGAACAGAACAGGCATCAAGCGCAGTCGAAATCTTCGACGGCTATTGCGCCCTTGGCGTTGAACACGGCTTGTCGACCACCTGTAAGCCCCACAACTTCACCACAAAGCTCCGACCCTGCATGCTGACGATGATAAACAGCTTCTGCACAATCCGCAACGGGAACTGCCTCGCCAGCTGCTGGTGCAGCATCGACGCTGGTCACCTCGACGACCTCGGGCTCGGCGGCGTCTGCCACGGCGGCATCTGCCAGCTCTTCCAATTCCGATTCGTCGGACAACACGCGGACTACGGCTATCGCTGCAGGTGTCGCAGTACCAGTCGGCGTCATTGGGCTCGCGCTCGTTGGATACCTGTTCTACCGCAAACACGTCTCTACGAAGATGCAGCAGCAGCAGTTGCCCGTAGCCTCGCCTCCAGCCGAACTGAGCGTCCCGTCGGAGAAGAACTATCCGCCACAGGAGCTGTCGCCTCAAAGCGTGCAAGAACTGCCTTACCAAACACGCGAATTCCATGAATTGGACGGGAATGCCAGGCATGAGGCCGAATCGGACGCGGTGAAACGCGGCTGAGAGCACGAATTGTACTAAGTTTGATACCCATCAAGTTTGATTTATTGTCATACGGAGGCGCACACTTCAACGTGGAATGTCCCTTGCTCAATTGATGCCGACAGCAGTAGTTCGAGATGCGGCGGTAGGACTTGTGACCATTCAAGACCTGATGATGTGGGGTGATCGGGCAATGTGGAGATAACACCATTAGCTTAAGCGCCCAAACCCCGCTGTGGTTCGAAAGAGGAAGGTAGCGCCGTCCTCTATCGCGTAGTTTCCCTCCGCAGAGACTGCTCCTCAAAGTCCTCTACGCAACTCTCAATGATGTCAACAGCCCTCAAATGTGCCTAATGCAAGCTCAAGGGATGAAATTAATTGGCCTTCAGGCTTCCTGTTTGTCTCAGGCTACCCGTGCGTTTTCGAGCTATACTTAGCCACGCTAAAATCCTTCGTAGCGAAACCAACAACACATCCCGAGTCGTCAGTGGCGCTCTTACGCGGCTCGGTCCGGACAAGGCCGCTTTAAAAGATTTAACCTCTCCCAACTTGCTGTAAACACTGCACTAGCGTACCTAAACATGCCTCGAAGTTACCTTGTTTCCAGCGTCGCTTATGCGCTTTCAGTGCTATCGTGCATACCCGCTGCTCGGGCGGACTATATTTACCACGGCAATTACGTCACATACTGCGGCCAATACGATGCCGTGAACACCACCTCGGGTCTTTATGATATCATCAATAACGCCTGGGGCGACGACGGATCGGGGCTGACTTGCACTACCGTTGGTAAACCCCTGCTCAAACGGGAAGAAACGGTCACTAACAAAACAGACTGACCTCGGAGAAAGCACCGATACCTTTGCTGTTTTCAACTCGACCTGGCGTTGGTTCGAGACACCAACTGAAGTATGCATTTTCTGAATATTTTTTTTTTGCAGAAGAATTCCATTGACAGCATGGCCAGGTCCATTCCTACCCAGATGCGCTCTTGAACACTGAGCTATTCCCCTTGGCTTTCCAGGACCTTACCTCATTAAAGTTGGCCGCAGACTGGGCCATCGTTCCTTCCCCCTCCGATGAGACGGCAACAGACGAAGCAACCCTGGCCAGCCTCGACGTGGTGGCGAATGTAGCCGCTGACCTATTCCTGGACGAAGATGCCAGCACCGCGTCCAACGCCTCTACCGCCGCCTATGAGGTCATGATCTGGCAGGCTGCTTACGGCAACTGCGACCCCATCGGCTATGATCCGACCTCCACCACCGCACCCACGCAAGAGCTGGACGGTGTCACCTAGTACCTCCCCTTCACATGACTCCCGAAGTTGGTTCTGCTGCTAACGGGAACGCAGCACATTGTACCAGGGGGCGAATGCCAATGGTCAAACCGTCTTTACCTGGTACCCCGATCGCAACTTGTCGAGCATCGACGTCGACTATTTCCCGCTGCTCGAAGCCCTGCGAAATGAAAGCTACATCCCTACCGCCGCTTATGTGGGACGCTATCAGTGGGGCTCGGAAACCAAGCACTCCGCGGAAAACCAGAACATCACTTTCATGGTAAATACTCTTACTATGGATGTCAATTGAAACAGATTAATGGTAGCGATTATTCGGAGGACAGCTCTGTGCTCGGGAATATCCTCATACAAAAGCTCACACAGAGCAAATGAAACCGAGCTTTCCGGAATCTTTTTACTGGAAGTGCTTACTTGTGGGGAGGGTTGAGTCCAATGTTTAGACATAGATGTGGGTTTAGAAGGGTACAGGCACATCCGGAGATGAGCTTCAATTGACCATAAATGAAAAGTGCAGTGTATGGCAGAGGACTTAACTCTTCTGCTACCAGGTGACTGAATGATTGTATGTCAGAGATTCAAGGCCCGTCACCTGAACTGAACTGCAATAGGTACAGCGTCGGGATCTTGAAATTTGTGAAGCGACAGAATCACGTCTTTTCTCAAAAGCTGCGCCATACCTGAGTTTCGTTACGAACGGATCCATCCCTGAGCGTAGCCATGTTTTTTAGGCCGGCTAAACCTAATGTTTTTATTCACAAGACTATCAACGGAGGTTTGGTATGGCCGCGACAAATTTGACTCCCCCATTTCCAGAATTCGACCCCCCCTCACCCAGATTCTAACTCCCCCCTCCCCCCTGGGAGAGGTTCCTTTTCTCCGGCTTTCACTCTAAATTTTTATGGTAAATGCGGAGAACTCGCCGGCATCTCATCGCGAAGAATCACCTCCCATGTTACCACCCATAATAACTTATAGGCGAGGTCGTTTCTCTTGCGTCTCCACCCGTTTAATACCCACCTACCCTTCTCTCTTTCTCTCCTTCTTTATCTCACAGGGGGGAGTTGGAATCTGGGTGAGGGGAGTCAAAGTCTGAAAATGGAAATGGGGGAGTTAAATTTGTTGGCGCCTTTGGTATTTGTCGCTTTACAGACTTGCCGTTATTCTTTTGATTTCAGAGCACAGCGCACTCACACGTCAAATGCAAAAGACAGTTGGTTGACATAGTTGCTGAGGCCTCAGCGACACAGTACATTAGAGATATAGAAAAAGGTTCTAGGACTAGAAGTCGATACAAGAATAGAATGCCATCCACAAACTTCCCCCAAGCTCGGAGTCCGTGATCCCAAGCTTAATTGGCCAGAGTCGCTGTCGATTGTAGAGGAATCGTCTAGCAAGACTTGACAGAGGAGTACTTGCAGTTGTTGCTGGGGCCGGAGCTGATCTCAGTGGGCTCCTTGCCGCTGTTGTTGCCCTTGAACTCAGTGCAGACCTTCTTGACCGAGGTAGCGCAGGTGCCGGAGATAGAGGCGACTGAAGAGGTCGTGTTAGCCGCGTGTACAGTGGTAGTAGTAGTGAATAGGGAACTTACCATCGCCGTAGTTGGAGTTGATACCAGCGAGGAGCTTGCCGTTGTAGGCCTTGACGTTCTTGATGGTGACGTTGCGCTGGCCCATCTTCTTGCAGTTACCGCAAGAGCGGTAGAGCTTGCCGAAGTCGGAGACGGTGAAGCCGTCGATGGAGATGGAGCCGATACCGTTGTGCTGGATGACCTTGTCATCAGCGCCGCGAGCACCGCCGCCGATGACCTTGCCGTTGCCGTTGCCCTTGAAGGAGAGAGCATCCTCGCAGACGGCGGTCCACCAGACGTTCTGGATGGTGCAGGCGCCCTTGCAGTGGACACCCTCGATCTGGTCGGCACCGATGATGGCGTTCTTCAGGGTGGCACCGTCCTCAAGGATGAAGACAGCATCCTTGTCGCCACCCTCAGCCTGACCAGTGCAGGAAACACCACGGCCGTAGGTCTTCATGCCGCCATCGAAGGTGCCAGAGATGGACTTGGCAGAGCTGTACTTGACAGTGCCCTTGGAGGCGGGGATAGGGAAGTCCGCACGGCGGACGAGGTCGTAGCCGAAGGTGTCATCGGCAGGAACGGCCAGGACGGAGGAGGCCGCCAGGAGGGGGAGGATGAAGAACTTGGAGAACATCTTGTCTGTAAGTGAAAGGCAGATAACACGATCGCAGATCGGTGAAGTGAGTGTAGAAAAGAGTGAAGGTGCTAAACGACTGAAGCGAAAGACTGTGCTGCTGGATGAAGAAGTAACTGATGGTGCGGGTGCATGGTGTTTATATACTGAAATTCACAGCACACCAGGCAGTATCACCAGCCGCCTTTCGGGCGGAGGCTGATGGGTCGCGGTGAGTGGCGTCGTGATTTGAAACTTCCAAGACATCCCGATGCGGCTCCAGAACGAGTGCATACTATGTTTCCAATCTATATCGCTTGGCATGGCGAGGGTGAGGAGTGGAGAAAAGGCGATCAGGGCGGGACGCTGGAAATTTCCGAGGACTTGCGGCGCGAGCACATTCAGACTGTTCTCCCGCTGGCCAGCCTGATAAGTCGGCTTGGCCGCGCTTGGCAGCGTCAGAATCGCTAAGCGGAGGGGGTAGCGCAGCGTGAGCGGCGCAGGGGACCAATGGTCAGGCAGACTATCGGCCCAGGGGCACCTTGAGCTTGGCTTCGTACCTTAATCATTCCCGTTCGCCCCAACGCCGGAGCTGGCCGCCCCTCGCGACCACTCCAGAACTCCTGTTCCGCTCCTCTCAAGCCCTCTTGGCTTTGCTTGGCGGCGTCGGTTGATGGTTGAAACACAGGCGCTCGGCCCGAAACGTGCACCCAGCAAGCAGACCATCCATCCCGCCCCTCGTGTTTGTCCAAAGCGAGCTTCAGGCCGTCGTTAGTTCTGTGACTTCGGCCTTTTCTTAGGCCATGTTCTATCGTACGTACCGGCAATAGTAGCGCTATGCGATGGAGAGATCCATCACTTGAATTCGATGAATGGCAGACCGAATTGTTCGGCCGTCGACTGTGCCGTCCATTACCGTCACCTGAGCCGGCTGCCAAGATAGTCTCGCCCCAGATCTCGCTTGACAACGCCTCTGTTCTCCACAGGCTTCGGTTACTCAGTCTTCCAGAACTCTGCTCATGCTCCACTCTGGAAAAGGGGAAGTCTCACTAACTACCGGCCGAAAAACACAGCCACGGTGGAATCACAATGTGACTACATTTTTCAGGCGTTATAGCGTGTGAAAGGACTATCGGCGTGCATTTGTCCGTGGTGGATACCAGGATGCTGGAAGGAAATCATTGCATTCTCGGCCTCCGGTGTTTTCCGACACCGAATCCTGCAATATGCGCCGTTCGAAGCACTTTGTTTCCGGTCCCCGGACATTTTCAGAGCAAACACCCTACCCATGCTGCCTTGGCAGCGGCTTTGGAAACAGGCATGGGCCGCACCACTGCTCCAATTTTACACCGCCACCAGAAACACTTGACTCGGTATATCCTCAAATTAATATCTGAAGCGCACCACGCGCAGTTCCTTTGACATGCAGTACTCCACTATGCGTTAAGGAGAGTCAATGTCGGTGAGACCAGTAACAATTGGCGAGCAACATCTGTACTCTCGGGGTGTTCCTTGGAGACTATCGAGTCACCTTTAATTCAGAGCTGTAACCATGACATCCCATCGTCACCGTGGACTCTCGCGCTGCTCACACCACAGTGTGTAGAGACCGCCGTTTTTGGTGAGACAGTGCCGAGTTGTGGCCGCGAGGGATTCTTACTATTACAGGGGTAATGCCCATCACCAGTCTTTGCTCTTGCCCTTCGAAAACCTGGATCATTTTGGCAACGATCCCACGTACTACGTGGCTTAAAGACTCCTTCCAAGGAGTTTCTTGTTGCGCTTGGGTAAGAAAACTTGGTAGAAGGGCAGGGTAACGAATTGGTATAATGTACATAGTGTGTGACTGTGAAAATCTACCGAACCTTCAAAAAGAAAAGCTGCACGCAAGTTGAGCCGAACCGTATACTTCAAAGTAACACAGTGCCTGAAACTTAGTCCTACATGGTTTCCTACTGGTGTGACGCAGGAGTTCAATAATAGGCTCTACGGACCGACGGAACATTTAGTGAGGATATTCCGCGCCTATGCCAATAGCGTAGCGGAACTTGTTTACGAAGCCATGGTGCCACTGCTCAGCGTCGTTGCTTCCGTGGCCACTGTTGACTATACCTGTACATGCACCACGGGATGCGCTTACTCTATTTGAAACCCTCTATATGCTATTCTGCTTTTTTGGTTATTTTCTGGTTAAAGGATAGCCATCGACCAGTTCAATCTTCACGGGAAACTTTCGCTTCCAACGGATCGGCCACTACTTAAATTGGCTGACCAAGCTTCTGCACGCCTCAGCAAATTGACTTCATGAATTGACAAAGCGAGAACTACTTGATATTCTAAGCGATTATGAAGTACTCTAAATTTGCTTTTTATGGTTTAAAGCTTCGTTTCCCTTCTGTTTCGCGGGATTTCATTGATGGCATCAAAAGCTCTTGTCCGAGTTGAGATTCCCAGACCAGGTGGCCCGAGCGGTGCCGGAAAACTCTCCATCGTGAGCGTTGAGTGCTAGAAAAACCGATTCGAATTGGAGAGGATATATTCAGCCTGGACAGTGGTAGCAATCTTCAACATGCTCATGGCCAAAGACATGTCGTCTCCAGAAGCTTCGTGGACAGCGAGTCAAAGCTTGGCGGTGCCGCGATGCCGAGTAAGCGATGGCAAACGCAAGCTTTTTACCCGATTCGGTGACAGCCTTGCCCAAACCGGCAGCCCGAGCGAAGTTAATCGTGGGTCCTCCGCGATGACGAAACCACAATCCTCCATGTACTCGAAACCCGTCGTTATGCTCCCCTGACGGCAGATCTGCAGCTCTCCCGCATGCCTTCCACGAAATCTTATTCTCACTTCCATGCGTCCATGTCTGAGCGCCAACTCCCCTGTCCTGAACCCGCAACTCGCTTCTCTCCCACATTAGGCAATGGTCTGCGTTGGAGGTCACTCCAAGGGGGGCAAAACATGCTGTCGGCGAAAGATCAAATGCGGTCCTCGTGAAACATCCCTGCTATGTTGTCGTACGCATTGACTCACATCTTCCTTACACCAACACCGGCCAGAGTGCATCACCTGCCAGAAATACGGCCACCCATATGAAGGATACCCAGCAGAAAACTTTATTCAAATGGACTTTGACCAGCCTGTGACTACTATAAACCCACCACAAGCTCTTTTGCGCTATCGTCCGGATCTAATCCCCGGAATGTTTCCACTTGCGCTCAGCTGGACCTCGCTTCAAACCTACCTTTTCTTTCCATTGAAGACTCAACTTGTAGCGGATCGGATCCAAGCCCATCGAGCTTTCCAGACCCAAGTTTCAACTTTGTTCCAGCAATACTATCACCGACTGCCAACCCGGAGATCGCTGAATATGATGAACTCCTCCCACTCCGAGTCGCTCCCCTTGCATTCACAGACCTCATATCCTTCCCCACACTCATTTTTCTACTCATTTTCCCAAAAAAGAAATAACGATTAGTGCTTCGGGCGCCGAGGAGGCGGCGGAGGCTTGTTGGTCGTATGAAACTGCGCTGAATACCTGTCGTGGTGTGGATTATCATCTGTCGGAGTTCCAGGATGGTGCAGGCAGCTTCCTCCTCCTGCATCCCTTACGCATGGTATTTAAAGCGTTCGGTTCAGGGTTGGTGCCTATGCAAAAACGAAGTGGGTGGAGCAAGCCATGAAGAAGTGTTAGGCCTCAGTGCGTTACTTTATTGTTGCCGAGCTTAATTGCCGTATTCTTTGCCTTTTCCTTCAACACCAAGGCAGAAACTTTATTATACTTTATGAAATCACCCCAAGCAATTGGTGTATATACTCAGGTGGTTTCGCTGCTGCATCAGCTCTTCAGCAGTGTTAAATTCAATTTATTTGCACTGTTCAGCAAGAAGATAAGCGGAGAATTGAGAGATAGATGGAAAGTAGCCAGCCACTTTGTGCAGGCACGTCTACAGGCCTGCATCTGAGAGGCTGATGTATTCGGAACTAGTAAGTGAACTGACAGACATCACTCTTCAAAGTTCTTAGGCAGTCTAAACCGTGTAATTGCACTTTCCAATCATAATGCAGCCCCGGGCAACTTCGTAGGAAATCGCAAAGATCGCCTCCACTTGCCTCTCAAGCTTGCTCTGACATTAATTTACTGCAGTTATGAAAATACCGTATAATACTCGGACACTGCCTATTGTGACACTTCACGGTGGAGTCTCATGGAATACTGACACTGGACAAAGATCGCTTGATTGTGAATCTTACACTCGGTGAAGATTTGGACACTGCTTCTCTTTCAATCAGTCACCCCTTGATCAAGTATATCGGCAACACAGTGCAGCAGGGTTCAAATGTAGGCAAAGTTTTCGGTACCTTGGACTAAATTTAACAATATGATAAGAACAAGTTTGGTAAGGACAGCCAGAAGAGTCAAAACCAAAAAGAAGAAAGAAACAGGCCAACCAACAATCTCTCTATAGTCGAGTTCCCCACCCGCAACATCCCACATCCACCTTCTCAACCTCATCATTCATCAAGCTCCCGTTACGCTCAGCAGTTGTAGGTCAACCTCAGACCGTTGGGCGGGCTCTGGGTGAAGCCAACGCTGCCAGCCTTGTCACCCTGCACCTCGATCAGGTAGTTGAGGGTCTCCTTGCACGCGCCGGTCACGACGGTCAACTTGGTGTCGCGGTCGGGCGCGGCGCTGACGATCTGGGTGCCGACGCTCGACACCTTGTTGGGGTGGTTGTTCCAGGTGTCGGCGAGGCTGATGTCGCGGTCGGTGCTGAAGAACTCGAGGCGGGGAGAGTTCCCGGGGCTGCCGCCGCTGGTGTCGACGTGGTAGCCGGCCTGGAAGAAGAACTCGACGCTGCACCCGTACGCGCCGGCAGGGATGCCCGTGAACTGCAGCTCCGTCACCCACTGGCTCGTCTTGCCGTCGCCCTGCGACGTGTAGACGTAGCTGTGGTCGCCCGTGTTGTGCGTCGGGTCGTCCTGCATGATCTGGAACAGGTGCGTCGGGTACTGCGTCGTGCATGCACGGCGCTCGAGCGTGCCCGTGGGTGCGTCCGAGGTGGGCAGGGCAGCCGCGAAGGCGGCGCCGGAGAGGATGGCGGTGGTGAGGGTGGTGAAGTGCATTTTGATTGGAGGATTGAGAAGTTCGTGAGTAGTGATTGCAGGAAGGCTTGATGATTGTAGAAAGGCTTGGTGACTGTAGAAAGGCTTGTTGATTGCTTGATGGAGACCATATTGAATGAAGGAAGCACTGCCTTTTATATTCCATCTCACCATAGGCATCACCAGCCCTGCGCCTGTTCGGTCAAGAATAGACATGGATTAACCCAATCCTCACGACGACTGCGGTCTCCCATTCCCCGTCACCAGACTCAGAGGGGAATAATCTCACGATGGCATCGTAGCATCTGCTGAAAGACAACTCTCGTATAGCGCCCAGAACAGGTTCTAGAAGGAATGAAGTAAGACGAGGCTTTGCAGCTCGCACCCTATTCCTGTGTGGAAGGACCCGGTTCCGTCGTAAAATTGAACCACCTAGCTTGCAAACGTAATTTCCCCAGGCGCCATTGTCGTGCAATGTCACGTTTTCTTTTTACGCCATCCGGGGAAGCGTGAATGTGACATGCAGCGAGTGGAGCCAAGACTTCGTAAGGCGCTCCTGCGTGGAGGCAAGGATTGTGGGGGATGGTGGAAAACCAACGCCAGCTTCTATTTCTGTCTGTGGCGTAGCCCTGCGAAAATGGGTACGGGATGACGTGAAGCGCCATGTCACGAGATGCGAACCATGGGTGGTGGTGGCTTGTGTTCAGCTGCCAAGCTTTTCATCAGCCTTGCGACTTTGTCATCACTGCCGTGCAACTAGCTTGCGGTATTACCAATTCTCAGATTCCGCACATGTAACAATCGAACTGAGAAGGTTTAAGATCACCGCTTACAAGACTCAAAGAAGACTCAGTTTCGAGTGCAAACTCCGTTTACAGCATGCCCTTCCATTTTTCTTCTGAACCGTCCTAAATTGAATCCGCAGTTGAACTCCTATGATATTGCATTTCAGCCTTCATTAATGTACATGTAATGGATATTGGCCCTTTTCCAGGCAGATATTAGCTTTTGTAATATTCCAACACAATCCGGTAACCTAGTAGGTAATACGAAGCGGACCCGCGTTCAGATGCATGTTTAACCACGGAGGAACGCGTGAACGCCCCTCTCGAGGATGACACCACCAGCCCCCGCAGCAAGCACAATCCAGGTCCACTTGTTCTGGACCTCACTAGGGCTAGGCCAGAAGCTGTTCTTCTCGCGCTTGTACTCCATCAGCTGCTGATACTTGAGCTGGTTTTCCTTGGGATAGCGCGCCTCCTGGTCAGCCTCGTTGCCCTTGTCACCATCGACGAAGCGAAGGAAGACGTAATTAACAACAGGGCCAAGGACGGAAAGCGGGTGAAGGATGCCGGCGCCGTAGAGAAGAACAGGGAACGAGAAGTGGACGAGAGCATCACCAAGGTAGCTAGGCACAGTCAGCGGATAATTCTCGTAGAGCACAGACAGTGGGGTACATACTTGGGGTGCCTGACGATGCTCCAGACGCCCTCACGGTTGAGCTCTTCACTCTTCTGTTGCTTGTGCGACTCGAGCTGTGTGTCCGCAAGAACCTCCAGAGCGTATCCGGTAGTGAACAAAAGAACAGCGAGGCTGTGGAAGAAGGAAGCATTCTCGGGGAGAGGCAAAGACCTGACGCTCTCCAACCTAGCACGGAAAGGCAGGGTGAACGGAAGGGTGATCAAGGTCTGGAAAACAGCCTCCGGCAAGAACATGCTGATGAAAGATTTGTTCCAGAAACTGCGGTCTTCCTTCGCCGTCACATAACGAGGGTCATCCTTCCCACGCTTCACGCTACGACTGGCAATGCGGTAGAAGAGGCGGATTCCCCAAGCAGAAACCTGAGTGAGCATGACTTTCTCGGGGTAAGTGATAGCAGACCAGGCCTCGGAGAGGGAGAGTCCATCATAGACCACACGGGTGCCAACAGCGCTCCACCAAGCGTTGGCAACCATTCCAGAAGGCCAAAGCCAGTCTTTCAGTTCTACCCGGTTTGTGTAGCGAGCCACACCATATGTGACAGCAGAGAGACCTGCGTGCAGACCGAAAGAGGGGAGAATGGCTCTCTGCAACAGTCCGACTGCGGTAGCGTTGATTGGATTGCTGGGAGGAGCGGCAAAGTGCGACGCAAGCCGATCTTGCTCTGCGCCGGAATTTATGCCTCTGCTCGCCGACAAACCCGAGCTGGATGGGGTGGGTGTAGTTCGGGCAGTTTGAATAGGGTTGTCCGGGTGGAGGCCAAAGTGGGAAGCGTAGCGGTCCTGCTCAGCGGCGGAGCCAATGCGATCGGTGCGGTTAGGGAAAGGGTGGCCTCCAAAATGGCTGCCGTACCTGTCTTGCTCGGCACCCGACGTGTGAGGCAGCCTTTCGTTGATCTTGTCCACGGGAATCGGCTTCCCGCCAAACCACCCTTCATAGCGATCTTGCTCAGCGCCGGAAGTGTGAGGTAGTCTCTCCGAGATGTCGCTTGCGGAAGGACCTTTACCGCCGAACCAGCCAGCGTAGCGATCTTGCTCAGCTCCGGAAGTATGAGGCAGCTTCTCGGAGATGTCGCTTGCGGAAGGTCCTTTGCCTGCAAACCATCCGGCGTAGCGATCCTGCTCAGCACCAGAAGTGTGCGGGAGGTGCTTCGAGATGTCGTCGACCGAAGGACCTTTGCCACCAAACCATCCACCGTAACGGTCTTGCTCGGCGCCCGAGGTGTGTGGCAGAACCTGCTGGGCCTTTTCTTTGATTTCGTCGGCGGAAGGAGCTTTGCGTCCGAACCATCCGCCGTAGCGATCCTGCTCGGCGCCAGAGGTCTTCGGTAAAGCTTCTTGAACTTTGTCTTTGAGATCGTCGGCGGAGGGAGCCTTGCCTCCAAACCAGCCGCCAAAGCGGTCCTGCTCAGCTCCGGAAGCTTTGGGGAGCTTATCTTGAATCTGGTCGACAGAGGGAGCTTTGCCGGCAAACCATCCGCCGTAGCGATCTTGCTCGGCGCCGGAGCCTTGAGGGGCAGGGATGTTCTGAAGGTTGACAGAAGAGGAATCTTTGACAGGATTGTTTGGATTGGCTCCCCAGTGGGAGCCGTAGCGGTCTTGCTCAGCCATTGGGATGAGTTCGACAGCAATGGAGTGAAGTTGGTGTGGGATGGTGAGGTGGAATGACCGGAGAAGAGGGGTTTATTATGTTTATTAGGCGCATTCTGCAGCTCGACAGGGCAGCTGCGAGGGTTGGGTGAGCTCCTCCGCATATGACGTCGCTAGTGTATCATAGCTCCCGCAGCCGTGGATCCTCTCAATCGTACCACCTTTCTCCGGAAAGCCCGCGGGACAACAAAGGATGGAAGCGCATGAACAGGAAGCTTGCCCGGTCGATGAGCTGGGTTGTCAGTTGTCTGCTGCTATCAATTCTGCAAATTTGAGAAGGGTGCTTGCTGCGGGCTTCAAAGGCGGATCTCCGCGCAGCCGCTTCTTCTTGCGTAATGTTACATGCATCGGAGCAAGCTCGGGTGGAATCCTACGCGGAGTACATGCATGCGCGCTGCAGAACAGGGAAATATTTATTTCTAGGCGTCTTTTTACTGGAGGTACTTCTTGAGACCGCGCAGTCTATCCTGGGCAAGCTCCAAAACATCGTCGTTCTTGCAGACTGCGAACCGCAGCCAGTCCTCGACAATGTGTGCGTTGCCGGGCGTGAAGAACTCAGTGGGCGGGATGGCGGCGAGGCCAAACTCCTTGATCAGGAACCATGACAGCTTGAAGTCGCGCGGCCGCTCGGCCACGTGGGGAGGGAAATCATAGCCGTCGGGAAGCTTTACCTTGGCCATGTTGACGAGAACAAAGTACCCGCCCTCCGGAATCGAGTACGGCAGTCCCAGCTCGTCCCAAATGGCATTGAACTTGTCCATCTTGCCCTTCATCTCCTTCTTCGACTCCTCCCAGAAGTTGTGCTTATCCGCCTCCTCGAACGCCACAGCCGTGGCTTCCTGCAGCGGGCTGACACTGCTGTAGCAGATGCGCGTGTGCGCAGCGCTGACATACTTGATCAGATGCTCAGGACCGATCAACCAGCCAACCCTCCACCCGGTGGCGTAGAAGTTTTTGCCGCCGGATCCGACGGTGATGGTGCGCTCGGCAACCTCGGGCGACAGCGTCGCAATGCGCGTGAAGGGAACGTAGTACAGGCGGTCGTAGACCTCGTCCGAGAGAATGATCAGGTTGTGTTTGACGCAGATGTCGGCAATGGCTTGAAGCTCCTCCTTCGAGAAGACCTTGCCAATCGGGTTGTGCGGCGTGTTCAGGACGATCATGCGGGTATTGGGAGTGATGGCAGCCTCGAACTCCTTCAGGTCAATCTTCCACTCTGCCGCCGAAGTCGTCTTGGTTGCGCCCTCCTTGGGAGGGTGCATGGGCACGTAGACGACCCTTCCGCCAGCCATCTCGATGTTGGAGATGTACTGGTCGAAGAAGGGCTCGAACACGATGACCTCATCGCCAGGCTCAATGAAGGCCATGAAGGCACTGAGCATGCCCTCATTGGCGCCCGTGGTAATGGTGATCTCGGTCTCCGGGTTCAAAGTCTTGCCGAAGAAGGGCGAGTATGCATCCGCCAGCGCCTGCTTTAACCTCGGGCGACCCTTCGCACAGTCAGCACCGCTTGTGCATGTTATAGTCTGCCGTCCGTACCTTGGTAGGAGAGTACTGGTTGCACTCGACGCGGTCGAGAGCGTGCTTGGCGGCATCGAGAACGAACTGCGGGGGGTTGTAGCCGAAAAAGCCCTGGCCCATGTTCACGACAGGCGTAACGGGTGTTGCGGCGGCGGCCTCGTTGACAATCGACCTGCCTGTGGCATTAGTATCGGCTGCTGAGCTGTGAGAGAGAATTGCGCACCAAACATCCTGCTTCTGGCCCGCCACTCTTGCGGCGGGCTTGTACGGGTCGCGACGCGCAGCAGTAGCCGACATAGCTCTTGCGGGCTGAGGAGTGCGAGTGAAGAAAGACAGACCAGGCTTGGTGAAGGAGGAAGAAGAAGAGAGTGTCAGACGACCTGATGAGCGTAGGAGCAGCGAGGGCCTCATGTTAGTTTGTGGTGACTCTTTTCTCGCATCCCACCCACCTACCAGTGCGCGAGCCCGATTACGTGCTTGCCCACCAGCGATCGGCGTTTATCGGCCTGTCGGGCGGTGACGCCGACTTCGGGCCCTCCGCAGAAGCTCTGACTGCCTGCTGGAGCCGGAGCTTGCGAAGCTAAACCGGCCCGTCGCGTCGCCCCAGATTCCAATCCAACACGACGCGTCTTTTCGCAGCGCTGCCAACAATTGGGCCCCGCCCACACACCATGGTTGACTGCCCCATTTGCTCCAAGCCCGTCTCAGAACGCCACATCAATGAGCACATAGATTCGGGCTGCGAAGCTCACGTCATCGACACGACCAATGCACCACCACCTCCAACCCAGAAGGCCAATGTCGCCAGCTTCTTCCAACCGCCTTCCACAAAGCGCTCTTCGAACCTGTCTACGAAAAATGTCGAGCCTTCGCCTGTCACATCTCCCATTCCAACCAGAACACAGCTTCCGGCTCCATCCGAACCCTCTACAAACGGCTTGAAGAGACCCTTCGACCCTGAACCCGTGAATAAGAAGTCGGAGCCAGTGTCTTCGCCGCCGTCTCCAAAGCGCAGCAAGTCTAACGCCTTCCAGAAGGTTGCACCGCTGGCGGAGCGCATGAGGCCCAGGACACTCGACGAGGTCTGCGGACAAGAGCTCGTGGGATCTGATGGCGTAATCCGAGGTCTGATTGAGCAAGATCGCGTACCCTCGATGATACTCTGGGGAGGACCCGGCACTGGCAAGACTACAATAGCACGCCTCATAGCCCACACAGCTGGCTGTCGATTCGTCGAAATCAATAGTACCAGTTCCGGCGTAGCTGAGTGCAAGAAACTCTTTGCCGAGGCTCGGAATGAGTTGGGCCTCACCGGGCGCAAGACGATAATATTCTGCGATGAAATTCACAGATTCAGCAAGAGCCAACAGGATGTCTTCTTGGGGCCTGTCGAGGCCGGACAGGTCACGCTCATCGGTGCGACGACCGAGAACCCCAGCTTCAAGGTCGTCAACGCCTTGCTGTCACGGTGTCGCACCTTTACCCTCTCCAAACTGTCTGAAGAGACTGTTACGACTATACTCCGTCGTGCGCTAGAACGCGAGGGAAGCAATGCTGATACTAGCTTGGTTGATGATGAGATGTTGGGCTACCTGGCCGCCTTCGCCGACGGTGACGCTCGCACTGGGCTCAATCTCCTTGAACTGGCAATGGATCTCTCTACTCGACCATCCATGACAAAGGAAGCCATCAAAAAGTCGTTAACGCAGACCCTCGTGTACGATCGTGCTGGTGATCAACACTACGATACCATTTCAGCATTTCATAAATCAATACGTGGTTCCGACCCCGACGCATCTCTCTACTACTTGGCACGAATGCTACAGTCAGGCGAGGATCCTCTCTATGTTGCGAGACGGCTCATTGTCGTGGCATCCGAGGATGTTGGTCTGGCAGACAATACAATGCTTTCCCTTGCTACGGCCACTTACGCTGCCTGCGAGAAAATCGGCATGCCTGAATGCCGCATCAATCTTGCTCACGCAACTGTCGCGTTGGCCATGTCGCCCAAATCAACGCGTGCATATCGCGGCCTCAGCAACGCCATGGCGGCCCTTCAAGAACCCGGCATAGCTGGCCTACCAGTGCCAGTACATTTGCGCAACGCACCGACGAGGCTGATGAAGGAGCTTGGATATGGAAAGGAGTACAAGTATAATCCGGATTACTTGGACGGGAGAGTCGTTCAGGATTATCTGCCGGAAAAGTTGCTCGGCAGAACTTTCCTTGAAGACGCGGATCTGGGGACGAAAATTGATACGGACTTGCCCGAGGATTTCCATGAGTATGACCTTGGTTAATATCGCCTCCTCAAGCATCTGAATCCCTCATATACTCGAAGAGACTGGCAATTGTATCTGGATATTGTAGGCGATCAAGAGTACTAATTGTCTCTGTTAGTGCGTCAACCGGCCATGCCCAAGAAGGGGATATCACGCACTCTTCCTCGAGTTTTGACCATATGATCGAACTCTGAATGGGCTTTGCACCTTGTCGCAAACAGCTGCGATTCTGTGAAGGATATCGGCGGCTCGCCACAGGATCCCAAAGAAGCCGATAAAAGGAAACTCTAGATAGTAGTTAGGGCCGGGCCATCAAACTACTGTCGTGGTGAATGGGAAACAGTCAGACCAGAGTTGAGGAACACGTGGACGTACATGTTGGTCAAGAGAAAGCATGTGTTGAAAGTCAACCCAGTTAGATGCACGTGCGGAGTTTGCAAGAGGCGACATTCATGGGAAAGAAACTGCCTCTTTATGACCTGGCAATCACGCTCAAATGTAGTGAATTCCTAAACCCTCATGTGTACTTGCCACCCTTTTCAGGGAGTTCCTTGTTAATACGAGGATGTCCTGATACTGACGGCCGCAAAACTATAAGTATCGCACTTTTGTTCTACGTATGAATTCAACGACAATCAAGCAAAAATCTTCGCACCAACGCCAATCAGTCTTTCATTCAAAAATTTACGACAATGTCTAATCAGCCCCAAAATACCAAGGGGAAGCAGAAGCAAAGCTCCCAACCCCAAGCTCGTTCCAGCGGCGCTTATTCAACGGGACAAAGTAGCAGTTCCAGCCAACAACAAAGTAGTACAACGACACAGACACAATATAATTCAAGGCCTACAGAATACAGGTGGGATCCTTTCGATCAGGCAAACATGCCGAGTGGCACCCAGGCCTACAGGCCGTGGTAATAATGAGTCACTAATAAAATCTTTTGGCGAAAGCTGTATTTATGTATTTAGTAGCTGAACAATTGCACCACATCTCTATCGATATTCCGTCGGTTGACTTATGTGGACTTCACTTGAAAAATTCCCTAGGCTGCTTTGAAACCCCTGAGAACAAGCAACGAAGACAGAAACACAAGTCTGCTAAGCGGCATTTGTTGATTAGAAGGAGCGTGAGAAATGACGTCAATTAATCAGACTTCAAAGAAGCCTTATGTGCAATAAATTTGTATACTCTATCAATAAAACCTGAATTTCCCGCATACAAGTTCCTCAAGCTCCTTAGAGCCAGTCTAGCACCTCGACTCCTTCCTGCCAATTTTTGAACATTGTTCCTTTGAGTTGAAGTTTATGCAACCTCTTGGACCATTCTCCCCGCAAAAGGCGTCTTCACTGTCGCAGGCCTTGACTTGGTCATCAGCTCTCCGAGGGGAGACTCAACCCAGTCGTGAGGCACCGCAATCTGGCTGCTCTCAGCAGTCTGGATATAGCGAACCCATAGAGCCGGGGCGCGTTCCTCTTCTATTTCCTGCTCTTCGCCGGCGGCGTCGGCGTCGATCTGTGCTTTTCCACGGCGCTTCGGGGCTTGCTTCTTGAGAAGACGGTTGATCGTGTCCATCTATGAAAAGTCAGTTTTCCATTCACGAGAAAGCCAATGGCTGTTGTATGCAGCGATTGAGGCATTTGTGCTCACCTTTTCCTCTTCGTTGCGTTTCTCGCTGAGATTCTTCCTGCGACGAGCCATTTCGGCTCTCCGCATGGCATGCTCCTCGGCAGTCAGGTGCTTCTTCTTTTGCGCTTCTGCAGGGATGTTAGTATGCTGAAAATTATTGGGCTTGGAATAACAGACCATTCGATAGAGAAATCAATTCGCCCTCGTAGGTTTCGAAAGCCGCCCGTTGGCGCCTGGTGAGCTTGCTGAGGTCTGGTGTGCCTGCTCGACTGCCGGACATTGGCGTCTCCTCGTCGCTGTCCATTTCGTCGTCCAGCTCGTCGTCCTCGCCCTCGGCATCATCTTCCTCGATATCCTCATCGTCTTGCTCGTCTGCGGAGTCTAGCTCCGAAAGCTCGTCGTCCTCGCTCTGGTCATCCTCCATGGCCATCTCCTTAGCTTCCACGCTTGGGACCTCCCGGTCCGCTTGTGAGACCTTGATGCTCGGCTTCTGCTGCTGCTTCCCTCTCCCCTTGGCAGCTGGAGGGGGCGGAGCAGGTAAGTCCTCCATGTCTACGTCCTCGTCGGCGTCGGCGTCGGCGTCGTCGGCCATGTCTTCATCGTCGTCGTCCTCCTCGACATCGTCGTCGTCCAGCTCATCCTCGTCAAGCTCCTCCTCCGACGTGTCCTCAATAATGGTCTTCTTGTTCCGGGAGCTGCGCTGGCCGACGACGATCTCGCCACCGACGAAGCTGTTGCGCGAGTTCCCGGCGCCCCTGCGGGGCTGGCTGGTGCCGCTGGTAGCTTCGCGGAGCTTGCTGGGGGCGGCCTTGACGGTGAGGTGGATGGACTGGCGCGTCTCCTCAGGCGAGGTGCGCTCGATGGTGGCGGAGGTGGGAGCAGCAGCTGCACGGCGCGGGCGCGAGCTCGCAGAGGTGGGTTGGCTTTGCAGGTCAGCATTAATCTGGGCGCGCGAGCGCAGGCGGCGGGTTGCCATTGTGGGTGGGTGCTGGGGAGCGAGTTGGGGTGGTGGCAGAAAGGAAGGCGGCTGCAGGTGTATCTGATAGGCTTGGGGGTGGCTCTTGCTCCGAGGCGTGCGTTCCTGGGCGTGTCGCACGGCTTACTCAGGGAGGAGCTGGGTACATACTTATTGTTGCTGGCTTTGTTTGCCTGCGCCGCAGGTGTCCAATCGTCGCTGCCAGAGTCGTCGTCGTCGGTGCGCAGCCGCTTGACTGGCCGCCCGCCGCGATCCGCCATGCTTGTGTCAGGCTGTTTATCCAAGCGCTATCGAGCAGGGTTCCGAGCTTGGAGGCGGTTCGATACGAAATGCTGCGCAAAACTCTGGAGCTCCAAGCTGCCCTCACGCATTCCGCATGATGCGCGACGGAGCGAGCTGCGCAGCGGGCCGCGGCCTAGGCCTGCACGTGACGCCTGCCAGCGGCCGCTACTTATGAATCGCCCTGCGTCACAAGCCGAGGTCCCGGCCGCCGCGTCGCTGAGCTCAAGTACGCCGTCACGCCCTTCCTCTGCACCCTGCGTGTTGCGACCATGGGCGACTCTCCCTCGGACAAGAAGCCTGGCATTCCCGCCTGGCAGCGCGCCCAGGCGCCATCCACGCCTTCCGACTCCGCTTCGTCCGCCACGGAAGACTCGCGGCCGCCCACTCCAAGCTCAGACTCAGCCTCCGAGCACGCCGATGAGCCCCAGTCCGAGCCCCAGCCAAGTTCGCTGGATGCGAACGAGCCTCCCAAGGACGGAGCTCTCCTCCTGCAGCAGGCGCGCAAATTCCTGCAAGATCCCTCCATTCGCGATGCCGCCGACGACCGGAAGCGGAGCTTTCTGGTCTCCAAAGGCGTAGCCGAGGACGACATCAAGCTACTGCTCGCCGAGGCGAAGATGCAAGATACGCCGCCAAGTAAAGTAGCTCCGCCAAAGGTGGGTACAGCGTCTTTTTGCAGGCCACTAATACCTTTCGTCTCATCGTATTTCTCCGAGCTCTTTCTCAATATTCGCTTATGAACTGCCTTTTCGGGCAATTAGACGTAGCGTGCTGACCTTATCTTAGTCCCCTGCGACTCAGCAACCTTTGTCGTCTCCGCCCACCGCATCCCGCGCTCCTCCGAAAGATATCCCGCCCATTGTGACGTATCCAGAATTCTTGACCCAGCCTACATCACCTCCGCCGCTCATTACCGTCTCTCGCGTCCTCAATGCCATATACGCTGCTGTAGGGTTGGGTGCTGTGACATATGGCGTATCGAATTACCTTGTCAAGCCGATGGCTGAGGAGCTGGCTGGAGCGCGAGCGGAGTTTGCTGTTAATACGAAGTCCAACATTGAAAAGCTCAATGAGAAGCTGGAGGGCATGGTTTCGACTGTACCCAAGCTTGGCAGCAACGGGAAGCCATTATCACCAGAACAGGAGAAGGATGCGACCTCTGATGTCGATTCGGATGAGGACCCCACGGAGCTCTATCATCGTGACTTCGGCACACAGACAAGTCCCGCTCTTTCCCGGCGTGGGAGTGACGCCTCTTCCGCTGATTCAGAGAAGTCGCCAGCAACCCCGGCGGAGGCACAGTCCGCGCACCTCGACAAGCTGATAGCCGAACTCCGCGGTTTGACCTACCTGACGAGAGGAAACTCGACGCAGGACGATGCTGTGCAGACACAACTGGGAGACTTGAAGAATTACCTCAACGAAATGGCTTACTCGAGCCCCTACTACGGAGGTGATATCTACGGCGCAAGGTATGGCAGTAGCTGGAAAAAGTCGGGAGAGGAAGACGCCATTGAGGCATTCAAGGCCGACATCAGAAGCGTAAAGGGTGTTTTCCTCTCGTCGAGGAATTTCCCGAGCGCGCAACAAAGAGGATATGGAGTGGGTAGGTGATGTCGCCAACAAGGGGCAGTCTCCAGGACTGGACGGCAGGCGTTGGTGGACTTGGTCTCACTTTGGGCACTCTACGTTGATATGACAGGTTTGTACATGTTCTTCGCGGTGGAAGCGGCCGCTAAAATATCTCATGGATGTCAACTGCTGCATCTACTAAATCTGAGGATACGCTACATATACCCTAACTTCAGTTCAAGGTGGTCCTCTGGTTCACTCATTCAAGACGCTATTCGATTACTATTGGATCCACGTATTCGCCGACGTCTCACGCGGCTCGTTCAAGGACTCTTCGCACCCACTCCGTCCTTGTTTTATTGGCCATTATAGAGATCGCAGCTGTTGGGACAAATGCGTGAAAGTTATGGGTCCCGCCCGGCCAAACGTGAATCTCAGCATCGACACCACATTCCCAAAGCTTCGAAGCATATGCAACATCCTCATCTCTGAACGGCTCTGTCGAACCCACGTCGATGAAAGTTGGTGGCAGTCCGGACATATCCGTCGCCCTCGCTGGGGCTGCGTAATAGCTGACCCCCTCGCTGCCCGCTTTGTCGCCTAGCAGACACTTCCACCCAAAAGCATTCCTCTTCCGGTTCCAGCAATCACCCTGCGCAAACTGCCGGCTGGATACACTGTCATTCCGATCGTCCAGCATGGGACAGACCAGCAGCTGCGCGCACAACTTCGGCCCTCCCTGGTCTCTCGCCATCAGCGCCACGGCCGCCGCCAGCCCACCGCCAGCCGACTCGCCCGCCACCATCAGTCGCTTCAGGTCAATCCCCAGGTCCAGCGCGTTCGCCGCGACCCACTGCAGCGTCGCGTAGCAGTCCTCGACGGGCGCCGGGTGCGGGTGCTCGGGCGCGCGCCGGTACTCCGGGCTCACGACGACGGCGCCGAAGGCCGCGATGTACTCGGCCATGGTGCCCATGCCCAGGAAGCGGTCGCCGGAAGTCATGCCGCCGCCGTGGAAGTTGAGGATGCCGGGCCGATGATTCCCGTCATTGGCATTCTTGGATGGTGCGAAGATGGACACGTCGATGGGCCCGCGTGGACCGCGGATCGTCTGTTCGGTGTGGGTGATGGCGGGGTTGGCGAGGATGATTTCTTTGACGGCCGTTGTGGCGAGGGTGAGCTCGGTGCGGTGGTCTTCTAGGGCCGTGGAGTCCATATCCGGGGTGTCGGGGAAGATGGGGAGGCCGGCGTAGAGTTCGGGGTCGTATGGTGGGCGGGGAAGGAGGTTTTCGTTTGGCGCGGTCATTCTGGGTGAGGTTTGCTGAATCCCTCCTGTTGAAATATGGAAAGGCTTGTGCGGAAGGCAATGTCGGACTTGGTTCTCTGGGGAGCTTGTGGGTGCAAGGCTGCTTGCAGTTGTTGGCTTGGGATGAGTTAGAGTGCAGGGAGTAAGCGTACTCGGCTTGTCTTATAAGCCTGTTCTGGACACTACTGAGAAGCAATCGAGTCAGATCCACCTTATTCGTCCGTTTGATAGGCTCTAAATAAGCCGGAAACTATAATCACAGCCCGCTATCTTCAACCCACGTGTTCTCTATGTACATATTGATTCTGCTTTGAGACTAGTAATTACTATGTTAGGATGGCGTATACTATCCAGCTGATGTATTGAGATCGCAGACTCCGCCCACTTTTGCTGCCTGAATTGATCTGGGTCGGAGCGAGAGGTGCTTACAAATACGCCCATCCTTCAAAAACCTCAAACAGCAGAGGCACGAGCGATCACTATTCACTTTTGTGGGTTTCAGCCAATTCCATCCGAAACTTCGTCCGTAACTTATAAATAACCACCGCGTGTCTATTCTACCTCTTGCGGAAACCGTAACTAAGCCCCACCAGCACCAATCCAACAATCATCCTTCTTCTCATACACCACTCTCCGTCTCAACCGCCTCTCTAAGCCTATCCAACGCATCAACCCTCAACACGCCATCCCTCCCCTCTCCTGCTCCCGCCCCATCACCACCACCCTCACAATACCACACAACCACACACCCCGCCTCCCTCGCCGGCACCACATCCCTCTCCCAGCTATCCCCCACAACCGCAACCTCCTCAGCCCTTAAAACCCTATCACCACCACCAACCCTCCTCAACACCTCCCCCCAAAACCCCTCCTCCACCTTCGCCCTCCCCACATCCCCCGTCGTCACCACCTCGTCCACGAACCCACCGGTTTCCTTTAGCAACCCCAACTCCCGCAACGTCCACAGCTGCGCGTCGCGCGGGCCCTCGGTGACGACGACGACGCGGCGGCCCGGCCGCGCCTTGAGCGCGCGCAGCAGCGGCGCGGCGCCGGGCTTGAGGGCGAGCGAGGCGCGGAGGGCGGTCTTGTAGGTTGCGGCGAGGGCGGTGAGGTAAGGGGAAGATTCTAGTTCTAGTTCGTCGGTGGCGTCGTTGGGGGAGGGTGAGGAGGAGGGAGCAGAAGGAGGAGAAGGAGAAGGGGGATCAGCCAACGAGAGGCCGGCGGCGTGCAGCAGCGCAGCGAAGCGCTCTTTGCGGTAGTCGTCGCTGGTGCGGGTGGCGCCGTCGGCGAAGGCGTTGGCGGTTTTGGCTTTGAGGATGGTGGCGTAGAGGGCGCGGAGGCGGGGGACGTCGATGGTGGTGGTGGCAGCAGCCTTGTCGCCGGGCTGGTGAAGAAGGGTGGGGTTCTCAGTATTGGTGCTGGCGACTATGTACTCGAAGACGGCCGTCGCCGCGGCGGACGAAGCGGCGCGGAAGCTGTGGAGCGTGTCGTCTAGGTCGAAGGCGTACGTGGTGCAGGGCGCGAGAGCGGTGCGGAGAAGATCTGGTGATGAGGACATGATGGCGTTGTATGCTTTCCTTTCCTCTGTCTCTTCTGTGTTGTTTTCTAGCTCTTTAGGTATGATGGAGGACAGGAGATTTCGACTGACGTAGTAGAAATGGACAAACAAGTCTTTCTTGCTAAATAGACAACTGAATAGATGTTATGAGTCATCAGTGCAGCACGCAATCTGCGCTTCGCTTACCTTGTTGAGTTGTATGTTATATTTAACCTGGAGTAGAGAGCGGAATAATCAAGTCTAGTCGCAGATCTCAGTAAGATGTGTAAAGTCCTCTATGATTGGCCAGCATTTTAGTACTATTAGCAAACTGCATAGGTATACGAGAAAGCCACACACTCTTAGCAACATTTTGTAGAATAGATATATCATGCATTCTTTGTGGAGATATACCGCCAGGCTTTTTTGCCTGGAATCTATACCGCCACCACTTCTACAGAGACCGAAAAGGAAATCGGAGACTTCATGACTGTGTCCTTCCAATGTAACCTCTTGGCCATAAAGATATTAAAACCCAAACAAAACGCCTGCCAAAACGCATGACCCAGATCTTTTCTAACATATGAAGGGGCAAATGCCCAGAGGTACTAGAAAGGTCATGCAACATCACCGTCTAGCTTTTGTCGTCAAGAACATTGCGTCGCAGGGGTAATGATTTAGAGCGAGGCCTTCTCGATGCGGTTGCCCTGCTCGTCGAACCAGATCTTCTTGCCGGAGCGCAGAGACTCCTGGAGAGCACAGCCGATGCGGACGGCCTGAACGGCGCCCTCGAGCTTGAAGGGCAGCTCAGTGTTGTCAAGGCAAGCAGCAGTGAACTCGTTGGCCTCCTGGACGAAGGCGTACTCGAAGCGGCCGTAGTAGTGCTCGGGGATCTCGCGGCGGATACCGTTGGGCTCGTGCATCTCGACGAGGGAGCCCTGGGGGTTGCCGTTGATGACGAGCTTGCCCTCGGTGCCGATGATCTCGGACATGTCGTGCTGGCCAGCAGCCATGATACGCGAGGAGTAGAAGGTGGCAATCTTGCCGCCGTAGAACTCGACGACACCGACGCCGTTGTCGACATCACCGTACTTAGCCAGCTCAGGAGAGACAGCGGTGATACCCATGGCAACGACGGACTTGACCTTGGCATCCTGGCCGAAGTACCAGAGCGCAAGGTCGATGTCGTGGATGTTGCAGTCGACGAAGATGCCGCCAGAGAAGCGAGCATACTCGACGAAGAAGCCGGAGGGGTCGAGCTTGTCGCAGGTCTGGCTGCGGAAAACGGAAGGCTTGCCGATGCTTCCGGTCTGCATGCGGTTGAAAGCGTCGCGGTAGCTGGCGTCGAAGCGGCGAGAGAAACCGCAGAGAACCTTCAGGTGCGGCTTCTTGGCGGCGGCGTCGACAACGGATTGCGACTGGATTAAACTGTTAGTTACTTGGCCCTCTCCGGTCAAACAGTAGTACTCACCACGTCAATGCTGGTGGAAAGAGGCTTCTCGCACAGCACGTGCTTGTCAGCCTCGATGGCCTTGATGGCCTGCTCGGCGTGGGCAGTGGTGACGGTGGCGACAACAACAGCCTCGAGGCCGGGGTGCTTCAGCATCTCCTCGTAGTTGTTGTAGATCTTGACGTCGGGCAGGTTCGTCGCGGCCCACTCGGCTTCCTTGGGCTCGGGAGTGAAGGCTGCCACGACATTGGCACGGGGAGTGCGGGTGTAGAAGTTGGTGGCGTGGCGAGCGCCCATGCGGCCGAGACCGGAGATGGCGATGTTGAGCTTCCTGGGGGCCATTGTGTCGTTGTGTGTCGTGCGGTATTCGGAGCGAAAGGAGGTGGCGGGAGAGAGGCCGAGGCTTTCAAGGACTGATGGGGAGCGAGGCTGTTGTTCGGAGGAAGCTGTCCAGGAGTGGTACAGAGTCTGCAGGCGACCAAGCATGGCAGGTCAGATCAGGAGTTCAGGCAAGGTCATTGGGAGAGACGGGAGACAGGGACATACGAGAGAGCCGAGCTTGTCGGGGAGCGGGCGTGAGGAGAAAGGCGTGCAGATGAGGGTGGCGGGAGGACAGCGAGAGCGCGCAGCTTATATCGAAGTCTCTGGAGTCTGGTCGGCGCAGCTCGGGCAGGGGTAGCTGGCGTCGTGGACTGGCAAACCTGCTAGCTCGGCGTATTCTGCCGCCTCCCCACACTTTTTTGCAGGCATTTTGGCCTCACCGCCCGGCGGGATACCCACCGCCGTGCCTGAGCGCCGCCCGCGCCCGCGCCCGCAGAGCGCAAAGGGTCCCACCGGGCCGTCTCGTCGGAATCTCCTTCCCTCACTCGCATCTTACGCTCACCGCAGTAGGTTTACGCTCTGCAGAACGTGGTTTACGCTGCCGCTAAGCCTTGTCCGCGCCGGAATCTCATTCCCACTACGCTCAAATGCTGCTGTTTCGCCCGGAAACGCCTACCTCTACTCACCTTTCGAGGTTTGTGACGCAAGCCACGCCCCCTCGACCACCCGCTATCTCCAGCTTGCAGCACCCCGCATGTGCGCCTGAACGCTTATCCACGGTGATTGACAGCTGCTAGCCTACCGCTTACCCCGGACTTGCCTGTAGCCGCACCCGATTTTCTCCATGGGGTGCGAAAAAGCGGGTGTCGGTAATCGGGAGTCCGTATAGCGCCAACGCATCTGGACGCGTCTGACACCTCAAACAGCTATCGTCGACTACCCCATTGGGACGATTGAGTCGGGTCTTGCAGTCCGCATGACCCACCCCCAACATTATCAATTGTCTATCTACCGGTCCGCGTGATTCATTGCAGACCACTCCAGCATCCCTGCGTACTGCATCATCGTGGCACATCTTTGCGCCTTAACATGCCAGTCGGCGAACGCGACGTCGAGGTCGGCCGGACTCCACAAAAAAAAAAAATTGCGGTGACTTCAGATTAACCGCTTACCCGCTTTATGGCCCATTAATTACGGCGCACGAATTATGGCGCAGGGCGCGGGAGGATGGAGAGTATTGACCGTGTTGCAAATAATTTATTCAAGAACTACTTTTCAAGTCTCAAGGCTAAAAGACGATTCTACCCACACCACACCACATTATGCAGGATAATCCAAACCAAATATCCACCAACGCCAGACATGCGCATTATGTCAGACTACAGCTTCCATCTCACAGCCTGGGGCTCAACTACCCGTTAGCCCTCAGCTGGAAGGGTAGCTACAGCTAGGTAGCCTTACCGTAGCTCGTCGTTCATCTCAACCACAACCTTCAGCACCAGCTTGCCCTGCTCATCCTTGGTCTTTGCTGCCATCTGGAATGCCTCTGGGATCGAGTCCAGACCCTTGTAACGGTGCGTGACCAGCTTGGAGAAGTCAGGGTAGTCTGGGCCGGGCTGCTTCGACACGACTTCAATACCGGTGGGATACGTGTTGGCATAGCGGAAGACGCCCACGATGTCAACTTCGCGCAGCGCTGCAGCCGAGATGGGGAGAGTCTGGATGGGATGGCCCATTCCAATGAGAAGAACTCGGCCACCGGGCCGGGTTGCCTGTCATGTGTCAGTCCTCGTGCTCACAGTGCGCTTCCAACTGGGATTGACGTACGTAGATACCGGCCTGCAGGCAAGACGGCACACCGGTACACTCGAAGACAGCATCCACCTCCCCGAACTCCTCTCCGGTTGTCTTCTTCACCTTCCCGATCGAGGCAGCCGTTTCACGTGCGATCTCGAGGTTCTCTTCGATCGTCTGGCCGCGCTTCATCGGGACAGTGAAGCCAGCATGTGCGAAACCGTTGTTGACGGCGAAGTTAACACGGCCCTCGTCGATATCTGCGATGATGACATTGCTGGCGCCAGAGATCCGCACCATACCAGCAACCAGCAGTCCAACGGCGCCTGCGCCGAAGACAAGGACGGTGCTGAGCGGAGGAAGCTGGGCGCGGCGGGTAGCGTGAATAGCGACACCGAGGGGCTCGAGGAGCGCACCCAAGTCGAGAGAAAGGTTATCGGGCAGCCTGAGATGCCGCATCAGTCTCAACTCCCAGCAGAATGTGTCCAATCATCACTTACTTGTGGCACCACTTGGCCGGGTGGTTGATCCTGTCCTGGAGAGTGCCCTGGGCGTGGGGGAAAGCCTTCGCGGAGCTCCTGAACTTCATGCCCTTGCAGATGTTGTATCTGCCCTCCTTGCACCTCTCGCACTCGCCGCAGGGCAGACCAACTTCGAGGGCGACCTTGTCTCCGACCTTGAAGTTTGCTGCCGCCTCAGAGCCCACCGCCACAACAACACCCGCAGACTCGTGGCCTAGCGACATTGGCTCCTGAACGATAATGTCGCCATTGCGGTAGTGGTTGTAGTAGTGCAGATCCGAGCCGCAAAGGCCCGTAGCCCTCACTGCAACCTGAAGCTCATCTGCTGCCGGCGCAGTAAGCTCGCGGTTTTCCTGGGCTGGTCAGCGCACTGCGGGGAACAAAGCGTCGCGTGAGCTTACAATTCTGAGGTCTTTGGCGCCGTGAAGCACCGAGGCGCGAATGGAGCCGCACATTGTGAGCGATGCGAATAGCTAGCTTGTTGGGGAACGGAGAGAGGAATTGAAGCTTGAGAAGCTGGAGCGAAGCAAGACTGTTGGGGAGAGGCGCAGAGGAGAAATGTGGAGCTTGGGAGAGAGCAGGAAATGTCTCAGCATATGAGGAGAGCAATGCGGCCGCGGGGAAGTTGCGGCGAACGGAAAGCTATACCCAGGGCCGAGTAGACTTTCCGGGGACCGACAGGGATGCAGCGCGAATGACGGCACTGCGGACGTGTGGAGGCGGGAAAAGAATCCGCGTCGGCTACTGACTCAAAGGCCGAGGCCCCGCGCCGCCTGCCCCACGCAAGCTCCGGCTGCCCCGCGCGTCATGCCAGAGGTTGAAAGGCAGCTAGCTTGCTTGCGTTATGGCAAACCTTCTCCGAGGCCCGGCCCTATTCCTCTAAGCTTTCCCGAATTCTTCATATTGTCCGCATGGCCCAGCAACGCTTGAGCAAGCTTCACCAGCAACTTTCTCCTCAACTTTCCTCCACAACTGCCCCGCCATCCTCCTCTTCTCCGCCCTCCACCATGACCTCTGTGCAACAGCTCTTCTCCCTTGAGGGCCAGACGGCGCTCGTCACGGGCGGCACCCGGGGCATTGGTCAGGCCATGGCTGTGGCATTGGCTGAAGCTGGCGCCGACCTCCTCCTCATCCAGGTATGCATCTGAATCGGGCAGCTCCTCCACGACACATTGACTAACGTCTTCCAGCGTGACACGTCCAACACGGCGACCAAGTCTCAGATCGAGGCCCTTGGCCGGAAAGCCACCATCTACACCGCAGACCTGAGCGACGCGAAGTCCGTCGCAGCCCTCACCCCCAAGATCACCGGCGACGGCCACAAGATCGACATCCTCCTCAACTGCGCCGGCATCCAGAAGAGGCACCCGGCACACCAGTTCCCGGACGAGGACTGGGACGCAGTGCTGCAGGTCAACCTGAACACCGTCTTCACCCTCTGCCGCGACGTCGGCGCTCACATGCTCGCCCGCGAAGCCGACTCGACCGGCCGCCGCGGCGCCATCATCAACGTCGCCTCGCTCCTCTCCTTCCAGGGCGGCATCACCGTGCCCGCCTACGCCGCCAGCAAGGGTGGCGTGGCGCAGCTGACCAAGGCGCTGAGCAACGAGTGGTCTAGCAAGGGCATCGCCGTCAACGCCATCGCTCCGGGGTACATTGCGACGGAGATGAACACCGCGCTGATCAACGACAAGAACCGCGCCGACAGCATTTTGCAGCGCATTCCGGCGGGCCGCTGGGGAAGCCCCGAGGATTTCAAGGGTGCCGTGGTGTTCCTGGCATCAAGGGCAGCAGGATACGTTGGCGGTGAGGTGTTGACCGTCGATGGTGGTTGGATGGGCAGGTAAAGAAGAGGAGGGACATTGAGAGGTAGGATTAAGTCATCAAAAAGAGGAGGAATAGATTACTATTAAGAGTTCGGCATGCGTTGGAGTTCGCATAGATAATTTCCATCATAATTTTCTTTGATTCAGCTCCCCAAGTCTTCAGCCAATCATCGGCATTTTATCCTTTTCCTCTTTCTACCTTGATGTCCTGCATCAGACGTGTTTCAAAGCAAGCGCGCTATCACGTGTCGGTGGCGAAGCTCTCTTTACTAGACATCTCGGTTCTATCTTCTCCGGAATCTGGGGTAAGTCTTGCTGAGACAGATCTCCTTGTGGGGTAACCGTTTCCGTTTCCTCATCAAGGAATCTTTTCCATTAGGCACCACATTCCTTAGGACGCTAACTCGCAAGCAGCTCTTCCGTTCGATCAATTTTGCCGCTTTCGTCTCTTCTCGGTTCAGATCGACTTGCTCAAATTCATACGTAGTAGTATGGTCGCCCAAACCGTCTCCGCGTCCGAAAAGGGCAATTCTCGCCTACTCCCGCCTCATCGTATTCATCCCGTCCCGCCAGCCACACACCCGACGAGGGTCTCTATTATTGCCTTCCGCAGGGCGCGCAGGACTCTTCCAGACCCCACATACATCAAATCGCAAATCTCATTCGGCACATCGACCCTGCGCCACCGGCATTAGCAAGTGAAGAAGATCGATTGGACACGAGCCTAGGACGATGGGTCTTGGCTTGCGCAAGCTCGATCTGACACCCTGGCCGGAACCCAGATTCCGCTTGGCCACCGTCCCCTCTCTCTATCTCCGAGTCAAGCCCCGAGCTTTTTGAGACAGGCCCAGATGCTATGACGAATAGGCGAATTTTCGGGGTATTTGAGCTATTCACGATGTATGCTCGCCGAGGCTCGGTGGCGGGGAAGAGGGCTGTGGTGGTGGTGGCAAAATGTTGAAAAGGCAATTGTTGTTGTTTGCATCACAGTAGTGAAACCCGGACGCTTGCTGACGTAACCGTGCAGGGCACTGTGATGCAACGGATAGCTCCTGCTTGTTGATGAGGCCCTTGTGGGCCTTCTGCTATTCTTCGGTGGGTGACATGCAGGGTGGGGCTGGGCCGGGCTTGTTGCTGCGGTGGGGAAACTGGGGAAACTGGACGGAGCGACGACCACCGCTTGCCCACGGCTTCGGAAGACCACGGACGGCGCGCGGATGATGGATTGCGAACGGGAGACGCAAATTTGCGCGTCTTCTTCACATGTGCCATCCGTACGTGCGTGACACGACAGGAATTTCATGCTTTATGCGGGCGTTTCTACCTATGCTCTCTGGCGGTTGGTGTTGCAGCCAGCAGCAGTAATCACGTCTTAGTGCGGAGTGCGGATTCCGGGGTGCTTTGTGACACGTTTCATGGCGGGAGGGAGGACTGCTGCATGCAGAGAGAGGTACAAGCGGGCGTAGGAGACGTGTTCAGCCAGAAGGCGGGGTCAGGCGCCTGATGAGCGGCTGAGAAATGGATGGAGTCCGCGGCTAGCGGTGCTAAGGACCGGGTATCACGACTCATTTGCGTTAAGGTTACACCCTCAGGACCGACACAGATGCCAACCTCGATGGCATGTAGTATTTGGTACATTCAAAAGTGAAGATCGACGGACGCGGGAAGGATTTGAGCCAACTGGAAACGGCTACTATCCATCACGTCACAAAGATTTCACAGCAAAAGCGCATCAGGTTTGAAGAGGACGGGCGCCTTTTTTTGGCGCCCAATTTGTTCATTGTGCGATTCTATCACAATTGGCTGCTTGAAGTGTTTTTGCAGCGGGTACTCATGTCTGTCGATTTCATCCCAAAACGCCAAATATTAAATAAGAAAGATTCGCTCAAGTGCCGTGACTGTCGTGTCTCAAGATTGCACCGCATCTACCACCTGATGACCTTGTTGGGGAAGTACTCGTCGATGAGCTCCTGGTAGTAGTCCTACAAAGTCTGTTAGTGTCTGTCTTAACGGATTCCTGTGAAGTGATGGAACATACCTTGAGCTCCTCAGCCTTGGGCATGTCGTCGCTCTTGGAGTAGAGGTCGTAGGGGTTGAAAGCCTTGACGGCCTCGAGCATCTTCTTGTCCTTCTCGTTCATCATCCAGTGGTAGGCGCCCTCCTTGTGCCAGGGGTAGAAGGAGTGGTAGCGGATCATGGCGAGACCCTCGTCGGGGATGGTGGACTGCTCCTTGGCGATGTGGTAGAGGTACTCGTCGTGGCCCCAGGAGAGCATGACGTTGTCAAGACCGCAGCCAGGGGTGTAGATGCCGTACTCCTGGCCGTAGATCTCGTGACCGTAGTCGGGGTTGCCCTTGAAGGTGTCGGGGTAGATGATGCGCTTGTCGAAGTTGCAGCCGACGGGGAAAGTGTCACCGACAACGTCCCACTGGCCCTGGGCGTCGAAGAAGAAGAGAAGCTTGCCAAGGTCGTGGATCAGGCCAGTCAGCTGCATCCAGCGAGGCTTGCCATCGCGGCGGATGGCCTCGGCGGTCTGGAGAAGATGCTCGATCTGGGAGAGCGAGGTGTCGGGGTCGGACTCGTCGATGAGGGTGTTGAGCTTCTCGATGGCCTCCCAGACGGTCATCTCAGCACGGGTCTTGGAGTGGAAGTCGTTGCGGGCCTTGAGGTTGTAGGCAACGGTCTGCTTCTCGTGCTGCTCGCGATAGAAGTTCTTCACGCGGTCGCACGCCTCCTCGTACTGGCGGAACTGGGTCTTGTCCTTCTCGGCGTCGAACTTGGACTGAGCGTAGATGTCGACCTCCTCCTGGGTCATGCCCTGCTTCTTCAACGTATCCTTGAGAACGTTGACGGCGTCGATGTTGTCGGAGAGCTCCTCGAGAGCAAGACCATCGCGCTCCGTGTTGATGCCGTCCTGGCCCTTGGCAGGGACAGCGGCGGGGGCGGCGTTGTCGATGGCGATGGGGGCCATTGTGAATGTGCTGCTACAGCAGTGGGTATCTTTGGATGAATGCGAAGTAAGGAAGAAACTTTGTAGTGATGAAGAGACTTGGTGAGTGATGACGGGAGAAGGGGGTCGTGGCGGACGTGGTTAAATATCAAACTACACCAGGACTTTACTCAGACACACAGAAGAGGCAATGGAAGAGGGCGGAGGGCCTGGGCCAGGGCGTCCCCGGAATCCATGACGAGAGGCGTGCTGGAAACTAAGTTCCCAGCAGGCCCTCTCCGCAGAGCTCGCTCCCCACAATCTGACGGCAGGAGAAACGCTCGCGCTGTGGTAGGCTCATCTCGCACTCCCCACACGGCAGCGGTCTGCAGCTCCACCCCAGGCCTAGCAGAGGCAAGTTTGCCCCGGCAGGCCTGAGGATCAGGTTACACGCTCTGAAAAAGGCAAGCTGTTGATGTCAGCGGGGAAGGAGAGCGTCGGAAACCACTTTTCGCTAGCGCGGAGAACTTGCCCCGGAGATCGTGCTTGGCGCCGACGTCTTCTGGAAGCCCTCGATTACCCATCGCCGCCCACGTGAGAGAGCCTCGAGAGAAGGAACCCGCTTCGGCCTACCCGCACGCGTGCCCACGCCTCAACTGCCGGTAACGGCCTCTGTGGCTCAGCGCCCTTGAGGCGACGGCAGCGCGAGCCTCAGGCGCTGCCCGCGGGGGAAGCCTGGCGGTGCGGCAGAGACATCGGGCTAGCCGCGCCGGAAGTGACCTTTTCCTCGCTCACAACGGCACTTCGCCCTGCGCTGCTGGCGTTGCGGCTGCTTCGACCCCGGACGGGCGCACGTGCTCGGCTCGCCGATAGAAACACCGACTGCCGAAGACCGGCCATTGCCCCGCTGTGCCTGTGGCGTCATCGGCGTTTGACTGCATTCGCGCGGAGAGGTGGGGTGCGCGGGCGCGACAGCTGTTGACTTCGCGCCTGAGAGTAAAAACAGCGCGCACGCCGTCTCTTCTGCCATGAACCCGTCTCTCTGCAACTTCATCCTCAAGTCTACTCCCTCCAGCATCCTCGACCCCAAGCCCACCATGAACACTCCTCTCCCCCTCAACACCGGCGCCACCATCCCCGCCCTTGGCCTGGGCACCTGGCAGTCCGAGCCCGGCCAGGTCAAGGCTGCCGTCACTCACGCGCTGAAGTCGGGCTACCGTCACATCGACTGCGCCTACATGTACGGCAATGAGGGCGAGGTCGGTGAGGCGCTCAAGGAGGCCTTCGCCGCCGGCATCGTGAAGCGCGAGGACGTCTTCATCACCACCAAGCTGTGGTGCACCTTCCACTCGCGCGTCGAGGAGAACCTCGACGAGAGCTTGAGGCGCCTGGGTCTTGACTACGTCGACCTGTACCTGATGCGTGAGTTCTCCCCAATGCTTACTCCGGCTTGAAGACCGAGACTAATTGAATGATCCACAGACTGGCCGGTGCCTATGAACCCCAAGGGTGTGTAGCGCAACAAGCTTCCCACGAAGCGCACCAGCTGACAAGCGGCGTAGGCAACCACCCCACAATTCCCAAGCTTCCTGACGGTTCCCGTGACCTGGACAAGTCGTGGTCGTTCCTTCAGACCTGGAAGCTGCTTGAGGAGCTGCCGGCTAAGGGCAAGGCTAAGGCCATTGGCGTCGCCAACTTCTCCGTTCCCTTCCTGGAGGCTCTCCTCAAGGTGGCCAAGATCGTCCCCGCGGCCAACCAGATCGAGAACCACCCGTACCTGCCCCAGCAGGAGATCGTTGATTTCTGCAAGGCCAAGGGCATCCACATTACCGCCTACAGCCCGCTCGGCAGCACTGGCAGCCCTCTGTTCAAGGAGGAGGGTGTCCAGGAGCTTGCCAAGAAGTACAACGTCGGTCCTGGCAACATTCTGCTGAGCTACCACGGTGAGTTTGACCCCGAGACGCAGCTGCTTTTTCCACCAATGAGCCCGGGTAAACTGACGGTTTTATCCCAGTCGCGCGTGGAAGCTCCGTCCTCGCCAAGTCCGTCACCCCCTCCCGGATAGACGAGAACAAGAACATTGTCCAGTTCAGCGCCGAGGACCTGCAGGCTCTGGAGAACATCCACAAGGTCAAGGGCGTCACCAGATTCGTCTATCCCGCCTTCGGTGTCAACCTGAGGTTCCCCGACAGGTCCGAGCCCGAGGGCTACGATCCTCTTGCCAACTTGTAGATGTATACCCATAGTTAGAGGATGACCAAAAAGCATGATCCATGATAGATAGAATTGGATGAAATTGATGATTACCCACCCTTTGTCATTTCATCGTGCCCGTGAATGCGTAGGTACAGGAAGAAAATCTTTAACGAGATGCGGTGCGGGGCGGCCCGCGGGGCAGCACGTCACAGCCGAACAGCGGATTGGCTGACGCCAGCCCCATTGTCGACCTGTAGCTATCCAAGGCCGTGTCTCTAGCCTCTCTGCTGTCCCACCAAAAGCCGTCGACTCGCTGACGTGAACACAAGATGTGAGCTGATCACACTCAAAAGTCACACAGGCAGTAGCCGACTTGTCACTTTTTCTCACCAAAACTGCCTTCCAACTCGCATTCCCCGCTCGTATCGCCTGGGAGCCTCGGTCCTCACCTCTCGCTGCGTTACCATCTAGCTCTTCGAGCTACAATCACTCATCCATCACATCTTCCCCGAGACGAATCTGCAACGTTCCTAGCACGGGTGTTCCTCCACCACCGAAAAAATAACGCGCCATCACGTCGCCATGTCCTCCCATCACCACCATCACCAACCGTACACCCCACTCCAGCAAGACCGACAAGCACGCAACCGACCCGCACATATCCACAGCGCGGCACCTCATCGCGGCGGTGGTGGCGGCGGCGGCACAAGCAGCAGCATGAGGCAACAACAACAACAGCGCGCGGCGCTGGCGCGTGATGAGACGTTCGAGGAGCGCGAGCGGCGGTACAACGCGGCGCGGATACTGGAAAGCAACGAGATGCTGATCTGGCACTCGGTCGCGCGGAATGAGGTACGCTAGCTACTTCTTCCTCCCCCCCTTCCTTTTCGTGTCACCCGTACGGAATACCACTCGGACACTAGGCTGTGAGGGTGGGTGTGCGGCTTGCGCGGACGAATGGATGCATCTTCCGGGGTTCGAGGTGCCGGGCAAATTAATTGCCTTTGCAGCTCGAGCTCGTAGCACAAACACCCCGTCTCTGATATTGGAGAAGGCATTGGTGTTTCCACAATGACAAGTTGGTCCGCTAATTGTTATCTGCTCTCCTTCCAACAGTCTCTGCCGCAGACTCGCCTTCACTTCGAAAAAATTGTCGCCGGCTTCGATAGCGACGACTCGGAAGCTGAATGGGAAGACGCCACGCCGCCTCCGCCGCCGCAACAGCAACAACAGACGTCTGGCTCGCGTTCAGGGAGCGGTAGCAATAAGAGGGACAGGGATAGCAACAGTCCTGCATCGCGGAAGAGCAGGTCGGGCACACCAGCATGATGGTGCGAAATCTTCGTCGTAGAGATACCACTTCTCATTGGAAGCGTTCCACACGAGCTGGATGCCTTTCGGAGGCCGGTCATCCCACCGTGCGGTCCGAAGAATGGTGTATTGCACGACACAAATGGCACAGGATGGAAGCAGAAATGGAACAGTGGAGTCTCCAAAAAGGACAGGCATGCGGCGCATGCTATACAATTAGATACCCAAGCGCGAAACAACACATGAAAACGAAGGGAGTCTACCATGTTCTACTGACAGCCGCCGCACGCGTCATGGGCCCCCAAAATTTCCGCTCTTGTTTCCGCCTCATGACAGCGCAGACGTGGGGGCACGGACGCGATCTCCGGGAGCTTTGGCGCACTTTTCGTCGCCAACACGCGCTCCTTCTGGTTGTCAGCGCCGGTGGCGTGACATCCGTAGGACCGCATCGCTCGATTGCCCGTGTATCGTATTCTGTGCCGTAAGAAGGGGGGAGAAAAGGCAGTCACTTCGGCACCATTGCAATTGGTGAGCGGGCGATGGATTGCGATCGGATCTGTCGGCGGCCAGCGGAGCTGTGAAGCGTTCGCGCCAGTATTTGCTCCTTTGTTCGGCCCGTTGGCGGCGGAGCTGCTCCGCTCGAAAACAGCGCGGAGGACGGAACGAGCTGGGAAGCCTTGGGCCGCCAACGCCGACAGGGGGTCGTGATGAGTGAGGATTAGAGCTGGCCGTTCGCTGCTGTTCGCCTCTCGGAATGCGAGCGTGTCCGTCCTGTCGCCACTGTGTGGCAGCTGTAGTATTCGCCGAACGAAGGGATCAGTGGAAGTTTGATGGTCGGCGTTCACTTGAAGTTCTCGCTTCGTCCCGAGCCCATTGGTGCGGTATGACGTGCCCCTGTGCAGATGGAAAAGTTTAGTGCGCGCGCATTGCAAGCGAAGTGACGTGTGCCAGCCCTAAAGAAAGATCGCGAAAAGTGTAAACAGATCAGCACAGCAAGCGTTCAAGTCGCGGATGAGGAGCCCGAAGTCGGAAGTGGAGAATGAATCATTTCGTTGGTATCGCCGGACAATGACCCACTGGGAAAACGGTCTAATGTCTAGCATACGCAAAGCCATTTATTATACAAGCACAAAGGAGGAACACCACCAACGGAACCCGCCCATCGTACGTCTATGTCTTGATGGTACATGATAAGAGGGCAAACGAAGAAGGTAGAAGTCGTGGAGGTATCGTAGGTTAGGTCATCTATGCGGTCTCGTCCTTGAGGAAGGTGATCAGGTCGTTGCGGTCCTTGGGCTTCTTGAGACCACCGAAGGCCATCTTGGTACCCGGGATGTACTTCTTGGGGTTCTCGAGGTAGTCGAACTGTAGGGGACGGTTAGACACAAGCTCGCGCAACGCCGGCGCCGCAGACTGATGCAGCGTATTCCAGCACACGGTGGAGACGTACCAGAGAGTTCTCGTCCCACGTGACGCCCTTCTGCTTGTTGGCGTCGGTGTAGGAGAAGCCCTCGACCTGGCCGGACTTGCGGCCGAAGAGGCCGTGAAGCTTGGGGCCGACCTTGTTGGCCTCGTCGGCCTTCAGGGTGTGGCACTGAGCGCAACGGGTCTGTGAAGGTTGTTAGGACGGGCTCCTGCGCGCGCTAGCAAAACCGGTTTCCCGGCGACGAGTCCTGTCGGCGGCAACGTACCTTGAAGAGGTTGGCACCCTTCTTAGCATCACCTGTGAAAAGCTGTCAGCGTGTGTACGGCTGATGAGATTGGGCTGTCGAGGAGAGAATTGGGATGCGCTTCAGCGCGACGAAGACGGAGACCTCAGTTGCGGAAGCGGTCAACCGGCGTGACGCAGGCGCAAAGCTGCGCGCCCCGTCAAAGAGCTTCAGGGCGGCGAGCACCAGCCCATATACCCATCGCCAGGTGTGACAGATGCTTCCAAGCCGGGGAAGAAGCCACCGTTGCGTCGCGTTGGGAGCCGTGGGTGAAAGGAGACAGGGAGAGTCGCGCGCGTACCGGCCTCGAAACCCATTTTGACGGAAGGTTAGGTGTTTAGCGTGTGGAGAGAAGAGGAATTGAAAGTCGACGTGGTCTGTCGGAGTCGCAGAGAAGGTTGATGAATTGCGCTGAGGAAGGAGAAGGAGAGAAGAAAAAGTCGTTGGTGACGGAAGAGATTCGTCTTTAGCCCAGGTCAGCCGCGTGCAGCCAGCCAATCAAAGCGAAGATGATTTTTAGGGTCGGGTCGGGAGAACACGGGCGAGCGGCAAAGCCGGTGGCGGTGTGGCTGATTGGAGGCGCCCCAGCGTCCTCGGTCGGCGATTGTTCGCAGTAACGTAGAGCACCTAATAGGTAAATGCTCTGAGTTTCTGTTTGTCAGCCTGAAATAATCTCCTAAACCAATCAGTTGTAAACGGCGAGCTTTTGGCTGCCAAGCCACAGCCGCCGAGGAAACACCGATTGGCTGTCCTGCATCTCGTAACGGCTCCAGGAGTCCCGTCCGACTGCCGGCTGGAAGCCCGCTCTGGTACCCGGATTACGGTGCGGCATCATCGGCAGCCAGCGCTGAGGTCATGTGCGAAATTCCTCGCTACCGCGTCCAGGCCCGCACAGCTGACTGACGTAGGTCACCGGGAATCATGACGGCGTGCACAGTCCGCACTCGACGCTGCAGCGCCCGAGTCTGGACCTGCACGCTTAAGCCGCTCGCGATACGCAGCGCTGGGGAACAGGACAAGCGGCGATGATGCACATATAGCTACTGCAGCTTCCCTGTCGCCAGCTCTGCGGGTGCCCGGTTTGGGCGGGCTTGGCCGCGCTGCCAGATCGACGAGGGGACAGACATCGTATTCTGCCCTCTATTTTGCCAGTCCACCTTTCCCATTGTTCAATCGCTCCTAGCGGCCCCGCGATCAGGAGCCGGTCAGTTTCAGGTGCAGGACTCCCCTCCTATCTGGCTGGCCTTGCCTATCACCGCCCACTTTCCACTAGCATGCAGGTAGTGTCCCGCCAACGTGTGCCGCACTCGCCAAACTTTCTGTCGGCCCTGCAACCAACATGAACCAAATCCCCGATGCGCTCTACTGCGACCAGGAAACCACCACCTGGGTCGTCGTGGGTGCCAGCAGAGGCATCGGTCTCGAGTTCGTCCGCCAGCTGATAGCCCGCGGCGAAAAGATCATTGCGACGGTACGGCAGCCGTATGCCGAACACGCGTCAGCACTCTGGGGCCATTCGGGAAACGACCATGGCCGCTGCCAGATGTTCGTCTGTGACATATTGTCGGAAGCCAGCATCGAAGTACGACTTGTCGTTTCTGCGCCGTCGGAGAGAAGTGTCAGTTGATCAGTGAACAGAACTTCGTGAACCAGCTCGCCGCCATCCCCAACCTCAAGATAGACTATGTCGTAATCAATGCCGGTGTCTTGCGATACCCGAACGTGAGCCTAATGCCTCCTCTGTATCACTCGCGCGGTTGTGCATACACTGACAATGCCTTTCACAGAGGGCCACTGAACTGTTAGTGCACCGGGAAAGCGTATGCATGTCTCTGACGAGCAGTCCAGATCATTCGACGAGTTCGCCTTCCATCTCCATACCAACACCATTGGCCCGATCATCACCGCACAGAAGTTGCTCCAGACCAACATACCGATTGGCACCATTGTCTTCATGTCCAGCGACTCGGGTTCGGCCATCAACTTTCGAGAGATGGAGGATGGGTATTGCCAAGAGCTCTGCTAACGTTATACCCGGGCTGACGCACCCGCAGGTTTGCTGCCTACGCCGCTTCCAAGTGCGCTCTCAACCAGATGCTCCGGGTATGAAGTCCTATTCATAAGCACAGTCGCCCCCTTTGTTCCTTTGTTGCTGACACAAAGCCAAAGCACATGGCCGCGGAGTTGAAACGGAAGGATGATGACACCATCATTCTGGCGATTCATCCGGGGGAGGTGGCAACGTAAGACTTGCAGGTGCCTGGAAGCTTTTTTGGAGGCTTACCTACCTAGGGACATGTCCAACCTCGATCTGCCTTGGCCCATCAACGGCCAAATCAGCCCCGAGGTGTCTGTCGCGGGAATGATCGATGTCATACAAAGCAAAGGCATCCAGCACAGTGGCACGTTCTGGACGTGGGAGAACATGGTGAGTGGTCACAAGCCCCAGACAGCGTCCCAAGTGACAGTCGCTGACAGCGGGAAGCCTCACCCTTGGTAGCGGCATAAGAACGCCACCATGGGGACTGACCGGTGAGGCCCGGGGGCATACGATGTTTGCTTTTCGGGTCAGCCGCCACGTCACCTGCACAGCGACGCAGAGGCTCTTTGCTCAGTATTATTGTCGAGGGCGCACTGCTTTTCTCGACGTGATGGATGAGCAAGCACGGCGGCGACAGCCGATGACGCCTGCGGACCGGCTGGCGCTCCCGACGGGCGCTGCAGGAGGACGGGATGACCCTTGCATGTATACAGACGCTTTGTGACTGATGGTATGTAGGCCTTTCTGCATGTTCTAGGATCCAAGACAGAGCGGGGCTCAGGATAGGCGGGCGGAAAAGTGGGAAGTCGGGCAGCGCGCATAAGTGCTCCATGCCGGTGCCGTGCAATGTACATTACACAGTTGAGCTGCGATGCAGACGGACGTGGCGCCGCTCGAGCACTGGGGACGGCACGCGCAACGCGGGTGTGCGCAGGAGAACATGCGGCTCTTGGGCGAATCTCACGATAGGACGGCCTCGCTATTGACGCCACTGGGATGACTGAGGCCGTATTCGGACGGGTCGGGCGACTCTGCGCCCAAAATAGGCGCCCACGCGCGTGGCGAGGAGGGCAGGCGGCGATTGGCACACGCCCCTTTGCGGCTCGCTGCTAGCTCTGGAGAAGAGGCGGAGGTGCGGTGACGGCAAGGCTCCCAGTGGCGGGCGAGCCCTGGTTGTGCTCCAAACGTTGCCGCTCCGCACGCCTCAAGACCCTGACCAGGCAAGCGGGCGCTCCACTCGGACCGCTTCTTGCAGCGCCATGCGTCAGCGTGCGCCCGCCCATCATCCCCCACCACACACCCTCCCAAACTCGCATGGCGTTGCGTGACTGCCTCCGCCTGGTTATGCTGCGTCGTCCGCCTTAAAGCCCGACCAGCCCTCCCTTGTCATCTGCTCTGCTTCCCCTTTCTCCCGCCAGCCCAGAGCCATCGCCGTGCATGGCATACCGCGACTACGACAGCCGGCCCCGCTACTCGAGCCGCTACGAACCGAACACCTCACGGTCGCGCGACTACGAGCATGTGAAGGGCCACCACGACTATCCCTACGATCGCCGTCGCACCGACTACTCTGCGTACTACGCTCCAGACCAACTGCGCGCCGCCGACTACGACGATCGTTACGCCGATGGCTACACCTACGCCTATGCCGCCTACGACCTGCGCAACCGCGACTGCTACCCGCCCACCCCGCCTCCAACGGCCTCGTACCGCATCGAACGGCGCCGTCGAGCATCGTGGCCGCCATGCCCCACTGTCGAGGATCTCGAAGTAGCTCTTGCGAAAGAGGTGAATCATGTCTTGGAGGGCGGGAAGCGAGGGGACGAGGCCCCCAACCGCGGCTGCATTGATCAAGACCCCATAATGGTCGAGGTGGAGGAGGAGATGTGGCGCTTCAACCCAGAGCGTCGTTTCGTGCTCGTGCCGGGTGCTGGCGATGATGATGATGATGATGCAGAGAAGCGTTTTGACGACGTTCGGACTCGAGGAAGCATGCACCAACACGCGGATCGTCATAGGGCACCGCCCTTGCATACCGATCTGCACGATCCACCCGTCAACACCGCACGTTCACGCTCGCCCTATTCCTACAGCCGCACGCCTGTTGACACCAAGAACGAGTCCTCCAGCGACTCATACCTTTCACCCAAGTCTGCGGCAACCCCAGCCACCTTTGGCAGGGTGCCCGGAGCAAGGTCCGACAGGAATGGAAATGCAGACCACGTCAAGTCTCGGCCTGCTCCACTGCAAACAGAATCGCTGTTCCCTGCTGATCCACGACGTGAGAATGGTATATCCGACGGCTCAGACGTATCTGCAGACGAGTCACTCAAGCTGCGGACACGTCGGAGATCGACACGGTACTCGTTCAGTCCAGCCGAGTTGAAGAAAGATGACCTTCGCACTTCCATACATGACCTAAATTCCCCGTCCGAGCGTGTTGCGTCACCCTACTCTTACGCCCCTGCCGACCTGAAGAAAGAGGACGTCAGAACTCCTTTGACCCCTTCCGCTACTGGGCGAGACCGCTTGCCGTCCCCTTATTCCTACACCCCTGCGGAGTCGAGAAATGATAACCTAAAGCATCCTGCGCTCGACTCTGAACCAATTCGAGAGCGTCTGTCATCCCCTTATTCGTACAACCCTTCTGACCTGAAAGAGGACATTCGAGGCGTTCCACGAGAACGTGATCCTTTGAAAGACCGTCCGCCTTCGAGGTCTTCAGCCCCTGTGCATGGTCCCTCTTCGCCGTCCACGGCGACACCGCGCTCGACTCCCAAAGGCTCAGGGTCATCAGCCGCGAACACTCCCTCGTCCCAATTTTTTGGTGACCTGCCATGGGGTAGACCGAGGCTGTCTCGTCGGACAACAGCAGAAACTCTGTATGGAAGTGCAGAAGAAGGCCAGCAAAGCTCCAAATCCTCCAAGCTCCCATCCAGGCCAGCCTCGCCAAGAATGAGAGAAAACAAGCTTCCACCATCACCTCCTCGATCCCCAAGGCTCCGGCCTCAAGATGTAGACACGAGGGTTCGCAGTGATCCTAACTCCCGTCCAGGATCTGTGAACTCACGGGCCGGTTCCCCTCGTCCAGATGATCAGAACCTGCGCTCACCATCTCCGCGCATCGAGATCAACAGCGGTCGCCCCGAGCGCGTATCCACGTTTCCAATTACCAATTCGCCAAGAGAGCGGTCGAGGCCTGTATCTCGACAAAGTCGTTACGAGTCGACCTTAGCCGATGAGACCGACCCTTATTTGAAGGGGGCCCCTCCGAGGATCGATATACAGTCTCCTTCGCCAGCCCGCCATCCAGCTTCAAAGTCGACGACATCGTTACCATATCCTGTGGACGACAGCCCAACGTTGATGATGCCAGAAGAACACAGCTATCAGTTCATCCCCGAGAGCCCACGAAGTCCCAAAAGGACTATTTCTGATTTCCCGCGTGGCCCAGCGGCCATGCCAATACCGAGCCACGTGCGAGAGGAAGTTGACGCTGCTAGATCACCCTTGCGCCGCTCTTATTCAGAGAGCAGCGTGCAGAAAGAGCGTACCGACCTGCACACAACGCCAGCGTCTACTCGTGGAAAGGAGCTGCAGAGAGAAATAGTCCCGGAGATGCCAGACCTACCTTTACCGCCGTGCCCGCGACCGACGTACTCTACGGAGTTCGTAGACTGGTATACTCTGGACAGCGCACCGTCATTCGACATTTGTCCTGACTGTCTCGAACATTTCATCGGCCACTCCCTTTTCCGGAAGTACTTCGTGAAGGCACCTCCAACGGACATCGCGAAGAAATGTCACTTTAGTTCTCCATGGTACCGACTGGCCTGGTTGATGACGTTGAAAGAGAAGCGAAGAGACTTGGACCTGGTCTTTTCATTGACCTCAATTACTGCTACCGAAGATCCTTGCCCCGGTGAGCATGAGGATGTGCGGCCGTGGTATGGTCTACTCAACAAGAGAGGCAGTGACTTTATTCCCAACCTTCAAATATGCGAGCGGGATCTGTTGTACCTCGAAGCCCTTATGCCAACACTCCGTGGATATTTCCAGCTCATCGACTCCTCATCAACACGGTTGTGCTCCTTCAGGACAAAGAGCAAGCGCTTTGCACAATACCTCGATCTGCTGCTCGACATCCATGAACGAGCGTTAATGTCCCGCAGCGGCACTCCGGATTTCTCCCGATTCATAGAGCTTGCAAATCAGCACGCGTGGAAGCGAGAATGCTCACGCGACAAGGTCCTCCTCGGTAGCCTTTGGCACACCCACCCAGGCCTCCCTGAGTTCACCGTTTGCGAGGAATGCTATGAAGATGTGGTGTACCCGGACGTGAAGCGGGGGTCCAGACTAGCCGATGAGGTCACGCGGACATTGGGATTCGTCCCAAGCGAAGCGGAGCTCGTGACCGGCGAAGGCAACTCGTGTCAGCTGTACAGCCCGCGCATGCGCCGGGTTTGGGCGCGCGCCGTTCAAGACGACGACGCCGTCTATCTAGCGCGCAAGGTCCGTGAGCGGAGGAAAATGCAGCGTGATCTGAACAACCAGCAAAGATCCCTGAGGCGCCTTTTGGAGGAGACGATGCGTGAGCGTGAGCTGGGCTACTCGTACGGCAGCGGTAGCGTAGGCCAGGGTCTGGATCCCGAAAGGGTCAAAGAAGAGTTGGAGAAGATTCAGAGAGAATGGAGAGATTGGGAGTAAGCTTTCGTGAAGAATGAAGGATGAGTTTGGCACTACAAGTTGAGTTGGCATTAATCCTGCTGATCGATTGGTGTTTGGACATGGCCCAAAAAACGCAAGTCGAAGGCAAATCCTCGCTTCATATTCATGCATTTTACAGCGGTGGAGCTTTGCGAGACTGCGGGTGGTACCCTGTCGTTTGTTCAATGGCGTTCCTCACTTTCATTTGCATATTTCCGACTCATAGCAGAGGATGACGACGTTCATGACGCATGATTGATGTGGTATGGAAACACGACCTTCCACGGTAATGGGGATATCATAATGCGGCGCTTTTCTTATTATTTTTCCATCCTGCACATTCCATTTCACGATTTCATGAAGTTGATGGTAACGGATTATGGATCAAAAGCAAGCCAACTGGTTGGCAAGGAGGCAGACGTCCCATTCAACAAACCAATACTCAAAACCTGAGTTGTAGAAACACTTTTGAGGCTCGATTCTTCTTGTTCTTTCGGTCCCTTTGATGTTGGAATAGCGATGAGGTAACCTGTTAAAGATTGACTGAATTTCTCCACAATAATGCACTTGCGGGTTCTCCGGAATTGCTTAGAGACTATTACACTCTGAGCCTTCCCATGTGACATATAGTAGCGTCAGGTGTTGAAGTCAGGTCAATGAGGCCCAACCACACCACGGATGTTAGCGGATCGTCGCGGACGAACGGACCGCTGCCATGTGATGACGCCTCTTGATATCTCGAAAGGGCATTGCTATCTAGCTTTGGGAGTCAACAGCAACTTCGGGCTTTTCTTTCCTAATCCTTCGCTCTGTTGCTTTGTGCTGTAAAGCTTAAGGGCCGAAAAAGAGTTTCCCGACTTCTTGGAACCAGATTCCGCACTCTTTTTTCTTTTTCTTCGAAATTGGGGCTCCGAGCGTTGCGGGAGGTAGTTTCCTCGACGGTTCAATGGAAAAGCACTGACCATATGGCGAGGTTGGTGGTGTGATATGTGGAGAGCACGGATACAAACTGCGGGAGATGATCTCCGGAAGGTGCAAGAGCTGCGGTTGACTGGAGGAGGGAAGTATTTGCGCATGTGAAAAGGAAGATAGGGCGATGAGAGAATATGGGACTCCGGGAAAAAGAAGCCGAGCCAGTAGCGGTCCGCACGGAACCGTCGTTGCAACTTACTTTTCTCCTCTGCTGCCATTCGCAACGCTCGCAGGACAAAAACAAGAACGTGCAGTGTGAAAGCAAAATGTGTTTGTTGTGGCGACGCTATTTGATAAGAGTTGGGCAGGACTCGAGAATTTGAACAGAAGTTGAGTGGATATCGACATCATTGCCATTTTTTGCTAACAACCTCACCCGTAATAAAAGCCGAGCTGGAAAGAGAGCGTAAGTAACGTGGACTACCTGTGGACAGGATGTTGCTAACCTCTCGTTAGTTGCTTTTTGTATCAGCATCACGTAATAACTCTATAGTCACGGAGACACTTGGTGTTCATGCTCGAATACCTGACGAAAGGAAAACAAACTCGATGATGATGCTGCCTACAAAGAAAATATGCAGAGGTACTCAATGCGCGAAACGGAAATCCAAGCGCTTGTTTCCCTTATCTCGAGTGGTGGCAAGATATATCTCTTTTTCGTCGTGGCTCATGGCATTCCACTTCGCTTCACGACGACTACAAATCTTCATTAGCTTGACCGCAGCAGGAAAGGCTGGAGACTTCCGGGTGGCTTACCGGTTAATTGTCACGTAGAAGAATTTTGTGCCTACGAAGAGTAGGACATTGAAGATGCAGAAGAATATCAGGACCTTGTTACCATGGAGGTACAGAGGCTTGTCATCATCGCGGTAAATCTAAAAGTCGGAATGTCAGCCAGCTGTTCTTTGCATTCCATCCGTCGATCTAAGTGAAGGGCACGGAAAGAAGACATTGTACTCACGTTCGATCCGATGATATTGTCCGCTTGAACGCACATGTTATACAGTGCCGATGCCACGGTCCGCGTTCTGACTGTGCCCGCATTTCGGCTTGTTATAGCCACCAAGATCTGCATCAAGAAATCAGCCAGAGCCCCAAATCCTGCCAGAAAGCCGACACTTACCGCATGTACATAAGGGAATCCGACCAGAAGCGCGATGAGCATATACCGTAGCCCCGCCGGCGCAGCCAGCGGCAGCGCAATCAAACCAAGAAGAAGCGGGAAGCTCCACAGCTGGCCCACTGTCGCCAGCAAGAAGCGTTCGTTGATCTTTTCAGAGAGCCAAGTCCAAAAGAGCAGCTGGATGACGTACAGGCACATGGGCGGCACGACGAGCAGATTTGTGTCGAACGTGTCGAAGCCGATGCTCCGCAGCTGCAGCGTCAGGTACGCCGTCATGGGGTACTGGGGCACGAAAGCCGTCAGGCCCAGCAGGTACAGCGGCCACATGTGCCAGTCGGCCAGGCACTCCCACAGCATGGCCGGCGTGATGGGCTGCCGGTTGTGCATGTCGCCCTTGGACGGGTCGTCGCGCAGCACCCGGTTGACCATGATCTTCTCCTGCCGCGCCGTGAACCAGCCGTCCTCGCCGCGGAAGGCGCTCGCCGTCTGCGTCGGCCCGGACGGCAGGTAGTACCACGAGAAGACGCCGATAGCGCCGGTGAGCAGGCCTTCGAGGAAGAAGAGCCACTGCCAGCCGGCGACGCCGAAGAAGCCGCGCAGGCGGAGCAGTACGTAGGCGATGAAGGCGGAGGAGATGTCGGTGGCTTTGGAGGACACCCAGAACCAGGAGAGGCGGGTTGGCATCTCGGAGCTGGTGTACCAGTAGCTGAGATAGAGGACTTGCTCGGGAATGAAGCCGCCTTCGAGAGCGCCGAGGAGACAACGCGTGAGGAAAAATGATTTGCGGCCGGTGATGAAGGCTTGCATGCTGGCTATGAAGCTCCAAGAGACCATCTGGATGGGAATCCAATTGTCTGGGCCCATCCATTTGGAGACGAGCTGAGAGGGCAGCTCTGCGAGGAGAAAGCTGACATAAAAGATGGTTTGGCCGTAGTTGTAGTCGTTGGTCGACAGGCCCAGATCGTCGAGCATGTTGTCTGAGAGAGCTTGGGCAATGTTCCCTCGGTCCAGTTGCAGGGCGAAAAACATGACACACACCCACGCGCAGATTCGTTTATCGATCTGCAAACATCAGTGGGACAGATCGTGAAATATTCATCCATTTCGCTTCAATATACTTCCATCTTGCATTGCGAAGCAAGATGCACCAGAAGGTCAGGTCCTTAAAGCAAGAGCAAACCAAAGCAACAACCAGTACAGTGACTAGAGCACGCCATGGAGTATTCTGACCTTTACGCACACATGTGCTGACGCTCAGTGCACCTTGCTCCGCCATGCAAGATGCCAATCTTTTGGCGCCATCCCAGATCCGGGCAGTAGGAGACATACCTTTCGCACGACCCGCCTTTCCTCTTCGGGCTCCCACTCAAAGTCCGGATCGTACCGATGCATGCCCTCGTAGCCGTCCACAGGCCGATAATATTTGTCCAGTCCCGAAGTAGCAAATGTGGGGTCGGATTTCACCGTATTTGCTGGGCCTTCCTCAATCCAAGAGTCATTCTTCTTCGCGTAGCCAATCTCATCGATCGTGCTGGGCGACGCCATGTCCTCAAAGGCGCTCGCTTCAGCGGCAGCGAATGTGTACTGCGTCGACGACCAGGGCGACTGTTCGCTCGGACCACCCAGGTACGGGCTGTTGCTCGTGGTGGCAATCCGCAGCCAAGAAGGCTGGCGGCGGTGCTGGCGCCTGCCCTTCGAGAAGCCCATGATGGCGAGTTCGGCAGATATGGGAGAGGCCGACCAAAGAAAGGAACAAAGGAAAGTTGAAGGCGGCTAGAAGGAGACAGGCCGGGCGGGAAGCGGATGTGCAGGCCGGGGCGGGAGCTCCAGCCCAAGTATCCCCAGCCAATGTGCGTCGTAACGCGGAGCACGTCAGAAGAATGGGCCATGGTGAGCTTGAGCGCACTCGGCGATCTGTGTTTCGAGCGACCCGACTAGGGAGGATGTTCAGGCGATAGCAGCGCAAAGTCCAGCGAATTGCGTGATTTGGCCAGTAGCTGGCGTGCAACACCACGAATCCGCTGCGTATGCAGCGCCCTGCGTCCGACGCCGACCAACCACAAGCCTGGAACAAGGTTTCAGATACAAGGATACCCCACCGCAATAATACCGAAAAGGATTATCGGGTAATCTATTGCGTTTGGCGGATTGCTTCGCGTAGTTGATTGGTTCATCTATGCTAGTCAGCATCATCAAAACCGGCCATGCAGGGCAAGATGATCGGACAGTCAGCAACGCGGGTATGCATGGCATTCCCCGCCAGGCCAACGATACATTACCGGGGATAAGCTCATTCGTCACGACGATATCGCACGCGGCCAGTCGAAAGGCCTTCATGACGGCAAGCCCGTCGGCATGGTGCGATCGCAAATTCGCCTGATTGGAAGTAGCGGCTGGGTCCTGCCTCAAATCATTGCTTCGACAACGAAGGATCTCATGAGAGGCCCAAAGCCACCCCGCTTTCGAGGTCGGCGATTGGTGTTGCCCCTCTTGCCATGCCTTGGCTGCGCCATATACTTAAGCTGCTGAGGCCCCTCACACCGAGACCCGTGGTTTTGGACACCAACCCATCGAGAACTGACGGGAAAAGCTTACCTTGACCTCACATCTGCAGATCTCCAGTATGGCTCCTGTCGCCGTTGAACAGCAACAACCGGTGCTTCCTCCGGCTCCCGTCCGGGGGCCGCTGGATTACAAGGTCGCTTTCAACTATGGCCCGAAGTCGTACCAGAAAGAAAACGAGGAGCAGGGGAGCGGGAAGCATGCGCCTGCCAAATACCCCCACTATCTGCCAACATGGAGCCCCAAGACGTAAGCGATACGCACGCGCTTTTGAAGTCTGCTAATCGTCGACAGCTATCCGCCTCTTGAGCCATTCGAGCACTACGAGCACGGCAAAGACGCTGACCCTTCATTCCCGCACCTCTTCGCCACTGGCAAGCACAGGCCCTTGGCACCGAAGATTGGCTCTGAAGTCACCGGTGTGCAACTGAGCAAGCTTTCCGATAAGGGCAAGGATGAGCTGGCGCTCTTCGTTGCTCAAAGGAAGGCAGTCGGTAAGAGATCCTACCGCCATGTATCCAGACGTGTGAGCTGACAGTAGGTTAGCGTTCCGTGACCAGGACCTTGCCGACTTGCCGATCCAGGAGGCATTGGACTTCGGCGGCTACTTTGGAAGGCACCACATCCACGTCTCGAGCGGTGCCCCCGAGGGATACCCGGAGATTCATCTTGTGCACCGCGGTGCCGACGAGACCACTGCCAGAGACTTCTTCCAGGAGAGGACGAATTCCATCACCTGGCACTCTGACGTGACTTTCGAGGCACAGCCTCCCGGTACAACTTTCCTGTACGTCTTGGATGGACCTGAGGCTGGAGGTGACACTCTCTTTGCAAGCATGGTGGAAGCATACAACCGTCTGTCTCCTGAGTTCCAGAAGAGGTTGCATGGCCTCAAGGCTATTCACTCTGGCTTTGAGCAAGCCGAGGCCAGCGCCGCTCGTGGAGGTGTCGTTCGCCGTACGCCTGTTGCCCACGAACATCCTCTCGTCCGGACGCACCCTGTCACGGGCGAGAAGGCTCTTTACGTGAACGCACAGTTCACGCGTCGCATCGTTGGCCTGAAGAAGGAGGAGAGCGACCTGCTGCTGAAGTTCCTTTTCGACCATGTTGCTGCTGGCGCCGACTTCCAGGCTCGCCTCAAGTGGGAGCCTGGCACTGTCGTCGTTTGGGACAACCGTGTCACTACTCACACCGCGATCCTGGACTGGGATGATGGCCACCGACGCCATCTTGCGCGCATTACGCCTCAGGCAGAGCGTCCTTACGAGACGCCGTTCGAAGAGAAGAAATAGAGGTTCCAGAACTAGGTTAGATGAGATGATGATCCGTTGCTTGGGTGATGCCAGACATCGGCGCAGGAGGGTGTAAAAGCTGTAAACTGATGGTCGGCTGGTTATGCTGTCGCTCGTGCCTAGCACACGTTTAATGATGATATGAGTCTTTTGATTTTGCCTATTGTGCCAGATGCCTGATCAAGGGCATCAGGCTGATAAAGTCCCGTGAATCTCTCCGGTGCGGAAACGGTACCGTTGAGTAATTCACGTGCTGCTACTCCATTGTGTTGTGGTCAGGACGACGGCAGCACGAGCGCAATCACATGATGCATCTGTGGGCGACATGTTGTGGGTGTTGCATGAAGAGTTGTGCGGGTTGAGCCGGGCGACATTTTGGCGCCCGCACGCCAAGGCCGGGCATTGCTAAGTCATCAGCCTTTTCGCCGGCATTCGCACCTCCATCGGAGTCCTTGCGAACAGCAGCAAACCACCGCCAACCCCAACCGACCCCATCTCCGCTCCGCAGGTCCGCCATCATGTTCTCCGCCCGGGCACTTTCTCGCGCTGCGCGCACCGCCGCTCCCCGCGTCGCGCGTCCTGCCGTCGCTCCTCGCGTCGTCGCTACGAGGAGCTACGCCCAAGCTGCCGACACCAAGTCCGTCAAGCCGCCCGTCGCCCTGTACGGCGTTGATGGCACCTACGCCAGCGCTCTGGTACGTCTCCCGCGCCCCACCCGAAGCAATTGCGAGGAATTGGCCGCTCCCCGAGATGGACCGGCCACGAATTGGCCTGGTGGAGGCGGTTGAGGGAATGCAGGAAAATCGCGGCACGACCATCGGCGTAGAGCAGAGGGGCACGAATATTGCAGTTCGCTGACGGGCCATCGTCGCAAAACCAACAGTACACCGCCGCCGCCAAGACCTCCACCCTCGAGCCCGTCTCTAAGGCCCTCGAGAACCTGGCCAACGTCTTCAAGAAGGACGCGAAGCTCGCCGAGGTCCTGTCGGCCCCGACCCTGACCGAGTCCGACAAGAAGCAGATCGTCGCCGAGCTGACCAAGATCGTCGGCACCGCGGACAAGGAGGGCGTCGTCAAGAACTTCCTCGAGACTCTCGCCGAGAACAACAGGCTCGGTGTGCTCCAGCCCGTCACTGAGAAGTTCGCTCAGCTCATGAGCGCTTACCGCGGCGAGATCGAGCTCAACGTCACCAGCGCTCAGGTACACATATCCGGGAGTGATTCCAGTAGATGCAATGGCTGACTTGGGCTTGCAGCCGCTCGACAACAAGGTCCTCAACCGCCTCGAGGCCGCCGTCTCCAAGTCCCCCTACGCCCAGGGCAAGAAGCTCAAGGTCGTCCCCAAGGTGCGTAGATGCCCCGCAACTGAACCATCTCATCTCTACCCATTCGAGACTGATCCAAATGTGTAGGTTAACCCCGACATCCGTGGCGGTCTCATCGTCGAGATCGGCGACAGGACCATCGACCTCAGCGTCTCTGCCAAGCTGGCCCGCATGAACAAGCTCCTCAACGACCAGCTGTAAATAATATCTCTCCTCTGCACGCGCATTAACTCCCCCGCTCTCCGATATCGCAAAATGGGCTCGATTATCGAAGAGATATAAGAAAGGACGACCCCATCTTGTATACCTATTTAGCTAGGTTCTGAACGTAGCTGAGAGATCTTGTTTGCCGCAATGCATCCCTTTTCTCCGTTCAGAAGCGTAGAATTGGAGCTTTCAATATCTTCACCGGTTTCGGATGTGTGATGTCCCATTGGTGAGATCATTTTTAAACGCTGCCAAAATATGGAAAGCAGCAGATAAATGACGTCAATGCTCTCTTCGTGATACTATTCAGGGCACGGTTTTGCACCAGGAGTGAAATGCAATGATGCAATGTTTTGTTAACTTCTATCAAATATCAACATTCGTTAAAGCGATAATCACCGCTCTGGTCAGACAAGAAAAGGAAATGCATAAACCCTCCGTAATCTACACGTCAAATTGTTTGCTGGCGGTCACACCTGGCGATTGCAGTTCTCCGTATCTACACATCGACCAGGTTGCCCTCCTGCTGCTGCGGTTGCTGCTGCTCCTCGGCTTCAGCCTCGTTATCCCTGGTGTCCTTGTTGCCACGGCGCTGCTTCCTCTCTTCCGCGCGGCGCTGGTAGTACTGGTCAAGAACCTTGGCAGGGATACGGTTGAGCAGATCCTTGGGGAAGATACGGAGCAGCGACCAGGCGAGATCGAGAGACTCGAAGATGGTGCGCGACTCGTAGGGCGACTGAGCGATGAAAGTTCTCTCGAACTTGTCAAGGAACTCGAGGGACAGCTTATCCTCAGACGACAGAGCTTCCTCACCGACGACAGCCTTCATGGCCGCAGCATCACGACCAATGGCGTACTTAGCGTACAGCTGGTTGGAAACATCACCGTGGTCCTTGCGGGTGCGCTTCTCGCCAATAGCAGACTTCATGAGACGCGAAAGGGAGGGCAGGACGTTGATCGGCGGGTAGATACCCTTGTTGTCTAGTTGACGGTCAACGAAAATTTGACCCTCGGTAATGTAGCCAGTCAGATCGGGAATGGGGTGAGTGATATCTAGAAGGCGTATTGTCAGTACTGAGCTCAAGTTCGACGCTGCGGTGCACTAACCATCGTTGGGCATGGTCAGAATAGGAATCTGGGTGATGGAACCGTTCCTGCCCTCGACACGACCAGCGCGCTCGTAGATGGTGGACAAATCCGTGTACATGTAACCAGGGTAACCACGACGACCAGGCACTTCTTCACGGGCAGCCGAAACCTCACGCAGCGCATCACAGTATGAGGAGAGATCGGTCAAGATGACCAGGACGTGCTTCTCGAGCTGGTAGGCGTAGTACTCGGCGGTGGTAAGAGCCAGACGAGGCGTGATAATACGCTCGATACTGTCTTCGGTCAGTGGTATTCGCGCAGTGGCACCCGGGACGATACTTACGTAGGGTCGTTAGCCAAGTTCAGGAAGAGCGTGACACGCTCCATACTGCCGTTCTCCTCGAAGTCACGGGTGAAGAAACGGCTGGTCTCCAAGTTCACACCCATAGCACCGAAAACAATGGAGAAGTTGTCCTCGTGGTCATCGTGGATGCCCTTCGTCGGCTTGACCAAACTAGCCTGTCTGCAAATCTGCGCGGCGATTTCGTTGTGCGGAAGACCGGCGGCGGAGAAAATGGGAATCTTCTGGCCACGGGCAATCGAGTTCATGGTGTCGATGGCGGAGATACCGGTCGAAATCATCTCTTCGGGGTAGACCTTTCTTCTGATCAGCGACGCGCTTCACGAACCACCATTACGGAAGCACATACACGAGAGTACGGGTTGATGGGACTGCCGTTGATGTCAAGGTAGTCCTCTGCCAGCACCTTAGGGCCCTTGTCGATGGCGCGACCCGAACCATCGAAGATACGACCCAGCATGTCCTCGGAGACACCGAGCTTCAAGCTGTGTCCGGAGAACTCGACTTTGGTCTGCGCTTATCAGTCGCGATACCCTGCAGGGGAACCAAAAGATGTGTCTACCTTCTTGACATCGATGCCAGACGTGCCCTCGAAGACCTTCACTTTGTTAGCTCTGCAGGTTGACGAGCAGGTTCTTGCTGCATACCTGGACGACGGCGCGGTTGCCTGTAGGCGCGAGAGGTCAGCCAAAATTCTTCCTTCGCGTGGGCTTGTGTCCTACCTCTAGCTTCCAGAACCTGACCAGACCGCTCAGTGCCATCCGGCAGCGTCAGAGAGACGATCTCGTTGTACCTCGGGAACTTGACCTGTGTTTCCCACGTATGAGCTGAAGCTCCCGACAAAGTATAAGATGATGGCAACGGACATTCTCGAGAATAACCAATGGACCGTTGACACCGCCGATGGTGTTGTAGCGTATCCTAGGCTTGACCGACATCATGCGGGGATCGACCGGGGCGGGCGCCATGGTTGCAGATGGAGAAAATGGAGAGGTTCGAGGGTATCTGGAGCTGCGGAGGCTAGGAGAGGTCGGTCGAAGACGCAGATGGCCAGCGATCGGAGCTGGGGTGTGGAGGCGGGCGTGCTTGCAGCTTGGCAGCTTGAGGTTGTGAGGTCGGGCAGCTGACGCGCACAGGACAGCGGTCTAACAAAGCCCCGCGCCCGATCTGTCATGAGGCCGCAACCACTTCGCGGCCACAACCGCGGAAGTGCCTTTCTGCATCACCAGCGCCTGCACAGGTAGCGATCCAGCTTCAGCCTTACGAGGCCGCTTTGCTGAGTATGGCAACGCAGCCGGCCGGGCCGGACCTCTCGTCTGCCTAGTTATATTACGCCATCTTTTTCCATGCACAACGCTTGGACTGCCCTTTACAATTGATAATCATTTGTACTACTAAACGTGAAAACTTAGAAACCAACAAGTTTTTTTTTTATCCCTTTGTCTTGGAATTAGTTTAATAATAACTTTCGCCCTGACTCAGAAAAAAAACGTGTACCCTACGTATGATATTGATTCGTTCATTATTTCAACAGAGGACGGGCAGTTGAAGCGGCCTTCCGGATATGAATGTGCACTTTCCATGCCGACAAGGGCATTCGGACAATAGATTTAACTCCTTGGCTTCGTTGCAATAACGAGCGAACCGACATTATGCTTCCTATGACATCTGCATTGGCACGGAAATACCATGTTCACGCGTCTGAGGACTCTCTTAAGTTTCTACCGGCAAAATTATGGAAAGGCAGTAGAGGAATCTACTAATGCAGGAGATAAAGTATACGTCTATACAGACCTAAAGCGTATTTTTCGATGATCCAGTTGCTCACAGGGTCTCTCATAAAAGTTGAGAGATTTGTGTCTTTGTGCTTACAAGATATCTGTCACATGATAAGGAAACGGGAAGAGAGAGAAAACCATCTAGTAGTGTTTGGTATAGGCCGGACTGACCGCCTAGATGCAGAGGGATATTGCAGCCGAAGGCTAGCGTGGATTTGTTTTCGCACATGCCGGGTAGGTAGTTGAAGCTATTGTCCAGATGTAAATGTGGTGTTAACAATTATACTTTCTCGTCCGGACGATAACCTCCGCTGCACACGTTTCTCCTCGTGAAGAGAGTTGTTGAGGTCCCCTTCTGTAATCGTTGGCAGTCGCTATTAGAGTAAGCACGGTATCCTTGTTTGTACAAGCGTCTACAGCCCGGTGTGACTCGTCCAACGAAACCACGTCGCTTGGTGCTAAGCGTCTCATGGAGAAAGGGGGGCATTGCCGTGTGTGTGTGTGTGTTATTCACCTCGGCTTTTTGACCGCCTTCCCGCTGAAGGGTGGTTTGGGAACACATTGCGTAGAGAGAGCCGCTAAAAACGTGTCTAGCTGTAAGAAATGATATTGCACGGAACTATAGGTCGGGGTGAAAGCAATGATTGCCGATGTGGTACCCATTCATCAGGCCATGGAAAGACCCAAGAGGTAGGAGAGACACGGCAAGGGCTTGTTCGCATGTTGGCAACCCGGTTCTTGGCATGTTGGCGGTGGAGCAGCCAACTCCGTGAGGAAAAAGCGAGGAGGCCCGCAAAAGAGCCGGCACGCAGCCTTTAGGCATCTACGGAGCTGCTCGTCGCAAAAGACCGCGGCATACACTGCGCGAGGAGCGGGAAACGATAGGTGCTGGCGCGAAGCTTAAGCAGGGCTCGCTCGGAGAAACCTTCTCGGCGCTAATCCGCTAAGCCGCCTTGGGGGCGACCGCGACCGCCCCGGGACTGCTGCCAACGTTCGACACCACAACTCGACCAGCCCATCATCTCCCCGACCGCATCGTCCCCAAACCGGCTCCTGCGACCCTCCCGGACCGCCTTGATATGGCGTCGCTGTCCCTTATCATTCTGTGATCCGGCACCTCGCATCCATTGCGCTCTGCAATCACGCTCGTTCGTGCCCTGCGCGCGCCCAACCTCCCGTCGGCGGATGCGCGCCTCCCGACGTGTTGCCCGCCTGCACCGCCTTCACAACGCCCGAGAATAGCTCCAGAGCCGCTCTTCCGCGCGTCGCTAGCAGTCGCGCATTGGGGTCCGTTCCAACAGTCACCTGCTGACTCCGATCGCAAGTCAGCTCCGGCACTTGCCGCTGCGCCGTGATACCCTGACACTACTCACGACACCACTTTCGACGGCAAACACACGCCCTCGTCCCCCGACACGCGCCTACGCTCAGCATACTCGCTGTGCGCGTTGTCGTCAGTCGTGCGTCGCGCCCGTGTACCCCACACCCCGGACCCACTCTGCTTCACGCGACCGCTATCACATACGTGGATACCGTCTTGGTCAGCGTGAGCGTACGCCTCTCGTGCCTACATCGTCAACGGTGCGCACACTTCTCTCGCCTAAACTTCGAGACAAGGCTTCTTGTGGAAAGGCCCGTTCCGGCTGGGAGTTCGTTCTCCTAGAGCCACGGGAGACAGATCGTCGCTAGTCGTTCTGTAGTCTCTAAGGTTCAAGATGATGGCTAGCGCATATCCTCATCATCCTGGTGGCATCCAGCAGCCCGGCATTCCACATGGTCACCCCATGGGCCCCGGGGGACCTAACCCAGGCCAGCCCATGGGACAGCCAATGCAAATGCATCCGGGAGGAGTCTCTGGTCCAAACGGACCCCATGTTTCTCAGGCTGGTCCGATGATGGGCATGCAGCCGGGAATGGGTGGTCCCGGCCCGAGTGCACACGCTTTATCGCACCTCACACCCCAAGCCCACATGTTCCAGCAGCAGCAGCAGCAAATGTGTAAGTCACGTCCCCCACCACATCACATCCACCTCAACCACTAAACCCGGACCACGCAGTTGCGCAAAACCCCGCGCTTGCAATGCAGGCCCAACAACAACGCCAGGCAATGATGCGCCAGCAGCACCAGCAACACCAGCAGATGATGCAGCAACAACAGCAGAATGGGATGATGGGATTCCCGCATGGCGGGAACCAGGGAATGACCCCGCAGCAAATGGCTGCTATGCAGGGAAACCCCCAAGGGCTTCAAGTAAACCTGCCGCCGCACATCCGCGCGCAACTTACTCAAAATCAAATGCAGCAGGCTCAGCAGCAGCATGCGCAAGCTCAGCAGCAAGCTCAACAGCAGGCCCAGCAACAGCAACAGCTCATGGCTCAGCACCACACGGCTATGCAGCATGTCGCTTCTCAGCAAAGCAATCCTGGTCAAGGTGGACCGCAAAACCAGCCGCCGCCGCAGGGTCAGCCAGGGCAGATGAGGCCTCAGCCCCCGGGAATGCAGCCTGGACATGAAGCACAGGCCTCTCCTGCACCGCCTCCCAGTCAACATCATACGCCACAGCAGACCCAATCACAACCTCAACCTCCGCCGCCGGCGCAGGCCCCGACTCCTGTGCAGCAAGGCCCCCCTCCCCCAGGCCCTCCCCCTCAGCAACAGCAGCAGCCCCAGCCACCCCAGCAGCAGCCGCAACAGCCGCAGCAGCCGGGTCAGCAACCGCCTCAGAATCAACAGCAGGCAATGCAGCAGCAGCAACAGCAGCAGCAGCGCCAGCAAATGGCCCAGCAGCAGCAGATGATGCAACAGAGGGCTCAGGCGGCTCAGGCTCAAGCAGCTCAGGTCCATGCTCAGCAAAATCGGATGTACGGCACCACTATACTCAAGCTACTTAATCTGGCCGACAATCTTAGCCGGTTCTCTGTAAGTACACCCGAACGTCTTGTTGCTACTCGACTAACAATTTCTAGGCGGATCGACAACCAAACGACATAACCCACTGGAAAACTTTTGTCGGAAGATTCTTCTCTGAAGATGGTATCTTCAAGCAGACATTGCTGGATTATGCACCTCAAGCTCAGAAGCCCAAGAACTTCGAAATCTGCAATCCTGCATTACCTCGTTACTACTACACGCAATTCCAGAGCGGTGTTCAAAACATCCAGCTTACCATGGACGGCATTACGGAGAAGGAGTTTGGAAACAACTGCCACTACGTGGAAAGTAACCGAGCAAAGTTCATTTACTGGTTCAAGAACGGAACTCAGGTAAGCTTACGTGCCACTTTGCTATCCCTGAAGCATGGACTAACCAATGTGCAGGTGGTGCAAAATGGAAAGCTCAGCGCGATGTTCGACCGCGATGATAAGATCAACCTGCTCATCTTTGAGACGGCGGATCACATGCAATACCTGCCGCGGAGTACTTTGGAAGGCCTTTTCCACGTCAGATCGCCCCACCAAAACATGTCGCCGAAGATGAGCAAGAAGAATCCTCCCAACCAGAGGAATCCACGCATGCAAAATGCCGAGCCTACAATGCTTTTCTCAGAACTTCCGGAAGCACCGGTGTCAACCTGGGGTGTTACCAACCCGGTGCTCCAGTTCCTCGAGGTACGTACGGCGAGTGCTGGCGCAGCCATGGACCTTGCAGCTGATCCGTCGGCAGGTTGGCGAGACTCTTTCGAACATGCAGGAGTTGTTCGCTCACTACCACGCCAACCCGGGCAATACCCCTTCTCAGGCTATGAACAGCCTGGTGGCCAATCTTAACATCCAGCAGCAGAACCAGGGAGGCATGGCGCCGGGTAATCCGATGCAGCCGGGTCAGCAACAACAGGGACCTCAACCACCGCAGCAAGGCGGACCAGGCCAACCCCAGATAAACCTCCCGCCCGGAGCGCCCACGCCGAACAGCGCGCCGGGAGCTAGGACACCTCAGAACATGGCTGGTGGCAATCCTAATGTTCAACCACATCCCCCCAACCAACAGTTCATGTCCCCGCACATTGCCAATCTCCAGCAGTTTCCCGGCGGCTTGAATCCTGCGGTTAACGGATCACCGCACCTCGGCGGGCAGACTCACACGCCGTCGCCAGCGCAAGCACACATGCAAGCGCCCGGTCTCGTGGCTCAGCACAGCCAACAGGGCACGAACAGCAGTGCAGCTGCAAGTGCCAACACTAGCCCAAATGTGAGTAACAAGCGGAGACGCAGCACCGTGAAGACTGAGGGCGACGATGGTCCTGATGGAGCACCAACGGCAAAGGTCAAACCGAGCCCTAGAATGCCGAACAACAACAAGCGTATCAAGGGCAACCCGGGTTGAGGAACGAAGCAGGGATGATCACGATGCCAGCGTCTTAATGGGCTCGACCGAGACGACGTGACGATTATGGATTTGGAAGAACGGAGTTGGCGTGCAAAGAGGGGGCGGCTTCGACGCTCACAGCGGAGGCGATGCTGTTTTTCAAGGCTGACGTTGATATACCCCTAAACCTGCGGCCTGAAGCATCGATACGCGCTGCTGCGTCTGGTTCGGGTGCCCTGGAGTTGTTGACTGCCAGGCACATGTTCTTTGTTCATCTTGGGTATAGTAGGAAAGGATTACCTCATGCTTTTCGGCGAGATGGCGGGGGAGGGAAGGCGAAATACGGGTTTTGAATGGCCATCGCTTGCTGTTTGTCGCGCATCTTCTCGTCGGCGCGCATGGGTCTGTTTTGCTTTTGATAAAGTTCTTCCGTCAGCGTGGCGTTAGTCCGATCATCATACTCTCGAGTCTCTTTCCGCGGCTGTCTTTTTGCTTTCCCTGTTGGAGCAAAAGGTCGCATATTCCCGCTAAGCTGCAAAATATTGCGTCTTGTTTTCACAGTCTCATGGTCTGCTCTGTCTTTTTAATGCTTTGGTATTGCACATCATCTCTCAGGCTCTGTAGCTCTTGGTCTTTTTTTACGCACGCCCTGCAAGGTTACTGGATTATTCTTTTCATACATAATTGCACGCGAGAGCGGGTATGAACGGCGGAACGGTTCTCTGTACATTATTTGACGGTCTCTCTATATTAGTTGCACAGCGAGCAGCGGTGGGCTTGGCCGTTGGCACAGTCACGATTATCGAGCTTCCGACTCTGCCCTATTTCTCTTGGTTTGCAGGTGGTACTCGATATATGTGCATGTTGTGGATCTGCATGAGCAGATGATTAAGGTGCCGTGTCACCTGCGGCGGAGGGGGGGACGTGCAATCGCGGAGGGGCAGCTCCGTCTTCTGCTCGTTCGTTCCTGGCGGCCGCCAAACCTATCCAATTGGGTTCGTCAGGGTCGGCGAGAACGCTCACGTTGGTCCCCACACAGCGGATGCGCGAAACAAGGAGGGTCTCCGGCAATGGCGCAGTCAGGTGTTGAAACCCCACAAGCAAGCAGGGCTTCGCGGGCCGGAGCTTGTCACCGACATTTCACACCCCTGATAAGGAGATGCGGAGCGGGAGCCACGGCAGCGATAGCGCTTGGCTGCTGTGCGCGGCCTCCTCGCACCAGCCGTGACGTCGAGAGGGTCTAGACGGCGCAAATCCAAGGAACGGCTTCGCACGATTGCTGCTCTCGCTCGCTTCCAGGCGGGCTGTGATTCATCGGCAGACCCATGCGCGCGATCGTCAGAAGCGGGGAAAAGCGGCGCGTCCCCAAGCGGGTTGCAGCGCTTTGCGTCAAGCCAACTGCACCGCTCTTCCCAGCAGGCCGGTCGCAGAGCCGCATTGCTCCCAGTCAGAGCCGTCTCCCACTCGCTGGCGGCCGCGCCATGTGAACGCCGTATAAAGCAGAGTCGTGTGGAGTGTCGATTCCCGTCGCAACCCCCCGTCGCTCCGGCACCGCCCATCCGCGACGCTCGATGAACGACAGCTTTTTTGGCAGACTGCATCGCCGAGGATCGTCGCAGCCCTTCACCAGCAACCTCCCGCGCCGCTCTGGGGAAGGATTCAGGCGGTCACCGAAACAAGTAAGCACTCCCGCCCTGATTCGCCCAGCTGGTAAGGCTGAGAGGACACAAAACAGTGAGCAGCAGCACGTTCAGCCCCGCTTCCAGCGGCAGCGCCGCATCAGCCTCGTCGTCGCGCCGATCCGACGCCCAGCAGACGCTGGAGGCCTATCTGCAGGACGGCGCGCGGTCGTACCGGCCCCCAATCGACGCATGGCAGGACAGCACCGCCGGATTCACTGAGCGTATCGCCACCAATTACTCCTTGCCGCAGGCTGCCCACAGCCTTCATTACGCCGAAGTCGACCACCAATACCCGTACCCGACCTCCATCTCGCTCAGCAAGAGCTCCATGGCGCCCTCGCAGACGCAGCCCCCACAGGTCCATAACCGCGCCCCATCCACTGTCGCCTCAGCCTCGCGCTACTCGTCGTGCGGCCCGCCCTCGCTCGTCTACGACGACCACACCTCGTACGCCGAGTCATCCGTCGACACCGAGTACGGCAAGATCGTGCAGGGCGTGCGCCTGCTGGAGCCCGACGTCGACGGCGCCCTGGTGCAGCCGCAAGTGAGCACCGCCCCGGTCTACGAGTGTACCTTCAATTTCCTCGGCTGCCGCTTCATGACGCCCGACGAGGCCGACTGGCGCCTGCACAACCTCAGCCACTTCCACGGCAACGTCCCGCCGCGCTCCGTCGCCTGCCCGCTCTGCGACTTTGGCTTCGACGCCGACGACGGCCGCACCGCCTGGGAGGCGCGCATGAGCCACCTGGCCGCCCACGTCCGCATGGGCGAGACGCTGGCCACCTCGCGCCCGGACTTCAAGCTGTTTCGCTACCTGTGGCAGAAGCGCATCATTGACGACGCCGAGTATAAGGAATTGAACGGCCGCGGCACCCTGGCCGCGCGCTCTCATCCTGAGGATCCGTCGCATACCACCGAGGGGCCTCGTTTTGACGAGCGGCGAAGGCGTGTGCCACGGTACCCTCGACCTAACAGAATGTACTGATCGAACGGGGGGGAGCTTCGCTTTACGACCGTTTCGGACCTGCTTGTTTTTTGCTTTCATGCTTTGTTTTAGTATCCCATCATATCCCGCAACGGCCGCGTTTTTCTGGAATGAGGGAGTAGGCACGCCAACGATACCCAGATTGCCAGAGCCCCGGACGTCTCTGTGGGCTCTCGTCATTTTCTCATGAATACGTTTAGGTAGCGAAAAGTTTTGGAAACCCCGGTAATGCGGTTGGAAACGAAAGCGGCGGCGTTTTTTTTTTTTTTCGGGCGTTGGGTGCAGGATGCACAAACATGATATCTTGGAAGACGGAGACGGCAACAGACGGGTATTCCGGTGTTTCCTCCGCTTATTTTCCCCCCTTTTCTTACGCACACACTAGTTCATCATTACGTTGCCCATTTTTTTTTCTTCCGGGATGCTACAATGCGGTTTGTGGCGGTCGCGTGGCCGCCTGCCGAGAGAAAACAATCTCGAGGCGACGATCATGCCAAGCTTCACGCAGTCCAAATATACGTCATATCCCCTCTTCACATGGAACCCTTCACGCTCGCCACTTTGTCGAAATTAACATTAGCATCAGAATCGGCATGATCATCCGAAAACGCCACAGCACCAAAGAGGCAATGTGGAGATTCCACGACTACTTGTCTCGGCGGTTCCTTTTTCCCTTCACGGATCTCGGTGTCACGCCCGTTTCTGAAGGTAAGGGGCCCCTGTTCTCCGTCTCGTGGCGTGTCAGGTACAATCTATTGAATGTGTGATCTGCTCCGCTTTGTCTTTTCTTGTTGTCATAGAGAAAGAGAAAATCAGGGCTGAGGATTCAAGGCTAGTTTGAGGCGACCGCGGCATGATGGACACACAGCGGTCAATTGACCCTCTTTTTTTGCTTTGTGGCGCATTCTGCATTGATTCTCGACCCCTCGAATACACAGTGGGTCTCGACTTGCTATGTCTCTGCGGTGGGCTGGTGCTTTTGATTTGCTGTGAGAATGGCACGGGAGGGTAGGTGCTTCTTCAACTTCGGACGTCTGAATGACTTAGAACGTGACCGGCCGGGTCGTGCTGTTCAGCCAGCACCTTCCGCAAATAGCAAAGCGAGAGAGAGCCCCGACATCCGCTCCGACCTTCTTACAACCTCATCGCTTCTTTTTGTTTCATCCTTAAAACAGCAAAAATCGACATGGCGCCGCTTTATAGCACTGACGGCAATCCGCACTCGTGAACAGCATGTGCTATTGTGACTGCACCGACTCTTGCGTCTGGCTGCCGCTCGGCTTGCGTAACTACTAGCGGCCTGTGATGAGGCGGGAGCGCCGTTTCGCTACCGCCGAGATGAGGGCGTGTAAGGGGCCGACTAGCGGATCATTTACTTATGTTGGGTGTTTGCTGGACATGGGTTTGGGGGCGAGACGGACAGAGTCCAGGCCTGGGATTTTTTCCTCCGTGGAGGATCAACAAGCGTCGCACGAAGGTCAAACGTCGCAATGACTAGTGCTGAGGGCGCTGTGAATACTAATCACCTAACACACTACTACCAAACTGCTAATGCTTACCGTATGGCTTTTGGTCATAGCGGGCGACTGGGTGAGGTGCAAGCTCCTTCGCGTTTCGGAGATGCGAGACTCTCGGGTCCGCGCGCCATGTGGCCACCAACGGGAGGCGTGGTGAGAGGAGGATTGCATTCCGGGCTGGAGGGGTGGTTATCACGTAGTTCATGTTGTCATTGCTGTTTGAGTAGTCTCAGGTTATTGGTCTCAAGAGCGCAGTTACTGAGATATCAATGCTAAGGGTGCTTTAGCTGGCTTGCAGAGCGTTAACCGATGGGACGTAAAGTCAAGTGTCGGCAGAGCCGACCAAGGGTTGGTGGGTACTGTTCGAGAATAGATGTGGCAAGTGGTCGTACACCTTGCCTCGGACGTACCGAAGAAGCCTTAGTGGATTGGCATAGGAACATGTATGTACAATGAAAGGAAGGAAGTGGCGATTGCGGTGTCAACTTCGTACGTCTGAACGAGTCGCCCTCAGGGAAGGAGTGGGGAGGAGGGTGCCAAAAAGGATCCACAAGAGGCTTGCAGTGCGTTGGTATTGGTGAAGGGATGCTATGATTCGCAGAGAGGAAGGTAGAAGGTACAAAGGTCGAACGTCTGGACGACTCGAAGCAGTCGGCGATCAGACAACGCGGGACTCCATAGCATCACCGTGCCACGGATGGTCCGACAACGGTTTCCCAGAGAGGGAAAACAAGCATTGCTATGATGTGCGTGGTGGATATCAAGGGATGAAGGTCGAACGTCTGGACGAGTCGGTGATGCAAGTCATGGAGGCCTTCGGACCCGTAAGTTCTCCGTGTGTAGCAACGGCAGAGGAACGCGGTAGATGAGAGAACCAAAGGAATGGTTTAGCAGTGCGGCAAGGTGGATCAAGGGAGGAAGGTCGAACGTAGGAATGAGTCGAGTTGAGGACGTTTCGTTAACATGGCAGCCTCGTTGCGGTAGTGCTCCGGCGGGACGGCAGGCAGTAAGTGGCACCTGCGGCTGGTTGCATGCCAAAGGGCTGGCGCGAATCCTGGCCTTGATGCTGCGCTGGGCCCGCAATACAGGGTTGCCGATGGGGCGTCCACATGTGAAGGGAGCCGATGGGGCTGCAAGTTCAGACGTCGGATCTGAGTCGCCGGGATGGCAATGGCACTCGCAGCTTCGCCCCCGCCAATCGCTGGCACGTACCCCCAACCGCGCCGATGGCTCGAAAAGCAGTCCTTCGAACGTCTGAAATGAATCGACCGTGGCGAAGGGCAACAGCATGCCTCGGTTCAGCGGCAGAACGTTTGTGCTTCTCCGCGCAGATTTGCAGGCCGGGAACCGGCCCCATATTTCCATGCTCGACATCGTTTCCTTTTCTGGAAAGCTCGCAGTTCGTTCGCCCTGCCCGAGGCGAAAACGATTCGAAACGCGGCCCTCTTTCTCCAGCCGGATTGGCCGCCGGCGGGTTCGAGGCATCTCACCCACAGCGGTTCCGAATCAGTTACGCATAGATGTGATTTACTGCAGTGTATGAGGGCGCGGGTCACTCGCTCCTTTCGGCGTGCGGACATGAGTCGAATCTCACAGCGAGTCGTCATTCCCGACGCGATGACAAATGTATGATTACTCTACAGCAGACAGAGGCAGCTTCAAACGGCAATGGGTGGAGGACGTGTCGGCAGCGCCACCATGCGGCTTGTTTGAAGTTGGACGGTGACGGGAAGCGACAACTTCCAACGTCGCACTGAATCGAACTGGAGCGGCTCTTTGGTGGCGCCGCGTCACTAGCAGCTGCGATGCACGGCTGATGGACCCGTAGCCAGGTGGGTTCCTGGTCCCGGGTTTCCTTGTCCGGGCTTTCGTCAACTTCTGACGTCGGAGTCTGATTCGTATCCTCGGTGGCGCGGCGGGCGGCAGCTCGCCTGCTCTGCCGTGAACCACCTCATCATACAGCTCGACTCGTGGATCTCCCGAGACGAAGAGAGGGGGCAACCTCAGGGCTGTCTCGGCAGATGACGCCATCCCGCCGAACGATCTGCCCGAATGCATCCCGTTTCGGGGGCTGCAGGTACTCGCCTCTCGTGCCAGGCCCTGCGTGGCCGGCTGCGCGTCCGACACGCCCTGCATGGTGTCGCGAGGTTCCTGCGGCATCCGCCTGTCGTTTTCCGGGCGAGCGTGGCGCTGGGCTGGCCATTTCGGCGAAGGATCGAAACGAGCATGTCGGGGCGCGCCCGGGGCGGGAGTGGATGCGTGGTACGTGGTAGCGCAGTGCGTGAAATGATTCAGGGAGCGTGCTCGAGACGTGGGTGATTGAGTCGTTGAGTGGCTTTTGGCGCGCAGAAAGGCAGCCCATGACTCAACGCCCGCCCTCGCTCTTCCTTTGCTTTTTCTTTTTCTGATTTCGGCCGGGGCGGGCTGGCATCGTGCCGTCAGTGCCAACCGGTGTGGGTGCTCCTTGGGCAATTGCTGCGAAGTTTCAACGTCGGGACATGATTCGAAGCGCGGTTAAGGGGAGACAGAAGCATTGTGCCTGAGTCGCTGGTATCCCTCTTTATATCCGCATCGGATGAGAGCCAAATCCGACGACAATCGTCCTTCTGCGCGCGCCGCCCATGGCCCAGTGCCCGCGTCGCGCTGCTTTCAACGCCTGCGTCGACGGTGCTGCGTCGTCGAGGAGCTGCGCGCGGCGGCATGCGGCTGGCCGGGCTGCGGGCGAGTGCGGCTTCCGAAGGCCCAACGTTGGGCATGACACGTCACGGGCCGGGGGCACTCCGTGGTTGCGAAGTCTGAATCGCCAAAGGCCGGTGTGGTCTCGCAGGAGCGGCGTCTGATTGCGCGGTGACGTCAAGCGGGCACTGGCCGGAAATAAAGACGTGGTGGAGCTCTGGGCTCGGCCATGGGCCCGCCGGGTGCGATGGGCGCGGCAGGCCTTCGCGAGGCCTCCGCCATGGCCATTTGAAAATCCCCATGCTCTTTCAACGCTCCTGGACCCCGTCGGAGCTGGCCCCGCCCCGCCGCGCACCGCCCGAAACGAGCCAGCTGCCCGATGCGGCATGGATGTGCCCGCTCGTTCTGGCGACATGCCTCACTCACACACACCAGAGCACGCTTCGCTCGGAAGATGACCATCTGCGCCTGGAGAACCCACTTGTTCCAACCATGCACTCCCCTGACTGATCTTATTTCCGCCCAACTTCAAACGTCGCACACGACTCGAAAGAATCGCTCGACTGCTGGTCTGACGTCAAGCCGTCCCTCGTCGCTTCCGCTCTCGTCCCTGCCTCGGCACTTGCACACCCGCGAGCTCCGCAGCCTCTTGTTCTCGCCTCTACAACTTCCTCCCCCTTTTCTCCTCTCACTCTGTGCCTCTCCACAGCTCCATGCCCTGGAATCTGCCACCATCACACCTCTTAGCGTTGGCCGTGGTCGGCGAAATTTGCGGATCTGCGAAGAGCTTGGGAAAACCATATCCGG